TCATTGTATCATATCATAATGTTTCCTATACTGTTGTTTATAGTTTCCTAATAGTATCTACCTTATTGTATCACTTCATATTGTTTCCTGTTTTATCATATCTGAACTTTTTCATTGTATCGTATTATATCATGTTGTATTTCGTATCATGTCGTTTTGTGTTGTGTTGTATCATGTTGTATTACATCATCAAATTTGTGTTTTCGTTTGTGTCTGGCTATGCATTGAAGTACTACATTAAAGTATTTCAGGATGTGGGCCATATTGACCCATGAGTGCTGCTCTGTCACCTCTCCTCTTTATGACTCTGGCCTTTTAAAAACACGCTGGATTTATGGTCAGTTTGGGCGCTGTCTCAGACACAGTATGTGTGTTAATGTGTTTGACGGAGAGAGCAAGAGTGTGTGTGTATTAAGAGGAGACATTTTTCCCCAAACACTAACCCTTATGTAGTGAATTAGTCCTGTTTTGCTGTCAGATGAGGAACTAAATTCTCTTAAAATCAAGGTGATGAGGAGTTATTAGAACTATTATTCAAATGCTACAGTAAACGAAGTCTGAGCTCAAAACTCACATTTGCTATTTTAATCTTTAGGAGTAGTGTAGAAGTAAGAGTTTGGTCTGATAAGGGGTAATCAGCAGTTTGAAAAACATCTACATCATGTCAGAAAGACAAAATGAAATAAAATCAAGATATTTTTGAGTGTAAGACATGGCTTCCCCCTGCGTATGATCATGATGATTCATGTGTGATATAAATACTTTCGCACACACACACATTACACATGTATTCATGTATTCACGCGGGGCTGAGCAGTGCAGATGGCACCTTGACGTCTCTCTCTGTCTCCAACACTTAAAATCCCACGTCTTCTTAAAAATTGATTCTGCAGAAGGAGAAGCCCGCCCAGAGATTAAAAAAGTAAATTCTTCAGTCCAAAAATACACCTCCTTTTTCTCTTTGCTTAAATAAGCAGGCAAGGAGGATTTTCTTAAGACTGCTTTATCTGTGACTCTAGGTGCTATGTGATTGTGGATGGAGTCTAATGTGTGGTCCATTTGCTTCATTAATGGGGCTGACGCGAGCCGCTCAGCCAAGAAAACGCCTATTGTTCCCTTTTACCGTCCTGTTTTTAATGTGTAGCATTAGTCCAGCAGTTGTTAGTGCTTTGCTGATGGTCAAATGACAAAGTCTTAATAGAATATAGTGGGACCAGCAGGACAAAGGTGGGCAATGTTCAGCTGGATGCAGCCAATTTCTGTGTGAGAGGCCTGCCTAAAAACCCCATTCATAGGCTGTCTAATGCTGCTGCCGTAATTAAATGTGATTACTGGAGCAGAGGGCTCCTCTCTCTCTCGCTCTCTGAGGGCCACACACAGGCCTGCAGGCAGCGTGCATGCGCTCATTAAGGAGGCGCTAACAGATGTACACAAGCAACAACCACAGGCGTGCCTAAATCTCTAAGCTATGTCTCAACAGACAAACATTAACAGAGAGAAAAAATGTATGTCAAGAATGTCAACTTTTCAGGCGCTATGAAAATTAGGATTAGATTTGAGGAGGAAAAAGCTGAAAAGTAGGGATTTTCTTTTTACAGAGGGGTATGTAATCCCTCATTTTAAATTTTAAATGTAAAGTTCAGTTTCAAGGTTTCTCCCTGACAGTTTTTATCCTCCCAAAGTCTGAATCCTGCACAAAAAATAAACACATTTCCAGCCATAAATAAAAATCAGGCTCAACTCTGACCCTCAGTGAGTGATAATCATAAAGCAAACAGGCAGAAATATAAACAAAAATCAATTATGGTTTCCATCAGTGCACACACACACTCGTTCACACACACTCAGTCTAGCCCTCTCTCCGGTCCAGTTTCCTGGGCAGACACAGTCCCCCTAGTGCTCATGGGAAATCGTGAGCCTGCCAGGCCCCACAAAGGCGTCCTTTCAGCCGCCCGCATGCTTGACCTGTGCAGGGTCAGTGCTCTGCTTTGTGCCCCGTGACCCTCCAGTGACCCGGGGGTTACGGTGAGGGCCCTGGGGTCAAATCCAGATGCCTGCGTCTAATTTCGCCCCGACTGGGTTATCCGACCAAATCTGCCCGAAAATTTGCCCCCCCCCAACCCCACCCTAAGACCCACTACACATGACTGAGCCCCATAGTAACACACAGGTACTCTGCCATCTAATTGGACTACTGTGGAGTGGTCTCTCATGCACATTCACACACACTCATGCACATACACATGCTGGCCTGACCCCCTGTAACTGCACTAATACCCCATCCCATGGCCTTTGGTCTATCTTGAGGGATTAGGTGCAGAAAGACACACATACAAGCAAAGATACATCCACACACACACTCACACACTCACACACACACTTCAGGGCGCAGCAGGCCTGGCCTAGGGTCTACCTTGAGGGATTAGGTGCAGAGAGACAGGACCCTCCAGCCAATCAACCGGTCTGTCACATTGATTTTGAGGGGTCACTGGTGCACAATGGCCAGGGTTTTCCTGTCTTAACCTCTCTGATCACACACATATGCGCACATACACCCCCGCACAAGCACACATGATAACAATGAACTTTATTTATATCATATACATAAAAGGCAGAGCTAAATCAGAGCCTCATGACTGGGTCAAAAGCAACAATCGTCAACAATTAGAGGTAAAAATAGAAAGCATGGGAACAAAAAAGACTGAATAAAGGTTTAGGAAATACATTCTTAAAGTATTAACACGTGTAGGACCAAAGGGTTAGATAGTCCTACGTGGTTTTAAAGTTGTTTTATTTTAACAGGACTGATATTGAAAGGATGTGGAAACTGTTTGGCTTAGACTTTCAACAAGGGCACACACATGTCCATACACATGTCCATACAACTCCAAATTCCTCTGCCCTCCTCTCAAATCTCCATCATATCCCTGCTTCTCAAAATCCTCCATCCCCACGGGGAAAGCACACCCGGCCAGGGGAAATCTCCCACATCAGCCCTTCCCCTCTACACTTCCATTCCCTTGCTCCTTCTCCTCTTTCCTGGTCAAACAACACAATAGTGTTGTATCACAGAGGGCACCAGACAGGAGGTCTGGATGATGGAAATAAACTGGATTACAGTGCCAGCAACACTTTCAGGTGCTCAGGCTGGCTACTTTCTCTGACGTCATAATGCACATTTTACCCGCTCTGTTTTCGTCTTTGTTGTTTCCCTCCCCCCACACCTTTAGCCCTCCGCATCCCTCTGTTGCCTGTTTCCTTTTTCCTGGATGGAATCTCAAAGGCATCTGGAAAAACAGGATTCATGTGTGTCTGTTGGTGTTGTTAAAACAGAGCAGGTCAGTGTTGGAAAAGCTGATCAGGTACAAAATGAAACAACACTAGCAGCACAGTTATGCCAAAATACTCAAAACCAAGAAAATGTGATCAATCAAACCTCATTTAAAAAAATTTATGAGGCATTTCCTGCAAAATTGTATCTCAGGTCAAAAATAAAAATACTACTTCTGCAGGAAAATGGTCCCTATTCGTATTTACAGGTGACATTTGTAGGGTAAGTAAAACACAGACAAGCAGTCTTGGAAAAAACGTTTTTATAGCAGAGCCACAGGCAGCACTGAATATGATCACTTCTAGATATACACACCTTAAAATAAACTCAGTGTGATAAGTTTACATTACAGTATTATCCACCAGCAAATGTGCAATACTTGGAGGTTGTGCAATATGCATGATGTAGGCGCAGTGACAGGGAAAGTGCAATATTGGGTGTGTATTTTTTATATATTTTAATAAGCCTTCTATACAAAGGCCTGAGGTAAGAGACAGTCGATCAGTCTTGAGAAGTCCTTTTGTTTTTCTGTCAAATCAAAGACTAAAAGTGACATCTAGAAAATATATAAGGTAGAGTGAGTTACATTTTTAGCTGCTAAAATTTTGTGGAGAAGAATTGAAATATATACGTGTATATATATATATATATGAAATTATAAATAGATGATTGTCCAATTTATTTGAAATTGGGTTTATAGTGAAAAATGGCAGTGGATGCAAAAACCAGGAATGTGTCTATGTGTTTCACATCAACACTAACTTCTGTCCTGATGAAGACTCAGTTGAGTCAAAACATGCTTTTAACATGAGTTTCATAATGTAACAGGGGGCCTCAGATTTCCAGCTTGGAGAGCCTTTTCACTGTGAACTATTTTGAATATCTTAAAAAGTCGTTTATTTATTTGCAATTTGACCTCCATCTATTGCCCCTGTCCTACCTTATTACTTTACATGTTTGTGCTTTTTTGACACAATGCTTTCCTCATCCTGTCAGTCATGATGATAATAACAACAACAACAACAACAACAACAACAACAACAACAATAATAATAATAATAATAATAATAATAATAATAATAATAAAAACAATAATGATGATGATGATGATGATGATGACGATGATGATGATGATGATGAAAAAAACAGCAGGATAAAAGCAATAGAGAAAACAAACCAAACCAAAAAAGTATATATAAGTATATAAATATATATATATATATATATATATATATATATATATATATATATATATATATATATATTTTGTATATTATATATATATATATATATATATATATATATATATATATATATATATATATATATATATATATAGTAGTGTGCTTATCTGAACAGGTGGGTTTTGAGTCTGTATTTGAAGAGAGTTATCCATGTCAGTGGGGAAAAGTTGAGTAAAGGGGGGAAAGTACGAATAAAAAAAGCGAAAAAAACGTTAGGAATAAAAAAAAATTAAACAGTTGGTTTAATGGAGTAAATTAAATCGAGAAAAAGGGGACGCTTCTACATGATTACACGTAAAGGAGAGATTCCTTCCCAATATGTCACTTAATTCATGTCTCCTTTGTGGCCACTAGTGGGTGCTCGCGTGTTTCCACAGCGGTGAAACCAGCAGGCTGTGCTGTCTTCTCTGACTTCATCGGCTGAACAGCTACTTCCTGGATACGCGTTCAGAAAAACAGCTAGGTTGGCTGTAAAGTCGTGTTTTAACAGAGTTTCCGTGAACTTGTAGCTCTACAAAAAAGCTTTTTTCTTGAGCGGCAGGAGTCCCGGAATTCCCTATGATAACGTAACCCGGGCAGTGAGGTGGTGGGCGCAGAAAGTCGCAGAGTAAGGTGAGTTAATTGAACTATTAACAGTTCCGTTAGCTTGCTAGCTGAAAACCTCACTCTAAACGGAATATTGTGTCTTTTTGATGTAACACTTTTTAAACCACAGCCTTTATTTGTTGTCTTTTATTAGAAGTCGGTGTTTGGTTAAAATGTGCCACATACCAACAAAGTTCTGAGTGTGTGTTTGTTGTCAGAGCGCCACGTCACTGAAAGGCGGAGGAGGATCCAGACCCCGCGGGGAGACAGCTGCTGTCACCGGGTCACTCCACAGAATCCCCCCGGAGGAGAGAGAAAGTCCACAGACAGGTCAAAATGACGGCGTCCAACTATGGGCTCATCATGAACGTGGTGAACAGCATCGTGGGAGTCAGTGTGCTCACCATGCCCTTCTGCTTCAAACAGGTGAGTCACCTGAAGAGGCGCGCTCACGTTCACTGCTGGATGCTTCAATGCCACTCTGAGTGATTGATTAGTTTATTTCGAATATGCATTAATAGATATAAAAAATAAAACAAGAAAGGTATGGAAAAAACAGAAATACATTTTCGAAAAGGAGTGAGAAGAAGAATAACGCATGAACACTGACACTCACCCCTTCCCTTTAAACATTAAGTACCCACACCAAGCTTCCTTAGATGTACGTGATACTTATAGATAAATAAAGTCAATCATGACTTTGTATTACAAAACAAAATCTACATCCACTTAATACAGCACACACATAAAAACAACAAAACAAAATAAAACAAGAAAGAAACAAAAACACAAAACAAAAGAAACAATAACCTCATGACACTAAGTGCTACCCAACACCTTCCTCATCCCTGAAAAATAGTGTCTTTGGGGCAGACGCTGCTCCCCCGTGTCATTCAGGAGCCCAAACAAAGTTAGTGTGCTACAATGTCAGACAGTAGAAACCAACCAGAAAGTACAGAAAATTGTCTGAATCCTCCTTTAGCCACGACTGCCAACACAAGCAAGAAAACGAAGTAAATACCAGAGACTCTGGTGGAATAACGGGCACTTAAAAGGAGGTAGACCACCTGGACAAGAGCTAAAAAGCCGGGTCAACAATGATGGGGGGTGCTTTGGGATTTTACAGACCCTGTAACCTTTCTGCTGGACAGGTAAACCGCTTTAACAAAGTAAGCCAAGTGTCTGTAACAGAAGTGTTTCTTGTCAAACAGGACCTGCTGCGTGTTGTAGCGCCACAAAACCGTTTACCTCAGGTCCTGGAGTATGTCACTTTATCCTAGTTGTAGAAGTCCTGCAAACATTGTGTTTGCTGGTCGTCTGTTGGCATCTACAGTCGCACCAATGCTGTTAACTTTCACATTGACCGGGCCCCATTTGTAATTATCTGAAGTATTTATCTGCATTATATCTGAATTTAATTGGAATGATACAAGCGAGAGTGAGCGCTGTTTATGGGCGGGGCTTGCTGGAGCAGAGACGGAGGGGAGAGGAGGAGCGGAGGGTAAAACTGTTTGGGTGAGGTAGTGTTTACATTCAAGATTTCTCCCACAAACTGACACTTCCTCAGATCCTGCCTACCCCACCTTTAGATTATAAATTCCCGCACACATACTGAATAATTTCTGTATATTTATTGGTAGATGATTATTTTTAGCTTTTAACATTATTAGAGCTGTTTGATATTCCACAATGTCTGTGAATTTGAGCTTGTTGTATGACGCTGTGATCAGGTAAACAGGCAGTAACAGGTGTAAAAAGGCAAATTCAGGAGATAGCATTTGAAGGTTTGTCTGTGCAGAGAAAACGAAGAAAAAAGAGGAGAGAGTAATCATTCCTTCCCTCTCATAGGTCAACTTGGTATTTCTATTGAGACCTTGAGATTTAAAAAAAAAAAAAAAAAAAAATTTAAACTGAATTTATTCATAAATGATTATGTAACATTGGTCATTATATAGTAATAAGTTGAGTGTAAGTTTTTTTATCTATTACTTGAGGAATGTTTACATTGAAATACAATTTTATGACCAATTGAGAAACTTTGTGTAAAAGATTTTAACTAAAGGATCGAAATGTAATGGGTTGAGTATCTGTTACCTATTCTTTACCTTGCAGATTAAGTTTATATACAAAAGTCTTATGTGAGATTAAGGTTGTGTAAATTTATCTATGACAGAGATAAGATAAGAGGTCTTTGTTTATTATATCAATCAATCAGTCTTTATTTGTATAGCACTTTTCATATCAAAACGATGTAGCACAAAGTGCTTTACATAGCAGAGGAATAAAAGAAACAAAGAAAACCCTTATCTACCCAAACCCAACCCTTCATTCCCACCCCACAATCTAAGCACAATAGAAAGGTGTATTAAACTTAACATGAACTTCAAAAAGGGCTCGATTTCATATGAACAGGAATGTGCGCACTGAGGAAAGGCAGTTTTAAAATTCAAGATAAGGAAACAGTGGAGGTTTAAAATCTAAAAATAAAGTATCATAAAATGAAATTGAAGAAATAATAAATCAAATGAAATAATAAATCAAATGTAAAATATATTAAAATAACAGCACCAAAATAGGTCAGTAAAAGACGATCCTGTCATTAAAACTAGAAGAGGTAAATGCTAAAACTCTTAAACATATTTAAAGTGTAAGACAATTTACAGAGTTTTATGTTCATTTGTTCATCTGTTTTAAATTTTTTTTGTATTGTACTTAACTGGTGATTGTGTTTGTCTTTTTTGGAGAGCTGTTTTTTTGTTGGTGTTTAAGTGTGCCTCTTCTCTTTTACAGTGTGGGATTGTACTGGGAGCCCTCCTGTTGTTTTTCTGCTCATGGATGACCCACAAGTCCTGCATGTTTCTGGTCCACACAGCCAGCAACACAAAAAGAAGGACCTATGCAGGACTGGGTGAGTTGAAGTGTTGTAAATGGATATGATTAATTAATAACAAGTTTAATATTTGCTCACTTGTGTGTATTACTGACACAAATAAAGTGACTTTGCATTCTCATGAGAGAAGTACAGTTAAAGTAGGATGTCATGGATGAAGCCTTTACAAAAAGAGGAACAAGTTGGTTGTCAGCAGTTGGATTAAAGCGATTGTTACACAGATGACAGAAACTTGATTACCGTCTTTGGTGATGTATAAGAATCCTGCAGATTTAAAGTGCACCTCTGCCAAGCTCTATGATGTGATCTTTGATATTGTGAAAACAGAAACTAATTTTTAGACAGTCCTATCTGTTTGTCCACATGTGTTCACACTACTGTTCGTCTGTCTGTCTCTGCAGCCTTTCATGCTTACGGGAAACCAGGAAAAGCTCTGGTGGAGATGAGGCAAGTCAATCACTTTTTGACTTTTTATGTGACGCCAGATTCAAATGTGTTTGTTTGCTTTTCTACTATCAAGAAATGACAATCAAGTGATTAAAAAAGTTTGCTTCTTGTCATTAAACTTGTCCTCTCTCTCCCTGCAGTATGATCGGTTTGATGTTGGGAACCTGTATCGCCTTCTATGTCGTGATAGCTGATTTGGGCTCCAATTTCTTCGCTCAGCTGTTAGGTTTACAGGTTTGAGATCAGCATTTGCTTCATCTACTCCAGTGGTTCTCAAGTCCAGTCCTAGAGGCCCACTGTCCTGCATGTTTTGGATGTTTCCCTGCTCCAACACACCTGATTCAAATGATCAGCTCGTTATCAAGCTCTGTAATGGCTTAATAACGAGCTGATCATTTGAATCAGGTGTGTTGGAGCAGGGAAACATCCAAAACATGCAGGACAGTGGGCCTGGAGGACTGGACTTGAGAACCACTGCTTTACTTTAAGTCTTTCTGAAAATTAATTTAAACCAGCTGCTAACTGCTCACTTTAATCGCTTTGATTTCAGTCTTTATACAAACAACAGTTTATAGAACCAAGTCAGAGAGCAAAACTCCTCATACTTTCAAATCACACTCTCCTCTGAAGGTGACCTTTGGTTTCCGAGTATTGTTGCTGATCGCTGTGTCTCTGTTCATCGTCCTGCCTCTGAGTCTGCAGAGGAACATGATGTCCTCCATTCAGTCTTTCTCCGCCATGGCTCTCATGTTTTACACCCTCTTCATGTTCACGGTGAGCTCTGCGATACACAAACAAACAGACTTAACAATAGGAATAAAGCACTTTTTGGAAGTATCAAAAGACACACATAAGCCATTTTAAGTTTACTTTCAGGATAGAGTTCAAAACCTTTTTGTGTTTTAAATGTTTACTGTTTCCTTAAAGGTGTTTATGTTCTCTTTATGTTCTGTGTTTTTGACAAGTTTTGGAGTTTATTCTTCAGTTCATTTCATGAATTTGCTCTTTATTTTTGTCCTCTTCAGAACATAAAAATACTGCAGATTAGGGGTGTAACTGTAAAAATGAAACCGCTGGTCACAGTTCTTGGTTTTGGAATTTTGGTTTGGTACATTTTTGGCACTGTAAAGAAAACCAAAACCACACATAAAATTTGTTTCCTTTTTTGAGAACTTAAATAATTTTCAACGATGGAACAAAATAAAAACAATTCATATAAAAAAGAATAAAGTGTGAGTTCTGAAACTTACCGCCTAATACAGGCAGATTCTCAGAGTTATAAACCAAAGACCCATTTTTAACTTTTTTTCCCATGAACAAGGAAGAGGTTTGACATGCGAGAGAGGATATGCTCAGTCAATGAGTGAACTCTCTGCTATTTAACCCCCCTTCTGCCTCTCGTTTTAACAGACACATAATTCACAGGTAACCACTGTTACAAGTTCACAGCACACAACTGATCAGGCTAAAGAACGATTAAACTGAATGTTTGGAGGAGATTTGTAGAGAAAGTCACTGCAATAAAACAAAATTTTTACTAGCCCAAACAACAAGCCATGCATGTTGAGCGTGGTGTCTTAGTTTTCTGTCTTTGTAAACCTTGGATATGAAATACCTTGAGGTCTGCATGTACTCAGATTGGTATGCAGCTGCACCAAACCAAAATTTGCATACAAAAACAGTCCCTTTTGTACTTTTACACCCCTACTGCAGATGTGTAGTTATTTTTAATTAGGTCTGAATTTCTTCCTTATTTGCCCTACTGTACAGAATTGTGTTTTCTATTCAATCCTTTCACAGTGCAACGTTGTCTTGCTCCTTTTTTAAAGACTAAAATGGAACTTAATCAGATCAGGCAGAAAACAATCGCTGCACTGCTCTTTTTGGCTGAAACAGGGTTTCCCTCACAAAGGAGACACCACAGAAGAATACCCGCTAGACAAATTTGAAACGTTGTAAGTGTGAAGTGAAACACGGTCAGACTAGTCAAGTCCATTTAATCATGAACCTTTGTAACTTTACATATGCTCTTATGTTATATTGATCAGCAGCTTTACTAGTAGAGCTGGCCTCTGAATGTTTGACAGCCTTGGTTTTTTTTTTACAGTTCTCCAAAAAAGAATCTATTAAAGAAGAGCATTTAAATTTGAGTTGGATGTAAAATGGTGCTTTGGTTGCATCTCAAGTACTCAGACTAGAATTTTTTTTTACTTACGTGGAACTTTTTTTCTTTTCCTGAAAGTTAAAGTGTTTGTTTTCTTTTGACTGAAAGGATTATTGGAGTTTTAGCTGATGAAAATACTTACTGTAAAGTACGTGTGATACAAAAGAGTCTAACAGCTCACTGCTGAATCAGCTGTGTCCATGTAGTGTCAGAAATTGAAGAATACTTTTATTCAGCTATATCAGCTGTTTTTGTAAAATGATCAAACAAACCTGAAGGTTTTCCATACCTGTGTTTAGTTTCAGTGACTTCCAGCAGCAGTTTTCTGCCTCAGCTGATTTAGCTCATTTACTCTTTAATCTCACACACACACACACACAGTTTGTGTGTTAATGTGTGTTTGTGTGGTTCTGTTTCATTAATGTGTAGTGCTGCTTCCACAGATGTCTCATCGCTGTTTATCTGTGCAATGTGACCTGTAGATCTTTAGCATGGTGATAACCTGGAGCAGTAGTGGGTGTGTGTCTGGCTTCAGATCGAGACCCGGCTCAGCCCAGTCCAGACCCCTAACCCTCTAACAGTGATGTCATTTTCCCTCTTTTTTCCTTTTTGCTGATTACACCACTCTCTTCTCCTTGTGTCCTTCTGCTCTCCCTCACTCTCCTCGACTACTTCCTCCCCTCCTCTTCTGCACCCTTTTGTTTGCTCCCTCTGTCCCACCGCTCCTCCTCCTCCTCCTCCTCCTGCTGCTGGTGCTGTAGATAGTGTTGTCATCACTGCGCTATGGCATAATCTCAGGCTCCTGGGTGGAGCGAGTTCACCTGTGGCGCTTGAAGGGCGTCATTCAGTGCCTGCCCATTATCGCCACAACCTTCTGCTGTCACCCGTAAGTAAACCACGGAAAACCCACCCCCAGAATAACACCACCATAAGGGCAATGTGGGGGGAGGGTGGAGAGTGAAGGTAGCCTGCTGTTTCTCCTGCGATTTAGTGCTCCTTGAACTCCTCTTCCACCGACCTGATCCTTCACCCCGCTCCCATCAGTTTTTTCCATTTTTCACCTTTTAATTTGGGTTTGGTCTGAGCTATTTGTGCTCAGTGAGTGAGTGCGTGTGTGTGTCGGTGGCAGTGGTAATAAGGCAGAGGGGTGAAACATGCCGAAGTGAAAGTTTTGATTTCTCACTCCTCACCCAGGATGGGCAGCCTGGGTGTGGGAGGATGAGGGATATGAGGTATCTGCTGTTTGTAATCGGGTAACTAAAGGAGCAAGAGGAAAGAAATGCATGCTGATCAAAGACCTGTGAGGTAGTTTTCCTCTTAAATACTTGTCCACAAGCTTCTTTTCCAGTAAAGATATTTAATTTGACTTTTTTCCATCATGCATCGCCGTCATTACCTGACAGGTTTTTTGTTCAGTTTTGGGTTTCTTGTCATGTTTCTTTCTTTCTTTTCCGTGTCTCCGTTTTCTCTCCTCATTCATTCCCTCCATAACTTGTGAGCTGTCGGCATGGGTGCAGCCCCCTCCCCTCCTCTTCTTCGTGCTCTTCCTCCACTTTTCAAAGTTTGATTCGGGCCGTAACCCCCCCCCTCCTTCCCTTCAGATGGTGCTGTCCTCGTTCAAACACGGGCTGCTCAGCGGCTGGTGGCTAGAGCAGGTCAATGTGGTGCGCTGGGAGGGTGTGTTTCGCTGTCTCCCCATCTGTGGGATGGCCTTCGCCTGTCAGTCGTAAGTACTACTCCCGTCCCTCCACTCGCACAGGACCAATGAAAGAAATACAAGACCAAAAGATAATTCAGAGTAAGGAGAATCTAAAGCATGACAGTCAAACGGAGGTTCTCCGCTGTCAAACTCCTGCAGCTGCAGAATGAACAAAATCTTCAGTTGCTATGCATTGAAAATTATGCATGTCTGTTTGCATCATCCCTGTGAGCCACAGCTCAGGTTTCAGGGCGAATGTGTCACAAAGTGATGCTCAGATTTGTGGTGGAGTCAATGGGCTGTTGAATGACTACAAGCTGTAATTGAGGCCGTCTGCTTAATTTTGATAACATGCTATTTGCTCTCAGCTCATCTAAGACATAACCCCATCTCATCCCCAAATGTACCTGACCCCAGTTCTTCCCTTCTTTGTCCACGATTCTGCTTTTTTATTCTCTCATATGATCTGAGTGAAAAAAATGAATCAACTGCTTCCAAAAGAAAACTTTTGTCTCAAGTTTTTAAAATACTGAAAGTAGTTTTGGCAAACAAACCTACAGAGCCAACTTTAACGTCAAAGTAACAAAGCTAACCATGCTCATTTCAAAATGTTAGCAAACCAAACTCACTGTTCAATATATGCTCACAAAAGTAGGAAGTAAGAGCTTTTTGGTGTTTTTTTTTCCAGTTGTTTTAAGTTCAGATCTGGGATGTCAGAATATACATGGAAGCAGACCGAGTGCATATTCGGTATCAGTTAATCTCCCACAGCAGCTGCAGATATTCACACACATCACTTTTCAGACTTTCTAAGAGCCACTGTCTTAATCCATCCTTCGTTTCCATCCACCTGCATGCTCTGTCACTGCCTCTTTTGTCCTGTCCTTTTACACTTGCAGCGCTTGCCTTGCTCTTGGTTTGAAGTGGATGAGGGGTAATTGTTGGCGGTCTGATTGGGCTCTTGGTGTACAAAGTCTTATCTATGGTTCGAACACTGCACTTCAGAAGGGAGTGTGGGGAGTGTTACAGTAAGGTCATTAAGAGCCAGATGTTTGGCTGGTGGCGCTGTATGGGTTTGTTTGTGTGAGAGAGAATGAGGTAAGTGGTAGGAGTGGGTGACTGCAGCCTCGAAACTGCAACGGCACTTTAATTAATCTAATCGTACAAAGCCAACACAATATTATAGTACGGCAGGCCTTTTCATTAGTAAAGGAGCGAGGTTTGTGCCTGTTAGAGAAAGAAGTGGGCTTCCACTAGCAGTGCTGAGTGATATTTGGCAGGGTGGTTTCTTGGCCTGCGGTCAGGCCGTGCGAGGCGCCCCGTTAAGCCAAACCACTAATCAACACATTGGACTGCCGCCATCTTACAGACACACACTGATGTATTCACGGGCTGATTAAACAGCTCTCAGCACATTGGACTTTTATTACATTCATGAAATGTGTTTACTTTCAGTTAAAACATTACTTAACATCACCATTATGACGGGGATGGGAGTTGGCCCTGTTGTCTTTTGGCTGCACGGTTTGAATAGTGAGAAGCAGTTAGCTCATAATGGAGGGACACAAGAAAAACACGTAATGCCAAATTGTCCCTCTGCGATGCTTCTGTCAGCATGTTTGAACTCCAAGAGCTAATGATAGTATCTACCGCACACACTCAAGTCCCCCGAACACTCCTCCATGAGAGCTCTGTCGACCCTCTCTGTCATATTTCCTTCATTTAAGGGCAGCAAAAATCACATTAGCCTCTGAGTCAGGACTGTTGAGTGACCATTAGATGCTCTGAGTCTCTGCTCGCAATGAGCACTTTTATTTAACCTTGGCTATCAGATTTACTGGTTTGTGGATTAAACAAGCATTGAAGAATAGCACCACGGGACAGGGATCGCTCATAAAACCAGAGCGTGTGAAAGTGAGAGAATAAGAGGCAGAGAAAGTAACAGTTTCTCTCTCTCTCTTTCTCTGAGGTCTTTCCTGTTTCTTGCTCTCTCACATATTGCGTCTATAGGAAAGTTTACTGTGCTTTTAAACCCACCAGGCATTCTTTGTTATTTACAAAGCCTGTAAATACACAGGTTAATGTACTGTCACCCCCCTCCATACTGCTGCACTCTCACAGAACATAGAGGAGCAGAGGGAGAAGGATACCTACAGTTACAGACCGACGGCTCGTCTTGACTACTGTCACCCCCTCTGTGCCACACACACGCGCACATTTTTATATGTAGACAAACACTTTCCACATACTCCACCCCCACTGCCATTGCATTACATCTATTTACTGCCATGTGATATCACTGTTATGATCAGTAAAGCTGAAAGAGTTGATGCATCTGTGTGCATGTCAGAAGTTTACTTTCAAATACAACTTGTACACGGGTGCTCTTTATGTCCTCATCTACAAGCATCTAAATAATGCTTGGGTAGATTTTGCAAGTAATAATCAATCAAACTATTTGATACCGAAATGATCCAATTTATGCAATTCCAGGACTGTTTGTCAAATGACTGGATAAACAGTGCCATGAAAAAGGAATTCTATTAATGAAACAAAACCAGGGCATTAGAGAAAAACAGCAAATTTCTCATTGAAAAGAAAGAAATTTGAGGGGTAATGTTTAGTGAGCAGAAGGTGATGCAAATAACAATCCCAACAGGGGGGAGTGTCTCACTCTGAGGGGATTATAAATTGCAGAACTTCTTGCTTACTGTTCATGATCCAGTTTATTACCTGGTGACTAATTAAATATACGTACACTAACGAGTCTTCACTAGCTCTTGATTTAAAGACGAAATACTTCATTTTAAAAGGATTTATTTATACAGCTGAATAAAGAAGACTCACAGATTTACAGCTATTTACTGTGAATTGACAGTTTGATGTTGCCCAAAAAATTCAGTTATTCTCTGATATATTCTCTGATTTAAAAAACAAAAACTGATGTTGTTGCTTCAGTGTCAATGCAGGAAGACCAAATGTGCCAAAACTCTTCTGCGGATCAGTTTGATATGCCACATGTCATCTTGTTGTTCCTGGTGTCGCTCTTATAATTCAGAACTAGTAACAGTAGTTATGGAGTTTTGACCAATCAGAATCAAGTATTTAAACGCTATTTGATTAGTCAGAGAGCCGGGTAAGGGGACGCAACTTTTTCCATAATGTAGGGGAGTGAAAAATTGTTAAAAACTGGTTTCTTACCATCTTTAAGCTCTAACACAAAAACAACGATATTTCTTCAGCAAGCTAGTGTAACATGCTGTATCTAGTTTTTTATTTGCTTGTATGGCTTTACAATAGATAAATATTTACACAAGTTGGAGTCTGCTCATGAAAACAGTCTGTTTATTTACCTTATTAGCAATAAACATGAAAGACTTCACAACCAGACAGAAATTACAAGCACTAATTAGGTGCGATGCTGTTGACAGAATCAAGATGTGAAATCATTGAATGTCTAAACAAGTGAAAAGAAATCGCACGTCAGGTTTTGAACAATGCGATTTCAGGGAAATTCTTTATTATATCACTGATTGGAATAAATAGACCTTCATGTGTCTGCACATAAACAATCATCTGTTTTTAGCACTTGCGGCAGTTTCTTCACTGTCACATGATCTCTGCTGGGATCTGTAACACTCCTGTACAAGTTGTAAAACTAGAACTTCAGACAGCACATGAATGCACAGCAGCAGCAGAAGTTGTGTGGTCTTTTATCATGTGCCACACAAAAGTGTGTTGTTGTTTTGGACTTGTCCCTCACAGGCAGGTGCTGCCAACGTACGACAGCCTGGATGAGCCGTCTGTAAAACGCATGAGCACCATCTTCACCTCCGCCCTCAATGTAGTCACCATCTTCTATATTACAGTGAGTAGAAACACACAACAGCCAACATGAAGACTTTTAGTGTTTAATTCTGTGAATATAAATCTCTCATAAACACACACCTTTTACTTAAAAAGGCAACAAGTCACCTAATCTCAATCTCTTTTCCTTCCTTCCTCTCCGTGGACCAGGTGGGTTTCTTTGGCTACGTCAGCTTCACAGAAAACATCGCCGGCAACGTGCTGATGAACTTCCCGTCTAACTTGGTGACAGAGATGATCCGCGTCGGCTTCATGATGTCCGTGGCTGTTGGATTCCCTATGATGATCCTGCCCTGCCGCCAGGCCATCAACACCATGCTGTTTGAGCAGCAGGTAAGCTCCACTGATGCTATTATGAAGTGTGAAGTGAAGGCAGATAGTGTTGTCACCGTTGCTTGAGTTAGTAAAACGAGATATAACAGCTTTTTTGTTAGTGCAGGCCCAAAATAACATCTAGTTTCTGAGCTGTAGTGCATAGATAGATAGTAATAAATAAAAACTAAATACTAGATGACCTTTTGAGACACAACAAATGAGATTACAGACAACTGAATTTTCCTTTCGGGATAAATAAAGTTATTCTTAATGCCATATTGCTTTCACACCCTTCTCTCTGGATTTAAACAAACTCAGATGACAGATGACATCTTGTAGCGTTGCACGGTTTGGTAGAATTTGACCTAGAAAATGTTGATGGAGATGTTTGTTGGCTATCTGGTCAAGTCTATCAAGCACGGAGGCATAGCAGGCAAGCAAAGATGACCGAAAAACAAAGTGAATCCTTAATGTTGCGTGTTTCCTGCTTCTTATATATGTTTATACATATATAAGTTAATGTATATGAAGTAGAAGGTAAACATATTGAAAAAGAAACAAATCAGTGCCCCCATTTTCTCTGTAATTTCAAAACAATAAATTCAGAAACACGTGAACAGAGCACCCTGGAAACAGTCTATGAAAACTGTCAAGATATCATGTAAACACATCTGAAACCATACAACTCGAAAAGTTTTACAGCTTTTTTTGCCTTTCTTAGACAGGTCAGCTAAAGAGAGTCAGAAAATCAGAGGTTGGCCTGAGCAGTAGCACTACTGTTACTAATGTGATAAGACACAAGGTTATATTAAGCCAAGGAATGAGTTTTGTCACACAGGTCAATACATCAAAAGTACTGAGTAGTACAAGCTTTTCAGAAAACATCAAAATGCTTCTGTTGAAAATAGAAAAAAAACCGTCCTTTCATTGTAAGTTTCGGATTTAATTTCGGCTCCTTTTGATTTTCATTCCTCTCCATTATGCTTCTTTGTGTTTCCGTCTCATAGCAGAAGGATGGGACGTTTGCTGCTGGAGGGTACATGCCTCCTCTGCGCTTCAAGATGATCACACTCTGCATTGTGTTTGGCACCATGCTGGGAGGCATTCTCATCCCCAACGGTACATCCTGCCAGTGTGTGTGTGTGTGTGTGTGTGTGTGTGTGTGTGTGTGTGTGTGTGTGTGTGTGTGTGTGTGTGTGTGTGTGTGTGTGTGTGTGTGTGTGTGTGTGTGTGTGTGTGTGTGAAAAATCATGCACGGGTTGAATGGATGGAGATTGTCTGTGTGTGCCAATTGTGTACAGTTTTTTGGCTGGAGGTCTTTGAGGTGCGTGTGTTCCTTTATGTGGGCGGGGTAGCTGTGGAGCTTTACGACGTGTGTGAATGTGACTTTACGAGTCAGTGACTGTCACACTCTAACACAGTCCTTAAATCAGGACCCTAACTTTTATCTCCTTTTAGACGGGCAGACGGGAAGATAGGGCTATTATTCTTCCAGACTCTCACTAACCCCCCACCCCCACTCCCACACACGTACACACACACACACACACAAATCCATGTAAACACTTTCATTGGTTCTCAGTCAGAGTCTCTTGTCCTTTCCGCAAACGGCTCCAAAATGATGGAGATGTAAAGGTTAGCATGAGTTTATGTTTTATTCATCCTTTTATATGGCAACTGTTTGTTAAACTTTGATTGGGTGGACACTCACACACATGCACACACTCAGACACACACATGCACAGAGGTTTTGGCCTGCTCTCTGTGTATCTAATCAGACTAATAGACTGAGGAGAAGGGAGGTAAGGACCCTGGAGAGAATGGACACTAAATCTGAGGGAGACAATATGGTGTCCGTCCTGGATGAACGATGGGCTTCCAGGCCCGACGCCCAGCCGGCTCAGTCCACATGGACGGGCGGGGGCAGAGCTCTCCACTGCCAGGAGCAGGGTGCCATGGTTGGTGGAATGGAGCTGGGCAGGTGCCAGATATAAATAACAGCTCCAGGTATGAATGAAACCAGTGAAAAAAAGCAGATAGACATCAGCGCACTGAGGAGAACATGGCTGTTTTTAGCAGAGGTCAAGGAGAGGAGGAAACTCACCTTTAACTTTGACAGTGTTGGTGCTGTGTTTTATCATGTAAATGTTGTAAATGTTTCTTTCTTTCTTTCTTTCTTTCTTTCTTTCTTTCTTTCTGTCTTTAGTTGAAACTATTCTGGGTCTGACTGGAGCCACCATGGGCAGCCTCATCTGCTTTATTTGTCCCGCTCTCATCTTCAGAAAGATCCAGAAGAACGGCATCATTGCTCAGGTGAGACATGAAGACTTTTGTCTCCTCTCTGAATTATCAATCAATCATGTTATTCCCTGTTTCTATCTATTGATCCTCTCCCCTCTCATGCCTTGTAGCTGGTGCTGTGCGTGGGTCTGGGCATCCTGCTGATCAGCACCTTTACCACCCTCTCCATTTCGGCCAGCAGTCCCAAAACCAAGTTGCAACCTCCTCCTCCTCCAGCACCTGGCAAGAGCAACCCACTGCTGCCGGACCTCCCTGAACCACATGGTAAAAATCATGACATGCACTAAAGGCATGCAATCACCTACTTGATGGGATGTAGATTAAAGTGGTGAACTAATGAGCCGTGGGAACATTTGCCTCAACACTGTGTAGCTGGGATCAGCGACTGAGATCCAACAACAGTTCTGCATGTAGTTATTTGATATCAAAGGCCCCAGCGTCATGAGAGACGTGTTAAAATTTAGTTTTACTTTAACAGTCTTAGATTATCTGCAGCACCCTAAAATGGCAACATATATATGTATGAGGAAGATGAGGCAGCAGCAGGCAGAGAGATTAGAAAAAAGCACAAAGCCATGGCCAAAGAAAAGCTCTTTCTTTTTGTGAGAAGAAAAGATGGAGATGGACAGAGTGACAGATAGACAGACAGGCCGGGTGAGGAGATAACCTCTTGATAATATCTGAGAGCAGCGCTGAGTGCTTGACATTGATGGAGTGAGAGTGATGCCCTTCAAACTCGAGTAATCCCCCCACCAACCTCTGTTCATTTCTCCTGATTTCCCCTCCCCCCCAAAAATACAATGTCTGGACCCCCGTCTCTCCCTCAGATCTCCAGCGTCAGCTATTAAATGTCTGCAAGCTCCAGCAGCAAAAAAAAAGAAGAGGGTGAGACAGGTTTAGGAAGAGAAGAGAGGCAGAGAATAGAGATTGAACATAAAGGAACCATTCATGCAAATGTTATCTGTTTGCTTTCACTCCTCTCACTTCCTCCCAGGGTGAAACTTATGTGGTCTAACCTCTGTACCTGTTTCCTGTTTATCATTTTCCACTTTCATTCACCTCCTTCCACCACCTCTTCTGTCTTTGTCATTTGTTACATAGCAGTAGTGTCAGTTTCGCTGTTGCCAGTATTTGCCGCCACCTAGTGGATCTCCTCATCAATAACAGTCTGTTGAGAATCCGGCAAAGCTGTGTAGATCAGTGAGCATAATTTGGATGATAAACAAGAGTTGTTAATTTATTTTACTGCCTGCAGTTAATGCGTGTAATAAACACGACTGCATAAAGAAGTAGAGAGTGCACATCAGGGCAAGATTGAAAAAGTGTTGCAAGTGAACACGGCCGTTTAATTTTTCTCAAACTGAAGATGCAGAGGAGTAAATGAGGTGGCACATTTATGGTTCTTTAATTTAGTCACAGCAGTGTGTCTTAATATTTTCCTGTGTGTCTTTGTACACTAGCTGTGCCAGAAATTGCAGCAGAGACAAATAAAATCTTGACAGTAGCCGCACTAAACCAGAGTTACAAAGACCTGAAGGGGGAAAGTTTGTTTTTAACGGTTGAATAAATCTGTTACTAAAAGCCTTCTTTGTCTTTACAGGTAAAAGTGTCCTGGAGTATTTAACATTTGGATAAGTATTTTAAAGTTGCTGCAATAAGTTGTGTTTATGTGTGTCTGCTTGTAGATGTCGCTCTAAACAAGAAGCCAGTGGAGATGGAGAAGCCTGCCCCTCCAGTTGCGGAGGTGGTTAAACCTGCAGACGCTGAACCCCCCCAGATTAAAGTACCAGTGGAGGTAGTGGAGAGGAAGAAAGAAGAGGAGGAGGTGCAGCTGGACCGCCCTGACGCTGGTAAGGTGACAAAACCATGGTTCAGATCTCAGCTGGTTTCACAAAACAAGTACCAGAAATAGTGCCAACTTTCACTTTCTACTCAGGTGTTGCAGTTCCTGAAGGGGAGGCCCATCGCCATGAACCTCCCATCCCTCATGATGCGGTCGTAGTGGATGCAAGGAAGAACAACGCAGAGCTGGAGGAGGATAAAAAACAGCCTGCTCTTCCCGCAGCAGAGGCACATGAGGCACATGAGGCACATGCAGCGGAGTCAGAGAGCAAAAAAGAAGAGAAAGAGAACCCAAAGCCCGCAGAAGCTGTCGTAAAGAAAGAGGAGGTGGATTTGGGTGATGACAAAGTCCTGTCCAATGAGGTGCTGGAGAAGCAGGCTGCAGACTTAGGCAAAAAGCAAGAAGTTCCTCCGCTGAAGAAAGCAGAGGAGCCGAACCCTGTGAAAGATCCTGTGAATGTAGCTGTAGGGGAAAACAAAGCAGCAGCTGTACAAGGAGAAAATGTGGCCAAGGCTCCTGACGGCGCAGGAAAGCGTGAGTGTTTGTCACTGGACTCCTTTTGCTGAAATTGAAGCTGTGTGGAACAAAAGACACTGATCATGTTATATATATATTTACCTTTAAGATCCTGTTCCTGAAGGAGAGCATCAACCTGCTGGAGAAAAGGTTCCAGCTGCAGACAGCAAGGACACTGCAGATGAGAAGCTTGAAGGTGGGTGTGATAAAAACAAAAAACAAGAGTAGACTGAACTTTTTGTTACATTATTTACAGACACCCGACACTGTGCAGCACTTGGCAACAGTGGTGAGGAGAAAACTTCCATATAACAGACAGAAGATTCGAGCAGAACCAGACTGGTTGTTTAACATCCATCCACTGTGACTAGACGGGCTGAAAAAGTGGGTTAAAGAGGGAGAAAGAAATGAAGAGCTGGATAGAGACAAAGAAACAGAAGCGACACCAACAGTTCAAGCTAATTTATTACCACAATGCTGCGAGTACCAGTAAAAGTATACGTAAAATTAGCAGGAGGATGATCGACTGATCGTAACGCTCCAAAGAGTGAAAGTCATCAGGTCTTATAATAGCATCAGTGGGTATAATGATAATGTTACGAGCGAAAATGCGTCATTCATTTGATCAAACTGTCAAAACTGAGCACGGCTGATTCAACATGGCCGACCACAGGTTCACAGAGTCTGCAGGTCAACAAAGTCAAACTGGTTTGCTAACCCTGAGGAGCTGATGCGACCAGTCTTCAGACTCTCTTGCAGGTTGATCTCTGACATTGCTCCAGTCTTGTGATTATTTGTTTATCATTTTTTTCCCCCATTTTTTAATCAAAATGCTGCCAAACTGTGTTGTGCTGGTTTACATCCTGGTTGTAGAGCATTTTAGGCGGTATGGCAGTATGTGTTACCTGGAGTTACAGGGGTGGATGTCTGTGCAACAGCTCGGACACAACATATGACCAACATATCAGACCTGCGACAATAAAACAGATGATTTGATGAATTTACTGAAAATTCTGGTGCTGACTAGCAAGGATGATGTTTAATCTTTGGGTTGACTAATCACACACAATCCACAGTTTGAAGAACACTAAAGCTTAGGGAAGAAGTATCTTAAATATAACAGACTTAAAAGATAATTATATAAAAAAAAACTTATACAGTGGCCAAAGAAAGTATAGTTGAATGTTATTTAAAATGTTAGTGGTTATAAAAGTATAAAGATAAAAGCACTGTTCAAAAGTAAAACCTTGTAGCCTTCTCCTCTGTTTCTTATCTAAGTTAACTTGTTTTTTCTTATGTAGAGTAATCTCTGTTATTTCTTCTTGTTTTTATTTTCATTTTTATTTATTTTTTTATTTCTATGGTATGTATGATGTCAAGCACAGCAGTGATGTGATTCTGGTCCATTTCTTTCTCTTGGCTTTTTGTTGACTTTCTCGTTCTGTTTACTTTTGCCCTCTCTCTCTCTCTCTGTCTCTCGCTCTCTCTCTCTCTCTCTTTTTCTTCCTTTCTTTGCTGGACTCCTGTCACAGTGATTAAAAAGCTGGTCGCAGGTATGAATTCCCTCTTTCCTCTTTTCCCAATCTCCCTGTCGCTCTGTCATTCAAGCAGTGGACTACACATCAGTGATAAGAGAATGGATAAATACCATACAACATCTTATTTTTGTGATAACTTACTGTGTTGATGTAGAATCCACTCACTCACCTCCCCTCCTAACATAGTTTGTGTGTCTACAGCTGCTCGTCCCAGTTTCTGAGTTTGGACCAACGACAGTAATCAGCCATAGTGGCGAATATGTCTGTTTCCCTTCCCCTCTCACCTAGACACCGGTCCTACGTCCACCTTACTAAACTTCTTAGCGAATCATGTGTTTTACGAACACTTTGTTATCGACTAAATTCTCATGTCTATCATGCAGAGGGCCAGCTGGACCATGCTGTCCTGCTGCAGGTGATCAAGGAGCAGCAAGTGCAGCAGAAGAGACTTCTAGACCAGCAGGAGAAACTTTTGGCTGTTATCGAGGAGCAACACAAGGAGATCCACCAGAAACAGCCTGCTGGTGTGTTTGCACAAAATGTTTTGCAGACACAGAGCACAAGTAAGAGAAAAATGTGTGGTAGTGCTCAGCTAAAGACGTGATTTTGTTTATTATTGTAGGGGTTGGTGAAGGCGAGGCAGAGAAGAGTGCCCAGGATGGAGCGGTGGAGGTAGGAGGAGCAGCAGCAAAACCTAAAGAGGCCGGCCTGGCATCAGATGTGAAGCAGCCCAAGGAGGGAGCTGGAGCTGAGGCTGCAGCTGCAGCTGTACAGGCCAGAGCAGAGGAGCCTCATGCTGTAGCCCAGAATCAGGGCCAGGCAGGTGGTCAGGGCGCTCCTAAATCCGTCGCTCAAGCACCTTATAAAGAGGATGGCGCTGATGCAGCAGGAGGGGGCGAGCCCCTTAAGCAGAGCGAGCTGGGGGCAAGGGGAGTCCCGCTAGGAAAGGTAAAACCTGAAGACCACCAGCCTGTGCCTCCAAATGATCAGGTAGCTCAGGTTAAAGCAGAAGAAAGAAGTTTAGATAAGGAGAAGGAACAACTGGACAGGGAGGCTCAGGAGAAACTGGAAAAAGAAAAGCTAGAGAGAGAGAGAAGAGAAAAACTGCTAAGAGAACAGGAATTAGAAAAGAAGCAAGCCGAGAAGGAGAGGATACAAAAAGAAGTGGAGGCCAGAGTGGAGAAAGAGCGACTGGAAAGAGAGAAGCGGGAGAGGCTAGCTTTGGAACAACAGCTGGAGAAAGAGCGACTGGAAAGGGAGAAGCGGGAGAGGCTAGCTTTGGAACAACAGCTGGAGAAAGAGCGACTGGAAAGGGAGAAGCGGGAGAGGCTAGCTTTGGAACAACAGCTGGAGAAAGAGAAAGCGCTGAAGGAGAAACTGGCAGCTGAAGAGAGACTGAAGCAGAAGATCCAGAAATCAGACAATGAAATACTGGAGAGGAAAAGAGTCAAGGAAGAGGAGGGGGCTAAGAAGAAGCTGGCCCAGGTGGACCGAGACATTGAAGCACGAGTTGCGGCACAGGGGGCTGAAGGAGCAGATGGAGAGGCTTTGAAGAACGGAGGACGAGACCTCAAAGAGAATGTTGCAGTTCAGGCTGACCCAAGAGGAGGAGCAGAAGACCCAGCCGTCAAAGCCAAAGTTCAGCCTCAGGGCTCCCACGAGAAGGTCAGGGAGCAGGGAGAGACGGATCTGAGGAGAAGGCGCAGGGCACTGGGACCCTCTCAGGCTGAAAAGGCCTCGAAGGAGACTGGGGCGTCCAGGGGGGTGCCTGGGCTTGAGCCCCTACTAGAGCTGGGGGGCTCAGACCTGCACGCGGCCCTGGAGGAGCAGCTACTGGCAGGGGCTATGGTGCACTCACGGCAGATTAAACAAGCCTCAGAGGACAGGGGAGAGAAATAACACAAACCAAACATTCACAGATAACTAAACTACACCTGCAAAAAGCCTGAAAAACTGTGGACCATGATACTGTAGCTGAAATTCTTTCTCCACTTAAGACGTGTTTTGAATTAAGAGGATTATTTTCTCTTGCACAATACTGTGTACTCCAAAAATAACCCAAAGTCTTTATTCAAGAGCAAAGTGTCTGTAAATATTAACTTATTTTTGACTGTAAGGGGGAGAAGTGTAAGAGGTTACTGTTGAAATGTACATAAATCTATGCAAAAACCAACCTGTATTGAATATTTGGTCAGGGAGAAGATATTGATGTTTGTATGAGTTTCTCTTGGTTCACCAGCTTTGTAGGATGTTTGTGTTTTATTGTGTGAGTTTTTATGTTTAAATTGTGGTCACTTCAATATGTCTGTTACTTCCTACTGTAAATAATGTAAATTCAAGCTTTGGTTGATGTTTAGGGATTCTTTGGACCTTAATCTTACCACATATTGGATGTATTATGGGTTTAAGCGCCTTAGTAAGTGTTGTTTCTCTATGCTTTCAAATGAAAGTAACTGAATTTAGCCTCACGCTTGAGCTACGAGGTTTATTATATTGTAGCCTTACTGTTTGATCGACTGTGGACAAAGAAGCAGCTCAATACATCTCAGTCCCTAATTGTGCTTACTTATCATTCCATCGTGAGCATCTCCTCTGTATTACCAGTGCCTTTGATTCACAGTGGTGATATATCAGACTAACTTTTTACGTTTTAATCATTACTGTATCAGACACACATGGTTTGTACATTGTGTTAAGGTAAATATGAACCATGTTTGTGGTGTTTCTTTGTCACACAACTCCTCCGACTCCACCAATTAGCACTTCCACACATGCTGGACCATCGCTTTTTACTAGAGGCTATTTTTACGACTATTTTTCTATGTGAATTGTCTCTCTGTACATTTTGCATATAAGAATAAATGAAACATCTTTATTGCGTCATTTTCTGTTGGTCTGTTTTTACACCGTAGGTGAGGAAAAATTCCTAAGTGTTTTATAATAATGATATTTATTCACCTTTGTACAATACTATATTTCATCAATTATTTTCAACACGTTCCTCTTCATATTCAGTTCACTTTAACTGCAAAATGGCAAAGTAGGAAAAAGTAAATGGCTGTTAAATCCAAACTCCACGTCCTCTCCAGCAGCACCTAATAGTCGGTCCAGCAGCTGAGTCCTTCGTTGTGCTTCAATTTAGTTCATTTGGGTTTTTTCTTGGCCTGTAACAGAAACAAATGTTGAAAAAAAATTTTTTAAACATTTATGGCTACAGTATGAAAACAACAGGATTACTAACTGTCACTTACTGCATTTACGAAGCAGGTCTTCAGTGCTTCAAACTCCTTTGCACAAAGGTCTTTCTTCAGTTCCTGGCTGCTTGATGTAGTAGCAGCCACACACTTACCATATGCTGCTGCCTGAATCACACACAAGACAACAGAAAAGGAAAACTAATATAACTACCACTTGTTTCAATCAAATTCACACTTTAAAATGACTCATTTATACACTACTGTACTCCTATACTGACTTCATCTATACACAGATCCTCTCACTTCTACCATAGTGCTTTGCATAGACAGTCTGTCCTGTAGCATTTGTTTTTTAAAGATTAATCCGGCTTTTTCTAAAACCATAGTTTCATTTTTCCATCATCCATAACATTAAGTCCTGATATGGATAGTTCATTTTTTTATCCTAAATTGTACAATATGTTTAGGGACTTTATACATAAATACTGTACATCACCTGTAATAGGGAGTTAACTTCATTCTACAACCCCTTACTGCACTATAAAAGTGACAACTTAAGCCTGACCTTAATAAACTGTATCCTGTATATTTCGGTCACTGCAGTAGCTAATACGCATTTATTTGGCTGTTTTTGTTTAAGTTTGGTCAGTAGATGGTCACTTTTTGGTCACAGAGCAGTTTTGGCTGCCAGAGTTTATCTAGTAGAGGTACCTCATCATACTGTTACAAAAATAGCTGTTTAAGGTCTTCTGCTTTTATTATGTTTATGGCCAATTTTGTGCAACAGCTGTTCTAAGTGGAATTTTAATGAGTAGCAGAGGCACTTCAAGAGTACGGTGGCCGAGAACTGCCACTGCTGCAAATAAAAAAGAATGCCAAAAAAAAAGAAGCCACAACGGAAGTTACCGATGCAAAAAAAAAAAAAAAAAAAAAGAGGTACTGTGAAAATAAAAGGGTACAAATAAAAAAGCCACAACAAAAGTGAGCTGCCAGGGATCAATAATGATGATGCACCAGTGTTTTACGATCTAGGCACAGGAGATGACAACGAAAAGGCGAGCAAAAAGTAATTGGAAAGGTTACTGTTTAATTTCGCATCATGTACTTTTCAACGTGTCATTTGGTTAGGCCATGTTGCGCCTGAGTCGATAGAAAGTTGCAGTAGAGGATGCCGGTGTAGTGTTAGCTTCAGCTCAATTTCATATCAACTCAGGCGCAACATGGCCTAACCAAATGACACACTGAAAAGTTTATGAAGTGAAATTAAACAATAACTTTTCCACTTACTTCTTCGCTCGTCTTCTCACCGTCGTCTTCTGTGCCTAGATTGTAAAACACCAATGCATCATCATAATTGGTCCCCTGCAGCTCACTTCCATTGTGGCTTTTTTACGTCCTTTTATTTTAGGTAAGTAACTTTTTTTTTCCATCGCCACTTTTTATTGCGCTGTTAACCTCCGTTGTGGCTTTTTTTTTTTTTTTTTTCATATCTGCACCATTTCTTTTATCATTTGCAGCCAGCTTTGGTTTCTTTTTTTGCATCAGTAACTTCTGTTGTGACTTCCTTTTTTTTTTGCTTTTTTTTTTCATTTGCAGCAGTGGCGTTTCTCAGCCACTGTACAAGAATAACTGCTATACAAACTACAGCTTGGCAGATGAAACAACATAAAACTAAAATTACACACTGTGGATTTTTAATATCTAATAAGTGGAAATTTACAATATGCTTAGTTAAAATACGGAAAACATGGAAACTAAAGGAGTTTATCCACTCTTGTTTTAGGCTCTTATTTGTTTGTGTTGATTGCGCCCCCTGCTGGTTCAGTTTAATAACTCCTTATGACCGTAGTTTGGGGAAAGGATATTGATAACCACTGAATAAAACTGTACAGAAGACCAATTTGTCCCTACAAAAATAGCCTTCTATACCCAATAATGGGAAATGCTTTAATTCTGAGATATTCAGAGATGTAGGGGGACTGAGGCTGGAGAGAAAACTGATATGATACAAGATGTTTCTCTGTTACATAAAACTGTACAATGCTTAGTCATAACCTGATGATCCTGACTGTTTAGGATGTGCTTACCTCTGCTGAACACTGCGCCAAAAGTTCCGGGAAAACTCTTAATTTCTCTCGACTACGACTCCAAACATTTGACCCAGACATGACTGCTGTTGGACGTCCCTTAAAGAAGTCCCTTAAATTTCAACTTTCGAGCGCGTTGGTTGACATATAAACCGGTTTCACGCCCAGCTTTGTAACATCTAAAATGTAGAGTTAAACTCATAAAACAGTTGAATGCATCACATCACATTCCAAACTTCACACACTATGGACGGCGCCATATTGTTCACCCTGTCATCAAGGAAACGGACAGCGAGATATTGCCTTAAGTGATTCGCTCTCGTCTCCGTCAATCACTGTGTACACGCTGAATTACCCTGACGCTGATTGGCTGTTCGTCAACCCTGGGCGTAGGCAGAACGCCAATAGAATTTGCCAATGTAGCTTGCTGGCTGGTGATTGGTCAGCTGTCACCTCGTGTCCCACCCTACCTTCTTACCCCAGAGAGGAAGATGAGTAACCCGCAGCCAGGATTGCTAAATCATGGCAACATTTATGGAACGGTTAGCTTTCCTTCAGAAAGTAAGTGTTGTATACAAAGATTATTTGTTGTATAAGCTAAAGAGTAAGAGATTAAAGAGGCACTGCCAATATGACGTGCGGAGACGCCTATGTTTTGAGCTGTTTGAGTAGTGCCATCAGTAGCCTGCTAACTGGAGCTAGCTTACAGTGTGAAAAACAATGAGAATATTCTCTTTATGTTATGATGTAGTTTATTCACATCTTACAGTACTACAACAGGAACATTAGGGCGCTGAGAACCAATACTGATTAAACTGCCTGTTTAGTCTGAAGTAATCTGATGTTGACTCTGGTGTCGTGACACCTTGGTGTTCATATTAGTGTGCTTCATCTCTCAGCTTTAAAGTAAACAACTTTAATCATATTCAGGTGCTTGTCATCAAACTCTCTGACCAACAACTTAAAATGTAATTTCCCCATGTCATTTCCACCCACCAAAGGTCCCAACTCTGATGAAGGCTACTGCAGATGATGAAAACCCCTGTCCTGGCTACCTTTTTCAGGAGATTGGAAGTATCCTTCAGCAGCCTCAGTTTTGGTTCAACCAGCATCTGCATCTTCTAAAGATGACATGACTATGACATAGGATTTTAAACTAATTTAGTTTATGTCCTCTGGATCCTGAATCTACAGTGTCTTAGCATCTTTGTAAGATTTAGGGGTCTGGGTCTTTGTGTCTCTAAGATGTTTTGTCGTGCTGTTAAAGTGTTATGGTTGCAGCCTGCTACTACACAGTTGTTTACTACTTGATGCTAATTCAGCACATGATTGGTTCAGCAGGAAGTGGATCAGGAGCAACTCCCCTGTTCATTGGCTATTTGTATAGTCTACCAAAACATGTCAGAATGCTGACTATTGAAAAGCATTTTGATATTGAGGAAAATTAATTTTCTATATATACTGTTATTGTTTTATCTCCCAACCCTAGCTGAGATCAGTTTCAAAGTTAAGGAATAAGTCACAGACACTCTCAAGTTTATCAGTATTTTGAGCCACAAACAAAGCTTTCCAGAAACCTAAATTTAAGGTAAAAACTAGAATGAGAATCTATTTGGAGCCAAATCCAAAGGCAAGACAGGATAGATGCTCTGAAGACTTTAATATTTTATCAGTTGTTTTGTTGTTCATGTATCAAACCCACTCGATGAGAATGTAAATACTGAATATATGACACTCTTGAGTATTCCCTAACCATCATCACATTGTAGAAATCTCCCATGAGTCTTCTGGTTGTGGTCAGTGTTTGTTGGAGTACCTTCTGGAGAGGCTGCAGGTGGAATCCTGTCACGTCAAAATCAAGGTAAAAACAGTGTTTTCATTTCCAGAATAATGTTATGTTTTCTCTTTTTCTGTACGCTGTTTGAATAACTCAGGATTCTGTTCATGCTTTTTTTTATGTGTCAGGTGCTGAAGATCTTTGTCCATCTTTGCGGTCATGGCTCAAACCATTTCCTCACAGAACTCCGGAGGAACTCCACCTTCATCCAGCAGGCATCAGGTTTGACATTTTAAATGTTGGATTAATTTATACTTGAGTTCTCTCAGACCTCTCCTCTGAGTTGATTCTAACTTACTATTTGGTTTCCTGCTCTTTAAGTGTACAGCGGCCCTCCTGATCCTATCCACGGCACAGCGTTATACCAGAAAGTGAGGAATACAGCACAGGTAAGACACAGGTGTTATCAATCATCAGTCAATTAAATATATTTGACAGGACAGCTGTTCATTTTTTTCCCTTTCTCTTTTCACAGGAAGTAGCCAGGCTACTTTTTACAGAAACACTAACAGCTAAAAGTGACATACTCACTACAAACCAAGTCTCCCAAACAATGGGTGAGTGTTAGATTAAGTGTTTATATAATAATAAAGACAGAACTCTACTTTATTGAAAAAGGCTTTCTCATCAAGACTTGGAGTAACAGATTCAAGTTTTTTAAACTCATTACCTTAATGTTAGAAAATCAAAATAGGATTAATCATACACGAGCTTAAACAACTATATTAAAGCTCTATTCAAAATAACTTGTGTTTTAAAACTCTGTATACAGTATGGGTTCTACGTGTTTCTATCCAGGTATGGGCTCAGGAACTTCCCACAGGTCAGGAATGCAGGGCTTTGGTTACAGTCCGGGAAAGCAGGGGACAGGTGAGTGACACACACGCATACGCACACTCCTCAAAAACACTCGCACACTCTCAGCGAAGCTTCTGCGATTAGGATTCTGTCTTTACCTTTCTGCCTGTCCTGGTTTCTCTCAGCAGGCAGTGACTCACTGCTGGACAAGATCCAGAAAGCTGCAGAGGTCGTGGCTAGTGCTGTGCTTCCTCCCACTGAACACCAGGGCATCCGTCTCCACGACAACCATTACAGGGCTGTGGTTGCGCCCTCTGCACCCATAGAGGTGGCCGTGCCTGCGTGTGCCTACAATCTGCCTGCCCGCAGACCAAAAGGTAAAACATCCATGATTTTGATCTAACCTTTAAAAGCATTAATTCCAGCAAACTGTTAGTCCCCTTGAAAATTTTCAGTGTATTTACCGTAGCTTTTTTTGAGAAAGGTGAAAGAACAGTATATTCAAATAAAATAAGAATTATCACAACACCAAAATATCTATAATTACTCAATCTACACATGCACACACTTAAAGTCATCAATACTATACCTGTCTTACAATTTCATATTGTGATCAAATTTTGTGTAGTTCTCATGTGACAAGTGTATTGTAATTATAGCTGATTCAAAGGAGTTTAAGTTAAACATTTCTGCGCTATGTAGCAAAGTTTAAGTTCACTGTTGTATACAATAGAATCCATTTTCACAGCTCACAGCTTTGAGGTACCTCTGTTAAATTACTTGTTTGTCTCTACCAGTGACAATCTTAATCCTCTAGCAGAAAAGAAAAAAGTACTTCTGCACAAATGTTTTTTTCAAATATTGGTGTATGAATTTACTCAGTCACCTACAATATAGCAAAGTTCACAAGACAGAAAATGGTCTTAACTATTAAAGAGACTCTTCATTTATTTCCTTCACATGATATAGACGTCACTAACGTTGGCTATCAACTGGCTGTACTCTTGATATGACACTCCTGATCATTTGTGGAAAAGTGAGCTACAGTGTATATTCAGAACAGAATAAAATTGCCAATAACTAATAAAGACACATTTCCCCTTATGATGAATATAAATGCAAGAACTCTATAAGATCCTTCAAATAAGCAAAATAACAACTTATCTGTAGGGTCAAATATAAGGCCTGAAAAGAAATAGACACAGGGAGTCGATTAAACATTCAAGTATGAAATAAAGAGAAAGACCATCCTAGCTCGATGCAGTGTGCTTTATGACTTGGGTCAAGATCCCTCATGATGGTGTATATTCTGTTCAGGACTGAGCCAGCGATGCCCAGGTCAGGTAGGAGGCGGCTGGGAGGAGACTGACAGTGGCACATGCTCCTCTCACAACTCCTCTCAGGATATTGTAGCTAACAGCAGAGCCTCTGTGGGCAGCAAGTCAGCTGGGACAGGGAGCCAATCAGGGGCAAGCAGAGAGAGCAGCGGGGACCTATCAGAAAGGTGAGCACCAAAGCTAAACAAGCCTGACTGAATCACAGTGTAGGCACATTCAAGGAGGTGATTAAATGATATCAGACTACATGATGTCTGTCCGGTCTGCAGGGTGGAAGCGTTGCAGTTGGGGGACTGCGGCCAGGAGGTGGCGCTCATCAACAAACTGACTGAGGGATCGAGAGTGTTCCTGACCAGAGAGGAGAGTCAGCACTTTATCAAAGAGTCAGTTCAGCTTGGATCAGCTGTTTATGCTCTTTGTTTCATTGTGAGCTTCATTATTTGTTTCTATGTGCTATATTTATCCTACCAACTCTTTCAGGTGCTCCATTCTTAACTGCGAGGTCGTGCTGGAGTTGCTCTCAGCCAAACTTCAAGATCCTTCAAACATCATCAAGATGGTAAAAACACGAAGGACCCACCAGTTTTGTTTTTGACGTGATGCAACACTTTAATCAATGTCTTTGTTTTCCACCAATTTATCAGCGGGCCCTGTGTGCTGTGTCATGCCTCATGACCTCCGACCTCCTCTCTCTTGAGCAAATGTTCGGAGTGACACAACGAAGACTCAGACAGCTTAGTGAGGGTGCTCCAGGACCTGTGGCCAACAAAGCCACCAAGGTGAAGGGATAGAACTGAGAAAGCTGTGCACGATCCAGCGCTGATAGGACAGAACTAGAACATATAAGCATTGAGGGTGTGTTTACTTTTATTCTTATCTCCTCTAACCAGATCCTCCGCCAATTTGAGGCTCTTGTGGGTGGATGTTTACACCCTCCGAGGCAGGATACAGCAAACAGCAGCCACCAGACACCAACCAATCAGCTTCCAACGTCTACATACTCAGACCCTTTAATACCAACCTGCCCTGCTGTCAACACAAACCTCAACCATCATCAGCCGGATAATTCGCCAGCAGATGTCAACCAAACACCAAATCTCCCATCTTCTTCTTCTGCTCTTGTCACAGACCCGAGAGACTCCTCAGTGGTGTTTGATGACAGTAATGCAGAGAGACTTTCTACAGTTCAAAACGAATTGGTGCAAAACCACGTTGAGTCGGTCAGGACTGCTGAGGATGAATTAGTTCCTGGGGAATCTGAGCTGGATTTAAACAGGGGTTCTTCCCCTCCAGCTGAGTCCCAGAAGGAGCAGCCTTGTCTGAGCAGACTGTCCCTTTTCAGCGGTATGGAGCTGGTAACAAAGTCAAGGCCCCTGTGTGAAAGAGAGACCTCACAGACAGAGACAAACAAATCAGACGACGACTTCAGTGAAAATTTGTCCGTTCAGAACAGTATAAATAAACCCAGTGACAAAAGTCCTTCAGTTTGCAGCTCAGTAGCATCTGTTAGCAGCCAACCATTGTCTGCCTTCTCATTTCTCAACTTTTGACCAACTTTGAACAGCTTGTGCTGTAAGAGTTAATCCAATGATGTCATTATGTCAATCCTGTTAGGAACCTTTTTATTTTTCAAGCTAAAATTAGATGTCTATGGTTTTAACTATATCACAAAAGAAGATTCAAATAACGTTTGGCTGATCTGTTCTTATCTGTTTGGTGCCTCTTTTGGGTTGATAACTTGAGATGGAGAATTCATAATTGTAATCATAAGACTACGGATGTGTGTAAACCAACCACTCCCCTCACATGTAGAATATAAAGACTGGTTTGGAGGCTGCGTTGCAGTTTGGCTGAGGTCTGGTTTACAAAAGTATGTCCTGAGAGCGGTTGTGTTGAATTACAGGTTTTGATTGACAGTTGTTTTATCTCAGGATTCCTTTTAGCCAACTGGAACAACTTGGACACCTCCGCAGCACGCTCTACACCTCTGAGGGATAACCTCTTTTATTTGTACTTTGCACTACAGTTGCTTTTCTTATAAACTACGAAAGGAGTTGTCTTCCATATTTTTTGGTACTAAGCTATTATGTTGATGTAAATATTGTCTAAGTTTACAAATTATTTATTACGTCTACCCTGTATCGATCAGTCCATACCTGTAAGAGTGGTGGAAGAGTGCATGTTAACGATCAAAGCTGTTTGGTGACCTGATGGGGGAAAATATTGAGAATCTGTTGTGTGTAATGTGTGAAAGAACATCTACAATCTGCATAATGCAAACAGTCGGTTGCTCGTGTGACCAAATAAAAGTGGATTATGTTCATTAATAGACCATTGTTAATGCAGAACAAGCTCCATACACACAGAGTAGTAATCCAACCTTCTAATGAATGCAATGTTAACTACTCATGTGTTGTCTCTCAGTGGACATGAGGTGTGCTGTAAAACAATAAAACCTGCTGTATTTTTGTTACAGCGCTCAACACTACATTACCGAGTCATTATTTCACAGACTGCTGCACATCACCAGTGACTTGACTTTCAGCAACGCTTTTATTCCAGTGTCAAATGCTTTTAAATATAACACAAAACATGGCTCACTTTCACATCGCTCGTTTTATTTGCAACACAGTGTGCTGGTCTGATTTCACCATACATGGTGGAGTATGGCTGACAAGCTTACAACACACAGTCACACGCACGTTGTGTAAAAGGTTGAGGGAGTAAACACAAAGTGATTGAGAGAGTCTTTCCTTCAGGCTGTTTTTGTTGTTAAGGAGCACTGAGCTGAGTGTGACGTTGGAGCTGCAGACTGCAGCACGGCTCGAACAGCTCTATAATTAGCCAGAGTCTAATCTGAGGTTGGACTTTGGTGTTGCAGCTCATGATGAATCTGTGTTGCATTACCAAGAACCTGCTGACCTGCAACACTTGAACATTACCGATTCATTTAGATGTGAAATTCAAACTTAATCCTGACTTTACCACTTTGGTTGAAAAAAATTAAAGACCTTATGTAACATTAACTGGATTGTGTTAAGATTGCTCTCATCCTTTCTGCATGGGATTACGACATCTATCTCTAAAGATACAAACATGGGACAAACTTCCCAGGTCAAAGTAAACTGAATGAGGAGTTACTGAGTAAAGTGCTTAGCTTTAACTAAGTTTGCAAGCACTTTGGATCATCACACTTTCCCTGTGATTAGCACCAATGACAATGTCCACGCATTGACGCACGCATGTAAAGAGAATGATGCCTCTTTATAAAGTGCAAAGAGTGCGTGCACACACGCACACACACACAAACGCACATACACATCAATACTGCACAGAAAACCACAGTGGCTGGGCCATGGAAAGGCGAATGTGCTTATGGTCTTGACACTTGTTACATGGCGAGGTGGGGATGAGTCTTTGTGCCCAAAATCGTCGAACCTCCCCACGCACTGTCCCCACTCCATCAGTGTCAGCGCTGATGGTTGAGGAGCAAAAGGACAGGAGAGGGGCCAGAGATCACAGTCATGTCGAGCCTGGATGCCCCCTGGTTTGCAGACTACTGAAGTGCGCCTCCCTCAGGACTCGGTTGATGTGGTCATAAGAGGCACTGCTGCTGTCGCCATGGAAACCATGCTGCGAGGAGCTTGCAGATTCTTCAGGCTGAGGGCTGAGGGAGTTGTGGGTGATGCGGTTGTTCTGGCTGTGTATGCATGGCCTGGCGGTGACCACTATTGCTCTCTCTGGACTGCTTATCCCATTACTGCTGTCGCTGCTGGAAGACTGCGAAAACAGAGCAGAGGTGGGCTCTGCAGTGGAGCTTCATGGTTGGGTGGATGCAGATGCTTTAAATAAAACATTCTGAGCTCTTCCTGAGTGTGGTGTTTGCATATGCAACACAGAGCCTGTATATTTATATGCATGATGCCTGGTTACAGGCTACATTCATACTTGAAAAGTGGCTATGCATTGTAAGCTCAAGGTTAGAAAATAAGAGACAACAGCAGAAAGATTCAACTCACCCCCACACAGATTTTCATCACAGAATAAATGTTAGCACACCTACAGTCAACTGAGTGACGCTCTAAAGCAGTGGTTCTCAAGTCCAGTCCTCCAGGCCCACTGTCCTGCATGTTTTGGATGTTTCCCTGCTCCAACACACCTGATTCAAATGATTAGCTCGTTATTAAGCCATGACAGAGCTTGATAACGAGCTGATCATTTGAATCAGGTGTGTTGGAGCAGGGAAACATCCAAAACATGCAGGACAGTGGGCCTGGAGGACTGGACTTGAGAACCACTGCTCTAAAGATAAGTTTGGAGATGAAATCAGTTGTACCTCTGAATCCAAATCTGACACAAGCAGACTGGAACCCCCGCCTGACTTCTTGGCCTGAGGACTCAGCTGTTGGTCCTCCTCACTGTCACAACTACGGTGTCGTTTCCTGTGCAGAGCAGAAAGGGACAGAAAGTAATAATGAGTATTCTGAGTCAGGAGAGTGATCATAAAAGCGAGAGACATTGTGTAGAATAAAAAGAAAGAGAGAGAGAGAGAGAGAGGGTAGAGATAGAAAAGAGGAAAAGATAACATGAGGGGGAACCAAAAATAGCATCTCACACTCAGGCAGCTACATAATCAGACTTGTGGCAGAACATGTTCATAAGCACTCCTATGCCGGGGTCTATGTAGAGACGAGGGTGGGTTTCATACTGATACTGCAATGGCTGGACTGACACTGCATCATACGTGACTTAGCTTCAGTTTTACCTAATTATCAAGACAAATATTAGACATGACATGGTGTGGATCAATCAGCACTAGAGAAAATTCCTGTTACCTGCCATCAGTCAGCATTTCTGCAGCCTTGGTTGGTGTTTGGCAATAAGAAAGGTTGTCACTCCCTGTGAACTGGATGAATAGATCTCAGTGGATTTGGCTCTGTCACAGCACCACAGCCATAACTACAGCCCTTTTCACTCTCATACCGTCCGAAAACGAGTAATCCAGATGGCTGTTGGAAAGCACAAACCACAGCTGGTACAGGGTAGCTTCAAAGCTGTCACTGCTCTGAGTCCAGTCCGCCCTGCTTGCGCCTCGAAGATGATGATGATGGTACAAACTACAGCTGTGTGTCTGAGAGCTCACCAGCAGACTGACACAGCGATCTATTGATCTGTTTTTGTTAACGTGGATCCCGTACAGCGCAGGACATGTTAGTGATGAGACGAAGCTGCCCCGCTGGTCTCTATCTGCCAACGTTTGATCAGCAAAACGTCAAGCTAACTACTCGAGCTAATGACTGCTGCTGGGTTGTGCTGCTGACTCAAACTTCTTCCGCTTTCGTCCGCTGTGCTGTCAGCCGCAGTTAACTGTTCCCTGGACTTGACAGCAGTCCGGCGCACGAGATTTAACCAGTGAGGTAACCGATATATTTTAAGGTAACAGTGCTCATTACACCGTTAGACATACACTTTAGTCACCGCAGCAGCGAGCCGTCCTGTTTTACTAGTTAAAAACTAGACCTACTTTTCCGTCTACGTGACGTCATTAGAAAAAAATGGGCATTCAGGTGATAGAGGATAAATCGGAAAAACAAGTATCAACAAGGGAAAAGGCGCCCCCCATTCCCTTGTTCATATGTTAACATGAAGAGCGGGCGGAAATTCCGGTACTTGGCATGCTGAATTTACACACTTGTCGACATTGTGCAGAAACATGGCGCGCCGTCATAACAGTTAAGAAAATTATGTTGTGTGGTGTTTTTTTGTTTTTGTTTTTTTTACAATTCGTAGATTGCTTTGATTTTCAATCATGACAACAACCCGCAGTAGTCGGTATTTGAGAGACTCGAGCACAGCTTATTTATGAGTAGAGTGAAAACAGATCTTCAACCTTGTTTCTAGTTTTCTCAGTCTGTTATTCGAAGGACGACTTGGCAAAATGAGAGTACCGAGGATCCGAGGGGTACCTGAATGCAGCGCAAGCGCAGCGTGTGAACAATTTCCGGTGTCAATATAGCCAAATGGTCAACAACTCGTCTTAGGCAGCGCTTCGGATACAATTTATAAGTTATTTTCAGTTGTTAACAGTAAATAAGGTTTTGTAAGAGTCTCGAGAATAAGATTTTACAAATTTAAAACATAAGTGTTGAGATGTATGGTAGATTGTCTTGAATAAGTCCATGTTGTTTCAGTGTTTTCACCACACTGAACAAGTGTCTGTCCTGGTAAGTTTTTACTGTAAACCTTCTAACGTAGTTTATGATATTTAGGATCCCGGATATTGAATCAGCTATTATAAATGCAGTCAATCATAATCAGGTAACCAAAGCGTCGGGTGTTTTGACTGTGGCAGAGATCACCCAATCTATCAAGTAGGGGAGAGTGGGGTAAATTGAGCCAAAGGGTAAGTTGAACCACCCCCTGTTGCTTGGAAATGGTAAAAGAAATTGATAATGTGACCAAATATTAAGGAGATAGGCATCAATTCATGGAGTCTGTGAAGGTTAGAAACACATGGGTGAAGGGGTTAGACATTTATTTACAAAAAACATTTTTCACTCTTGAAAGTGAATTTAGTCTGTCATAGGTTTTATGAGATTTGTGTTCAGACCAAAAAGGATCATTTAAACATTTTTTAGACATCAGTTGTGGTATCTGTGAGCTACAACATGAGGTCAAAAACCTAGCATAAAAGTCCACCATTTTAGCTTCGAGGACTAATAAAGTCATAATAGTAGTTCTGGGGTAAGTTGAGCCATTTGGCTCCACTGAGAAAGTAAAGAAGTCTGATGAGAGGATCAGAGTTTCAGTTCAGATTGTTGAAATGTTTTACTTTTTCTTTTCAAAAATACAGCTGTGAATGTTCTGAATCACTTAAAGACATCCTCATGTTAAAATGACTTTTTACAAAACAGCTTTTTTGCAGTTACATACAATAATAATAAAAAGAATTATTGCAACCGTTGAATGGCATACAACAGATAAAAATACACATGAATGTTAAGAAGTGACTGTTATTTAGGAAGAGGGGAGGTAAGGGAGGGCTGGGGTGAAGAGTGGGGGGGTAGTAGGGATACGGCTCAACTTATACCGTTCCTGTGGTCAACTTACCCCATACACGGAGTAAGTTGACCATAGGAGACCACTTTTTTTGGCATGCTATATTATCAAGACAGTTCTGTTTACACTCATTCTGTTGGTTTGCAGCGATGCACAACATCTTGAAATATATGCAGATACACTAGTGACAGACAAAGGTATGATTGCCTTGATGTAGTGTAGAGTCATCTTACCCCACTCTCCCCTACTAAGTATATTGTTCATTTAAACTTGACTTAATCCTGGATCATGTAAATGTATGCTTCTCTTGTAGATGAAGGTCATCCAGCACTCTGTGCAGACCCTACAGACAGCTTTGATCTCCAAACGCCATGACTTGGTTGAACTTTACAGCAAGTACACGAGGGAAGAGCGTCGCCTTCTGGAGGAGGGATTCCAAGCCGATCAGCTAGGTTCACTTTTCCAGCCCATCACAGTGCACTCTGATTCTGACTGGATCCCTGCTCACCCCGAGGAACCCCAAGACTTTGAGAGCTTTTACAGAGACCCATACCGCAAGACTCCTGATTCCAACCACAGTACTATTTATATTCAAACCATCGGTGAGTCTGTTCATGCCAAGTACTGCCACAACTTTTGTGTTCCTCAGTGAAGAATGAGTGAAGTGTGTTTAAGTTATCTCCCAATGACCAATACAGCATTAGAGGCAGTTGATATAGAACTATAAACATAGTTTATGTTACAGAATAACTCAAATTCAAATTACATTCAATCTTGAGTGGGATTTTCAACACCCTTTTTTCCTTGTAGGTTCGTTTGGGGAAGCTGGGGCCCAGACAGACCAGTACGTGGAATGGCTCAGAGACTACTGCCAAGCTTTTTTCTATGGGCTCTCTGTCAAGCTGCTGCCACCAGTTACTGTGGCTGAAACAAGATGCTCTTTCAGAATCAACAGTAACTCATGCAACCTTCAGATTCTTACAGGTAAGCTAGGTCTGGCCTGCTCATGTGCTGGAGTATTTTGGCTGCTTTCCATGCAGAAATGTAAGAGAACTGATGCTTAATGTTTTGAAAGTTACACAAAACATGCTTAATTTTGCTTTGTTTTCATTTTCTCTTGGACTGTAGGTGACCTGCTACGATTCCTTGAGAAAAGGAAACCAAAAGATGCTTTCTGTATAGTTGGGTTAACTATGATAGACCTCTACCCCAAAGACTCCTGGAACTTTGTCTTTGGGCAGGCTTCACTCAGTTCCGGTGAGGTTTAACCACACGCCCTTGGCATAGTATCTCAACATACAGCACATCTGCTGTTAAAAAACATTATGTTTCTAGGAAGAGATCAATAATCCCTGTATTGCTATTACTTGTACCATGCAGTGTGATTGAGCTGCCACTAGATGGTGCAAAAGTCGTTTATTTACAACACTGGGCATTTTGTTAACTTCACTGTTGTTTCTCTGTTGTGCTTGCAGGAATGGGTGTTTTTAGCTTTGCCCGGTATGATGACAACTTCTACAGCAGAAATTATGCAGGGAGGCTGAGGAAACAGCTCCAGCCAAAGCAAGGGGACTACTCTGTGTTTGATGGATACTACACTCCCCCTATCAGCAGCACTCTGCTCCTTCGATCCTGCAAGGTCTTGAACATATTTTCTCCTCTGGTTACAAACACTCTGTTCCATGAACTTTCAGCTAGTTTTACTAAAGACCCTTTATCCCTGTAATCAATACCATTGATAAGGAGAAAAAAACAACTGGTGGTTGATTATTTTTTTTTTGTATGTGTGTGGGCTTGACTGTTTTGGTTATTCAACAACACTGCTCTTAATGTCTCTTTTCAGACCATGACCCATGAAATTGGCCACATGTTTGGCATATTGCATTGCCAGTGGTTGAACTGTGTCATGCAGGGCTCCAACCACCTGGAGGAGTCTGACCGAAGGCCCCTTGATTTCTGTCCTGTCTGCCTTCGCAAGATACAAGTCGCAATCGGCTTTGAAATAGCCGAAAGATATCAGGTAAAAGAAAATGATGTGAGAGGAGTATATTATTGTGATTACTAAACAAAATGTATCATCCGTGTACTGAGATGCGAGCATATATGAACAGTACAACTACAGAAATCCTGTTCAGACGTCACAATAAAATTGTTATCACAACCTTCCTAAAACAGCAAATATTTGAAATACTCCATGCTTGCTCATTTGTTTTGTAACTTGATCCTGGGTCAGTGAGTCCAGCCACTCATGCCAAAGTAATCCTGGTTATTACAACGCACTTTCTAGAAACACCCATACAACCCACAGAGAACTGCCTCACACGCAAAAGTTCAGCTTCATTGTTTGGAACTAGTTCTCAATAAAAGACATCTGCCATACAAAATCAGACTGTTTCCTAATGATAGATAGTATCTTAAAATTTACATACAGTATTAAAGTTTTAGAAAGTACTTCAACCTCTCTTTTATTTCAAAATCATTTAGTGAAAATAAATAATAATCAGAGATTTAAAAAAAAATCTATACCAAAACAAAGACTCCTTATTTGAGGGAACTGGTGCTAGAAAATACAAGTCTTATATAGTGGAGCAATTTGTTGCATTCATTATTCTAATGGTTTAGCAGCAGATACTGTATGTCAGCCAAATGGGCAAAAACAGTCACATACATCGATGTTTGACATGTTTTTGTGTTTAACAGGCCATACTGCGCTGGATTCAGGAGGATCAGAGTCCAACTTCCCATCAGCCTGTGCCCCACTTTCCCAAACCTACAGAAGCTTTTCACACATCCAGACTGTGGCTGTGCAGGTGCTTAGACATACTGCAAAGTATTTAAACTGTAGTTATAAGAAGTATGACTCAATAAAACTGGGAAATCAGCGCAGCAGCTCTAAAGTACTCTTGTTGCTCTGCTGACCATTTCTTCTGCTTTTTGATCACAAACAACAAACCCAAGTTTGTTTATATGACTACAGATTTTGTCTGTGCAGTGATGGTGATCTGTTTGGGATGCTTGTATATGGCTGAAAAATGCAAATACGGCTAACTGTGACAAGATAAACTATTTTCATATTTTTATGAGCAATTCCTGAAACCACTGCTGTGGGGGAGGTAAGATGTCAAAGTCATGATCTGCATGCTATCTCTTCTCACAACAAAGATCTGCGGTATTGAACTAATTTAAAAGCAGAGTTAAGCTTTGGGTTTAAAATGAAAAGAACGCCACAGAGGTGCAGGACAGTATAATGAATGGTATTTGTACATTTACAGGGGTGCCAAAATTGAAACAATAAGGAAAGTTAGTCAGGATAGCTTCAAAAATGGAAAACATGATCAGCTAAAGTTGTTTCTACCAAAAACTGAACAATATACTACAATTTTGTTTTGTTTAAATGAAAGAAGAATCATGAACACAAAATATGTTTTACTACAAGGCGTGCAATATGTTAAATATGTGCTGTGTGTTGCATATGGGAATCTTAGAGTTGTTGTACAGTTGTCATAAGTTGAATGGAATGGTGTACATACAAAAGCTGTTGAATAAGATTCATTAAAGTTCGGAATTATAAAGAAAGACATGACTCACAATTTAAAGGTTCAAATCACAGATTTTTTTTATTGTGATTGAACAGATTTTCATTACAAAAATAGTTCAAGTCTGACCTCTTATATCAAATAGTGCATTACCATCTTGGCAAAAGCTTGATTAAAAAAGATACTTCTAATCACAAATGTGATCACCTGAGCTTTTATTTTCTATGACAGAGTGATAGAAAATAATGTTAGTGTTACAGAATTTGTGCAGTTTATGGCTCTTGCAGCTACATTTGCATCACAGTCTCTGGTTAACATTAACATTAAAGTATTGATCTCCAGCAGGCAATGAGTTCATCAATGATCAGTGTTATGTACTGGAATAGTTAATACCAAAGTGCCTATATTCTGACACTGGATCAGCTGTGGTCCATTGATGTCATGTCATGTCCATACTTAACCAGCTATTTCTCACTCTGATGTAAGAAAAGGGGCTCATTGAAGAAGCCCATCTCATGTCCTCTACTGATAAGTTTCACAGCCTACCACATCGTTCTTTCTTACAACATCCCACAGCTTGAGATAGACTAGACTTTATTTAAAACTATAGACCTCATTGAAAGCTTACTTACTTTCAGCTTGAAAAATATAAATTAAATGATGCAAATAATACTATTTGGTACATTAGGCATATGAGGCACAAAATATTGTGACTTCTAAGTTCTCAAAAATAGTTTCCAACGTGGATCAATTTTTGTTGGTCTTTCTCAACACAGATTTAATGCCATTTTAGCACATTCTAGTAGTCTTAAATAGCTTTTAACCTTTTACACTGTGTGTTCAGCTCAAGCAAAACTTATAACTTCCTGGTCATCTTTTGTGACTCCTTCCTGGTCCTGGATTGAAATGTCATCTACTTCAGTACATTCCTCTGCAACTGCACTGTTGACTCTTTCGTCTTCAGTACATGCTGCACCCTGCTCCTTTGAATCTTTGTTTTGTTCATGTTTGTCTTCAGTGTGTTCTGAGTCCCTCCTCTTACAGAGTAATCGGTTCTTAGCAGGCTTTACCAGACCCAGAAACAGAGCGCCAACTCCCATCCCAGCAGCACAGGAGTAGAACGCCGATCCGTAGTTCTGAGTCATGTCGACTAACACACCTGGGGAAAGAGGAGGAGTAAGAATTTAGAGATAACTTTAAACAAGTTTCTTCACTTATTTTGTGAAGGGCAGTTGGGCTTGTGAAAACACGTGCATTTTTAAAACTGCTGTGAATGGGACTGAGAAAAAAGACAACTGATGTTGTAATAGGGACATCTTTAGGGTTGTCTCAAGCTTGGAAATGTAAAATAATGCATAGAAAGCCCTGCTTGAATGAGAGTCTAATCAAAGAAATAACTCAACAGAAATGAGTCTCAGCGTTCTTGAAGCATGACCCATACTAAGGGCTTAAAGTCAGAATCTCTACATCTGCCCCACCAAATCTGACTGTTCTTTAACCCTATAATACTTGAACTTAAAAAGTGAAATACAAGAAAATCTGACAATTCTACCATCTAAAAAGCCTCTAAAAACAGCCACAATAAATATAATCCTATACCATTTTTCCTCACTGATCACAAATTTTACTTTTAAAACTCAAATCCTGTGCAATGAAGAGCATCAAAGAAACCCTATTTCAAAGCCTTTTGTTCCATGTAAACTTGTATTTTTCTTAAAATATGGGGAAAAAAGAGTCTTAAAACCTGTGAAAGCAAAATACAAGCGAGGGACAATTATGTAACTGATGAAAGATTTAATCTGCATTTTCACTACTTGGTTGTTTGCTGTTTGTATTTGGTGTTATTTCTGGATTAAAAAATGAAAGCTGCATTGTAGGATACTGTTTTGGAGAGGGGAAAAAGTCATGCTATGAAAGTTTGGTGCACTTGCTTGAGCTCTCACAGATACACAAGGATGCCTGTTGGCTCTATCAGAGTCATTTCTTATTGCTTTAAGTCAATGGAAGAACAGTACCACATTCAATGAGTGGAATACTATATTGACATTATACATCACCCTTGTACTGTAGGGAGATGGATTTTGTAAGTGTGGTGAAGGGAAACCATAGCCAGTATTATCTGTAAACTTGAATACAGATAATCTTACCTCCAAGTGGGGGTCCAGCCAGTCCAGCAAAGCTTTGGATGAACACATAAACACCAGCAGCTGAGGACATCCTTTCTATGCCAACCACATCATCTTCAGCCAGCATGGGGATGTGTGTGCTTGTTAGTGTTCCCAAAAAGAATCCATAAATTGCACAGCATACAGCCAGGCCATAGAACTCTGTAACCAAAGTAAATCCCAACAGGTCAACGGCCACTGAGATAACACACACCAGAAGCACTAACAGCTTTTTTGTCCTGAGGGGCTTCCGTGTCAGGATCCATCCGATGCTGAGTCGGCCCAAGATTTCAGTGACGGCCATGGTGGACAGCATGTAGGTGGCACGGTTCCGCTCTACACCTCGACTCACGCTCAGCTCAATGATGTAGAGCTGAGGGGCGAAGAAGCCGAGTGTGACAAACAGTCCAAAGAGAGAATAGAAGATGAAGCTGCACTCCCGGAGGATGGAGAAATCCAGGAGTTTTGTCTTCTTTGGAGACACCTTTTCATCACCTGGTTTCTTTTCATCATTCACTACTTGTTTCTCTGCATCATTATCCTCTTCTGTTTCACTCTTTCTACTCCCTTTCTCTGAGTTTTCCAGTTTTTCTTTGTACAGTAAAGTCTTCTCCTCTGGGCTGCTGTGTTCTGTGTCCTTTAGGGACTGAACACCAGAGTCTCCAGTGCTCACAGAGCCCCTGGTGAGCTCATTGTCCTGACTGTAGGAGGTAAGTTGTTCATTTGAGGCATTGTGTTCTGGGTTTGTGCTTTCCACCTTCTCCGAAGTACCAAGGACTTCTAGTTCCTGCGGGGATGATGCATCAGACTCTGCTCCAGGTTTGATAATAATTGGCCGAAGAAGAGCCCCGCAGATGATGATGGTGCCCTGAAAGGCTCCTATCACTGCCATGGTGGGGCGCCAGCCGACATGGTCCTTAAGTGCAGAAAAGGCTGAAAAACGAGAGAAAGTAAATGTTCATTATTAAGATCTTGAGCGGTGTATTCTACCACAGTTGGGTTAGTATTGTTGGCAGACTTGCAGGATCATAAAATGTGCCTGTCTTTAACTTGTTGAAGAAACTTAACAAATTTAGCTACTTTAGATTAAACATGAGGGAAAAATAAATTAACAGCTGATTTTTGAATAGTTAACCATGATTAATCCCATTTTTCAATGCCATAATTCATACTTTGTTTTCCTGTGTTTCTAAAGTTTGCAATTCCATTCCAACAATATAAAGCAATTCTTAGCAGTGTCACGACTCTGGAATTAAAGAATGGTTGGTGTAAAGATGTATTGTTGAAAGCAACACTGCACGGCTACCCCATAGTGGTCTAAAACCATGACTTCAGACGTAGGAGACAGCTTGCTTCATAGGTGTTATCTTAACCTTGAAGTACTTTGGTGATATTTTAATTGGGTTGGACATAAAGTGTATATTGCTCCTAATCTGTTGGTTTTCTGGAGGAAGCAACACAGCACGTGATTTGAAAAACAGCCCCTTCATTTCTGATCGTAGTTTTCAGACCACAATCACATTGCAACTTGTGTGTCGTATTAAGGCTTATCTAAATAAAAAATAGTGAAAGCACATGCACACACCTGGTGCCAAGGCAAAAATTGACAAGGGCTCTCCAACAGACGCCACAGCTGTTACAAGAGACCGTCTCTTGTTAAAGTACTGGGACAGGATAGTCACAGTGGGCAGGAAGGTCAGACAGTAGCCCATACCTGTGATGAAAAGCAGATGTTAAACTCAAGCAACACAAAAAGAATAAACATTTGAATATCTACTGAATGTTATGTCTGAACATTGAGGGCAGAGATGATGGAAATAATACAAAACCTGCTACTAATCCATAGGTGATATACATTTGGTTGATGGAGGTAGTAAAGCTGGTGGCAATGGTTCCAAGGGATATAAGAAATCCTCCCATCATAACAACAAGCTGGAACCCAAAGCGGTTTGTCATCACAGTAGAGAGGGGGGCTGAGGATGAACAGCGACAAATATATTTCATTAAACTATATACAGTCATTTGCAATGATTCATTCTCATTTAATGTGTAGTCTGTTTTAAACTCATCAGCTTTACTCACCGTTAAAGGTCATGACAAACACACAGATTGAAACAATCCAGGAGACCCGACTGTTGCTCTCTCCGAATTCCTCCATCAGGTTCTGGAGAAAAATGCCAAAGATTTTGATGGTCCCATAGGTGAAAACTTCCACCATAAAGAAGGCTGCGGCAACTACCCATCCCCAGCCTCCATCAGGGGCCTCTGGGTACACATTGGGCCCAAGGCAACGGAGTCCTTTTAGTCGAGATAGTGCCATGGCCTGTGAAAAGATTAGATAGATGAAGTGACCTGCACAGTGTTGGGGCATTTTGAAAATAAGGAAAAAACTAAATCACTTGTAACTAATCAGCTGAGAATATCTGATTGCTTAAATATCCATAATCTTAAAAGTGGTTGGTGTATAAATTTTTTAATCACCTTGACAAATGACACATAGTAAACTAAAACTATCTTTACAATTTAAGTGATGGCCTGGCAACCTCAAGGCTTTGCCTGCTACGAAGGAAGATTATCAGCCTGTATTTGTCGCTGAACTCAAAGAAAAAACAAATGCATTTTACACAGGCTTGTTGTCCATGTTAGTTTCTCCTCTTCTTCTCTGCAGCAAGACTTCAAGTAAGTTTAAATACAGTGACTTACAAAAATTAGGTAACTTGTGCGCAGACAGGGTAACAGGGACAGTTAGGGTAACAACATTTTGCCCTGTCATTACAAGAACAGTCAAAGTTTATGTAGGCCTATGCATCATTACTATACCACTGTTATGTACAAACACTGCCAGGACTGTTACAAAGGAGGGCAAGAAAGGGTGAGGAGAAGCTGCAGGACTCTTTTAACAAGATGGGATCCAATCAATTATCAATGCAAAACCCAAGAGAGAGAGAACTGGGATGAATCACATGTCTGGCATTTTTTAGATAATCCTTTTAACGTAACTTCTTAAAACATAGTGAAAATCATTGAAATGTTCTGTCATAAACCTAGATGACTTGAGATAGCACTTTTTTTTTAGGAAATGAGATAGCTTAGAGTTTAAGTTGGTTAAATCTATGTAAAGAAAAGTGTAACAACCTGTTTTCAATCACTGACTTTGCTTATTTGTGTGATATGTTAAAGTAGAATTTCAGTACTTTCATAGCCTCCACTGGGGTCCCAAATTTAAGACATGTAGATCAGTTTTTTGCAATTACCCAACTCTGTCTCATATAAAACTACATTAATATGAACACGATAATTTGACCTTACCACAGCTAAGAAATAATTAAGTATGTTTTTTCCCTGTATTTTTGGAATACAATCAAATTGTATCAGAGTGACAAGTCACAAAGCAGTGTTTACTGTGCGTTGTGGTAAATTAATTTATTTTAATGCATCAAATTCATAATTTCTACTCGTAATGAAATTATTCCAAAGCACTTTGAATACACTTCAGTGTTGTGTCCCTTGATTTTTCCCTCCACTTTCTCTATTTTATTCTTCTTTTTGCCAACTTTTTGGAAATCCAGCAGCCACAAAAGCGTTTCAAGTTGCTCTAATGAGACCAACTTATATCCCATGATGATCGGATTTTCTCAGAGCTATAGGTTGAGCATTGTTATGTTGCCATTCCTAATGTTTTCTAGGACCATTTTTGATGTACCGGAAGAAAACCGTGTGTTTCACTGTTTTTCCGTGATGAGTGTGCTCAAAAACAGGGTAGTATGATTTCATTGAGATGTCTTGGGGAGGGGGTGGTCATAAACAACCCGGAGCCAAATGCCCGTCCTCGTGCGGCTGACGCAACGCACTCGAGCCGGCAGCAGCTCGTGTTTAGTGGATAATGTTCCTTTGATAAGTACACACTTTGTAAGTACTACTTCGTCGCTTGATGGAGATAATTGTTTAACTTTAGATGTAGTAAATACAGTGTGCCATTTCCGGTGTCGTTATTCAATTAAACTTGCCGGTAAAGCGAGCCGGCGCTCCGTCTCACCTGTGTGTAGTTAGTTTCAGACGGAAATCCTCCTCTCTTCGCTCAAGTCTAATGCGGCGATGATCCCACTTGTGTTGCGCGTCGCGCAAGGGAGCCTCTGAACTTCGCTAACATATATCCCCACGTGTAATAGTCCTCAGACTCACGGACACATCCCGACACACGCAAGCAAACGCGCATACAACCATTCCTTGTCGGTAGAGGCTCGTATTCATAAACTCCCTCCCCCCCTAACAGGCAGAGGGGGTTGTGAAGGGTTGAACAGATCTGGATCCAGCCAGTTCTCCCCCCCAACACTCCTGTCTGTGGTCTCCATACAACCCCTGACTTTGGGGGGCAGAGTTGTTTACCCCAAGTTTAGGGTCATGTCGCATGAGGGAAGGAGTGTTGACATTCGTCTGTCAAAGAGTAATCTGGTGGCTTTGTTTGTGGTTTAAACTGTACACTAAATTTCCCATTTTTCTCCACAACACACTATATTTCCTTTAAGTTGTTTGTATTTGCTACTCTTCAGTGGTTTTAGGAGGTAACTCGTGTATTTGTCAAATGTACCCAATCCGCATTAATAGAATGCAACCATGCCCTTGCTTAAACTTCCCAATTGCACCTGCCAAAAAAACTTTCAACCATGAAAACCGGTTTGGTTTGTTACCAAAATGCAATTTCGTTGTGCACAGTTGCAATGACAATAAAGACCATACTACCACTAAAAAATAAATAAAAGAATTGCTGGAGTTGTCGTTTACCATGAGAGTTGGGGATTAGTTGGATTAACTTCTGCATCTATTGCTCAAGACTTAAGCAAAAAAAAAAAACGTGTTTAGCTTGACATTATGGTATGATGAGAGACAATAAGTGATGTAAACAACTTTGTACCAATCAGGTTTCCTCACCTGGTTCATCTGATTTTATCAACTACAAGAAGTGTATGCCCTTAAAAAAGCAGATTGTGGGAAAACAGGTTAAGGGCAGGTTTCTTGTTAACACAAGATCTGAGAAATGTAGCTGCACTCAAATGCTTCTGAGTTTTCCTCAAGGGCTTTGGTCGGGCTTTCATTTCTGTCAGGGATTTTTACTGTGATTTCCATTCAACATGCAGCAAATTCAACAGTGTGGTTAAGCTGAGAGTTTAATCAGGGTAAAAATCAGCTTTTACACTCTTGATGTTTTTTGTCTATTTTTGATTTTTATTAATTTCTTCTAGCATTTTGATTCTGGTAGGACAGGGCAGCAGTCATCAAGTCTACTTAAAGTCTCACCCATGAAAAACTATTTAAATGGTAGAAATGTATTTTTCACAGCTCAGAGGCATACAATTAGATAAAGCATGAAAAACTCAAAGCAGACATTTGTCATGTTTAAAATCATCTAAATGTCTTCAATTTGACTTTAATACTGTCAATACAGTTACAAAGTGTGCATTAATATATTTTGTTTTTGACTTTTTTTGCAGATTTTGACCCAGAATGGCAGAGGCTGTCACCTGGTTTCTTTTGTCTGGGATGCTGATGTGTGGTCTGTTGCTCCACTCTGTGCACAAACAGGAAGTTCATGAAAATAATCCCAGTAAAAAGCCAAATTTCATCATCATATTGGCAGATGATATTGGCTGGGGTGATCTGGATGCTAACCAGCAAGAGAGGAAAGCAAACAACACACCTAACTTAAACCAGCTGGCTGAGCAGGGACTCAGGTAGAACATTAACTACAAGTTTTTAATACCTGATTTATTATATTGTGCTAATTTAGTATCATACCAACTATCAACTTACCCATTTTAATCAAAATTTCCAGACTCTCTCTGTAATTTTTGAAAAGATTGTGCCATATCTCCTTTAAAGTGTTTTTTTTTATATACCTACCCCAGATTGACTGATTTTCACTCCCCTGCTTCAACCTGCTCTCCATCCCGTGCCGCCATCCTTACAGGCCGCTATGGCCTCAGAAACGGGGTGACGCATAACTTTGCTGTGGGCTCAGTGGCCGGCCTGCCTCTGTCTGAAGTCACTTTTTCCCAGCTGCTGCAGAAAGCAGGATATTACACTGCCATGATCGGAAAATGGCATCTCGGTCACAACGGACCATACAGTCCAACTAACAGAGGTAAGAGAGAGCTTAACGTTAGTCCTTTAGAGCCCATCCACCATATTCACACAATGGTCAATCTTTGACATCACACCCAGTGAGGTAGGTTCAAAAGCTATTATAATACTGCTGTGTTCAGTTTTGATGTTATAATAGTGTTTGAACTTGTTAACTTGATTGTTTAGACATATCAAATAACATCAGACATATTCCAAAGTAAAACCACACATTAAATCACCTGTTAGCTTCCTATAGAAAAAGGCTTATTATAGCATTTAACAACTTCCTATCTGATCTTATGTAACAGAGAATCACTCCATTCTCATAGTCCTATATAATGCAATAAGTGTAACAGCTTCACCCCCCTTGCTAGCATAACTGTTTGCAAGTTACGACACTAATGTCAGAGTGGCATAGCAAGTGGCTTATCAACCAGCAAATAGCTTGTATGTTGTTCTAACTTGAAATATGGCCAGATTTTTCCCAGGATTTTGCTGCTCATTTTCTGTGCTGTGATGATATAATAACTTTTAAACACCCTAAACTTACACATCTTTCAACCTGGAAGCCAAAGGTATGAAATTATATTAACATAAGAACTCTCAAACCCGAGAATGAGAGAGAGAAATAGACCTTATGGCAACTAGAGTCCTGCATAACCACTATATCACTGTATGTACAGACTCACTATACATTATCCCATTAATTACCTTGCTACTAGCAAGAAACCAACATGTTTTGACTTTTTTTTTTCAAAAGATGATTTCATTGGTTCAAACATTGATTATAAATATAGCTTAAGAGAATAACTCTTTGGATCCTGTAGTCAGCGCGCCATACAAATACATTTATCTTTGCTTCAATTTGCCTCCATGGCAACAGACTATTATAAGTCTCCTTGCGAAGTTTAAACATTGTACTACAAATTTAATTTTATGTTTGAGTGAAAACATAGCTGGTTTATTCACTAAATCACATCAATCCAAATATTTCCATTAAGGGCAAAGTGAGAAAAAATGAACAGGACTTAAAGACACTATGAGAAAATTTTTCATGTTTACATTATAGACTAAAATTCATAAAGAGATGATGCAAAGATGCAAATGTCACAACTTTTGACTTAATTGATATTAACACTGCTCATTGTTGAATTTACCTTGTACTGGTCAGAACTTATATTAAATACCCTAAATATACCAGACTCCTGTCAGTGGAATAATTCAATATGATGTGCGTGCGATCAGGTAGTGTTTAGTATTGAATATTGATCACTTTTGCAACAGGTTTTTAAGCTATCAGAAGTGTTTTGCTTCATTTTCAAGTGTTGGCTGTATTTTACTGAGACAAACTGTCCAAAGGCAACCTTTTTGAACACACAAGTAAAGTAAACAGAGTTACCTGAAACCTTAGGTAACCATTTTTTGCATTCTGTGGTTGCAAGGTACAGCAGCACACGTAAGTCAAATAATAAAAGAACATAACTTGGTGCATGGGACATTTAAGTTAGATATAGACTTAAAATATATATGGACAGTAGATATATGTTTACAGCTAAAACCAAAAACTGTTGAAGGTTACAGTCTAGCCTTGGAGAGTGCAAAAAGACAAACACTATCAGTGCTGACTCTGAAGAATCACTCAGACATAAATACAGTGTACTGAAAATGATGAAGTGTTTCTTCATGCCACAGAAATCCATGAGATCTTAGTCAACACACAGACCTCTTAAAGAACTAGACTATCTTTCCAGTTCAGTGTTGTGGCGTCAGTCACTTTCTCTAGGTCACACCAGTGTGAGTGTGTGGGGGAACCAATCTGCCTCGCTGTAGGGAAGAGATTACTCAGTAAACAACCGTGTGCAGCTGTGGCAACAGACATGTCCCTGACCTTTCACATACAGCTGACTCACCACCAGGACCCCTATTACCACTCACTCATCAACCCAAACCTTTTAGCCCCCCGTTCATCACATCTTCACCTTAAACTCCCCTGTGAGTTGCAAAAATGTGTAACAATTCTTTTTGTAAGTATGTATCACAAGTAAGAAACGAGTGTTTAAGTCAAAAAGTTTTTAAGTTTGCCCTCCATAATCTGCATTTGGCCTCAGATTTTGTTCAGCTATGGGACTAAAAGGTTGTTGCAGAGAAAAATGGCTTAAATACTCTTGCAGGGACAGAGTCTGATGCCTAATCGCAGTGCCACTTTCCGTGTGCTAAGGGTGTGATCAGGTTGAGTACAGCAAATCTTTGTGGTGAAATTCTCGGCAACAGATGCTGCTTGGCATATAGTTTCAGGGCGTAATGACATTTACTCAAACAGAAACAACACCGATTGATAAACCAGGGAGTTGTTTTATACCTAATTACTTGACCTCAAAAACTTGTTTTTATAATTATAGGTGTGAAGCCATGGACTGGTGCTAGATGAATGACAGTGTTGTCTGGAGTAAACTGCGTCATATCATTTTAAACCAGATTGAAAACTAGATTAAACTGTGAATTAGACTGGAGAAAACACTTTCAAATTGTACCTTAACACAGTTTGAAGTGTTATGTTGTGGTTGATTTTCTTTACTTTTTGCCAATATCAGAAAAACTCTTTCACACAGGACTGCTTTCTGTATTTATTTGAAGCACTCCGTTTTCTTGGTGGAGAAGCACTTTTCTTTGTAGTATTAGTCTGTGGAACAGTCAAACCCTAATTCAGCTCTCAATTATTATTAAAAATTCAAACAATAAATAAAGTTTTGTGTTTGTACGCACACATCATGCCTACATTTACTTGTGCAGGCTTCGACTACTACTTGGGTATCCCTTACAGTAATGACATGGGCTGTACTGACACACCAGGATACGATTTGCCTCGGTGCCCTCCCTGTGAGTCTTATGGACCACAAGTAATCAGGTGAGGCCCTGAATGTGACTAACAGGTTGTTCTAACATTAGACATTCCTAACTTGTTTTACTTGAATACAGCCCAACGGGATGTTGGCAAAAAAATGTTCCCAGCTGAGCGCCTGTTGTTTTAAAAAAGTGCTTGTCTAATTAATTCACGCTGTGCCTGTCATCTCCCTTGTACTTAGATGAGACTGACAGAGACACTAAGGGATTTTTTCATCTTTGTTGTTGTCCCAAGCCCATACAGCTGTGAAAGTTTAAAAGGAAAACATAAAATGGTTGATGCATGTGTCATTTTTATGTGCATGGGGAGCACTAACCTATTTATGACATACCAAAGAAACAGTGCCATCCAACCCACTTAGTGCCTCATAAATCTTTTAATCATCTTGTTAAACTTTTTTATTCTTGTGATCTAGGGTTAAGAGGAGTGCACATGGAGACTGTTACTCCAAAACAGGCCTTCCTTTGATGGAAAACAACAGTATTGTGGAGCAGCCGCTTGACCTGTGGACACTAACAGAACAATACAGATCTGCTGCAACCAGGATTATACATAATGCAAGGTGCAGTACAACTACAAACATACACAAATGGTAGATGTTTTTGTGATGAGACATTCAAGTTTATCCCTTTTTGAATGTTTATACTTTTATACTTCTGTTTGTTTTATAGCCGTCAATCAATATTTACAATCTCAATTAATTGCTGAGTTTCAATACTTAAAGGGATATTCCGACGTTAAATTAATTTAGGGTCAAATACACCGTAACACCGAGTTAGACACGCCCCCAAGAGATGAATGTTGCCGTCCGCTTGCTTCTCTTGTTCTTCCTTGAGCTGCGTCACCCCGCAGCAATCTGCAATGGACTGGCCCGAGGTCCCGCTACAAACAAGTGGCTGTTGGAAGAGAGTGGGTGAGTTGTGTGTAGTCTCAAACTGAACTAAAACTAAAAGATGTATGGTTGCTAGTGCTATGGCTAGGACCCTAAATGTACTGTTGAGGAAGTTGGGTGCTGTTCTGAGTATTATTTGTGGCTATAGAGTGGTGTTTTGGTTGAGGTTTGTTTATGGCTCCTCAGACCGCTGTGTATTGCTATCGTGCGGTCGTTACTAAAGTTGGTATATCTAGAGAAGCAAGCAGTCGGCAACATTCATCTCTTGAGGGGGTTTCTAACTCGGTGTTACAGTGTGTTTGACCCTAAATTAATTTTACACTGGAATATCCCTTTAAGGGTGATTTATTGCCTATTTAAAAAGCACTGCAACTGACTTTTTAATCTAGTTTCATCAGCAAGTCTGCACTTCAAAAAGTGCTCTGCTGGATTTTTGTGATGCAGCTGGTTGTTGAAGATGACAGCAATAAACCCCGTAGTTCACAGCTCTGTGAGAAGCTGGCCCTCATGCTATAGCTCAGAGTCATGTGGTCTAGTGCTGTGGTTAGCAGTCATGCGCTAACATGACTCAAAAATATGCAGGCTCTTATTCAGGGAAGCCATTTCAACGTGCCAAGAAATATGAAATGGCCGCATGGTTTAATGAAAGAGCCTCTGTGTGCACATTCATACTCAGTTAATGCCTCACATAACTGTTGCAGAACTAAGTGATAGTAAAACTTTGAATCCCTTTGAATTTAACTAAACATAAACATAATGTGGGGTTTAATGGGCAAGGTTGATTTACATTGAGCAAAAATGAATCAAAGAAGGTCCTGCCTCTCCTGGTTGTCTCAATGTTTTCCCATCATTTGTCCCCTCTGCAGAGAACGAGGACAGCCCTATCTCCTGTACTTAGCCTTAGCTCACATGCATGTTCCCCTGGCCCCTCCACTCTCTCCAGATGCATCCTCCACCAACCACAGAGTGTACAAAGCCAGCCTGCGGGAGATGGACAACCTGGTGGGGGCGGTCAAGAGTGCTTCTGATGAAACAGACAAAGACAATACACTTATCTGGTTCACTGGTCAGTTTATGTCTGATATCAGCACAATCAGTGCAAGTGTTGTTCTAGAAATGTATTAATGGGGTTAATGTGTTGTGTTTAGGTGACAACGGTCCTTGGGAAAAGAAGTGCCAATATGCAGGAAGTGTAGGACCTTTTATGGGGAAGTGGCAGACCAGTAGAGGTATGAACATGTATTTCATCAAGAGGACCAATTGTTAACAGTTTGCTTCACTTCACTCATTCATGGTTTAAATTCTTATGTTCCTAAAATCATGTTTGCCTGTGTGTTAGGTGGAGGCTCAGCTAAACGCACCACCTGGGAGGGAGGCCACAGGGTGCCGACCGTGGTTTATTGGCCAGGGAGGATCCCTGCAAACAACACCAGCTCTGCCCTGCTCAGGTACTCTCATTCTACTAAGAGAATAATTCAGATGCATCGCACTTTTCATAGATCTTTTGTTTTAGATACAAAATATGGGTTTTCAAGGACTCAGTACCTTCAGTACTCAACAGATGGGGCACGACTGACACTTTTGACTTTAGTCCACATTTAGTTATGAGTTTTTCCTGCATATGTGGTTGTCTCAGGCTGTAAAAAAATACAGTATGCCTGAAAATAGCAAACCTTAACAATAATACTGACATATATATTTAAAAAAAAAAAACTAAGATAAATCAGAAAGTATACTCAGCTAATACAACATTTCCCCTTCTGTAAACTTATACAGTCTTCCTTTTGTGCAGCTTTAAAACACAATCAAATTTCTGTTCTGCTTAAATTTGAAGTTAAAATTGACCCCAGGAATCAGGATAAAGCAGGTGCTTCAAAGGTGATCATAAACTCCTCTATTGTAACAGAAAAACAGAGAAATCCTGCAGACATCTTTTTGTTCTCCCACAGTGGTATGGACATCTTCCCAACTCTCCTGTCTCTGGCTGGAGTAACTCCCCCCTCAGATAGACGCTATGATGGTATTGATGCTACAAATATCCTCCTGCATGGTGAACAAGGTGGTCATGAGGTACTAACTTTCCTTCTGATTAACATAAATATTTTTATAGTTGAGGAGCTCAACTCCACTTTCTTGTAGTTTCTCTTTCATCCTAACAGCGGTGCTGCGGGGAGATTCGGTGACCTGCAGACAGTTCGGATGGGGAAACACAAAGCCTTTTTCATTACAGGTAAAACAAATCACATTACACCAGAGTGAGAAACAGTCTCACTTCAATTCAAACTAGTTTTTCCAGTCACCATAATGATGTATGGGATGATGCATGAAGATGGCAGAATAGGCGAATTTGTTGTAGAAATTTTCAGTTCAGGCCATATTGTCTAAACTTAACTCAACCAGTCGAGTCTTCATTTTCCAAGTGATTCCCTCTGAAGCTGCATTATGTATAAATATCTGATTGAAGAGTATTTTTATGTTTCAATTTCAAACCTTCATTTTAGGTATACTGGAATTTTGGGAACTTTATTTAGCTATTTTTTTTTTTGTTTGACCTTTTCATAGAGGCAATCCAACACATATTCACATGTATTTCATTTTTAAAAGATAAATAACTTCTGAGAGGGAAAGACAAATATTTTTAAAGGGGTAATTTAAAAACAACAAATACTCGTTTCTTTGAAGGTGCGGCTGAGGCGTGTGGCGGCGCGACGGGAGAGCAGCAGCTCCATAACCCACCGCTGATATTTGATCTGGAGCGTGACGAGGCCGAGGAAACACCTCTGGATGCACAGACACTCGAGTACCAGGCAGCAGCTGAGAGGATCACTCGTGGAAGGGAAGAGTTACTATGGGACATTGCGACAGACCAATCAGTGTCAACAGCAGATTACAGCACGGATGATTCTGCAGCGCCCTGCTGCAACCCCAGACATGCTGTTTGCCGCTGCAGCACACTGGGCTGAGGGTGGGAAATCACACACACTCACACAATGAAATCAGGACTGACGTGAACAAACAGATGTGGAGACAGATGTCTCATTTTGACACGCTCAGCTGGTTGTTTGGTAAGTATTTTGGTTGGGAGGTTCGATGTCCAGACACGGCAGGGGATGTGTAAACAAGAAAGGAGAACAAGCGGGTCCAGACAGGCGAACTTTGACCAGATGATTTTGTGAGATCTGCAACTAGAAAAAGAGGAACTTTTATACTCAGTGAGTGAAATTCAACATGTTGAATTTGTCGTTTTCTTTTAAGAAACCCTTTTTAATGTCAGAAATCTAAAATTTTGTTAAATGTACGGTCAGTTTGAACATAAAGTAAAAGCAGAAACAAGGAGACCACTTTTTAAAAAGAAAGCCACTCTGCACAGTTATTGGATCATGGTTCAGCTTTAATGAGTCTCTGGTTTAAATACCCAGAATGAACTTCAATGCAGCTTAAGGGTGTCCTATCAGCGCCACCTTTTGGCAAATCATATGGTATTACCATGTTACTTATTACAACAGTACTAGATATAAATGTTATATATACATTATACACACAGTAAAAATCCTCAAAATGTATTCACGCATGGTAAGTCTATGCGTTGACATGTAATACTTAAAACAAAATTTAAAAGAATAATACATCAAAGTACAAATGACTAGGACTGACATGTTAACAAACTGTATTCAGCATTATGTAGTAAATAAAAAGGTCTTCAGGATCTCACTGAAATCAAGGACCTGTAACTTTATTACGTACAGCCCGACATCAAGCTTTTCACATTCAGCTGCTGACTCCTCCTTACGCAGAAAACAATCCTCCGAGATAAATTATAAGCTTACATTTGTTACTCCGCTTCTATCGCCACCACAGTTAGTATGACAGCTGCGTCTGCAAGTCACAAAATACATACTGCATGCATCATGATTTAAATCGGTGCCAGGCTTGAAACATCTTGTCCTTCATGAGTGATCTGCAGCTCTTCTTTCTGGAGGTGTGAAACATTTAATGCCCATTAAAAGCTCAAAGTTCCAGAGGCCTGCTTGACAAAAATGCACTTACGTTATACTTTATAATGGATTATATGTAATGAGAGAAAACACAGAGTCATGAAATGTGACTGTTTTGATCTGATGATTGTGTCTTTGCAATAAGTTTGAGAAACTGCAGTAAATGATCCTTCAGCAAAAGCTTTTTGTCAGTCTGGCCTCTGGTTACTCGAAAACAGCTGCAGGTCATGTTCACCTGTTGTCTCTTCTACTTTGTTATAGTTATTCAGCCTTCTCCTAAATTTCTGGCCGCTCACCAAATCCTCTTCTGGTTGCTACCATGAAAATAACTTGTAATATTATTGTCACTGTGTTGTCAGGGTTGCTCAGTGTGCACAGTCAGTATCTTAATAAAGTCTTAACACTGTTAGTAAATGGCATAATGTGGAAGTTAACACTTGAGGGAGTTAACAGTGGGACTTTGAATCAATCCAAGAAAATATCATAGCATTTTGTGAGTATTTTGTTAATGATGAGTGGACCTTCCACTCTCTTTTAGTGTTTTTTTTTTTAATTCTTTACAAAAAAAAGGTCAGGGACGCGTACAGAAACATCAGGAAGTAACATCTTTGTGAGATTTGATCTCAGCCAACAGGAGCACATGTGGAAATGTGGGGGTGCCACGATATCTTAACACAGGAATCCATCAGTACATCACCCCTAAACAAGTCCGATTGATGTGCAGAAACGGGATGTTTAACAGGAAAGGGGGCGGGGTTTGGTCAGTTGTTCTAGTTGCCGACTGGAGGGAATTCATTCTCGTCATCCAGACACACAGGGCTCTCTGCGAATTCGTGCTCTGGGATGATATCGCCTTTCTGGGCTCCACCATCCTCAGAGTAACCTGGGAAGAAGAAAAGGGGAGAGGACGGTTTTTGCAGGAATTTTGTTGACGATAGCAGTCATAACATGAATCCACTGGGAACTCTGTTTGGCACCTGACACTGAGGGTCAGCTCATCGGTGCCAGCTCAGACTAGATCACAGAACTGAATTCTTGGCCACTTATTAGTTGTTATACAATTAAAAGAATATTAAGTGTTTTTGTTGCTGCTGGTCCAACAAAGACACTTTCAGAAATCTGGCACCACATTAATAAACTAAACTCTAGACAGCTGTATGAACTTGGACCAGTTCTGTTGTTTGCAAAAGCCTAAAGTTTCCCTGAAGAGATTTTATAATAGGTTAATAAATATTAAAATTAATACAGATTCCTCTGTGTGACCAACAAAAGCAAACAAAACCATCTGAGACAAGTCTGAGCATTTTTGTATGATTATTTTCACTGCTTTGAAACCACTGCTGTTTGGAAGATGTTAAAGACAAAGTGAGGCCTGACTCACACTAAAAGGTCTTTACAAAATCTTCTCAGATGTTGAAAATGTGAGCGACCTCACACATGAAATCTAATAACATCAGACTAAACAGTTTTGAGCTTTGGTTGTGCCGACTGCAGTGACATGGCCAACACACCACCGCAAATACTAACAGATTTCCTTCACCGGAAACCAAAATCTAAACTCTTAAAACTGGGAATATTTTTCAGTAAAACATGACCAAAAAGAAAACAAACACGGCAGATGATGGGATAGTTGGGAAGCTAAACGTCACTCACTGCTGAGCTCCCAGGTAAAAAGACTTTTTGATGAAAAATAGAATAGTAATTATTAATGGATAAAATCAATTTAAAATTAACATTTGAGACTTGATAAAAATCTAAATCAAAGCTCTTTTATTAAGCTATTATACTCAAGTTAAGCTGTTAATTCTCTGGGAATAATACTTTTTTAAGATGAAGTAAAATAAAGCCAATGCTAACTAAACAAGCATGAACACTAACCAAAGAACTAACAAAAAAAACTGTACCAACAGGATAGTCTGTAGGTACGAAGAGTTATGGTATCCAAGTTGGAAAGTTCTAATAAGAGATAATTAAGAATATTGTACCCATGAGGGTGGTGGAGGAGGGAGGGGTTGAGGGGAGAGCCACAGTAGCGGCGTATGATTGGCTGGCTGGTTGGGGAGTGATATCCTCCTGTTTCTCCTCTTCACTCTCTTCCACCTGCTCCTCGCTGAATTCAAACAACCTGCAGGAACAGAGCAGATGAAGGTTTAATGACTTAATGCCATACCCACAGTCATATTTGAGCAAAGTACAGTGTTTCATCTTAATTTCAATGGTACATCATAATGTGGTAGGACTATTTTATCCTCTAAATGTCTTCTTTATTTACATATTGTTAAGCCCCCTTAAAACACACACCTGTGTTTTTGGACCAGGACACACTCGCCTCCATCCTGTGGATCCACATTATAAATGTAGAGAAACCCATCTGATGATGCCACCAGCAGTCGAGGGAGCTTCTGAATCCTGCCAAACAAATTATAAACAACACAGTGAAAGACTCTGCCATGGAAAAATGTTTTTTTTCTCTTCTTTCATTTGCTCCGTCTTACGTGGCCAGGGCACAGATGTTCTTCAGGCCAAACATGTTGAGTCGTACAGTGGCAAAGGCTCGGTCCTGATGCATCATGTCAGATACCTGGGCAGGCAGGTAGGTGCTTGCTGCCGTGAACATTTTGCCCACATACGCTGACCAAGTAGGAGACTCCTCCTCTTGACTGTTAGGAAAATAAACAATGTGCTTAAATGAAGAATCATGACCGGATTTTTTCCTGTTAAACTGAACAAAACACAGGGACTTGGTTTTATTTTTTTGAGAGGGGCTGATTTTTGCATGCGTTGTGTGTACCTTGGGCTGTGCTGCTCCAATTTAAAGATATGAACCGTCTCTGTGTTACTGGAGGCGCACAAAAACTGAGCATCTGCGCTGAAGGACAATGAACTAATGCTAACATATCTGAAACACAGAGGAGAGATCAAGAATGAAAAACAGTTTGAGTATACAAAATTATCAAGATTAAGACACTTCCCAAACCCCTAAAAAGTACTCTCTCTCACTTGTGCGTCTCATTAAACTACTTTCCCCCATCACTGAACACTAAGCTTGCTAGCTTCAGCCTTGGGAAACTTGCTTCCAATTCACTTTCCTACAATATTACCAAATTTAACGCCTTATCTCAGCTTTAAATATACATTTTTATTGAGAGCCATAGAAGCATATGGAAGAATTTAACTCACAATTACTGATTTTCATTTATACCAGTAGATCAAACCTGACTAGGATATGGAATATGCAAGACCCTGAGTTGGAACAGTGTCTTGAGCAAGTCTGATTTAATGGTTTTCACATTGCTGCTTTATCATTGACTCTAAATCACTGACATCTCAAGCTCTGCCATGAATTTACAACCTAATCAAGAAGGACCTGCACACCTTCCCGTCACAACCCCTTTTCTTTATTCCAACATACAATCTCCATGAATAACCTTGTGCACAGTCTGCTTGTAAATACTCTCTTATTTGACTATTTGACAGTCTGAGCATTTACCTTTTCATCCCTCGGCGAAACTCAAACAGTTTTTGTCCTTCAGGGACGCTGAAGACTCTGATAACAGTGCCCTGATGAGGAAAAAGTGGTTAGGAGGAGGCTGGTGGAGGATAAAATAGAATGAGGACTAGAACAAATCGTCACCTTCTCTGAGGCACTGGCCAGTTTGGTGCCAGAGGAGTTAAAGGTGAGGGCTGCCAGGGGACTGTCGTGGGCCTGGATCAGCGTCAGTGTGGTCTAAAAGGGCAAAAAAAAGTCCTTCATTATGACGTCAGAGCAGGATTCAAAAACAGCTGCAATTTTGTTGTCGTGCTCTGGGTGTAATGTTAGATTTTAATACAGCCTCACTAGGTTGTTGGCGTCATAAACAGTGATCTCTCCGATGGTGGCACTGCCAGGGTACGCCAGGAATGAGTTACTGTGGTTGACAGAGAGAGCGCAGAGACCTACAAGAGAGCACAGATGAGAACGTGTATTGGTCTAATCTTTACATAGATCATATTTTGGGGTAGTTGCCTTTAATTTAAAGGACAGCTGTAAGAGGGGAGAAGAGAGTGGGCTCGACACACAGTGAGGCTTGGGCTGATCCATCTAACACTTTAGCCCCTGCTCCACTGTGTTTATAGTAAAATCTGTTTAGTAGTTGCTGAGTGCTATAGTTAGTTTCCCAAACATTGAGTCTGAGTCAAGTCTTGAGTCCCAAATGTTCCAGTCAAAAAGCTGGTGTGAGTTGAGAGTTCCCATTACCTGAAGCGCCTCTTCAGGCAGGAGCTGTTTTTGAGCAAGACACATGCAGGTGAACTTATTAACCCTCGCTTGAAACTAAAAATTTCACTGGGGACTAAATACAAAGAAGATTTGCAGAAACAATGAAAGAGTTTGTCCAAACAGAAGTTTTTTTAAGTTACTGGTCCTGAAAACCAGGACTAGTCATTCAAGTGCCTAAGTACTGTATCACTGTCTTTGTCCTATATTTTTCTAGTATGTTGCCTCAAGACCAATAAAAACTCAAATTCAACAAGCAATCCCTGCTTTTTCAATCAATAATTCATCTTGAATTCAACATCAATATTTTTAAAGAGCTACAATGTACGAATACATTTAGTAAATCTATATTCAGTGAGGCTTGACTGAAAAGTACAGCAACTCTACAGTTAAACCCAAAAGAAATCGACGCAGAGCTGTTACATTAATGTCCCATGTCAACGTGATGGTACCTGAGGGGTTTGTGGGTGTGTTGAGCAGGGTCTTGAGTAGTTTCATGTCTTTGATGTTGTGGATGTAGATCGACTCCTCCAGGCAGACTACCAGCCGCTGAGAGGACAGACAAACAGAAATGTGAAACAGAGGGAACACAAACATGGATCACAGGAAAGGTCAAATCTGTTTCTCATTTTTACCTGTCTGTTGAGTCTGACGGAGAGGATGTTGTTGGAGTAGCTGTAGTTGCAAATCTCAGTACCTTTCTTGAAGTGGTAGACGTTCATCCGCCGAGGCATGGACAGACTGACCACTACCACCAGACTGCTGGAGAACAAACGCTCCACGATGTACACGTCTGGACACTCAACTGAGAGAAACACGAGAGCGCCGTTGACTGGTTGTATTCACCTACTCTTACCACTTAAATGTAAACTTGCATGACAGGTTAACGCAGAGTGTATTCATTAAGGCAAATATGTTCTTTGTCAGTCACTATCTCGCCTCACTGTTGTAACAGAAACCATCAGTATCCAAACAAAGAGAGAACTTGAGCAGACAGCATTCGTGTCTTTACTTCTCTGTAAGCAGCATAGCAAACAATGACTCTCCAAACAAAGTGACCAAATTTTTCCCACCACATCAAGGTGAAAACTTCTCTCACATTAAATTAGATCACCCAACGTACAGGCAGAATCTCTGCACCAGAAGGACAAGGTCAGAAACCAATACTTGATGGTCATGATCTTCTGGCCATTTCAAGTGCATTGAAAACAGACATGGCTCTACAGTGGAAATCACTGCATGGGCTTTGAAATTACCTCTAAAAATTATTGTCTGTGGACACAGTTTATCTCAGCCCCAATGAATATAGGTCAAAATTACACCATGCAAGCAGATCAGCCCAAGCCTAAAGATGACTGAGCGGAGGTGGAAGATTTTCTCTTGGTCTACTAGATCAAATTTTGGTCATCTTTATAGAGATCATACGCACCACACCTGACCCACCCAACATGTTACTTGCCCACACTTCTAAAGTCAGCAATTATGATGGCATGGGGGTGCAGAAGTGCCCACGGCATGGCCACTTAACATATCTGAAATGGCACATACAGGTTCTGGAGCAACATACAGTATGCTACCACCCACACAATGCCTTTGTCAGTGGAGATTTTGCATAATACAGCAAGAAGATGCCAAACTACATTGTACATGTATTGCAATGGCATGACTTCACTGTAGAAGAGTCCTGGTACTAAACAGACCTTCCTGCTGCGCAGACCTCCATCCATCAGTTCATACTTTTCTGTTTATATATAGCTGGGTCATAATGGCAGCAGGCTAAGCAAGTTGCTCCAGACTTCTCCCTCCCTAGCTAAGCCTTTCAGCTTCACTTTGGGACCCAAACGCTTTCCAAAGCTGGATGGGATATATAACATTATCCCTCGACACGTTCTACCTCAGGGTCTCCTTCCATTTGGATGTGCCTGGAAAACCACCAAAGGGTGGCGCCCTTAAAGCTGCAGTTAGGAACTTTTGGTTTGTGTTCTGATGCCCCATGTGAATAAAGGGATGCCTCTTGTTGCTTTTCCTGTACATACAATATTAAGGTTTTCAGACAAAAAAAAAAAAAAAAACGTATTTCGTGATCTTTTAATAATGAAATGTTTCAATCACTGTGAGTATTTACCATGGAAAAATAATGTCAGTCATCTGATCTAAAACCTAACCCCTCACAGCACTTCACACATTGAAAAATAAAAATGAGAAATATTCAGCATTGTTCCTGATGGTTTTGAGAGTCACAAAGAGGCATCAGTGTCAGTTTCAGTCTGTTTCTCGACCAGATAGAAACTCCTCACAGTGCATTCAACAGATGCCCAAAGCACCTCAACCGGCTCCTTTTGATGCAAAAGAGTAGGAGCTCTATTCAGACCTCTTCTGGGTGTCTGAGCTCCAGAAACTACACCTGGAGGTATATCTGAAGGTCTCGAAAAGGCCCAAAACCACAACATCTGCAAAAAGCAGAAATGATATCCTGAGACCTCTTAGCTGAAAACTCTGAGGAACCCAAACAGGAAATAGGGTGGAGAATTACAACAAAGAAGACCCTGAACTGTTTGGCAGCTAAAAGCCTAAGTCAGGCAAGAATTTGACATTTCACTTTTAAAAGAAACTAGTCTTCTGGGGTCCAAGCATTTATGGAGTGTTGTTAAAAGAGGTGATGCAAAACAATAAGAAACATTACCCTGTCCAAATTTTTTTCAAATGTGTCTCAGGCATAGAATTTAAATGATCACATTTTCAGTTTCAAATATGGATGTTAAGTATTTGCAAACCATTATAATGTGTTTTTTACTCGTGTTGTACATGTCCAAACCCTTATGGTATCAGAGTACTTCCAGATAATACAGTGTCCTTACCTCCCTCATGGATGCAGTCCAGTTTGTCCACAGCAGTTACAGAGAAGAGCCGGTAGCCAGTTTTGGTGCCTACGGACAGGGAGCTGTAACAGTAGCACGAAGAGACTTTCTAAACAACTACAGTAATAATTGTTAAGGTTTACAGCAGGTTCAAACATTATGATTACAACTTTAAATGACAACAATGATTTTGACTTTTGCAAGTACTCATATATAAGGCATTTATAACCCGCTTATCATTTCTCATACAAGAAATAGTTCATGAAAACTTCATAAACTCACATGATGTGTTAGTGTAAGCTGTGATAACTCATGTAGAATAATGCTGATAAGTGAACACTCACCAGCCATGCTATAATAATAGAATGAGGAAGCAGCCACCAGTCAAATCCTTTGTTTACCTCATCCGAAAAGCCAACCATGTATGACACCTATTCTTCCTGATTATCTTATCTTTATAAGACAACACAGCTTGCTAGCTCAGAATTTATCAGTCCTGCCAAGCAAACTTATCTTATCATGGCTGAAGACAGTAATGAAGAAAAGATATGAAGGCTGTAGACTGTTTGACCACCTGGTTGATTTTACTCCTAGAGCCACTGGAATTGTTTATGTAAGGGGACACACCTGTAATTTAACAGGTATGGTACTTCTACAGAATCCCTCATAATCTCTTGACATTTGGCAGTGGTCAACCACAGCGCAGGTGGTGATCACATGACCGAGGGGGCAAGTTAAAACAAGTGAACATCTGTTTGTGGAGCTGCTTCCCGTAAATTTGTTATGAACTCAGATAAGGCCACATGCTGTGATCACTGGTGGTATTAACATGCGATATTACTTGCCATGAAACAAGAAGAGGGTAGTTGCACACTTGCATTAGACCCCATTGATTTGACCTGTTTTAATCAATGTATAAAGCTGTTTCTTGTAATGAAACAGTCATATTTCTGGTTATAATCTCTCTAGTTTAATGTGCAACAGGCCTCAAAGATTAACACACTGGCCTACTTCACTTCAGGCTGCTAGGGACTAATCTGCAAGTTTTAATGAGGTAGACAGATGCCTCGGTCAAACACACACAGCTGCTTTGTTTATGGTATTGCCCCTGGACAGAATATGGATAAGAGTATGTAATGCGACTGAAAGTAATTATGCAACAGTCAGGTGCATGGTGGAGATTTGAGTTCATGTTGGGCCCTGCCCGCAGGTCGCTTACGTGGTGTCCTGGTTAAACGAGGCACAGATGAAGCCTCGGTGTACTGCGGGGCCGTCCGGTGCGTCCTCGGACTCCATCCGTGCCACTGAATTTCCTCTCCGCTCGCCGGCCGAGGTCGGAGGCCTTGGGCTCGGGTCGATCCCCGCCGGAACCCGCTTCCTCTCCTCTGCTCCCCCGACTCCAAACGCCACGCTCACACTCTTCGGGGAGAGGAATGTCCGGGCTGGGTTAGCTCAAAAGACACACATAACTCACCGACTGAACCACCCCAAATCTAAACTATATTAAAGATGATCAAACACCTCCTCGGTAAGCTCTTTCACTCCAGTCAGTCGACAGTGTTGTTATTATGTTATTAACTTCCAGTATCCACATAGCAAAACAAAAACAGCTGATGGGTGGATGCGTCACTGTGAGGTACGTTTTGATTGGCCAGTATTAACATGCCAAAACCTCGAATCCTGAGTTTCTATTGGCCGAGCTGTTCAAATTCTCTGTTGGATTTGACAACATTTATGTCGATCAAATAAGACCCGCCTATTTAGGGGAGACCCAAATTGATTGGCCAATTATGCCTTCAGTCTTATCACGAGGAAATGTTTTGATGTTTTCATTGGCTAAACGCGTGTGGAGCACTGAATTGCCTAGTTGTGCAGCGACACATCACTGCTACGCTGTATGTTTATGGGTTTCTCTGTGTTGCTTGAGCTCAGAAATCCAAAAAGTGTTGAATGCTGAGACATTTCCCCCCATAATTAACCACAACATATTTATGTCTAACAACTGTTACTTTGTGGATATAACAACCTTGTTTCTTCCTCCTCTTTTCACAAGGACAGATCATTGTGTTATATTTTTACTTACACTGCGTTTTTTTCTAACAGACTTGGCCACGTGTTTCTTTTCAGGTAGATGTTTTACAAGAAAATAAAAACTCAGCTTAAACCAAATGCAATTTGACCGGATACAATTTGCAGTAGGGGAGAGTGGGGTAAGTTGAGTCAAAGGGTTAGTTGAGCCACCCCCTGTTGCTTGAAAATGGTAAAAGAAAACGATCATGTGACCAAATATTAAGGAGATGGACATCAATTCATGGAGTCTGTGAAGGTTAGAAGCACATGGGTGAAGGGGTTAGACATTTATTTCCTCTCTTGAAAGTGAATTGAGTCTGTCATAAGTTTTGTTAGAGGGGTGTTCAGACCAAAAAATATCATTTAAATTTGTTTTATACATCAATTGTGGTATCTATGAGCTACAACATGAGGTCAAAAACTTAGCATAAAAGTCCACCATTTTAGCCTAGAGGACTAATAAAGTCATAATAGTAGTTCTGGGGTAAGTTGAGCCATTTGGCCAGGAATGAGAGGATCAGAGCTTCAGTTCAGATTGTTGAAATGCGTAACTTTTTCTTTTCAAAAATATGTGAATGGTCTTACCCCATACACGAGGTAAGTTGACCATAGGAGACCTCTTTTTTTGGCATGCTATATTATCAAGACAGTTATGTTTACACTCATTCTGTTGGTTTGCTGGGATGCACGGCAGCTTGAAATATATGCAGATACACTAGTTAGAGACAAAACTATGATTGCCTTGATGTAGTGATCTGAAATATTAAAAATGTCTCATCTTACCCCACTCTCCCCTATTTAAAATCAACTTTTTTCCACATAGGCCCACTGATATAACTCTTGCATTGACTGTATTTTATTTTCAATTAATTCAAGCCCTAACTTTTAAATATTGGAATAACCCCACATGTGGCTCCTTATATCCATCCACTTCAGAAAGATCATTTTTAAACAGGTGTGAATGAGTCCTACCATTCTCTTCTCAAGTAAAGTAGTGTAACTTTGATGATATCTTACTACCCACCTGTGAATCTGCTCAAGTTAAAGTAAAAAATACTTCATTTGAAATGTACTTTAATACTGAGTACTTGTAACTCACGACAGCTGGGCAGGATGTATAGGCTACCCTCTAACCCTAACCCTAACTATGTAAAAGAAAAAATTTTTGAACTAATTTTTGCCACATAACCACCAGCAGTAATGTGTGAAGTTACTTTGGCTCTGCCTTTATTCAGGGGGAAGATATCAAACACTTTTTGCTGCATCTTTGTCAGTATGACACTTTCTTTATCGTCACTGCACACCTTATTTATAGCTCGCAGTGCAGGGAGGATTTCAATTAGAAATTAAAAAGTAAGAAATTAATTAATTCTATTAAATAAAATGGTTGCCAATGCAAATTTTTCCCAGAAAGTTCTTGGGACAATACATAATACATATTTTAAAGAGCTGACTAAGAACATTTTGTCTTGAAATAAGCTATCTTGGATCTGATTGGGATGGCCAAACTGGGACACTGACTTATGTAGGGAAGGCCAGGTGTGGTAAATATAAGTGGCTTACTTCAAATTTATGAGCTCCACCAATCTCATCCACTTTGATTCATAATATTAAAAGAAATTCCCCAAATTTTATATTCTTGTATATGATTTTTAACGCTAAAGGGTAACTGAATAGGTTGGCATTATAATCAGTTGAGCTTGATTTGAAGATGCATCAGCTGGCTGATGTAAAACTTGTAGGTTTTTGTCAGTAATGATGCCATGTAAATTGTAGCAATATGATACTTTTCACAGCAAATACTTCAGTTAAAGTTAAAGCACCTCTTTTTCAAATTATACACAAAATGCCATACAAAAAAGGTCAAATACCACTGCTCATTAACATAAGCAGATGTCGGCCAAGTAGTTACTTCCTACTGCTGAACTTTGAATGCAACATTAAATCTTGAATGCAGCATTGATTGCACTTTTATTCATAGATAGGTTACATTTTCACACTTTGTTGCAAATAAGTTATTGTTTAACATTTAACATAGTGTCCTTCACCTCGTGGCCTTCAGAGAAAGTAGAGAGAAATGTCTGTAAGCCTACTTCAATAGAGACTTTTTTGTATTCTCGAGGATATCTGACCCTGAAAATACCTTCATTCTGAAAAGCCCATGCACACTGTCGTGAACCAGTCGAAGTGTTTCTGAATTTCAAGCGAGAACCGTGTTATCAGGGTAGATTTTAATCAGATATTTATCGATTCTTGTTTCTCAATTCTGAACTATTTCCTTGACGTCACGGCTTCCGTGCGTCCCCTTTAAGGTTGCCAATGGTTACTGGCTCACATGTCAGAACGGGGAGAATTGACGTCAGTGACGGCTGTTGATTGGTTCTCAGCCGTATCCGGTGGGGCAGCGGTCCAGGGCTCGGGAAAAAAATCGAAGCGAGGAGGATCTGGTAACGGTACGCCTTGAGAAATATTAACCATCCCGAGTCTCCAACGAAGGGCTCGGCAGGAATTCACACTTTCTTGTGAGTATATTTTATTTTTCAAATAAGCGGATAGCATGACCTCTGGATGGGTGAAAATTGTTTCCTCCGTCTCTCGTTTGTTTATGATAGAACTCAAGATGGCGTCATTGGAGGAGAGCTTTGCCTTTGCATAGCGCTAGCAAGCTATGCATCAAACTAGACACACTCTAAAGCACAACGTAGGCCCGATATTTACGAGAAAAACTTAAAAACATTCCTTTATCATATATTTACGAGTCTTATTCGGTAGTGTAATACAGTGTAGCTATCATTTTAGCAGCAGTCCACTTGCTCTGAGTTCCTCTGCTGCAGCCGCCTCATGAAGCCTCCTGACCTAGACGGTATTACAGACAGGACATTAGCTTTACTCCGTGTTAACAAGCGAAACCAATCACTCTTATTTGCTGTCTGAAGTTTGTATTGTATCATGTATTCTCCAGTAATTCCCATCATCTCTTGTTCAGCAAGGTCATTTGTGCATCGCAGTGTTTTCTCTAATTAAATTGACAGCCCGCTCCTCAGTATACAGAGCAGGCGGTGCTGCAGCTTTCACTGGACCAAACACTTGCATGTTATTGTTGGCTTTCACTTGATCAGATTTTTTTAACACATGTACCAACTCACTCATAATTAAAGGCCTGGTAGATGAAATTCAATTTATACCACCTGTCTTGACATTAGTATCACTTTAACGCTCTTGTGGTAGATTTAGATGAAAGTAAACCTGAAAGAGTTTCCATCATGATCCTGGTTAGTTGCATAAATATGCAGGCGTCATCTTTGATAACATGGCAAGTAATCTTCCCTTTCCCTTGTCAGATTAGAAATCACCCGAATCCTGTTAATCTGATGCACATGCATGAAACGCTTGCAGGGATAGGAGGGATCAGTCTGCTTGCCTGTGTGCTCCAGGGGACCCGATTACTTATCTAAACTGCACATGCTGGGTACATCGGGGCTTTGCAAGGCCTTCCTGTTTTAGACCACACTGCTAGATCAAGCTTTCTGAAGAAGCTTATATCACATGATCTAGGATCTGTCAAGCTATTTTGCCCTGCTGCGGTATGGTGCACTTAAATGTTAAAACTCCAAGTATCTTCGTTTTGGTTTGTTTCGGTGTGGACTGACTCTCTGACCTTCCTCTTACTATTCATCTCTAATCAGGCCTGGTCCACAAAAGTGAAAGGCCTCCATTTAAACTGGTGAAAAGTCAAATTGTTCGGAGTAAATAAACCCAGGATGGATCTGCTGCCTGGCCTAGTTTCTCAACTGTAGTCAGAAATGTGTGATCACATCATATGACCAGTTTTCTATCCTGACACTGAGGAGCACTCCGACTCCTCCTCATTGCCAAACAACACCCATCTCTCAGAGTCTTCTCACTCTGGCTCGATTTCTCTCACGTTCTCATGTTTTCTGTCTGTCTTTTTCTCAGCACGACACACAGACAGCCCCTACTCTGTTTTGCCCTATGCTGTACTCTGATGATCTGAATTAATTCCCTCCACCCCACCCCCACCCCATGTAACTGTCCACTCTCTCTCCAGCACAAAGGTTAGAGGTCACAGAGCAGGGTCATCGTTGTCGTCATGGCATCTGGAAGTACGAGCAGCGAGGAGGAGCGGAGCCTGAGGGAGTGTGAGCAGTACGTGCAGAAACACAACATTCAACAGCTGCTGAAGGATTGCATTGTCCAGCTGTGCACCTCTAGGCCAGACAGGCCCATGGCCTTCCTCAGGGAGTACTTCGAAAGGCTGGAAAAGGTTTGTGTGTGTGTGTATGTGTGTGTGTATGAGGTTTTTGGTTTTCCTTCTTGGTCTAATGGAGAGAGCTGATCATCATGTACACCAGCCCCTTAATGTCTCATAAGGAATCTGATATTTCCACCTGATAGCTGTATTATTTATTAAGGCCCGACCAACATGGTTTTTTTGGGGCTGATACCGATTATTGGGCCGATTAATCGGCCAATTTTTTAAAATTTTTATGAAGTTATAATATATATACATACTGTAGATATCTACAGTATACTATGTACTGTAGATATACTGTAGGCTGTAGCTCGATCACTTAACGTGTACTGCTGTTTATTCTACTGTTACTGGCACGGCTAACAGTGTAGCAAGGCTAATAGCAGATGGCTAACTCTAACTTTAGCTTGCATATCACATGGTGCTTCACCGTTCACTTGGCGTGACCGAGACCAGCACAGCGGGGAACTTCTACTTCACAAACTGGTTCATTTACTGTTGAGGCGAACCACTCTCCTCCGTGGTTCCCTGAGCTGCCTGCATCAGATCCGTCACTCTGCTGTGCTGTGAGGTTAGTTCGTGGATGAAGATTGTCATGAGGTCGTTGCGCCATCTACAGGATAAGTCGGGGGATCTTTTCAAACAGTGGAACATTTTCAAAGTGAAACCGAATCTTATTCTCCGCATTTTATTTCTGAAAATATCGTCAAAAATCAGCAAGTTTTGCCCGATTACTGATTAGTCTCAAAAGGGCTAAAATTGGCAGATTTAATCAGCTTGCCGATAAATCGGTCGGGCCCTAATATTTATACTTGCTCTGGCTTTATTTTCTTTTCATTTTTCATTCAAGAACCCTCAGAAGTTGCCATGAACCTCAGTTGCAACCAACTAATAGCATGCTAAACCCGAGTGTGATAACATCTTTTGTGACATGAGATTTGCAATACAAAAATTTTTGTCAAGGTGATAAGCTGTCTCACAAGATCAGCACACAGTTACAAAAAGATAGCGCTTGGTGGATTTATCATTTTGAACCGTATTCAAAAAATTACTCCAATGTAATTGCAGTGCTGTATGTGTGGTGAAAAAGGCACTTCCATAACAACTAAAGAATTGGAAAAAGTGAGAAGATAAAAGAAAGTCAGAACTTGTTCTTGCTATAAATAGTCACTGAGGCTGAGAGACACAGAGGTAAGACTTGGTAATAACAGGCTACAGTCGGGTCGTGTTGACAGCTTTCAATAGTATTGAAAAGAAGACGTAAATGTAGAGTGGAAAAACTGACTGACTGTGTTTCCACCTGCAGTACACAGTGAATGGCCCTTTTAGACGTAAATCTGATCATTCACAACCGTCTAAGATTAGAGTACTGCTTAGGTGAACTAGTAAACATCTCTCTGCCTTTAATAAGCGCCATTGGACTAACATGTCCCTGATGGCACTTTTACAGGGCTTATGTGTCGTCTTTACTGCGTTTGGGTCATTCATACTCAGAAAGCAGAACTGAAGTGACATTTACTGTAAGATGATGGCCAGTGAAAACATTTCAAAATTGAATATATGTTTTATATTTTGTTACTTCTGTTTGAAAGAAAATACTTTTACCATTTTTTTAGTAGTGGTAAAATCTCGTCTCGTCTTGCTCTCATTAGTCTAATCCTGCTTCTTGTCTCGTCTTTTGAGCCGAATGTCTCAAACACCTAAACTAAAGCTGCACCAGTCACAGTTTTACTCCAGCTCGTTCATGTATGTCCAGTTCATCATGTTTCATTGTTTCAGCTGTTTGAGCACTTTGTTTTCATTTCTGTGCAACTAAACCAAGTGAACATATAAGATGTATTCCAGGAACCAATCAGCTTTGAGTAAAGTACAGAATCTTCATCTAGCAATCTCTGTGAACACTGTAACGTATAAATGTAAAAAAGAACAAAAAAGGTTGTTTTGATGGTGCTGTTGATAGTCTCATCTGACACCTGCCAGGCATCAGCATTAAAACCACCTGTGTAGAAATAACTTATCTTCTCACTGATGGTACTTTGCTTTTGCAATACAGGAAGAGGCCTCAGTATTAATGTCAGTGGGTTTAACGATCATCTAAATCTCCTCACGGGACCCTCACTTTGAAACAACCAGATTAATTTCAGGCAATACTTCGAAAAGTCAAAAAGCCAAAGCAGGCCTTGCATGGTTTGGATCAAATGTATTAGAACAAGTGACACTCGGGTGCTTTTATTGTGGTGAGAAAGACTTGACCCTCAGAGGGTTTTAATTCATGAGAAGTCTTTATTTCACCACACAAAGAGGCTCATCGTAGCAGTTACTGGTTCAACTCCCTGCCTCGACCCTTTGCTTCGACCCTCACTCTCTGCTGCAAAAATGCCCCAAAATATAACCTCTGTTTTTTAAAAATGTGCTGGAACAACCTTTTTTTCAGTTATTGATTATACAGCTGTAGATAAAAGGTACAGAAGATTTTCAACCTGGATTTGGAGGGTTAGATTGTATTTTTTCTGAAGTCCATGGGCCAGACTTTGTTTGTTTGTTAATAAGTAGACTAACTGTGTTTCAGAGTTGAGGATCAAGAGACCATGCAGCGGGACATTAGTGTTTCCCTCAGGTAAACAAGCTGATGCAGAGTCACATGAGCTACCATGCACCTTGGTAGATAGAAGAGAGGTCACTGCACATCATGACTTCGACCTAAGCTATCCTAAATCATTTGAAATTTTCTGTTGCGGGCCCAAAATTATGGAACGAGCTACCCCTCCAAATCAGACAAGCCCCCACACTGTCCATTTTTAAAACTCGTCTTAAAACCCATTTTTATTCATTGGCTTTCAACCCTGCATGAGACTCGGCTCCTGTTTTAGTGTTTTATGGTTTGTTTTTAGTTATTTGTTTCTATTGTTTTTAAATTAGTTTTTAAAAACATTGAAACTATATTTTACTTTTTAATATCTGCTTTTATTTTATCCATTGTCTTAATTATTTTTTTTACGTCTGCGTTGTTTTGCCTATTTATGTACAGCACTTTGTTCAGCTGTGGTTGTTTAAAAGTGCCTTACAATAAAGTTGAGTTGAGTTGAAATAGACAGCATTTTGGTTTCTACATATACAATGCTCTAATGCAGGTTTTTCAACCTTACAAGGATGTTTGCTAAGAATAACTAAAGAATCTTCAGACTGAGTCAGTAATGATAAAGTTAAATAACTATTAATTTTTTGAATTCATAAAGTTGCCACCTAGCCAAGCAGTTAAAGCGCATGCCTCATTTACTGAGGCTTCAGACTTTCTCACAGCCGCGTCTTCCTGTCTGACAAAAAACCAAACCAAACAGTTATTTAAAAATGTAGATTTTTTGTTTCTGACGGATGTTTTGAGTCTAGTTGTATTTTTTCGAAGTTGAAACTTCAGTCTTTACATCATGAAGCATTGTGTCGAGCTGAATGGATAAACGGTGCTCTATGAATAATCCTGGATTGAACTTGGTTGAACTCTACCTTGGATAAACCTGACGGTCCACTGACTTCTCTCCTTCCTTCCCTGTCTTGTTCCAGGAGGAGGCCAAGCAGATCCAGAACCAGCAGAAGGCCAGTTCTCGCTCAGACTCCCGGGATGAGGAGGTGTCACCTCCCATGAACCCCGTGGTGAAGGGTCGCAGGCGGAGAGGAGCATTTAGTGCAGAGGTTTACACAGAAGAGGATGCAGCCTCTTACGTCAGAAAGGTAGACACATGCAGACCACACTCCGTTTCTACGCCATCAGTTTGACAATAGACAAGTAGTGCGATGACTTCAATGTGGTCGAAACTTTGAAGTGACTGACATCTTTACTCAAGTCGTTCCTGTTTGTTTTTCTCAGGTCATTCCGAAAGACTACAAGACGATGGCAGCCTTGGCCAAAGCCATTGAAAAGAACGTTCTTTTCTCACACCTGGACGACAATGAAAGGAGGTACCTGTCCCTCCAAAGATGATTATTCTTTAAAGGTTCAACTAATAACATTGGGATGATTGTATTAACCAAAGATTGTGTTCCCTTTCAGTGACATATTCGATGCAATGTTCCCAGTTACCTACATTGCAGGAGAAACGGTTATTCTACAGGGTAGGGTGGCATTTTTCTTTTTTTTTTTTTGGAGTTTAATGTAAAAAAAAAACAAAAAACTTTGTTAGCATAGTAGCATGTGATGCTAACAGTATTCATTCTTTATCCAGGTGATGAGGGAGACAACTTTTATGTTATTGACCAAGGGGAGATGGACGTGAGTTTGATGTCATAGATTTCTAAAAAGCATTTTTAAGCAACTAACAAACCCAGAAGTTTCACACTCTGTTGTTGTGGTTTTTGTGTTTTCTTGCAGGTGTACGTGAACAATGAATGGGTGACCAGCATCGGGGAGGGCGGTAGCTTTGGTGAGCTAGCCCTGATATACGGCACCCCGAGGGCAGCCACAGTCAGAGCTAAGACCAATGTGAAGCTGTGGGGCATCGACAGAGACAGCTATAGGAGAATACTTATGGTGAGGAGAGGAGTTTGTGTGATATTTAAGCCAGAGCCAAAGTGTGGTACAGATTGTTCCATTTGAATGCAGTCACACTGAAAGAGAAATATCGATCTTTTTTATTTTTCAGGGAAGCACTTTGAGAAAGAGGAAGATGTACGAGGAATTCCTCAGGAAAGTGTCCATTCTAGGTGAGTTTGCTTTACAAAACCAGCCTCAACACAAAATACGAAAATAGATAAAAAGGAGCAAATATCTCTTTTGGTGTTTGGATTTAAAAATAACCAGAGAGAGCTTAAAATAGCTCAAAACGAGGCTGATAACAGGTACAGATTTTTGTCGTTTCATCTGACTCTTCTCTGTGTCCTGTCTTTGCTTCAGAGTCTCTGGATAAATGGGAGCGTCTGACGGTCGCTGACGCCTTGGAGCCCGTTCAGTTTGAGGATGGTCAGAAGATTGTTGTGCAGGGAGAGCCTGGAGACGAGTTCTTCATCATCTTGGAGGTAAGCCACCTCTCACACTCACATGCTTTGATGAATGTTGAGTTAAAATGGCAGAATTTTATCTCTTAACTCTGTGGTGTCTCAAAAAATCTCATGAAGCTCTTCTACAGCTGATTGTTGTATTTCCTTTTATTCATTTACATGAGAGGGACAATGCAAATGCCTGTTACAAACCAGCTGTTGTCACTGATGTTTTGCATAAAGAGATGGTAGCTGGGGCAGTGTTGGATCCACATGTGGCTTGCTGTTGTTTCATTTTAACTTTCTCTATTGCTTGTCAACCACACATGTGCGCCCTCTGGTGGGGAAATGAAAACAGCCCAGAGCTGTGCGTCCTTTAGGCCAGAAACTAATATATTAATTGAGGAAATACGAATTTGCTTCTCTTGAGGTTCAAATAGGACAAAAGTAATTTCTATAAAGTGTATATTGTGAGAAACTTTTCCTTTCTTCAGTTTTTCAGATATTTGTTTGACAGTCTGATGAATTGGTCACTTGAGAAAAAAAAATCTGGACTAACATTGATCAACAATTTTCAAATAAATATTAAAAAATAAGCTTTAACAGCGTTAGTGTTGTTGAATTATTTAAAAAAAATAAACAGAAAAAACAAGAAAAGTGAAATTCAGTATCAAAGTGATGTCAATGCCAGCATACATGAGAAGATTTCTTTAAATAGATTGATGTGTATTTATTTCCTGCCCAAGATCGGATATCTTCTTGGTTCCGTGTTTTTTTATGTGTCTAACTGTTAAAAATGTACAATTTTAAAGACTTCAAGGACCCTAAATCTAAAGTTGTGGCTAAATAATCAATACAACTCCCTCACCTCTCAGCACTAGAGTTACGAGTCAGTCTAACAGATTATTAGTATTTCTGTCTTTCCTGGCCTGAAACTCCGTCCATATGTTGTTGTGCACCCACTAGCTGGGGCTGCAGCTCTGGCGAACGGCTGCTGCTATGATGCCATAATGTTCTTTCCTCTCAGACTAAACAAGCACGGCTGACAGAAGGCATCTTGGTGCAGTTTGGCAGTGTTTGGATCTAGAAAATAGAGAAGTTGTGTGTTGGCTGTATCAGAAACGGCATATTTAACTACTGGACTGGAACAAAAATGGACTGTTCATCATTAAAAATGCTCAGAAGTTTATATAATCGATAAATGCATTATAGAAGATTTATCAGAGTTAACTTTAAGTGTTATCATTTACTAAATTGTGTTTGTTCTTCAGGGCTCTGCAGCCGTGTTGCAGCGTCGCTCAGAGAACGAAGAATTTGTGGAAGTGGGGCGGTTAGGACCATCCGACTACTTTGGTAAGAACTGCAGTCTTGATACAGCAGCTCAGTCTCGTCTGTATTTAGAAAATGTCTTTTTGTAGCTCCATGATATTGAAGGATGTCAGCTTCTATGGTTGATGAGCGGTGTGTGTGTGTGTTTGTTCTCTAGGTGAGATCGCTCTGCTGATGAACCGTCCTCGTGCAGCCACTGTGGTCGCCCGCGGCCCCCTGAAGTGCGTCAAGCTGGACCGGCCTCGCTTCGAGCGCGTCCTGGGCCCCTGTTCAGACATCCTCAAACGTAACATCCAACAGTACAACAGCTTCGTGTCGCTCTCTGTCTGAAGGGGGCGCTCTCCCTCTATTCCACCCTCCTTCTCCCTCCACCCTCCTCCCTCCTTTTAGACCCAGGGTCCACCAATGCAATTTGCTTTCCTCGTCACTTTCTTCTTCTCTTTTTTCTGTTCGCTTTCCTTTTTTTTTTTTTTCCCACTTTCCACACGGAGATTGATTTTATCGTTACCACCCCTCATGCTGAGGTGACTTTCAGCCATTCACCAGCGCTTGTACCAGCTGCTGTATGCTACCTTGTAGGCACAGTTACATCACATGTTACCTATGTTAAATATAAATGTACTTGCTGGTTATGCTTTCTTTTTTTCGATGTAAACACAGAGCGGGATTGTTAGGAGATCTGGAAGACATTAGGGTCTCGGACTGATAAGACAGGACAATCAACCTTTACACGGCGCTTTGGGGAGTTTGTTACAGATTTGCGTTTGTAGATTGAAGTGAAGAGAGGACTGCTTTTCCCGTTACACAGTTTTCATCCTGCTTGATTAATCAGCATAGAAACAAAACTAGAAGCTGAAGAAAGTACGTGATCGCATCAGTTTTTTCGCTTCAAGGTTTCAGCTGTTTGATGGTTGGAGTCTGTTTTAGGAGTCGGCTTCGCTTCTTTCCAGAGAGCCCTCAGAACTTTTCATTTAAATGTGCAGCTACCAGGCTAGTGCCAAAAGTTGATTGTCGTCCCACCGTAAGGATGCATAGCCGTGGAAAACGCAGCGCAAGTTCTCTCCCCTTCGTACCTGAGGCTCCAAACAGGATGTAGTTATCACCCTTCTTACTGTCCTTCGAATGGGTAGAACAACCGTACATGAACTGCCTTGACAACTCTGAGGGAAAAATATATTTAAAAAAAAGAAAGTAAAAAAAAAAAAAAAGAGTATTAAGTGTATTTCAGTATTGAATTTTTGTAGTATAAACCAAATAACTTGGTCACTCTTCTGCTATGGTTTGTAATCAGAAATGTTATCATAGTATAGTAAAATGATCATAGTTCTATTATTATCATTGACTTAATGATGAGCTTATAATTTGGAGTGATGGTGATCTTAAATAAAATATGTTTAACTGTCTTTTGTAAACACTTATTTTTCCATAAATTCTATTTTAGGTGTCCAGTGCCACAAAGTAAAAAAAAAAAAAAAAAGCTTCTTCTTGTCAAACGACAAACCAGTATGTAATCGTATTGTGTAAAAACATCATGGGATTGAAGTTTTAAACGAAATCTAAAGGCTAGATTCCAGGTTTATTGAAGTGACGTCTTGAAAGGAGATTGTTTTATGGAATTCAGGACATGAGAAGTATTTATGTGTGAAAGCATCACAGGCTGAGTGAGTGGATATTTATTTAAAAACTTGTGTCATTGCTTCTTGCCTGGTGAAAAGGTGGCTGTCTTTTCATCAGCATAGCTTGTGATCTGTTTTCTCTATGCTTATTTGGCATGATGTATTAGACATCCACTAATCCGGTATGAATGGAGGCGTGTATTTAAAAAAAGAAAAAGTGTTTCCTGCATCGGCGGGAATAATTGGTTTGTTACTCCCTAGCTTAACTGCTTCATGACTATTTAGATGACAAAATGTTCCGTCTCTGTCTTTTTTTTTTTCTTCTTTTTTAAAAGATCTTTACCAAATCACACATTGTTGACTTCTGGATTAAAGGCTTAACTCTTCATTCCTGCCTCACTAGCTGTTAACAGAAACATTCATGCGTCTGTTTTTGTCTCATTCAGAGCAATTTTACGCGCTTAGAATTGAGATGTGTGTTCGTGTGTGCAAAAAAGATTTGATTTTGGTGCCGATTGCAGGGTAGTCACATTAGTGAGAGAAGTTTTTGTGAATGGAAATGAGTGTATATTTTTTTTTCTTTATTGTTTAATTGATCATCTTTATCCGACCCCTCTTTAACTGTGAGGATCTTCTTTTGGATTTGGTTACATGTTGATTTGTTTCCATATGTCCCGATCCAAAGGGATGGATAGTTTCTTGGCGAGGGGTTCGTGTCATCCTGTCAGAACACAGTTTTCATGTAAATAACAGCATCATCAGTTTTAGTCCAAAATGTCACTCTGCAATCGTCCCGGTTTGCCTTAGCTTACCTAACCTGGGCTTTCAGTAGTCGTCGGTCACTCCTGCTAGCCCGAAAACCTTCAGTGAGTTTGTTCGGCCCGCAGCGCAGAGAGCTGCAGGCGACCAGAGGACCATTCTTTTTCTATTCTACCCTGTATTCAGTTTGACCTCCTCTATGTGCAAAGATGTTTATCCTTTTGGTATAGATTGTTCCAGATGGCAGTTTAAGCAATAAAAAAGTAAAAATAACCCAGCTTTGTCTTTGCTTTTGTCTGTTATTTTACAATTATCTCACCAGGTAATCCAATTCAGTTCAAAATCATCTTAACAAGAGAGACCTGGCCAAAGTAGCAGCCATTTAGAATCACGTACACATATATTCACATTAACAACACAATATGGGGAAATCAAAGTGATCAGTAGTTCAAATAAAGTATCCATTTACACAGCAGCTTTCAGGACAAATAATCTAACATTCTTTATGATACTCTTAAACATGCTAAGAGTGTTAAGTTTTTCCCCTTTTGGAGGACTGACCTGTCTGAAGTGACTTAAAGAAAAAGGCGGTTCTCCTCAAACCTGTCAAAACTCATGATAATGAAGAGAACGACAAAAAAGGGGGTCACAACTAGGACCCTATAGAGCTGGAGGTTACTTCAAACTAGACGTAAGTATGTAAAGAGGCGTAGTATCATCCTGTATTTGAGTGAGACAGTGTTACAATTCTGAGGCCTTGTTTTTAACTGAGCTTTTGTTTTTTATTTGTATTTGTTTCCATGTGCTGATGATTTGCAACCGTTTGTCAAAGCACTTTGTAAACTTCTGTTTTTAATATAAAAACCAAGTTATTATTATTACTATTATTATTATTATTGTTATTATTTATTACATGGCTCTGACAATAGTTGTAGTATGACATCTGTCCAGCAGGTGGAGACATGTTACTGCTTTTACTAAAGAAAAGATTGATTCAGGTGTTTCTGCACCAAACCCAGCTAACAACAGCACCCATTTTCCCCTTGCATTATATACACTCACAGTTTCTTTCTCCTGTCAGATTATTTATGCACTCAATCACTTTTTTCTCATTTTAGGCGGACTTTTATAACTTGAGACACCTTATTTTCCGTGAGGTGATATTTTTGAACAGGGACCAATCTTGATCATTTGCTTTCTGCTGTTCTTGGCTCTCACAAGCACTGATTTTAAGAAAGAAAGTTGTTACGATTTGGAAAAGTTCAGCCCGTTCTTTCACTTCCTCTTCAGTGTATTCTTGTTGCCAGGCTTTTATAAAGATAAACTGAAGGTATTCACCTCCCTCTGTGATCTTATCAGCCTCCCTGATGTCTTTGTTTTGCCAAACTTAAAAAACTCACACATTCCTGTAAAAAATATTTGTGGTTTGGAAAAAAAAGCATCAAAATGTTTGATAAGGGGAACAAAGAATGCCGTAGGGTTAAGTTATTTTGGTGGTGTGATGTGTTTCCTCTGTTCCTGTGTCTAAGCCTGTTTAGCCAACAGTTTTGTGGTCGAACTGTTTAAAGTCTCAGATGAGACAGAAGGATTATAAGTCTGGAAAATGGGGTGGAGTAAACCAAATGACTGTTTAATTGGTAGCACTTTCCTCTCACACGCAGACGCACACAAGCACGCCTCTCAGTCTTTTTCAGGTGATAAATCTCTTCACAACCATGCTGTTGCTTAAAACTTTCATTTATTAGTTTAATATAAATAGACACAGCAATCCTAAAAGAATCACCAACATTTATTTTGAAAAACTGATCCAGTGCATCTCAGCTCTCTCTGATTTGATCTCCTTTTCTTTAGCTGACATTCTAGCTGATTTCTCTGCAAAATTTGGAGTCCAGCTGTTTCCTAAAGGGTCTTAAAATAAATTAATCTCTCACAAACCAGCTTGGTGTTGCAGGTGCACATGTAAAGAGTCATTAAACGCACCCTCGGAGGAATTTACGAGCATGAGAGAAACAAAAGGACGTAAAAGTATGGCTCCCTCTGGGATGGGTTTTCAAAGTCTACGATGATTCATACTCTGAACCTGCACAAAGAGGTTCCTTCCTTCTCTCCTCTGAACATTTCACAGCGTCTTCCATGTATGGCTTGTTCCTGAAATCGAAACCATCTGAGTTTCATCTTCTGGAGTCTTCATGTTCCACACAGAGCAGCTACAAAGAGGAGGAGGAGGAGGAGCAGTGACTCTTCATCCCTCTGCTACCTGACCTGTGTTGTCTCTGTCACAGTCTGAGGTTTTGATGTGGATTTTGCAAAGTCACTGGTGATCACCTCGTCATCACCCAGCCGCCTCACACAGCGCTGCACCACCCGGAGGACTTTCTGTAACCTGCGGTCCAGAGCTAAGAGGTGGGGTTCTGTTAGGATCGGATGTAAGGGGTCTCCCTGCAGGGACTCCCTCATCACGTCGCTGAGCCTGTAGTCGCGCCGAGTCAGAAGTTGGAGACGCCTCAGAGTGGAGCGTTTTATCCTGAAGGTGGAGGCATAAAGGTTAATGTTGTTCAAAAATACAGTAGCCCTGAAGGTCAAAATACAACATTTGACAGAAACAATCAACCTCGTGAAAAAAGCATTGTAAGAAACATCTAAAAAACACCACAACTAACATCAACCTTTTATATATCACAATGTTTCAATTGCAAATGATTTTTGGCCTTCAGGGCCACCATAGAAAAGCTCCAGATATTCATTTAAAACCCACGGTCCCATGGAGAGACTTTCTAACCTGACACTTACATGCAGCACTGAGACAAAGGAGCCAGGATGGACATTTCATCGTGAGAGTGTTTTCCAAACCTAAAACCCCAAAAATGAGATGAGAATAAAAACACAAACATAAATCTATAATGACGTAATCTTCTGTAACGTCTGCATCTCACCCTCTGGCATTGTCCAAGTGGAGAACAAATCCTTCATCCCCAAATTTGGTAAAAATCTCGTAGTGATGTCTATCCATGTTGCCTGTAAAATACAGCAGAGATTTATTGAAAAGTTATCTGAGACAATAAAAGCTCTGGTGATCTCATGGACAGTTCATAAAACCCACCGATAAGGAAGTCAAAGATGGACATGTCGATAATGTTCAACAGCCTGTTGCCGGCATTATACGGATACATCTGCTTTATGGTGTCGCAGAAGAACGGATTCACCTCCCACCTTTAGAAGGAGACCGAAAAAAAAAATGCCAATTCAGAACATGTTTGAATTTTATAACCATCAGAGTTCATACTTATTTATGTAAGGGAAAAAGGCTGTGTGAAACTACCCTTATTTTGCTTGACACATAACCAAACAACAGCACTACGAGAAGGACTGTATCAGCAAAAAACAGAAAAAAAAAAACATTTTCCAAAGTGGAATAAAACTGTTCATTTGTCATGATATGTTCTGTTCATTTAGTTTTTCCCTAGTTTTGTTACTTGAGTGTATTTTCTGTGTTTTTTTTTTCTTTGTATTTCTGTTCCCTAGTGTTCCTGTGATCCTGTCTTGTGAGTTTTCAGTTTGTGTTTGACCCTGTTTCCCTCCTGTTCTCAGTGTTTTATTCTTTAGATCAGCTTTTAGTGTTTCCTATTTCATTTTGTTGTAGTTGATTCCCTGTGTTTCTAGTCTGGTTTTACTTCCCTTGTTTTCCCTCCTTCGTTAATCACCCATGAGTTTCACCTGTTGCTCGTCTGCCTCACCTGTTGCTTGTTTGACTGTGTGTATATAGTCCCTGTCTTCCCCTGGTTCTTAGTTTGTTTATTGTATGTTAATGTGTGTCTCTGCTCCTGTCCCCTGTTGTCTCCTTGTGATTTTTCCCCAGTGATTTTTGATTGTTTTGATTTTGTTTCTTGTGTTTTTTGCCTTTGGGAATTTTTCAGTTGGACATTTAAAGTAGTTTTTCTTGCATTTCATTTAGTTCTTTATAGATCCTTTTCTGTCTGCATTTTGGGTCCTTTCCCTTTTGTTTTTACTCTGGCACGTGACATTCTTACAAAGTAAGTGCATATTAGCTTTAACTCACAGTTTGTAAATTTATCTGTTCATGTTGTACATGCAGCCTGTGTTCGATTGTGTTTGTGTCTCTCCTGAATCTAGATTGAAACAACAAAGCGCTCCTCTCCTTTTTTCCTAACTTTGAAAAGTCTTCACCAAAGACATAAACACCCAACACATCAACAGAGTTTAGGGATCTCAGGTCTTTCATTAAACTTGTATTTATGGTCAAACCAAAGACCACCAACTGTCTGGACCACAGTTAGATTACAGCTGCAGACTCTGATCCTTAAACTATTAACTCGTCACAATGTTCCCAGTAAACTGCTTTAACAAAAAAATGTTCCTATTTAAATAAACTTTCAAAGAGGATATGATGGCTGTATAGAGGTTTACGTCTTACTCCTCTCGTCCGCTGAAGGTGTAGGAGCGGATCCAGGGGTTGGGGATGGAGATTCGGGGGGCGATGCTGAGCCCAGGCAGGTAGGCAGACAGGGAGCCCTCCAGCAGGTCAGGGTTTCCACACACAGCATACTCCGTTTTACACACATACAGGCACTTGGCAAAGAAGCAAGTGTTGTTGGCTGAGTGAGGGAAACAAATACTGGAATTTGAACTGAGTTTTCCCTTTGGATAAGTTCTGATGAGTATTATAGATACACAGACATCAAACAGGTATTAAAAATAGAAAGTCTAGAGCAGGTGGACATTTACATTTTTTGTTACAGGAGCTTAAAACCAGCACAAAATAGGGCTGGGCGATATGTGAAAAAGTTTATCACAATATTTTTTTTTCATATTAATCTATCGATTTATATCACAATATAAAAAATGAAATTTAACAGTGCTTATTGGTAGCATGTCTTGTGCAATACAGTAAGCTACTGCATCTGTGAGGTCTCTGTGTCTCTTTGACGTTTTGTCGTAAGGCGTTGTGCTAGAGAACGCGGACTGAATGGTCGGCTGCACAGGCGCCATGGGCTCCTTGCGCCGCTCGGGGTTTGTAACCTCTTGCATTGCGTGTGCTCTGCCACATAGCACTGCTTCAGGTAGTGAAAAAGATTTGAGGTATTCCCCGACTTTGCAAGAACATGTACTTGACATAATTTGCAGTGCACATTGCTCTGCTTCATGTCCGATCTCAAAAAACCAAAATACCTCCACACCACCAATGTTTTCATGCCAGTGTTGTCGACGATGTTATCATCTGTTGAGTCTTTATCTGCATACCTGCTGGTGGTAGCAGTGCTGTTGGCTTCAAGTGTTAAAATGCTATGGTTGTGTGTAGCTGCAGTCTGGTACTACGCAGTTGTTTGCTGCATGGTTCCAATTCAGCATATGATTGGTTCAGTGCGAAGCGGACCTGGAGCAACCCCCCTTTTCATTGGTTATTCGTATAGTCTACCAAAACATGGCAGATTGCCGACTATCAAAAAGCATACTGACCATGTTTTATATTGATATTGAGGGAAATAAATTTTTGATATGTATCATTATCGTTTTATCGCCCAGCCCTAACACAAAATATCCACCTAGGGTAAACTATCATTCGAGACAACCAAATAAATGCTGCCTTTAATTTAGTGGTTTGCTTTCTTTCAAAAGTTGGCTGAAAAACAGAATCCACTGAAAAGGGTCTGGTAGTTTGTTTTACCAGGTGAGGTGAAGAAGACCCCCCGCAGGTCTTCGTTATGGGTGACTTGGAGCACTTCTCCTGTGACGTTCACCAGTCTGCCAGACACAGGAGGGACCCTCCTGAAATCCAGGATCCTAAAAAAACAGGTTTGAGAGAGTCAGAGGAAAACCCCCATAATTTGAAGTCTCACAGCTCAATTATGACATTTTTAGTGAATGATCTATTCACTGAAATATGGCGAAAAAGCTCCAGTGTTTGAGGAATCCTCATCTCTGTCTTTCTACTTTGTTTAACAGGACTTCATGGTCCATTTTTAGTCCCTCTGATTAATGAATAAACCAAACTGTCAGTCTCCACGCCGTATAATTTAACTGGCTGCTTTCAAAAACACTACCAAGAGCCTATGTTCCTCTGAGGGCCATATTTCAGTCATGACTCAAAAACAGCAATCACACAACAATCAGTGTGTGAGGCTGAATGGCGGTTTCTCAAATCCTCGGCTTTCCCTCAACTACTGATTGCTGGCGATGATAATGGGAGCTTCTGGCAGCCACCACAGACACAACAGAGAGAGACAACACTCTGCCACAGATTAAAAACACACCACCATGCATTAGAAGAAGCAGACAGTTTTTCCTATGTGTTTGGTGGTAGAAGAAGCTATGATGTCTCATCTGTTTCTCATATTTTAAAGGTTAAAATATGATTCAAATAGGAGAAAATACTCAGAATAGCCGTGTAAATATAGTGATTGAGCTGTTGACATCTCTCCCCGAGTGAATTATGGTGTGTGGCTACTTAATGACACAGTCTAGCACAGATGACTGCTGTTCAGAATGAATCACCTCACTTTGGCTTATGTGCGATTACAAAAAGACGTGTGTGTTCCTGTGTTTGTCTACAGTCTGTGGGTTGTGCTGATCAGCTAGTTTGGAAATCATGGGCTGGGTAACGTGTTGCAATCTATGTGTAGGCTGGCTGGTTTATTTCTTTGCACTTGATTTATGGCTCTTAGACTATTTAGGATTTTTGGATTGGCTGTTGCTTCTCTTCATTGTAGAAACATCCAACTGGGATATCTTTGGACACTTAAAGCTACTGTAGGGAGTTTTAACAAGTTACAAATCAGACATGAGTTGATAACGACACTTGCATGAGCAGAGCCAACAAAAAATATTTTGATCAAGAGAAAAAAAAAAAGTGAATTGACCAACACTCCCCAAAGTTGTGCTTGCTCCACAGAGTTGGTTACACCGGTGTTCATGGTCATATCAGCAGATTTGTTTACATGGACTCCAGTATCCTGATTCTTAAGGGTGTTTTCACACCTGAAAGTTCGGACCAAGGTCTGAACCAAGCTCTGTGTTTTTGTTACATTGTATACATTTGGTTCGGTCTGTTTAGGTTTCACACTCTTATTATTGCAAACGGACTAACAGACTTTACATGATGAACCAATGTGATATTGTCATCAACTTTGTGCTTTACGTGTCTCTGTAGTTACATTGATTGGTCATTAAGCCGCCGAGCATTTGAGGTCAACAGTTGAAAAGCGCGGGTCTTGAATGGTGTAAACATGGATGAAATTGTCATTCCCACCATCGCACTATTTTTGATCTTCTACCTCCAACAGTGACAACTTAAAGATCTGTACATCAGGCTGGTTCAAGGAAGTCTCATGAATTTGATCATTAGATGACAACTTTATCGACAATGACAGGAAAGGAGAAGAAAGCATGAAATCCTGCGAGTCACTGCAACACCGGCTCGGGAGAAAACTATGTGTAGTAAAACTCTTGAGAAGATAAGCTGTCAATAGTGAGGTAAAACTGTATCTACAATATAATAAAATTTCCCGTTATTAGACAATCTCCATAAACATAATAACGAATACCTCTACTCCTCGTGTCATTACCTGTCCTTGGTACAAAGGTCCAAACGTTTCAAGATAATGCTTTCACACTGGGCGTGAACCAGACTGTGGTTCAGTTTGGTCTGGACCGAGATCACTTCTTTTGGTCGAATCAAAGTCCAGCTGTTTGGTCCGGACCAAGGTCCTGGAGAGGTTTCACACCTATCATTTTGGTTCGCACTAAACAGAAAAGTCTGAAAGTCTGGTCCAAACAACGTAGGTGTGAAAACCCCCTAGGTCCCCCATTTTTCATGTTTGTGCATGTGAACGTCATACCTCATATCCATATTTTAGTAACCAGGAAAAGCCCAGCTTCTAGAAAGTTGTTTTTGCAACCTGAAGAATTCAGAAAGAAAACAGGATACTGTGGCGTCATGGTCACACCTTCCTCGCTGGCAGCTATCTGCTTGGGTTACCTGCTATGCCAGATTCTTCAACAAACAATCAGCAACCACAATTAAAGCATCCTCCCACTGGAGCCACAATGAAGTTTCTTGCCTCTGCATATTTCACCCAGTGACAGGCTAACACAGGCTAGAGTTGAGGACATGTTTAACACTTGCTTGATGTGATTAGAGCTGAGGTACGACTAAAACCAGAATTCTCAAAGTTACGTTAACGAAGTCAATGTGGCACTCTTTAAAACTGATTTCCATTGACTATTTAGTTTACTTTAAAAGAAAGAGCATAATAGGGAGCACTCAGATTACAAGTGTGCACAATGATAACTAATTAAAAAATGCTATCACTGACTAAAATACTGGAGAGTTTTACTAAGATGATGATAAAAGAGAAAAAACAACTTTAAAAATTGAAGACATCAATTTTGTACCTGTCCAAGTGGAAAGCAGCGATCTCTGCATTATGTCTCTGGAAATCAACAAAGTAGAAGAGGTCCTCGGGTGTCTCGTCATCCCTCTGCTGCCTGACACACACACACACACACACACACACACACACACACACACACACACACACACACACACACACACACACGCACCCACGCGCAGAGTCATGACAAACACAGTGATCAAGCCGTCAGTATGAGCAGTCTGTAGTGTATAATCAACGCACCAAATACCCTCATTTTAACCAACACCAGATGATTTAGCCTGACATAAATTAACTCAGGACCTGACCTGAGGAAATTCACTTAAATATGACAAAATCTTAAATTTCATGTTTAGAGGACTTTTTGACTATGACTTGTTCTCCTCTGTCACAGTGGGATAGAGCACATAGAGGGCCTTTGTACCTTATCATCCCTATTTGGATACTAAGGGCTAATTTTAAGTTATAGCAACACCATAATTCTAGTTTTCAGGTTACTCTAAACCAAACCTCAACCTCCCTCCAGAGTTAAAATACAAAACCAGTATGTCAAACTGTAGTTCCTCAAAGAGCCACATCAGGCCTCAGAGTTGAACACCCAACTTGACTGAAGATGTGAATGCAGCTGCTTGTTAAGTCAGATAGGTAAAGCTCACTGTTTGCTGGTTTTAACTTTAACCTATCAAGGCCAGTGACATTAATATTTTAGCCATGCTTGTGTTTTTGGGGATATTTTACACAATTAGAAACAACATTTGAGTAAAACTGGACTGCTCTTTGAAGGTGTCAAAACAACCTAGTCACCTCGCATCATGTATGAAATCTCTGTTTGAGACATACATATCTCAATGGTGCGATAATGAAAGAATCAAAGCTGTAGTCTTTGAAAACATGAGTCTATAAGATCATGCGTGACTTTGTGTTGGCTTCATTTCCTTTTTCTCACAGTTGTTATACGCTGCTGTTGTTACAGACTTACATAGGCGCCCTCTCGTCAGTATGGCAGCTGCTTTAATGTATTACCCCCATAAACACCAGCAGTGCATACTGCTTCTACATGCTTAAATCTATGTTTACAACCTCCTTTGGATACCCATTGGTCACCTCATTGAGACGACCTCTATGTTTGACACCCTCTATGTGCCTCACCCACTTTGCTCTGACATAAAAACTACCATGATATATAGAAAGGACTCCAAAAATGTGGGTTCAGCCCTCACCTCATGGGCTTGAACATGGCTTTCGCAAAGTTTTGCATCTTCAGAGCCAGTTTCAGGTGATGTCCACTGGGCTTCACAACTGCAGCAGAGAGACACAAAGACAGACAACTTTCAAATGATGTAGAAAAACACTCCTTCTTTACTTTGTGTCAGGTTCTGGGTTTAGATGTCAGCCTGACAAAAGCAAACACTGTGTATCAGGTGACTGAGTCAGTATTTGGTTTTCATTGTGATGCCCTAGAGGCCGGTTCAAACTGGAATATTTCCTGGATCTGCCAGCTCCCTGTGATAAAGTAATTGGGGGTTTTTGGTGGCACAGCTTGAGCCCTGCTCTTTTCTGTCTGGCTGTATATTATTTCACAGCATGAGGCCAGACTAACCACACACTCGCCTCCCCCCTGCTGTGCTCGCTGAAACTTCAGTGTATTAATAGTTAACAATTGCATAAAGCTTTACAATTGCGACTTTATTTTACTGGAAGTGACTGAAAAGAGGCATAAACAGTCTTTAAGGACGATGAAAACTGTCCGTCTTTAGTTCCTGAAATTATGAGAATGTTTTTTTTTAGGTTAAATTTAAACCGTCTGGACGGATTGTTTTGCTGCATTTCCACTTGGCAATGACGGATGTTTGTGCGGTCGGCTACTTCACTGTGTCGCCAAGGCATCAGGAGAACAAAAAGGTTGTAAGAGCAGCAAAACACATAAAAAAAGGGCAAAATATGAAAGTGCTGTGATATCAGAGCTATTCTGCCTCAGTGTTAGTATTTCTGCATGAGGAAGGTGTAGCACTGCCTTGACAAATGCATTTGTATCCTTGTATCCTAGCCAACAGGTATCCTCATCACTTTTTCAATTATCCATCTGCTTTGTCTTTCCTATAGTTAGAGAGGTAAGCGTAGGTGGTGTGATTAAATCCTGGAAACATCTGCTTCCCTCAGAGTGTGTACACATCAAACATTTAATTAAGAGCTCTCCCTTTGAACAACAAATGCCTGGTTTTATGTGCCCCAGAGCAGGAATCTTATAAAGACCAGTAAATCTTAATTTCAGTGCCCAATAATGCAATTCTCTCAATCACAAAGGGGGCAGTGTGTTTGTGTCAGATGGAACCAATGAGCACCGTGAAAAAGAAGAAAACAAAGGGGGATAGTCAGGGATCGAACAATCGTGCTATTACATGCCGGATATGCAGCTACAAAGCATCAGATACAAGATAAAGAACAAAAATCTGAGCAGAGACAGGAGCATTAGTTTAGTGTGAGGGGATGTGAACCAACCTTGGGTGCAATCACATACTCCTTTCAGGGCCTTCTCATCTTGAGTGTAATCTGTAAGAGATTAAAGATAGTGAACTTGTTGGTCTTAACATGCAGCACTGGATTGTCTGTTAAAATCATATCCATATTAAATGTAACAGCTATAAAACTGTTATCTCTGATAGTCTCTTCAATTAAGCACAAAGTCAGCAAACTGCTCTTTAGAGCTCCTGCATGGGAGAAAACTTCTGGTTCAGAACAGTACATCTTGTTGCTTTGCTGATCTAGCCCAAAACATGTGTAACATCTGTTTTTTTCAACCTTCAGGCATTAAAAGTGAGTTTGTTCTCGTGCTGGTGATGGTCTTGTTTGTTTTTGTAGATCATGTAGGGATTCAGTTTTGGTGTCAGTGTCTTTCATAACCAGCTTTAAAAAAAAAACACTCAAAGAACCTCTTTTAGGATGCTGCTGAATCGCACGAAAGAGGGAGAGTGCATTGCAATAAAGCTAGTGTAATTAAAGATGGTGTGACGTTGAGGGTAAAAATTGAAGAATTTAAAGTTTTTGTTTTAACAGGAATGTGGTCTAGATTTGAACAAGAAATAAAATGGTACAAATGTTGAAATTATGTAATAGAGAAATAACTTTCTGCTCTTTTCCAGATTTAAACCTTTGAATAGATTTAAAAAAACATTTCTTGTTTCTGCTGATGTCTCCCTGTCACCTGTCATCTGCAACAGCAAATGAGCCCATCTGTTTAAAGATAAGCTATTTCTGAAAAGTGAAAACAGGGAAAACAAGAGCCAGTGATCGGGTTGGGACCAGGAACAAAACGATTTACGGCACTCAGACCAGAGACGACACGTGTATTTTTTCTCTTTATTTTGCACTGAAGACGGCCATTTTACTGTCACTACACAAACGCTGACAATGTCTTGCTGCATAAGACTCCTGCAGACACCGTGTCATGCCATAGCTGCAGCCACGCAGTGAGATGCTAAAAAGTCCCTGCATTTTTCACAATCAATCAATCAGAGACAGACCATGTTATAGAAGAAAAAAAACACATTTTGAGATTTGACTCTTAAATGTATGTGAATAAAGTTGTGAATTTATGAGAAGAAATTCTAGCTTTTATCCTTAATTTTTATTTGAAAATTAGAAGAGCTGCCAGTCAGCTGTTCTAAGATAAAGAACATGAAGTATTATGTGAAGTGACACTCTTAAATGACACAAATCTCAGTCTTTTAGCATATTGTCACCAAATGATTAAAAGTATCATGATCCTGAATCGACTGTAACAAAACTGAGTCCACTCTGAAAAAGGACAGCTTTGATTTTTCCTTGGGGATCAGAACAGTTCTTCTTATTCTTAATGGCTGTTTTGTATAATTTCACAAGATCATCCACAGTCCTCGTTTTAGTGCAGGCGGCTCTTCTAATTTTACTTATTATGTTGTTTAACATATGGATTGACCATCTTCAGTATTTAAGACGTCATTCTCATAAAATTAGGGTTAGGGTTAGTCTTATAAAATCGTAAATCAATCAAAGTAATGTTCAAACTTTGCTTTCTCCGTCCTTTAATGTGTCCTTGATCCTCGTTTTTAAAATTTTGAACAGTCCTGTTAAAAAAATTGACATTTACATTTTTAACTTAAGGTGAGAGAAGAGAGAGTTCACTTGAGTGTAGATGGCTCTGATTTCCAAGTTTCCTCCTGATTGGTCCAAGACTGCAGGTATCACAGTAAGAAAAGTTCAAACCAAACCAGTTGGTCTGCATCTGTCAATCCTGAGGAGAAGGCTGTGACAAGATCTAACTTTTCTGTGTTACAATCCATTTTTCCAGGAACTTTACTGATCAACCCAATGAGTTTTCATGTTTTTAATGGTGGTCCACCTGAATAGACAGATTTTATTGGCATGCAGAGGAACGAGAATTGAAAATAAAGCTGAATGAGAAAGACATGTTTGATGGTTTCTGCGTCTAAATGAGCTTTATGAAGAATCAGCCGGTAGAAATGTCCCTCAGAGTTCTACTTTTCATTTTTGTCCTGTGAGTTTATTTCAGATCCTTCATCACCACTTTTAAAAAAGTAGATTTTCTTGTGTTTTTATCAGATTTATTTTTTTCTTGAAGGAACTGTACTTCTATTTTTTACCACTTCTGTCACCTTATGTATCCTCTTTTACCTGCACCGATGACCGTCATGCTCTGCATCTCTTTGAGGAGTTTTGGGATGGACGGGTCATCTCGTGAATACAGAGCGTAACGGTTGATTCCCAGGTGGAACTTCACCCAGGTGGCATCTGGGTCAAAAGTCACGTCATGCTGGGTCACAGTGATGTTGGACAAAGCTGCTGCTTGGGTGTAAATCTTCATATGTCTAAGGAGGCAGAGAAACACTTTAAGAAAACGTTCTGATATACGAAAAATGTTCTCATACGTTTTCTCTTCTTCAGAGTTCCTGTGAATACTCTGACTGAGAAAGACCAGGGCTTTGGCTGTGGTCTAGATACACTTGGACTGCTTGACATACAAAAAAAATTTACTCTTTTTAGAGGCAGTATTTTATTTTGGAAGGACTACAGAGCACTTGCATGGCAGAGAGAATCCAACAGGTTTTCTTCCACCATTTAAAAAAACATGTAAAAGTTACAGCAAAGGAAACAGATATTTATTTAATTCAAACTTACAAAATACTCGCCTGTGGCCAAGTATGTCATTCACATGTCTAATGTTATTGGTCACCCTACCAGGTCTCTATTGTCTCAAAAGCAGCTGTAACACATCTTTAAATTTCCACAGCCTCCTCTCCTCTACTCTGAGCTATACTTACAGCCCGAGAGGAGGAATAATCTGAGACCAAAACAAATAAGGCTGTGGTTAGAGAGCGCGCCCACATCGCCAGAGCCAACCGCACTGAGTAGGATGGTCATCTCCTAAAACAAACTCCATCACAGGCTGAATAAAGCACCAAAAGAAGGGATAAAAATACGAATATGTTTAAAGGTCAAAGGCCAAATGCGGGATGAGAGTAATCAGGATAAATGTAGAACTCAAAGAGCAGAGTCAGAGAGCAGAGTGGTGGATGTTTACCAGATTGAAGCTTTTCATGATTGATCATCAGGAGGTGATAAAGAATGTTTTCAGGTTTTATGTGGAAATAAGTTTTAGTTATGTTGGAGCAGCCGCTAACATAAAAATCTCCAAAAATGTTGGTGTCAGGATGGTGTTGCAACATATTGCAACCCTTAAACAAGCCTTCGGGTTATCCATTGTGTTTGTGCACAGCAGAGAGCACATCCAATCCTCATATTTCTTCCAGTTTTCCAACGTAAGAGCCCAAAATGTGTATCTCACTGTGTGCGGCATCCACAGACTGCCTCGCAAGCCAAAACAGCAGCGGCTCCCACAGCGTAATACAAGCTTTAGCAGCTTTAAATCGCTGTTTACCTTAAAGTGCGTGCTCCAGACGTGAGCTCCCAGGGATGACTTACTCTGGGGTTGTTTTTTTTACACGGCATTTAGGCTTTTTATGACGCACAAAATAGTCTTAACACATCCTGACATTTGAATGTGGGTGTAATGCTGTTATCAGAGTGTGTTTACGTGCGCAGATGGCGTGTTTGTCTGTCAAGTCAGTGACCCTGCCCTTTGAACACAGTCAAGCCCCGACACGTGCTTTTCTCTTTCCCAAATTAAGTTGAGTAACATCAGAGAAGAAAGTCACATGCGGTCACAAAAGAAACTGCACTGTGGATAAATGTAGCTAAGTCTGGATGTGATTTTAAACTTTAGAAAAGTGGCACCACAATCTGACCTTTCCCAGCGTGACACCTTCCTCCTGTAATACTCCATCAGCTGCTCCGCCTGCAGCAGCCTCTCCTCCGGCCCCAGCAGTGGAGTCTGGATGTTGTACAGTGGATGGGAAAACAGCTTTTCCAGCTTTGAGATGCCATCGTCGAATCCAGATGTGGTGACATCCAGTGGTGGACCAGATGTCCAGTTTGAGAGCTGTGGGGAGGCAAGACCCCCGAGCTTGGGGAGGGTGAAGTTTGTGGGACCACATGAGCAAAGGTGTCCTGATTTGTGCCCCCTGCTCCTCAGCTTTGGCAGCAGGATGAAGTAGAGGTCAGCAGAGAAGATGGCAGTGAGGATCGTGGCTAAGAAGATCCGGTCCCTCCTCATCATCAAAACTAAAGAAGAAAAAGGGAAAAAGAAAAAAAAAAAAGCTGTAGATGGTCCTGACTATGTCCTGGATGCTAAAGCATCACTGGTTGTCCGCCTCTGGTCTCTCACACTCTCAGCCAGACTTGAAGTGAAGCAGTCAGAGGTTGGTCCAAGTCTCCCTCTTTCTCTTCTCTATCTGTCAATCCCTTCCAGCTTCGCTTCTTCTCCTCCTCCTCCTCCTCCTCTTCTTCCTCTTCCTCCTCCTCCTTCCTTGGCAGCAAAAGAGCCGAGTTGAGAGCGAGCATGTGTTCGCAACAGTCACTGACAGTTTGGCTGCTTCCAGGGACCTGCTGCTGGAGGGAGAAGACGGCAGAGTGAGAGAGAGAGAGAGCGGGAGGGAGTGAGTGAGTGAGTGAGCGAGAGAGAGAGAGAGAGAGAGAGAGAGAGAGAGAGAGTACACTGAGGGTGTGTGTATGCAGGTATGTAAACAGACATCAAATGTCGGGTTTGTGGATTGAGAGTGAAGTTGGTGCAGAGTGTTTTTTGCTGTTTTTCTTTGCACTTTCTTGCAGAAAGATTGTGAATACACAAGAGCAGATTTAAAGGTTTGTGTGTGTGAGTGTGCAACTTGCCTTGACATTGCTTTTCTTCCAAGACGGCAAACAGACAGGATCCCCTTCCCTCTGTCATCTTCCACTCTCCTCCTCACTCACTCTCACTCCTCCCTCATCTCATCAAATCTCCCACAAATCCCTCCTTTCTCATCATCCCTTCTTTAAACTTTTATCCTCTTTTCTACCTCTCTATTTCCTTCCTCTTTTCCTCTTCCCTACTCTATCGCTGCTTCTTTTGCCACAGAGCTCTGGTCTGTTTCGCTTCAGGCAAAAAATTCCCAGCTGCACTCTCCTTCCTGCTGCTGCAGTTCCCACACATGAATCCCCTCACTTTCTGCCTGTCACGCTGATCTGCACAGAAATGCATGCTTTAAAAAAAAATAAAAAATAGCAGAGCTGGGGGAAAAAAATTCAACTCTTGCACAACTTCAAATGAAGCAACACACAAGGAGAGATAACACCTCCCCTCGTTCACAAGCCACCTTTTCTTTCCTCTCCTCCCTCTCCGGTTTCTGGCAAAACACACAGTGTGTAAATGTCGCTCTGAAAAGCCTAAAGCAGCTTAATTCTGGAGCAAATGAAGATCTCGCCGGGCATTTCCCAGCCTGCATCTGTGTTGTTGTTTCTGCGGTATTTTGGAACATCTGTCGTCTGTTTGGGTGTGTGTTTGTGTGCGTGGAAGTCTGGCAAAATTACACATCTACGTGTAGGACTTGTTCTCCAGGGTGTTTTAGCCGCTCTGAAGAGAAAACAGGCTGAGGACTCTTGGAAATTAGTGAAAAGAAGATTTAGACAGATTGTGGAGGAGCTTCTGTGGGCACCATCCCTCAAACTCTCTCTCTCTCTCTCTCTTAAACACACACACCCACACATACAGTATATAGAAAGTGTGTGTCCACCTCCTGGGAGGGGTTTTCTGTAGACCACAGCAACGAAAACATAAAGAAATGTTTTTGATGTTTTGACCCAAATGCAAGCTGCACAAAAATCTGCTCGAGTCAGATTAAACCATATTTCCCCCTCCGAGAATGTGTTTTTAGTGACACTGTGTTTAAAACTGTCCTCAAAGGCACAGAAAAGTAATACGCTTTATATTAAAACAGCCAAATCTTACTATTATACAGAACATTTTTAAAACCACATTATTATGGTGTAATTCAGTATTTCTGAGTAGTCCTACAGATAAATCAAACAGTTAAAAGAGCATTTTATGTTTGCTCCAGCTGTGTCTGTTTGTATTTGTCCCTAAGAGAAGATACTCTTCTCATTTCCTCCCCCGACTAAAACATCCAGACCGGTGCTTACAAAAACTCGCTTTTTAGGGATGAACGGACATGCACATGCAAAGTGGATGCAAAATTCAGTGTGGAAAGAAGACAAGCGAAAATAGGACACCGAGTGTTGTGTTACCAATTTGAACAATTCAGTTGATGTGTGATGATAAGCGCAAGGTGGGTGGGGGCTCTGTGTCTGAGTCTGTTTGGTTGATGCAGAAGCTCTCGCTATCAGAAAATACCAGATTTCACACCGCGGGTAAGAGAGCTACAACTCCATGTGACATACAGCTTCTTTTTACAAAAACAATGGACACATGCAGAGGTTAAGATGACAAAAAAGTCTCTCCCTGTTACACCACAACCTGTGTTCCTTTCTTTAGCAACCAAGAGTCAACCTTCTTATTTAAAATTTCTCCTCAAAACAAAACTGTTGCTTTTAGGGAATAAAAGAAAGAAAAAAGGACCATCATTTTAGGGATACTTCCTGGTTAGTGTACTCCTTAACGTCCTTGAGCATCTCTACCAGCGATTTTAAACAATACTGAGTGTTACACAAAGAAGTCTGTTGAAGGGTTTTGTATGCACTGTTTAGTAGATGAATTTTTTTAACCTTTAGATATCCGACCTGTGCAAACTTCCCTGCTCTGCTGTGTTAAAGGTGGGGTAGGCAGGAATCTGTTAAAAAAAAGTATCATTTTTTTGTGGTGCATATACAAAAAAAGCTTTTAATATCAGTCAATAGCTATTAGTTATTGATGACATTTGGTAATTTCACAATATCGCTGTTTTTTGTTACATCTGTGTAGTCAACATTTTTAAATTTTTGAGCGGCCCGCTCTCTCTGACTGTTAACATAGCCATCTTCGCCTCCCCCAACCTGATTGGTTGTGAGGCAGACGCTGCTCCCTCGTGTCGTTCACGAGCCCAAACAAAGTTGGCGTGCTACAATATCAGACAGTAGAAACCAACCGGAAAGTACGGAAAATTGTCTGAATCCACCAACAAAAGCAAGAAAATGAAGTAAATACCGGAGACTCTGGCGGAATAACGGGCACTTAAAAAGGCAGTGGACTGGACAAGAGCTGGAAAGCCGGGTCAACATCAATGAAGCATGAACGTTGGGGGACGTTTCGGGATCTTACAGACCCTGTACCATTTCTGCTGGACAGGAAAACCACTTTAACAAAGTCAGCCAAGTGTCTGTAACAGAAGTCTTTCTTTTTAAACGGGACCTGCTGTGTTTTGTAGCGCTGCTGATCTGTTTACCTCGGGTCCTGGAGTATGTCACTATATCCTAGTTGTAGAAGTCCTGCAAACATTGTGTTTGCTGGTAGTCTGTTGGCATCTACAGTTGCACCAATGCTGTTAACTTTCACATTGACTGGGCCACATTTGTAATTATCTGAAGTATTTATCTGCATTATATCTGAATTTAATTGGAACGATACGAGCGAGCAGGAGCGTCTGTTTGTGGGCGGGGCTTGCTGGAGCAGAGAGGGAGGAGCGGAGGGGAAAATTGGTTGGGAGGGGTTGTGTTTACATTCAAGATTTCTCCCAATACTGACACCTCCTCAGATCCTGTCTACCCCACCTTTAAGGACATCACCGTCACATCACAGAACATCACCGGGGGGGACCCAAGTAGTCCTGAGGTAACCCAAAGGACGACAGTATAGTCCCGCGGGCAGTTAAGCTACCTCTAGCCTACTATTATCCATGTTACAAGCCAGTGTGTTCAGCTGAGTTTATTAGTTTCTGGAGTACTTTTAAATTTCCTACTTCATAATGAAAATAGTGACACCCTTCTCATCTAAATTTTGTCAAGAAAGTAAAAATAAAGATAATTTGATCAAAATGTCAAGCTATCTGCTTAAGCATAGTTAGTTTGAGTCTATTTGCATAAAATCTGACATTTGTTTAACTGACCAAGTGAAGGATGTCACATTAATGAGCAGTAACCTTTCATGAAAGAGAAAAATGAAGGTGGAAATAACTGAACAAGACAGTAAAACCACAAAAATTTAATAAAGTATATAATTCATGATAACACAGGTTTTTACTGAACACCCTCAAGCCGGCTCCATAAAATAAGAGGGGCAGAAAAAGTGTGTTTATTTCTGCATCTCTAGATCTAATTGGACAGGTAGGGGGGCTCGCTTTTCCTCCCAGATGCTGTGAGCTGAGCCTTTTAATGCCAGTCAAACTCTTCTACCACACCCAGGGGAATGCGGGTAGAATCCCAGAGGAAGAATCTCCTGGAAGAAGAAACGAGCAGAAAAATGAGGAACAGACTTTTCAACTTTAGGCTCAGAAAACTGTTTTTACAAACAAAGAGCTGAGCCAGTGAGGCATCCCTGCTTTAACTAATATCTAAAAGACTGAGATGAAAACACTGAAGCCGTCCGACTACAGGAAAAGAGGAATTCACAATGTTGCAGCACAAAATCTGATCGGGCTACTCAACAAAAGAAAAACAGGAAGTTGGAAAGTTTCGCTCAGACAGAAAATACCATAGAAGAAATAAGGGTTTTGAAAGCAGTTGTACCTAGAATAAAACTGCAATAAACTGCCTTTCCTTCATTTATCCCTTTTTTATTATAGCTTACCAAAATTCCTATTTTTTTGGACAACTTGGCCTGTCCATGGAGCACCACAGCCACGGCATCCAGGCCAGCGGAAGAGCCAGTGTGCCCTCATATTCCTCCAGAATCGATCATGCTTTTTCAGTGGATTGTGCCGACCAGTGATTTTATGCTAGCCGCTACTGGATATCTACAAGATTACCACAAGTACAATAAACACTCCCACTATGTAGAGTTTATATAATGCCCTGAAATTAAGTTTGGCCTGTGCAAAACTGGAAAATGAATTGCAAAAAGGTCAAATGACTGTTGATATGATGGATGACAGATCAGTTAATGTAGCTGTAAGGTGCTGAAAACTGAACAACTCTTGCTGAAGAGGAGCCACGTCACATCACACACCACAACATGAGGGTAGTGGAATGAAAAAATGACTATGCTTGAATGTAAAGTCAGTCTGTCTTAGCAAATCCACTGAGGATATTGAATTAACCCTCATTTTTGTAATTTTTTCCTTTAGCTTGAAAAAGGAGACCGAGTCCTTCTGAGAATAAAAAAACGGTACAAACAGTTCTGTTCTGATCTTTATCTCAAATATATTCAAACTTTAACGATCGGATAAAAAACATGCCAAAGCATCCAAGAGATGACATAACTTAAACACACGTGCACTTGAGGAGGGGCAGAAGGAAGCAAAACGCTTATCTGAGAGACCTTTTTATTCACGTTACTGTAAGATGAAATGTCCTCAATGGTTCTGGTAAATATTACAATAAAATCTACAGTGTATGCTACAAGTTTCATTAACCCTGGGGATAAATGTGGCATAGACACAAAAAACATGGGGGAACAGCCAAGTCCTGTCCTCAGATTGAGTTAATATATGTCTGCCTGACAGCAAAGAGTTTGCAGCAGCTCGCAAATTCAGTCTGAAAAATATGTGAATCTTGGCCAGGACACACCTTAAAAAGAGATTACTGATTTCGATGAGTTTTTTTCTCCTGGTTGAATTAAGGGAAAAAAAAAGGAGAAAAAAAAACTAAGCACTTAATTCTGGTGAATTCCTTGTTTGTAGCATTAAAGGGATATTCTGGCGTAAAATTAATTTAGAGTCAAACACACCATAACACCAAGTTAGACACCCCCTCGAGAGATGAATGTTGCCGACCGCTTGCTTCTCTAGTTATACCAACTTTAGTAACGACCGCACGATAGCAATACACAGTCTGAGGAGCCACACACAAACCTCAACCAAAAAGCCACTCTATAGCCACAAATAATGCTCAGAACAGCTCCTAACTTCATCCACAGTACAGATAGGGTCCCTGCCACAGCACTAGCCACCAAACATCTGTTTAATTTTGCCTAATTTCTTAAGCAAAGAGACTAAACACAACTCACCTATTCTCTTCCAGCAGCCACTTGTTGGTTGTGAGACCTCAGGCCAGTCCATTACGGACTACAGCGGGGTGACACAGCTCAAGGAAGAACATTTATGATCATTTCTTTATCATTTCTGTGGAGTAATAATAACCATATTAATCATTTTGCACTGCAGACGTGGTAGTTCTTCTGCCTTAGCGCCTCGGTCTGATTGCATTTTCATGAAGAAATGATCATAAATGTTCTTCCTTGAGTTGCGTCACCCTGCAGCGGTCCTAATGGAATGGCCTAAGGTCTGCTGGAAGAGAGGAGGTGAGTTGTACCAAACATACCAAAATTACTTACTCAAATACATATTCAAATAATTTATGACAGACTTTTTCAACAACAGAGGAGTGTGAAGCTATTGAAAAGAGATGAGTTATTATTATTGCAGACAAATGGTATCGGCAGAAAACATCCAATCAAGGGTGATTGCTGTGGCGGATGTCATCAGACAGACGTCTCCTCTCATGGCTGAAGTCCTCACACAGAGGCTGATACACACAGATTACAGATGATAGCTGTATGGATGTGAGCGGAGGAAACAAAACAGTGGAGATGTGAGAGACAAGTGTGTGTGAGTGGTGTGGACAACCACTGAGTTTGCACTCATCAGCTTCTGATTGTGTGTATAGAGGTTACCAGGGGTCGCTGCGGTCACTCGTGATTGTCCTCCTCAGGGTTGAGAGATGGAGCTAAAGTGGATGACAAGAGACAATATCAGTCAAAGTATGAGTGTGTGTGCAGTGTGTACATAACCGTGTCTGCTAGGGTGTGGTGACTGAGAAAGCACAGCTAATCGCTTATTTTGGCAAGTTTTGTGTAACGGGCAGACAGGAGGGGGAAAGAGTAGGAAATGTCTTGTGGACACACACACACTCAAACAGAAAAACCTTGAACCTTTGAAAAGAAAATTTTAATCTGGCTTGCGTTTCTGGAGCAGAACATTGCCCGAATGTTCCCGAGTCGAGCTCCAGACTTCAGAGGAGGGGAATGTGAAGAATGCCCTGGCTCTTCTCTTCATAATGTGCTGAAATTGGACATGATTTAATCAGAGTATCAGGTTTAATTAGTTTGGGAAGCCATCCTGACCTTCCTTATTTCATGCAGCAGCCGCTCCACACACCCATACGCACGTCCAGAAGGACTCTGACGAAAGTGGTAATTACTAGACGGGACATTCCCAGAGTATGGCCAAATGTGACTCAGGGTCAAGTAGAGTCCAAATGTGTGTGAATGTGTGTGTGCCACACCTGAAACACCTGTGCATGCTAAATGGTTACCTTTGGAGCAGCATTTTTCCTCTGAAGTTTGACCCTCTTTGACTGGCTCAGGTACTCGATCTTTGACCTCGCTACGCCTCACGTCTTCACTTTCAGTCCTCCCCTCTGTCAGTTTTTTCTGTGTTCCCCTATACAAGTCCAAACCAGAGGATATCATCTTTTTGTTGAAGAGTACATCACTTGTGCAAACATAGAGCTGTTTACTTAGGATCCGGCAGGTTTTACAATTTTACTCATGCAACTGGACTCGACAGATCTTTGATCAGTGATCTCTGCAGGATGCCGTTTTCTCAGAGTCTGATATCTCTGTGTTTGTTGTTAGATCTGATTCAAACCAGAACTGGAGCTGGTCCTCATTACTGTGGTGTAGTTGGCCTTCACTCTCTGTGCTCCTTCTTTCATAGTGTGTGTGTATATGTGTGTATGTGTGTGTGATAATGATGCAAACATATGCAAGATTTTAACTTCATAAATGTTCAAGCTGAGAAGTCCTCAGAACAACTTAAGGCTGATCCGCTGTGTATCAAACATCTGATCGGGTAAAGAAACGGGAGTTTCTATTGCTGAAGAGAACATCTTGTGCAGTGGGATTGTGGGGTCATTTTTAAGGCAGATTTTGAATGATAAAACCACAAACTGGTATAAAACATGGTTGTCGTCTCAGTGACTTCACCCGCTGGTTTCTGGAGAAGCGCTGTGAAGCCCAAAGATGGCATTAACCACGATGGAAATTATGACTTCCACTTACTTTTGGCTCATCAAGAAACCAGGAAAGAGGCTGATGCCACAGCTTCACTGCCTGGTGAACAGCTTCAACATGCCCACCTGTCAGTCAAACCCACCACAGCCCTAACTGTGCAACATTGAGCATGACTCTTAACCCTGACACCCACTTGAAGATTGAACAGTTTTGTGATTTGCAACAAGATAACCAACTCAGCACCCTTAACAATCACACATTCATTTATCAACAACCAGAGTCCAACATTCAAATCTGGAAATCTCATAAAACCGCTCACGCTCAAACATGAATTTAGAGTAAAAAAAAAACAAGATGGATGATGATAAACTACATGTCATGACAGACAAAGACAGGACGTAAAAAAGAGACGAAACTTTCCCAACAAACAGCACAAAGCTGTAAAAGTATCTCTGTTCTCATCGTTTGATGTTCATAGCTGTTTTGATTAGCATGTTTAGCTAACAAAGCAATCAAATGTTGTCATGCACACAAGTTGGCACCAGAATCACTAGTTGTTTAAAAATAATTAATATCTTTTAATAGTCGCCTGTAATGCCATCGTGCCTAACCCTAACCCTAGTTCAGGACATTACTAGTTACTTCAAATAAAAAATGAGCTGTATATACAAGGCCTTCATTGTTTTTAATGGAGCATGAAAAAGGCAGGTAACTGTTTTTTTCATACTTGAGGTTGTAGGATACACCAGAGACATGTAATTATGATGCCATGAAAAAACATGTAATGTACATTATATATTGAACAATATGTTGCATAAAGGTTCAAGAAGTCAATCTGGAAGTGTTTAAATATTTGTACTAAAATTTAAATGCCAGTCTATTCAACAATTTAGGAATTCCCCGGTATTACTATGTGCCTCAAACACGCCAGCGTTTAATAAATTGCTGTAAACAGCCGCTGAAATTTGAATATAACCCTCAATCAGCAGACGCCATCAACTCAGTGTCTCTCATTTGATCTAATTTGGATGCTCAATAGTTCGTATGAGTGCGAATGTGTCCTCAAAGCGTGCTCTGACTCTGTCCTTTGCTTCACTGCACTTTCTTCATCCTCTTAAATTTGCTCTCTCCTTTCTGCTTCATGTTACCCAACAAGAGACAGAAACGCAGTGAAGCACACCAAAAGGAGCCTGAACCTCGCCAGAGAGTTTATGACCTTTAACCGAACCAAGTCTATTAAAGACTCCAGTGTCTGTGGAAACAACGAGGGAAGTTTGTTTTGGGGGGCGCACTCAACCATGACGTAGTCCTCTATATTAGATTTGGCACAAAGCACTCAGGGCTCAGGGTTGACATCATAACTTGTTTGGACGTCTCCCGTACACTCTACTATGTGTTGGCAGGAATGAATGATATAATCCTAAAAAGCTGCCATGTTTACACATGTCAACTTTGGATTGTATAATCTAATATGCTTCACAGGCAGAATGAGTTGAGTCAGTTTGAGCATTTGTGGCCTCTGATGCTCCACTCATGGAAGAGTTGGCACGACAATGAGTGACGCAGAGATTCTTTCTGACCCCAAATAGGTAAATCTGTTTTTTATATGAGGAAAGGCTAGCTTTTCCAGGAATTTGCTCAGATTTTTCTTGTCCTCAGCCTTCTTTTTTTCCTATAATTTGACACATCAGCTCATAACTTTCACCTCTTATAAGTAGCTGGTTGGTAGATGTTCCACTTCACTTCCTGCCCAAATGAACCCACTTGATCCCCGTCCACAGTCCACAGTCCAGCAGAGCCGTCAGCCGAAGCAATGAGAACGAACAACCTGTCAGCTACATCGAGGACCTCCACACTTACTATCGCTCCTCTATGTGCTCTCCAACACTGCAGCAGAGGAGGATGCTCACAGACTCCCTGTTAGGGAACACATACATTTAAATAGTGTTTTTTTTAATATCAATTTACTTTAAATCAGCAAGTATAAGACACAAACATGCATTTTCACCGTGTTTGGAATCTCCAATCCATATTTAGAGATGTCCCAGATCTGAATCCGCCCTGTTTTATCTCCACAGACCAGGATGGTGTTTTCAAGCTGGTCAGAACTCAAGGAAAGTACATGATCACCTGGTTCCTCAGAAGCCAAAAACTGGCCTAGACATGTGGAAGAAAACTAAATGAAACTCTGAAATCACTAAGAAAGCAAGTAAAAATCATCATGATTCACATGTCAAAGCTGTTGTGATTGACTTTCAGTATGTGTTGATTTGTGTAACTTCAAAGTGGTACCTCTGACACCTTTGCTCATCTCTTTACTGTCATATATACCCATAACAAGAGTCTTAGTTGAGGAAAGCAAAACAAAGGTTGTTTCTGCAGCTTCATTTGTCTAACATCTACCCTGTGGCAGCTGTTTCAGGATGTATAAAAATAACTACAGTAAAACTCCCAATAAAAGTCTGCCTCCATTAAAGGCAGGGTCCCCTTTAGCAGCAGAATGTGGTTGTATGTTTGGCAAAAGAAGGCAGCTCACAGTGAGACGCATGTATACTTTAATTGTTTATCTGGTTATATTGTGTTTTTTTTTTTTATTTGTGACACATAATGATCTGCTACATGAACTGACCCAATAGAGGCATGGAGAAAACACAGGGACCTGAATGCCATAGGGCTGTTTAAGTGTGCAAAACAAAACCAGCAGGAGTTGACTCTGTTGATCTTTATGAGAAGAGGCAGCATAAATCTTTGTAAAACAGAGGGTAAAAAAGCCCGCTTTGGAGATGTGGGAGGAGCGACAGTGTACACACAGGTTAAAAGCCAGTCTCTTGTTTACATCTTCACCAGATTAAGACAGGGTGAGTTTGCAGACTGATATAAATGACAGCCCAGTAGAATAGATAGAAGTTTTACAGTGTATAGATAGACATAATCTAGCTTTAGGGCCTGTGTCCATCAAAGCCATTTTTCTCTTTTTTTGTGCTGCTAACATTTATCTGCCCCACATAAGCAATAAAGTTCTGTATTTTCAGCACTCAGCATCCAAAGGCCAAAACGACCACAGAGTCAGCAGTCTCTTTTCGCTGCTCCCTGGATTTACTCCAACTTCTGGGACGCAACACCTCCACGCAACACCTTACCAAATATCAATAAAGGGGTGAGACTTCTTATACCAAGTTGGTCTACGATGGCCAAACTGTGCAGAGGAGAAACTTCCCACACTCTTTTTTCAGAGACGATTAAAGCAAACCACAACTACTACAAATACAACAACGCAATTTCTATTAATCCTTTTTGCACTGCCTCTGAGTAACAGCAAATTTGAAGGAAATAAGGCATTTTGGTACAGACTTAATGATCACTATAAAAGGAAGCAGATGTGCTGGGAACAACTTTAATAGCCCAGTAATAGTAAGTGCCCAGAGAGCTGCACTCTATAATAAAACGAAGCAAAATTAAGGCTGTTGGCTCTGCCAGCTCAAAACATGGTGTTAATGGACATAGGCCCTTAAGCTGGTTGTTTGCTTTTAATGCTCATAAAAAAGCTTCAGTATTAATTAAAGTTTGTTGAAAAGCAACAATCTCTGCACATTTGCCTCTTTCAGCTTTTGTTTTCTTCAAATATCTTTAATCACTGAGTCTTTATTGAAGTTGCATTCAAGAAAATACAACCATTTTTAGTTCAGTTTGAAGAGAATCTTCTTGACTTCTATGACAGCTGTACTTTTGAGACCAAAGCTGCCCTTTTTTGTTATGTCACACATCCCTTATGGCACACTCTCAAATTCCTCTCTGCTAGAAAATGCCTGGATACATTCTGTATAGAGGCTTCCACACAAAAACACACACACACATGAATGCATGGGGCTCGCTCGTACACCCATGCATGCTCGTACACATATGCGGCGGTTACAGGGCATGAATCCTTCACCACTAAACACAGATGGGATCTGGAAAGAGAAATAGTTGTGGGCTGCCAGGAATGGTGGAGGCTGGGGGCCAAGTCGACAGTTCAGCCCGACTGTCACTGCTCTGTCTGTCTGTAAATCCATCTTGAAGGGGAGGATCATTAAAACTGACAGCTGCTTGTAAAACACTTGAGCTGTTTGGTGCTTCCAACCCGCTTATAAAGAGCGATTTCTACCAATATTTAAGTCTGTCTCCTTTTTAAATGCTGCTCTTTTGAGTGCTCACTCCTCACCGTAAATGTACGTCTGTCCAGTGACGCTCCAGAAGCGGAGAGTGCCGGCCTGGGATGACACCAGGACACCTCTATTTCTGAGCTTTCTGTTTCCAGCTCGGTGCTGCAGGAATAAGAGGCAGTCCACAGGGGGCAAAGCTCTGGATGCAAATAAACACAAGGAAAACAACAATCAGGAAATTGAACAAACAAACGTTTACTGTTGTTTCTCTATTTCGAAATGACAAATTGTGAAGTATGGTTGGGTATTTCAGACACTGAATTTGAGTGAGTTCAGAAAACAGAGCAGAACATTTCTTTTTGGTAAGTGTGATGATCATCACGAGATTCCTCCATCTGTGACATCACAAATTGAGCAGGTCTCATGCTGCGTTCAAGTTACCTTGGAAGTCAGATGTCTGAGCTTAAAATGACGTCACACACGAGTTACCAGCACTGCAGTTACCAAGTTGGAAAAAAGCAAAATCGGAGGCTAAAACAAGGTGGCTACATCTTCCAAAGTTATTTTAGCGCCTGCCTTGTCCAAATATAACAAGGACAAGGCAAGCGCTAAAATTACTTTCATAGATGTTGCCATCAAATGCTGGTAACTCGGGTGTGATATCATTTTCAACTCCGACATCTGACTTCCGAGGTAACTCGAACGCAGCATTACGCCCCTCCTACTAATCTTTAAACAGCCCTAAATACCTGCCACATTGAAGATTGACATAAAACATTTCGACTTTTTTGTAAATGCACAAAAATATTAGAAATATTAACAAAATGTTTTAAAAGTTCAAGTATAAATAAGCAGAAAAATTCACCCTGTAACTTTGAAAATATCAAGAGGATCTTTTCAAAGCTGGATCAACATGCAGGTAGCATTTTTAAGTTGTTATTTGGTAGGACGGAGCAGGTTTGAATAAACAAAATGTCAGGATATTCTGGATGGTAACATGAGAATAAATTGGGAAAGAAACAGGGAAATAATCCAGCTTCATAAACTTGTTCTCACTCTTTTGCAGTGTGTCAGTGTAAATGATCATACAAGTGAAGCACGAAATGAAGACCGTCTTTGTTTCATTCAAGATAACTCTACACTGAGACAGAATCATAATCAAAGTGTCAAACACTGTTGCTGAGTCTCTCACTCTCTCTCTGTTTTTCTCTGTAGATGAAACAGTGGTCCTTGAGTCTCCAGCTTCCAGATGATGACCTCTCCATCGTAGCTCGCTGTGGCAATGACCCCCAGAGCAGAGCACTGACACACACCCAGGATGTCAGACTTGTGTACTCGACTGGATTTCCAGGTCATGTCTGCTCTCACATACAAATCCTTTAAAAAAACATACATTTACAATTTAATCATCAGCATTTTTACACCGTGATATGATTGCAATTGATCATGTTTCGCAGGTTGGTGCTAGGAAAGAAAGCTTTACAGAAATACAACTTATTCTGCTGTCATCAGGCTCCTTTTTTTACCTGAAAATGTGAAACTCTTGCACATGAATTCCCATCCTGTGACAGTTTACAAATGGTCTGAGAGTGTGTGTAATTGTTTGTGTTGCCTTGTGGAAAGCTGCTCTATTTCCTGCTCTGGTTTACTGATTTTGTTTACACCTCAAGGCTACAGTGTTGTGGTCAGAGCTTTCAAAAAGACGTCAGAGAAGTACATGAGCAGATTTCTAGTGTGGTGCAGCCTTTTTTTTTTTATTATCCGGATGGGATTCTGCGTCATCGTCTGATATCTTTTACTCCTTTTTTGCCTATAAATGTTTTCTTAGAGGCCTGGCTCTGCTTACACAGGGGGGCTTTAAAATGAAAACATCATGAGTGTGTAGAAACAGGATTGAAAATGTGCTGGAGAAGCATGAATGTTGAATGTTACGACTGTAGCCTTCCAGGGATGAATGTAACCACAGAGCAGACATGTTTCAAGGTTCAGAGGTAAAACGTAGCACAAGAATTTGAGGTGTGAAAATATGTAAGTCTGCACACCCAGACATTGGTTTAACAGTTCATGCTGGTGTTGATTCTGGCACTGAGAGTACTTCATCTTTATTTCTTTAGACCTGAGGGTCAGTGTGTATAAATGTGTGGGTGGATGCAGTGAATCTTTTTAATGCTCTGAAAAGTTCCCGACATTTTTCTATGGGCATTAAAAGACACAAAGAGTCAGACTTCATTATTTTTGCAGGATATTTTTTTTCTGTGGCTAAAGTCATCTAAAGCTTAAACTGTTGTCTGCATTCTTAAGCAAAACTCTGCGTTTTAAGCCTCCACCAGATTAGTCACTATGGGGACAGCTGTTTGTTTGGTACTCATCATCCAGCATTCAACATCTGGGGAAGAACTTGTGGACCAGACAAAGTGTGAAGGGTAGGACTGCTGACGTGTGGGTCTTGATGTTTTTAAGCTATTGGGTCATTAGTGACTGTGTGTGCGACACTTCCCAGAATCACCTGTCAGTGAGAAGCTTTAGAGATGTATTTAATGCTGTGATTTTCTCTTTAAAAGGATGGTGCCTTCTTTATGTCCAGGAAGTAATAACCTCTGCTGATACTTTTTTAATAAAGCCATTTTTGAACTTTTAAATTCAGCTTCTTTTTCTTTAGACATGCCTAAAGCTTAAAAAATGGAAGTATATCTTTAATTTTGCTTATTTGTGTGTTATTCTCTCTGAATGCTCTTCACTTTGCTTGAACCTGTGGATGATTTGACTTGGAGAGAAAATTTTCATCATGACTTATAGTCTCCTCATATCGGACCGTAAACCACAGGTTGTTGCAACAAAAAAATAAGATAAAGAGAAGACAGACAGTAGAAGACAGCTGTCAAACAACAAATATAAATATGTATGCTAAAAATGATGAATAACCAGTTAGAGCACCCTTTGGAGACTATGGTCCTCTCAGTGGCCTCTACTATGTGCTGCATGCCCTCCCCTCTTTTTCTATCTCCCATGTTTTCACACTACCCTATCCATTTAAAGCAAAAAAATCACCCAAAAATTTACTTAAAAAAAGGTGAATAAAGAATTTTTAAAAAGATCTTTTGAAACGACTTTAAACTCTTTGAGGAGTCAGTTTTTTCATCAGTTTTTGCAAATTTTTGCTACCCCTCTGGACAAAGCCATACCTCTTATCTATTTGCTTTTATCCTCTCTGTGCGCTTAACAGTGTTTTCTGACAAAGAAATTCCATAATGCTTTTTTGTGGTCAAGTTCCTCAGCTGACACATTCCCCTCTTGTAGCAGTTTCAGACAATGAAAATGAGTACATAGATGTAATCCTCTTGCTGATGGTCTGGTCTGCTTTGGTAGGTCATATAGAGGTATCAGTTCTAAGTTTTAGTCTGTTTTACAACCAGTTAAAACCTCTCACAAGAGCTTAAAAATCCCTGAAACACCGGGTTCCATTAGCATTTCCTTCTATCAGTGTTTAGAGGAATATATTACACATGAACAAACCCTTTACAACTGTTTCTGATCTCAATAGTAAACGCTGCCAGGAATAACCTAGTCGCACATGTCACATCAAATCAATCGGTGCAACAGAGTCTGTCACATTTCACTTCTGCCTGTTGGCACTGTGGCAAAAATGTTAGTTTCTGCAGCCAAAGGTCCTTCTCACCCTGACAGGACTCTAATTTCTAACACACATTCAGGATGAATCATCTCTCATCAAATCAATAATGCTGATCTGTGTTGGAATACATAGATACATAATGTGACAATTTTGGATGTCCATATCAAACCTCAGTGAAGTTTCACAGCAGTGAGGTACATGGATGTTGGTAAAATGCCCAGCAGTGTTTTCTAACCCTCCTGAACAGCTCATTCAGATAACTTGGCGAGACTTGGCCTTAAACTGATAGCAGGTTCTCTTGTAAGGACAAAATCTTGTTCATGTTAACCTTCACTTCATCTCTGCTCTGCACTTTGCTGATCCAGTATGTCTTCGAAAAATTTGTGTATATTCTTTTGGTTGTGTAAGGACAGTCAAAACTATTTTGTCTTCCCAAAGAGGCACGTTTTTGTGTCTTTGGTTCAACAACAGCCTAAATGTAACTGTTTATGTTCTGCACTGATTATGGCAACCTGAGACCGTTCCATCACATGATTCCTAATATATATTAAAGCAGACGCTAAGTAGCAAAAGCTAGCCTCAGTCATTTCTGCACAGGAAGAACTTTCAAGTTGTCAAGATAAAAAGATCATTTTTTATTTTACCTTGGTGGCTGAAATGTTGTACTGAATGATCCATTGGCTCCCCCCTACAGCCAGCAGCTGGTTGTCATGGAGACAGGTAAACCCGCTGACTTCAGACTGGGTGACAGGTTCCAGCTTGTGCAAGTTGAGGCCATTTAATAAGTTCCACACCTGCTCAAAGGGGAATCAACGCATTAACAAGCAATTATTTCTGCTTATATTTGATACAAATTAAATCCAGAGTTTGAACAGATTTTTGACCTTAATGGTGCCATTGGAGGCCCCTGTGATCAGTCTTCTGTGAGAGGAGTCTAGTGTCATGCAAGTGAGTTCTTCCTCCCCATGTGCGTTCTCAATCTTCAGCCTCTTCCTCCCTGTCTCCACGTCCCACACACATACAGATGAGTCAACATGTCCACTCACCACCTGTCTCAGAGTGGAGTTATACAGAGCACAGGAGAGGGCAGGACCGCTGTCAACACTCTGTCTACGTTCCTCTCCTTCATCTGTCAACCACCCGCCTGCTCCTCTTCTTGTGTCACACAGATGAAGCAGAGCGAGGTAATCTTTGCATGCAATGATTAAATGAGGCTGGTCATGCTGAAGAAGAGGAGAGCGATGGAGAAGCAGGAAGGGGAAATTCCCGTGTTCCAGGAGTCGACCTGGCTGTAGACAGGGGAAATGCAGGCGGAGAATTTTCAGACACTGATGACTGGAAATGTCCCAAACTCTTAACTCCTGAAAAAGACACAAATAACAAAACATCAGCCAAAGGGATTTTTAATGAAAGCAATAAATCTGCTTAAAGTAAATTAACGGAGACGATGAACAAAGTAACCTCCTGTCACTTAAAAATGAAGTATTAAAGCTGATAAAGTACGATTGAATCAGAAATCTACCACCAGACTTTTCATTAGAACATTAAAAAGAGTTGAAGCTAATCTGCTTTCATGACTGATTTTAAAGCTCTTTTATGGGTTTACAATTCTCTAAGGGGTTTTGGATGACTCTACATAGCTAACTCTTTGTTATTCAAACTTCTTTACAGCCTCTGTGGAGCTTTGTTAACGTATATTGCAAAACAAAATATACTGCAGGATTTTTTTTTAATATGCACAATGGAATAAAGCAGTTATCCATTCTTTTTGCCTCTCCCTTGTTAAGTTTAATCATTTTGATACCCTTATTTGTTCCTACAATAATTAATATTTAATCTGTTAATTGCTCCTTGCATATTCTCATTCTTCTTTGTGCCTGATTTTTCTTTCACTGTTTATAGGATTGCTTTGTTAAACTAATAATCATTTATCAGCATCGGTGAATCAATTCCAACCCCCATTATTTACCTCAACTGCATTGTTACAAATGATATCACTGCTGTGCTTTCACTGTAGACTCTGTGTCTTTAATTTTCCATAAATCAGACTAAGATCAGTCTGTTATTAAAATATGCTGTTCCTCTAAATGGTAAACACAATTTTTCCACCATCTCTGGTATTGTAATCAGACATCTGCATTCACTTTTGTGTTATTGTTGTTTGTTTCTATCTGTCTCTTTCTGTGTCTCCCTTTATCGCCTGTCTAATCCTGATGTAGTCTCAGCAGATAGCTGTCTAACATGAATTGGGTTCTGCTCGAGGTTTCTGCCTTTTGAAAGTTTTTTCTCTCCACTGTAACTTGATAAATGCTGAAAGGCTGATTGATTGATTGATTGATTGATTGATTGATTGATTGATTGATGGATATGAAGGATGAATGAATTTCCAGTGACTTTGGTACCTGGTGTTCACCTGGATATAAATATTTATTTAAACTCAAAATTTTTGACCAATCTCAGTCGAGCTAAGGCCACGGACACACAGCACGCGCGCGGAAGCGCCGCGCGCGGAACGGCTCGCGCTCTGGAGCGCGGGTGCTCCGCTTCTCTCTATTTTCGGCGCGAGCCGCGAGCGCCGATGTAAAGCTCAACAGAGCAGATCGGACCAGACAGGAAGTCAGGAAGGAGATGCGAGAGAATCCGGTCAATTTTCAAAATAAAGTAAATTTCAATAAATTAGAAAAGGATTTACGGTGTTGCTTGTCAGTCTATTTTTTTTACCGATGAACACACACACACACACACACACACACACACACACACACACACACACACACACAAACACACACACGGAGGGAGAGCTGCAGAGATTCAGTGATGTTATTGAGACAAAGAGGGGGGGGGACTTTATTACGATACAGTCAATAGCCTCGAGCTAACAAGGCTATACATACAACGGAGTCAACAGACTCCCCAATTTGTGAACCAGCTTCCTGTGTGAACCAGCCTGGTTCACACAGGAAGCGCCGCGCGCGGAACGGAAGCGCCGCGCGCGCGCGCAGCGCCGGCTCGCGCTTGGCTGTTCACACAGGAAGCGCTTTCTGCTGCGCTCTGACATGCCGGTCAGACATCGACTGAGCCCGGTAGTGCTCGGCCGTTTCCGTCTGCCCTCAGTTTTCCACACTTACGAGCGCTTTAAAAATGGGTAAATCACTATTTATTTACGTTTTTATTTCGTCATCCATGAATTAAATATTGACAGCATCTTCAAGTAATGTTTTAAATTATTATATAGGGGTAAACGACGAATAAATTGGGGAGTCTGTTGACTCCGTTGTATGTATAGCCTTGTTAGCTCGAGGCTATTGACTGTATCGTAATAAAGTCCCCCCCCTCTTTGTCTCAATAACATCACTGAATCTCTGCAGCTCTCCCTCCGTGTGTGTGTTTGTGTGTGTGTGTGTGTGTGTGTGTGTGTGTGTGTGTGTGTGTGTGTTCATCGGTAAAAAAAATAGACTGACAAGCAACACCGTAAATCCTTTTCTAATTTATTGAAATTTACTTTATTTTGAAAATTGACCGGATTCTCTCGCATCTCCTTCCTGACTTCCTGTCTGGTCCGATCTGCTCTGTTGAGCTTTACATCGGCGCTCGCGGCTCGCGCCGAAAATAGAGAGAAGCGGAGCACCCGCGCTCCAGAGCGCGAGCCGTTCCGCGCGCGGCGCTTCCGCGCGCGTGCTGTGTGAACAGTCTCATAGGTTAACATGGGCGCCGATCCGAAACTCTGTGCGCGGCGCTTCCGTTCCGCGCGCGGCGCTTCCAGTGTGAACCAGACGTGAACAGTCTCATAGGTTAACATGGGCGCCGATCCGAAACTCTGTGCGCGGCGCTTCCGTTCCGCGCGCGGCGCTTCCAGTGTGAACCAGACGTCAGACTGCACCCACCTCTAAAATAAGCCATGCACCTAATTATGCCACTCTCAGCCTTAACAAACTTGTTACATAAAGAAAGGGAACATTAAGAACACAATGAACTTTAAAGTTGGAAAACAAATAACTCGCTGTGTAACATTTTAATTTTAGATATCAGAGAAATGAGCCATAAGAAAGAAAGTGTTTTTGAAGTAAGCTGTAAACATATTAAATTTTGCTAGAAAAAAATGTTCTTATTTCAAGTAGTTATTTCTTAGCTTTTGGAGCCTGTTTCAATTGATACTTGTTAAACTGCAGTTTCATCATTATCATCTTAAATTTTCTTCTTCTTCTTGTTGTTATTATTATTATTATCATCATCATCAGTGTTTTGTTAGTTGCACCTGATTTTGTCAGATTTTTGGTGTAAAATTTACAATAAACTTTTTGATTTTCCGTTTTATGGTAATACGCTTCGTTGTCTGAATCTTAATCATTTTCCTTATGTAAGAACACCAAACATAAGATGTTAAAAGCGCAGTATTTGGTGTTTCAATTTTATTATATTGTCTATATTTTTTCTGTTTATTAAAAGGCATTTTCAATTATTTTTCCATCATTAGTTTCTATCTATTGACTCACAGCATCTCTGGAGTAGCTTAAAATCTGCTCAACTGGTTCATAGATTGCAACGTCCAGCACAGGGTTTTTGTGACCCCGCAGTGTAGCTACAGGACTTGAGGTCACAAACCGAGTCCACAGTGTGATTGTTCTGTCACACCCGCCTGTCGCCATCAGCTGCAGAGATTCGCTATAGTCGAAACATTTAGATCCCTGAAAAGAGACATAAGACAAAGTCCTTACCAAGAATATTTTTTTTTGTATAGACAGAAACATACAAAAGCGAGTGAATCAAATAATAGAAATAAAGCTCCACAGGGGAATTTCTTTTGGGCGGGTTCATTGTTAAAACCTCCAGACAGCAAAGTGGAGTATAAAATTAGTGAACGCCTTCATAAAAACTCTAGTGAATAACAGGAAGCTTCACCACCCACTTTAATAAAAGTTTTGTGCAAAAGCATTACTTCTTTTCTCCACAGACTGTGGCAATGTTGGCCTCTGAATGCCTTGGAGGAGTCATAGTGAAAGAAAAGGGACTTGTGACCTGTCTGTGTCTTACTTATTCCATTTGATTAAACCGGTGGGACTAAATCCAGTGCGGGGGGCGCTACTTTAAAAGCAACCTATAAATGACTTCCAAATGGAAGAAGTTAAACCACAGCAAAGCCGCTCTGGTTAGTGTGGTTTACTTGAACGATTCAGAAAATGTATTTTAGACTACTTAGTAAAAAATTCCTAATTGATGATGACCAAGTAATACACATTAAGACAAATTTCACACTGCAAAAATGTGACATGCCAGGAAAAATAAAATGGTGCCTCCGGATTAAAAGAAGAGTCTATTTTTTACACATAGAAGAGCCAACTTCCTGTGTTGACTGATTAAGTCTATGCAGGAGTGCATAAAACAGCAGTTCCTCGTGCATCCATGAGCCATGACCTTCAAAACCTGCATTAAAGAAGACTGGAGCAGAGTTAAACATGTTTACAGCCTGATTAAAAAAAGAGCGTCAGAACTAGAGCCAATGCAGGTGGGGAATGCCACTGAGACTCTGTGACTTAAGCAGGAAAAAACATGGAAAAAAAAAAACCCTTTTAAAAATAAAAAGTTTGAGGAGTATTATTTTTGTTTCTATCATTGATAAACAATCAGAGTTGTGTGTATCACCTTCTCTAAAAATTAATAGACAAAAAAGACGTAATCAAAATAATTATCAGTGTGATACGCATGTCTACACAGAAATGTAGGAGAAAATGTTTGACCAGACTTGTGACAGGGAGTCATATACGTTTAAAAGCCATTACCAAACTGAGGAAAAAGAGAAAAAAATCATCACAAAGTTGTAGTTCAGAGGTTAAGGACACAAAAAAATGACAGAGAAGTCATTGAATTAAATAAAAGCTATTTGCATAAATGAAAGTTGCTGAATTATAAAAAAAACTATAACATACTACATTTAAACTACTACTTATATTTAATTTAATCTATTACTCTCAAACACTGTCAAAAAAGAAAAAAAAAACAATAATTTTGTAACAGTTCAGATGGCTTTAGCCCTGGCCATGTTACCATGACCACAGCCCTCTCAGGTAGGTCAATGTCACCCACAACAGGATGCTGTGACCCACAAGGGTCAGTCTGACCTTGATCCACTTCAGAAGCAGATAAAACTCCTACAGTCTGTTTGTTTTCAGACTGTTTTTTCTCATACTGTTGCTCATATAATAATGAGTCAATACTTCAACTGCATGACCACATACTTGATTTTAATATTTACCTGTCACAATATATAGGATGAGATTTGGTGAACGACCTATGGAAGATGCACCACTCAGTTATCTATAATGAATGGCCTCCTATACAGCTTCAGGTTATTATAGCCAGTTACCTGTTTAACTTTCCAAATGTAAGGCTCCTGCTTCAGTGAAATATTCATAAAGACAACAGATGTGTCGTCACTTTCTGATGATGCCATAACAACGTTGGTTCTGGGCTCGAACATCACTCTGTTGATTGGTTCCTTGTGGACATTTGGAAAGTGACTGTAGGTGACCATGTCGCTGTGTTCATGAAGGTCCTGTTGTCACAATGGAAAACAATAAATGCTAAATAATAATAATAATAAACAAATCCCACACTGTTTCCCTGAATGATCAAGAGACTTAGCTGAGTATTGTAATGGAAAAGGTCAAGCTCACTGGGAGGAAGATCCTCTGTGGATGTTTTTCTCTCTTATAGCGACTCTTGAAAAGGCCTTTGGGTGGGCTCAGGAACCGCATGAGGTGGATTCCTCCCTTTTCATCCCCCAGTAGCAGCAGAGATGGTTGTTCAAGATGCTAAGTCAAGTAGTAAACAGATCATTTAATTTTGTTAAGAATGAATTTTCCCACTTAAAAAATATCTGTAATATCTGTTGTAGAGTGGTCCTACCTGAGCATCATGCCAGTAACAAAGAGCAGTGGGGACACTACGAAACCCTGAAAAAAAGAAAAAGAGTTTCTTTTAAATTCAGAGTTTTGATTTGCAACTTATTTTAGTATCATCTCAGTTTAGTACACTGCAAACAAAGCTACTTCACCAAACAGCTGGACATCTTCAAACACACTGGCAGTTGAGATGTCCACAAAGTGCAAGTCCCTGCAGTCAGTTGCTATGGCAACCTTGTGGAAGTTGCCCATGTAGACAGCATCTGTAGTCCAGCCTCTGAATCTCCTAGTGTTGGCCACTTCTTCTGTCAAGTCTCCAGCAAGCTGGATTAATTAAGTTTGAAATGAAAAGTGTGGAGGGTGTTAAACATTTGTCTGGATGTAAAAATAGTACAACGATGTCACTCACCCCTGCACTTTTGAGGATGTGTAGGCTGCTGTTCCAGACGGTGACCTGACCCCCCTTACTGACACTAATGTAGCGGAGAGGGGGAGGATGGGAAACAGCAAGCACACGAACTGTCGGCTGCCGCTGCAGAGGAAAGAGTTTAAAGATAATTATTGAAAAAGGTCAGTGGAGAAATGAAAGTGTTAGTGTAAGAAAAAAAAAGAGTTTTAGAAAGATGGAAATGACTCGAAAAACTGAGTACTGTGGGATGAAATATAGCTACGCTTAGCATAACTTCCAACAGATGCTTCAAGAAACATTACATCAAGACAATAAATATTTCAGCTTATGTTTCTAATTTACTATTAATAAAGGCTTGTGCTTTATATGCCGAATTATTTATGCTTAAATACAGCAGCCATACATCTGGCTAACAGGGCTGATAGCAAACATCAGACAGTCACACATACTGTAAAGCAAAAGCAAAGAAACACTTTTGAAAATGACTTTTCAGCCCCTTACTGTGTCTGTTAATGACTATTAATGTTAGTCTCTTCAGCAGGCCTGTCAGTAATCTGTTAAATGTTGATTTCTTCAACAAACATTGGAGAAAATGGAACTTTAATCCTACCTTGTTGTGGAGACAGTGTATGATTTGTGGCTTGGTGTCCAAGAGAGCTGATCTGGGGATAGAGGAGCGCTCTCTTTCAGTGTACTCCAACTGCAGGTAGGAAACCAGCTTCTGCCAGCTCATCTCCCCACTACAGCAACAATCTACCTGGATATGAAGCAGTTCAAAGACTAACAGTAGCCTTCAGTCTTTCATTTTTAATTTTTATCACAAAGAAATCTGTTTTTTCCTTACCTCATTAAAAAATCTCTCAATCCATGAATCCTCTATATCAGAACCCACTACAGACTTAACAACTTCTCTAAACTCTTCTAACTTCATTCCTTGCTCTTCCTTTCCCCCTCTGTTCTCTCGTCTTCTTTCACACGGCCTGTTTTGATGGACCTGGGCTCCATCTCTTGGACAGGTAAAAACATTTCTCAGGAGCTGCAGGTGAGTTGTAGTTAGCTTCTCTGCAGGGCTGACTCCACTAGCTGCATCACTGCAGAGGAGAGTAAAGAAGAGTACAAAGAAAACAATATGATTTTAACACCACGAGGCTAAAAGGTGAATGATTGCATGCCGAATTTCATAGCAGTGGCATTAGGGGATAAATGGCATGGCATGACATGCATATGACTGACATTGCTGCTATTTGTGGTATCTGCTATGAAAGGTTTGACTGACTATAGTAGCTTGGCCAACTGCTATCCACGCCAGTAAAATGCCCCCCTAACCCCCCCCCCCCCCAGAAAATCCCCAAAACATTAAAAGCAACTAATGAGCAATCAAACGCAAATCCTCAATGCAAAAGTTTTGGTAAAATGGGATTATGATGCATCTGTTAGCCTAGCTCCTGTTGCTAAGCTAAGCGGTCACTAGCTGGTGCTTAAGCACTTTGGTCATCACAGAGGCACCGAAACAAACACACTATCAATACAAATGAAAGATAAGTTAGATAAATGAATACAACAATTTATTAGCATAACTTTGTTGCATTTAGATGTCAATAAATAAATGTTTCTTAGCATACTGGTAGCGTACCAAAAACAGGAGCGACCCCTAGTGGCACCTGGCAGCAGAGAGTTAAAGCTAAACCAGTAAAATGTTAGTAAATGTGGCTTTTCCACTGTAACCTCTCTCTGAGGTAAAACCATTATTGTTCAAGTAAGAAATACAAAGAAGGAAAAGGGAAAATCAAAGAAACAAAAGAAAGCAGTAATGGGTGAAACATTTTGAGTCTCTCAAGCTTTCGGCTGTGGGCTGCTAACCGATCTGCAGCTGATGTTAGCTTAGCCTTTATGTAAGGAGTTATTCATGGTACCACTAATCACATCCAAACAGGACCAGCACCATGAAGCACTTTCGAGACTGTATTTGTAACAAACATTAATGGGATATTCAGTATAAGAATCTGTCAACAAGGCAAAATTTAAGGTATCTTGACATATTTAAACAAACGTGTAAAACAAAACAAAAAAAACTACCATCAGGAGCTGTTAATGTTGTTCTGCTAAAACTTATGAGCAAACTCATATAAGTTTACAGCTGTAAGCATTAAAAATTAACAGTGGAGTGACTCTCATTTGTGGTAGGAACAAAGCTAACAGAGAGGTAAATCTGAGAAAATTTGGTACCATGGTACCTCACTCACCCATCAAGGTTCTGATTCCTTTAGTTATGTTTGTCATTAAAGTTTGTCATTGAATTAATGTAGAATGAAAACAGCGCTCTCTGGTGGCAGCTTAGGTAAAACACGTTGCTCTGCCATCACAAAAGGCCTCATGTCACATTGCTCAGTCCCTAATGATGTAAATTAATCATGAGAATGTGTCCTAATTCAACAGCCCAATTGTGCACAGTTGGTAAATGTTTCCAATAAAGAGTAAATGATAGGAGGGTTATTGAGGTTTGGGAGGTAGTTATTAAAAAAATCCTTCCTTGCACCAGTAGCCCCTGTGTGGCCCTGTTGCTCAGGGTAACTGTTCCCTGCAACAATAAGTCACATATCCAACCTGGTCCATTAGGACACTCATGAGTGCCTCTTTACATTAAAGCCATTTGTTACAGCCGACTGGCACTAATGGAGCTGAAAAATAATTAACTGATAAAGTGAATTATGTGCTAGAGAGGGAGCAAAAAGGCAGACCTGTTTGAGCTTTTGATGGAGGGATTGTCAGTGCTTAAGAGGAAGAAATGCTTTTCTGAATCAAAGAAATGTAAATGCAGATGCAGGGCCAAAATGCAAATAAAGATGCTATTATATGGCTTTGTTGTATAAGGTACAGTGACACAAAAAACTGAAAAGAAATTGTAAAAAAAAAATCTTTTTTATATCATGATCAGGTGAATAAGAAAATGATACATTAAACTCACCAAAACCTGCTGTGTGGTACTTCTGTCTCATAAATAATCCAACGATTTTTGTGTTTTTTTGAAGTGTCCATCCTGAAAATCTGAAACTCGCCGTTTGAAACTTTTTGAAATCCCCCAAACTTTAGATACAGCTTTGTGTTTGTCTGCTAGATTTTAAATCCATTTTTAATTCAAATTGGTGAAAGTCTCTGGTCTTTAAATCCATAAACAGAGGTACATCTTGGACCACACAGTTCCCCTGTAAAAGAACTGACTTCAGTCTGAGATACCCCCTCACCAAGAGTCTTGACATGTAGACCCTTTCTTAAATCCTCCCTCTGTCTTTTCAAGCAACCCGATTTCTTCAAACAAAGCTTTGAGTACACAGAGGGAGGGGAATTTCCTGATCCTTAGAGCCGTCCATCACAAGTGTTTGACCACCTAGAAACTGCCTGTCTGCTGGGGGTAACAGAGTACAAACCACACCAGCAGGCCCACAGAGGTTAATCATTTAAAGAAGCAGAGTCAGTCAGGACACAGGAAGGTTAGGATTAGTAAATTTAACACTTGGGCAGTCCAGCTGATTTAGAGTGACGTGGACTTGTGTGTGTTTGACAAGCTTATATCTAAATCTTATATCCTAAATCTTATATCTAAAAGAATCAGACTCTTGTTCGACTAATGCTGATCAGTTATTGACGCAGCACTCCAGCTCACCATTTCCATGAGAAGAGCTAACCCATACAACCTCCCACTATGTATATTCAAGGTACCAACTCCCTGTGGAGTCAGGTCTGCAGGTCAACTCCTATCTCCTGGCCTAACATACTGGAAGCCTAAACACACAAGAATGGGTGTAGCACTAGGGAGTGGAGGAGATCTGACCTATCAGGGCCTGACATGAAATTTTCATTTTTGTTTGCAGCTTTTTATTCCTCTTAGAACAATTCCTGTCATTAGTAAACTCTTGATCATGAAAAGAGTTTCTCTCTGATGCCCATCCTAACCCTTGGATGCTAAAATGGTTTGGTCTACTTGTCTTGTCTCTGCATTTTAAGGTATTATGTTGACATCAGACATTATGATTTGTAATTAATAACTGGCTTTAATGTTAGGAGTGACAAGTGATTTTTGAGGTTACATTTGTGCAACAGAGAATGACAAGTAAAGTAAAGTGACTATAAGATCATTTAACAGGACACAAGTTCATATCTATACATTTTGTATTTTCAATCACAAAGTACGCTATCATGTTTAAAGACTTGAATTTTCTTTACATTTTTTCACTATAGACTTTATATAGAACAGATGTCCTCTGCCTCCTTGATGGTGAAGCCTCCATGAGAATAGCAACCCCTGGTGACTGGTTGCAGTATAGGTCATGAACCCTGCCTCCTCCAGCACACACACACACACACACGTTGTAATGTTGACATGTTATTGTAAGACTGGTTTTGGTGTTCAATTCCTCTTTTTTCTGTGTAGCTCCAATTTTTAAAGTTTTTAAGGGTTTATATTTTCCATGTTTGACACTTGAAACAGCCTAAGGATATGAGAAGATTCCGTAGATTATCTTGGAGATATGCTGCTTGACCTGAGCTTTGTCACAGTGACTCTCCCACCAAACGCTCCTGCACAAGAAATAGAGAAAATCCCGGAAATACCAAGAGCAATCTGGCTCCAACTTTGCACAATGACTAGAGGCGGAGCAACGTTGTCCATACCCTACTACATATGATCTATAATTCTCATGCAGAGCCATTTGTCTTTTGTAGGGACAGTGTGTTGCATTTACCAGCATGTTTTTTGAGGAGACTTGGTAAAAACCATAAGCTGCATATACTATGGACAACTTGGTTCCGCCTTCCACCAGAATACGGATTTGAAGCCAAAAAGCTCTCTGTAATTCTGCGTTTTTTTCTCCACTTCCTGAAACCAACACTTCGCAGTAGCGTTGTACGCACTCCACCACTTGCGCAGCAGCATTGTGCGCATTGGGCTGGAGAGTCGCCCAGAGTCGCTATAATGACGCTTGGCTCAAACAGCATATCCCCCGGGTGAGCAATCTTCGTACGCCAATAGGCTGTATCAAGTGCCAATCATAGAAAACATGAACCCCCTATTCACTTTCAAAAATGGAGCTGTACAGAAAAAAGGACTTGAGCACAAACCAGTCTTACAATAACCACATGTCAACATCGCAACCAGGGCAAGAAAACTTAATATTCTGTGTAATAAATTTCTTAAGTTTGTCCACAGCTCCATAAGCTTTGCTGGGGGAGGCGGGATTTATGACCTATACTGCAGCCTGTCACCAGAGGGTGCTGTTCTCGGAGTGGCTTCACCCAGCGTGGAGGCCGACGGCATCCATTCTATATACAGTCTAAACAAGAACAAGAAGAATTTGGGGGAATTCAATGGTAAAATGATCAAATTCAATGGTCTATGGTAAAAACACAATAACTGATATTCGTAATCTGTAAAATTACCGCTAGACATCGACAAATATTTCCATGTATACACACGGTTCCTTCAGGCAAAGATTGCCCCAATGCCTACAGTCGCGTTATTACATGGTGTGGCCGCCAGATGGAGACAAAGAATGTATATTTGACCCGTGTCTTTGATCAGTGCTTTAAGAGACGAGGCAACATGTGTCACCTGAAAAGTGATACACTTTTTATTTTATTCTTTTTTTCAAGCATTGGATATGCAGATAATTTATGGAGACACTGAAATGTGATAAAATATCCATGATAGCAATTACAAAATGGTTCTTTCTCTGAGTTTGTTTTGTTGAAGTGCACCAATTAAGAGGACACACCCACTTCTCTCACTGCACCTGAGAGGCTGTTGACTGATTGTAAGGCAGCTGCTACAACCTTAAAAATCTGTGAACGGTCACTTGTGTTAAATGCCCTGATGATGATGACCTCTGTAAGTTAAAACGCTTTAGCCTATTTACAAAAGGCTGTTTAATTCTTTAACACAGTATGCCTTAGTTTTCGCACCCTCAACAACATTGAAGTCTGACCCCCTCCCCTTGTTCGGCCATCATGATTATTTCCTTGAGACCTAAAATCACCTGTGTTTGATACTTACAAAGACGTGAAAGCAGCACTCCTAAGCCATTTTGGCTTTATTTTCTATCAGTGACAAAATATTTCTCGGATATTTCTTGACTGTAGCTTTTACATTCACGGAGAGTTGTAAAGATTATTATAAAAGATTTCACAAAGCGTGATATTAACGTAAGGATTGATTCCCTTTGAAAACAAAAGGCGATTGTACCCACTTTTATAAATCTATATAGCCCACTTTGAGTTTCATCGTCTCTTCTCCTCACAGGGTGGCAGCAAAAACTCACTCAGTAGCCTATAATGTTATTCGAGATAATTACACCCCCGTGACGCGCCTTCATTTCCCCTCTTCCTCACCACCAAAGGGACCTGAAAATACTCCCAGTTTGCCCTGAGAGAGCTGCAGTGATGGGGCGGTGAGGATGCCGGAGCACGACCGTCCCGTTAAGACTTTTTACTACATTCCTTAACTTCTCCGTTCACTTTTTTCACTATCATTTTGGGTCAACCTGTCTGGTGCCATGTTGCGGGTCGCTGTACAGTCGGCTAAAAATCTGCCCAAGAAGAAAGTTGGAACTCCTGATCCTATCGCCTCAGTCAGGTTTAAAGGTAAGTCTCATTTTTTAAAAGCTCCATAGAAGTTTTTTTAGTTGAGCTCGGTGAAAAACTTAAGTTTAGCCCCCAAAATAGTCCTAAATAAATGGGAAAGAGTTTACTTTTAGTCAGAAGCCCTTTTTTTTTTTTGCAAGTTTGGCTGCCAGGCTATGACCTCACTACTAATGTGCCTGGTGTTGAAAGGTGGCCCCTGCAGCAAAACTATATCACAATGATCTTTTTAAATCTTTTTTTTTTTTGCTCATTCGCCTGAAGGTCATTATTCACAGTGTTGTACCTTTTAAAAATAAAAAAAAAGTGAAATTAAACAGCTAAAAGTTATTGCTCAATGTTAGACTCCAGCAACATGTCACAGCATTACCAAGCTGCAGAGATAGTTAAGCAGGCACCTTGTTTGAACCTGTACTGATAATATTAGGTCAGTCATATAAGGAAGCTTTTTCATAGAGCAAAAGAGTAGTCTGAAAGCATGTCTTCAGCTGCTGTATTAACATGATATCAAATATAGTGCTGTATAAGAGAAAGGGTGGTGTTTGCCCCTGTAAAGGAAACAATCCTGGCATCCAGTACTGGTCACCCTCAGCTGTTTTCTCTGTCATCATCATCACCCATAGGTGTGGCAGCTTCTCTCTTTTCCTGCTTCCCTGTAAAAGCTAAAACACAGAACTAGATAATAGTATCTCTTTCAATAAGACATGAGCAAAGAGATGTTTGGGAAACCTCTGTTTTTCAACTATTGTGCCATCATGTACTTTTTTGCACAAGTCTACTGTGCAGAATGTGAAGATATTCTATATTTGATAGGCTGTTTCAAATCACTAAAATTTTGTTGCATAAATATCCTCAAATAATTTCACTTTCAGATGAGAAGAAGAAAACAAAATCGATTGACAGTGAGGTGAACCCTGTATGGAATGAGGTAAACCTCCCTAACACACATGCAAATGCACACACGCACACAGTTGAACATACAGATATGCCAGTTCCCCTGTTTATTTTATTTTTGAATCAAACCATTGATTTACTTCCTACTTATACTGTATGTCCCTGTTCACACTACACTAGTAGACATCACATGTTAAGTGTATACTGTGATGATTCTCATATGACTGTCACAGTAAAGCATCCAGCATATCAATAGATGATGTGGCTGAACTCTGGGAATGCTAGAAACTTAACATGTCCCAGCTTAGATAAACTTTTGCTTCCCTGGACAATAAAAAATCAACAGGAGCGCCCTAACCTGTGGGGTTGTTTTCCCTTCATATTGTCTTGCAGGTGCTTGATTTTGACCTAGAGGGCATCCCACTGGACTCCAATGCCTTCATAGACGTGGTTGTGAAAGACTATGAGACTATTGGGAAAAATAAGTAAGTGCATTGGGGCCGCTGAGGCTGAGCTCCCTGTTAGCTTTGGCTTTTGTGTAACAGAGGGATCTCAGTGATGAAAGAGGAACTGCATGCCTCACCTTTCTGAATCACAGAGCAAATAATTCTTGTCTCAATAAGGTCTTCTCAGGAAATAGGTCTGTTCGGTTCATCAGCAGGTAGCTCACGCTGCAAAAGTGTGTGTGTTGGATTCTTCAGTTGTACGGATGAAAATTTTTTGGGTTGAGTTGTCAACACACAACTCGGGTGATAGGAGCTTTTTATGAATCTGGTGTGCAGAATAGAAGATTGTCTGTGTCACACCCACTGACAAGGATACATATCATTATATTAATGTTTTTGATATACAGGGAAAAAAAGGTTTCATAGTATCTCAGTGTTTGAGTTATGCAGTTGGCTGCTGCTACCCCCTCACACCCTTCTTGCCATGCTGGGACTTGCCGGGCTGTGTGGGATGGCTGGTCCTGATTGGGCAACAATAGATGGATGAATCGTTGTTTGTCTTCTTCCTCGCTCTCCTTACGGAAAATGTGTGGCACTCTTTCACTCAGGACAGGAAAACCTCTTAAAGGAAAATGCTTATGTGGCAGAAAACTTGCCAGACTATTGTGTGTGTATCACAACTTTTTGTATGAATGCAAAATGTGCAAAAGTTGCTCCAAAACAGGTCAAGGCTGATGCTTCCAAATAAAGCCAGAATCACATCTGGGACCACTCTACTCAAACCCCAGAGAATGTCTCTCTTTCCGCATCACTAATTACAGCGATCAAAGTCTTGTCTTTGATAACAAAAACAGTCACTGAAAAGTGTATCTGCCTGCATTATTTATGACTAAAAACATTAAAAAGATATACATAGTTCTGGGTAATATGCTCTGCTCTGTAAGTTCCCCTCTTGCATGGGACAGTCATAACTGTGGGAGGAGCTGTTTCCAGCACACGAGTCCATGTTAAATTGAGTAAAGTTTTCCACTGGGCTGGCCCGTCTGACACACTGCCTAAAGATCTACACAGGGGGAGCAGAAACAGGACGTCCCTCTCTCTGAAAAATTTGTATTACAGCTGCTGTTGTGGGTAATCCCTGTTGTCGGAGCAACTACATAGGGAACTAAAACGTGGTCATCAGTGTTTTCTGATTTAATTAGATTTCTGAGAGGAATCACTCGGTCATGGGTCAAAGTTTTATTTGATTAAACAGCATCATCCTCACCATTAGGTCTGCGGACAGTGAGCCAAAAACTAACCAAAAAAACATGATTGAGTCTGATTCTGTTTATTTTAAATTATTCAGGAGATTTGAAGAAGTGAAGCTGTTTAACATACAACACGTAATCTCTGAAAGTATTTTAGAGAAGCCAGAAAAGACCAGAGCCACAGAACTGCAGCTGATCTGCATGATAGCAGCCCTGTGGGGGTGTACTGCAGCCAGCTGTGATTTAAGCTTAATGCTAACATCAGGATACAAACAAACAATTTCAATGTTAATATTCTGCTGTTTTGCACTTAACACTGACGTCTGCACAAAGTACAGATGCTTGTCAAGTTTCATAGTAATCATTCAAAGTAAATGAGTCACAGGACGCAATGCTAGTCAGACATTTATCTTGGCATTTTTGTGAAACTGGTTAAAATTTAATTGTTATCTCCTGATTTAAAGAGCTTTGCATGTAACTGTGATAGAGCTTTTTTATATATACAAATTGTGTGATAAGGTTTTCTGTGCTAAGATGCTGGGTGCTATAAAAAAACAAAGTAAAACTCTTCTGGGAATGAGGCCTGACAAATCATTTGACATCTAAACCTCAGGGTATGCATTCATTTCCTGTCTTATCAACACAACGCCAGACATCAGGGGCTTGATCAGAATATTTCACCTACTTTCACCAGCTTTGTTTATGGAAACATCGCAGCCCTGCAGTGCTGAAAGTGGAGTCACAGTAATAATCATGAGTCTGTGATCGCTGGTGAAAGCGCTGGTGTGAGCTGTATCATCACACCCATCCATCCTCACAGATCTGTGAGGAGAGATGAATTATGAGTAAAAGGAGTGATTATTTATTAAAATGAATCTCTGCCAAGAACCTCATTTACAGGAAGTCACTCCTCCTCCTTCACTTCAGAGTTTTTTTGTTTTTTTTTGGATTAGCCAAGTTTGAACTCCATCATACCAGGAGATGTAGAGAGGCCAAATTGTGAAACTTATCACCTTAGCAGGTCTGTGTGTCAATCAATCAACTAGTCAGTCAGTTTTTACTTTAATAGCACCAAGTTATGTCAATGCGCTATCCAAGAAGAGCAGGTCCGGACTGTGCTCTTAAGATAAATTAAGGAGAACCCCAGCATTAATCCTCCAGTAGGAAACCAAACCAGAAGCAAAGAAAAAAATTGTTTTAGCTGTGAGAATCTTTAAGACAGAACTAACAATAAAACTAATGAAAGATGATACAGATTAATAATTGCCTGGTAGTAAGAATGAAAGCTGGGTAATCACTGATGATTGTAGCAGTTCAAGCCATGTATGAACTGGAATACTGTCACAAGTAAAGAAGGTATCTGCCCCTCTGGACCTGGACTGGTAGAAAAAAGTTAGTCAAGAAGCCGCCCGTCTGTTGTTAGGATGACTATCAACAGCTTTAACACTGGGACTCAGTCAGCTGTGGTGGGATGTTTCCCTGTGACTCATCCTGTTTTGGTCATTGCTCTGTGTGTTTGCAGGGGAAACAATGAGAAAATTTGTCAGTCAAAGCACAGCCGCTGTATCCTGTTCAAAACTTACAGTGCTGAGCTGTATTAACCGTGAATTTTGTAAGGTATTCAGACTGGTGTCACTCGTAGTCAGGGTTTAATGTGTGACTTAATCTGTTTTTTTATTTGAATGCTCTTATCAAAATCAGTCAAGCTTAAAACAGGAAATTTGCAGTATGTTAAATATTAAAGAAAGGAAAGCTTTATGTATGAAAACCTGAACATAACCACCTTTCTGAAAAGTTTTGAGAGAGATGTTTGCAGCTTTAGGCATCTCCTATCCACCCTTATCCACCCTTAGCTAAAGCCTCTGAGAGAAACGAAATCTAAATCTTGTTCACAAGATATTTCAGGTCATATTTGAGCCGACATACCAGGCTTGTAGAGTCACTGACTCCCAAGAGGTTCTCTGTGTCAGCCTCCTTCAGAGCACGCAGTTCAGCCAAAGGAATTCTCCATCATTAATGCAACCAACAAAAGTCCATCCAGCTAATTTGTACACAGACAAAAGTGACTGTTGCCCAAAAAGCAGCTGTCCATGCTCAAGCAGTTTTATAAAGAATATTCAATTGAATAAAGATTTGTGTGAATTCATGCAAACTTGGACAGCTTTTTAAATCATGATGGTTGGCTTGTTCTCACATTCTTGTTTCCTCATGAGTTTCTCCATTCAGACCTGTAAAAAGCTGTTATTACAGGGGAAAAACTATGAAAATCTGGGTCAAATCCAAGTCTTGGCTGAGTCTTTAGTGATGTCATTTTTATGTCCTCAGTAACAAACTGTTTCTGTCTCAAACTCAAATCTTCTCTCATGAACACTGCTAAAAAGTAATGTGTCCACCCAAAGAACAATACGTTTTACATGATGAGCTGCATTGTATCTGAAGTAACATCACACTATATAGGTTTGGATACAACACAGTGAAATCTAAAATGTCTTAGCAAGACAAACACAAAAGGCCAGAGACGATATCAAACAGCTTTGAGACCGACAAATGAAGATTCAATTTTACTTTTATAAAAAAGAAAAATAAAAGAGTCCTTTGGCAACAGTAGGCAGGTTTTGAATAGACGGAAACTTTCCACATTAAGTTTTATTTTATTTTGGCCTTGAATGCCACAGGATCAGTCAGAGGAATGAGTTGTAACATTTCAAAGTCAAAGTCACGCACCTCTCACATAAACCTTAGTTCAACTTAATCTGCATCCAATTCTCACGTTCTGTGTGGTTCACCGTACATTAAAATACTAATTATCACCAAGGTAATCTATTAAAGTCATAGTAAGCAAACACTTGGAAACAGTTTGACGTATTTGCAGAAGTAAGCGGCTATTGTTCACTTGGCTTATTAAATCAACAGTAGGGAAAGTATTTTTCTGCCAGTAAGTTTTCAAGTCTGATGGGAAGTCAGTGGTGGTTCTGTTGTTCAGAGTTGGTACTCATAGACCTTCAGTTGGAAACAAATAGGAGATATAGTTGTAGTCAGTCCTCCATGCAAGAAGTCACAGATGATTGAAACACACCGTGAATCAGCAGCTGGGAGCTTCTGTGCAGTGTTGACTGTATGCCGCCTCATGGGGTGCGTTTGTTTGTCAGAGCAGGCAGGGTTTGTTAGCTCTGGGTGGTGACCTTCTATACTCCTCTTTTGTGAATGTGACGTCTCTCATACAGCGTCTAATTTCTCTGTGGTCTGTAGTATGACTATTGATGTGTGAGCTAGATAGAAATAGAGCTTGAGTTATCCTTAATAGACCGTACTTGCAGTGTCTGTTTTCTTCATTCACCACACACTATTTCTAGTCTTCCTCTATTTCTTCTTTCATGATGTGAAGCGCTTTGTAACTCTGTTCAGAAAAGTACTACATTAAAAAGTCTATTACTACTATTAGAAGCTACAGCTAATGTTAACATTCAGCCAACTCACCACAAAAATAACCTTAAAAGTCAGCTAACATTCCCGCAGCTCAATGCTAACATCACTTACCGTCAAAAACAGCCAATGTTAACAAATATCTAGGTTACTGTTAGCTATAGGAAAAAGTCCATACAAAGTTTTAAGCAGTAAAATCTCATAAAAGTCACAAAAGTCTCATAAAAAGTTTGTTTTGAAAACAACAACAAAAGATACAAGTTGGTAACCATCTCAAATTTTTCTTTGCTGTGTATTTTTCACAGATTCCTTGGGTCAACCAAAATCTCTTTGAGGGACCTTGCCACGGGTCAAGCCAGATCGCTACCATCCAAAAATGTTCCTCTTGCCAACGAGAATGGACAGGCTACTGGGGTATGTTTCTGTCTAACCCCTTTAGACATTTATCCTCCTTTTGAAAGAAATGGTTGACCAGCATATCATTTCTTTCCAGGCTACAATTGACCTCATGGTTAGCTATGATCCGCCGGCCAATGCTAACCCTAACCCCCAAGACCCTAACTCAGGAGACACTGCAGTGGATGGTGGTATGTTTCTGAAACACTTTCTAATGAGGTCAAGAGTCAAAAGTTGGATTGTTTTTGATGGAGACTCATGATGTGTTTGATCTCTGCTCATCTTGGTTTTCTGCTGATTAGGTGGAGGCGGTGAGGAGGGGGATGAGACTCAAACAGACGGGGGCCCGAGAGGCTCTGGAGGGTCAGCAACATCCCCAGGTCAGGCAGTAGGCCTCCGTAGGCGGCTGGCCAGGGCGCAGAACCGCCACCGACTGGTCAACAAACCCCAAGACTTTCAGGTCAGTCCAGCAGCATTTTGATAATGACATAATTGAATATAAACGAGAATCAACAGCAAAAACAACATACTATCCAGCAGAGATGTTTTGTTGTTGCAATTTTTGCAGAAATGGAGGGAATTAGAACACTGTTCTCTGAAATCATTCAAGTTTGTAATGAATCAATCAGTGGTTGACCGTTATTTGCAGTTATCTTGCCCCTCTATAAAACATTTCCTTGTTTTAGAGCACTGCAAGCACAAGGTCAAGTAGACTTGTATGAGTTTAAAACCATTCAATTTAGAAAAAGACCTTTTTTTTTATTGACAAATAAACGCCTGGCTGTAAATGGTTAAAACTGATCTTTTGTAAGTGTTCTCTTGGTAAAATCACTCAATATGTGAGTGTGATATATTGTTTTGTAATTTACATAGTGTACTAAACCAGTTGTACTTTGAGGGATTAACACATTTGTTAAAATTTAACTGAATTAAATGGAATAAAATGGACCTGACTGAGATGGGCTGATGGAACGCAAAGGTTTGAATTACAGTGGAATGAATCGATTTGACTTAAACTTTCTTGAATTGAACTCATTTGATTTTAATTGTATTGTACGAACTAAATTATACTGAGATGAACTGCTCTCTTGATGTCCTGAATAACACACTCTTCTCAATGCCACATACTATGTGTGTTTTAGATCCGTGTTCGAATCATTGAAGCTCGTCAGTTGCCTGGCAACAACGTCAAACCAGTGGTGAAGGTCAGTGTGTGTGGAGACACCCACAGGACGAGGATCAAGAGAGGAAACAACCCTTTCTTTGATGAGGTACTCTCACTAGACTCAAGTTTTATATCTGTCCAAAAACAATTTGATGCGGTGTAGAGCTGAGTCTCCAAAAGTTTGTCCTCAGGGCTCCAGTTTCAATATGCTCCTTGTATCCACATGGAAACTTTGTCCTTGATTTAATTTTCTCTTTTTTTTGTAGATGTTCTTCTACAATGCCCATATGCTGCCATCTGATTTGTTTGATAAGAACATTAGCTTTAGGGTGAGTACACATTTGTTGGTTCTAGGGTCTTATCAGAATGTTAAGATACAGTGAATAATACTCGAACCGCTACACTTTTGTCCTCAGATTTATAACTCCTACTCTCTGAGGGCTGACAGTCTCATGGGAGAATTCAAGGTACCTGGCGTTGTTATGTCTACATATGGTTATCTATATTTAGCAGAGGATGGCTAATGCCTGTAAGTCTAAGTCTGACTGGTCTTTTTTGTTGTTCCACACAGTTGGACGTTGGGTATGTTTATGATGAACCAGGTAAGCTTTTCACATACCACAGATTTGTTTGTCATTTACATTTGCTTACAGGATGCTGGGTGTTAAGAACTAAGTGTTGAAGGGTGTATTCTGGCCTTGTGCTTTCATTTCATTTCATTTTAGATTTGTATTCTCAGAAGGGAACTGAGTTTTCTCTCTTTTCCAAATGCCATTGAGATAAGGTCATAAAATAACTATATTGTATATGCATACAAGAGGCAAAAAATATTCAATGAAATGTCAAGAAATTCTTCAATGATTGTCTAAAATAGAAGTCTTCTAGTTGTTAATTCACTTTATTTTAAAATAGTTAGCTAATGAGCTATTATCACTTCCTGATAATAACTGATGTTCTTTGTGCTTCCCATTGCAGCCCACTGTGTTCTGAGGAAGTGGCTTCTTCTGAATGACCCAGATGACTCCAACTCTGGGGCTAAAGGATACCTCAAAGTTAGCCTCTTTGTCGTGGGGACTGGAGATGAGCCTCCGGTATGACTGATAGACTACAGCCCTGCTTCTATGTTGTAATAATAACGTGGCATTTCTGCCCCCCGCCCCCTCTTGATGGCACTTTTGTGTTCATTCTGCCTCTCATAGGTGGAGAAGAGGGAGGCTGATGATGATCAGGATGACATTGAGAGTAATCTGCTGCTGCCGGCTGGTGTGACTCTACGGTGGGCTACGCTGTCAATGAAGGTGTTCAGAGCCGAGGACATTCCCCAGAGTAAGACAAGAGCTCTGATTGTTCTACATTCACAATAAATCATTGTCTTGTACACTATGTATACCATGGGATAACGTATCGTGAACAAGCACTTATGCAAATCAGAATAGAGCCCCGAAGAGTCCTGCTCTGATGAAAGATGCAGAGATTGACCCAAATTATTAATATAAAGATGATTCATTTATTTATTCATATTCACTTCCATGTCAAGGACTGTTGTGAGAACCATTAAACTGAACATTTCAGTTCATTTCATACTGAGATAATCTCTCTTTTCAGTGGACGATGCGTTCATTCAGACCATGAAAGAAATATTTGGAGGAGATGAAAACAAGAAGAACCTGGTCGATCCCTTTTTAGAGGCCCGCTTTGCTGGCAAGAAGGTCCTCCACCATTTCTCTCACTTTAGCTCTCAGTTTTAAATGTCACATTTGTGGGTACAACAGGTGTGCTGATGTGTGTTGTTGTTGTTTCTCCAGCTGTGCACTCAGATCATTGAGAAAAATGCAAACCCTGAGTGGAACCAGGTGCTGAACCTTCAAGTAAAGGTAGGCCACAGAGAAAAGGAAGTGGTTGATAGTAATGAGAGTAAAAGCAGAAAGAAATTAAGTTTTTTTTAAAAACCTGTTTGTTGTATTTTCTGTAGTTCCCTTCCATGTGTGAGCGTGTCAAACTGACAGTCTTCGATTGGTGAGTTAGTTTGTTCTGTAAGCTGAGAAAGTGGGCTACAACCATTTTGTGGTGTTGTCAGCTGTGTGTGTGCGCGCGCACGTGTGTGTGTGTGTGTGTGTACTTTTGTGCTAAAGCTCCAACCACATGAGAATAATGCAGTACCCTATGAATCATGCACTGCAGTTCCCTCCCATCCTCTCAGTTACATGCCTGTTGGCACTGTCTTGCAGCTAATTTTTCATCTGTGTGTGTGTGTGTGTGTGTGTGTGTGTGTGTGTGTGTGTGTGTGTGTGTGTGTGTGTGTGTGTGTGTGTGTGTGTGTGTGTGTGTGTGTGTGTGTGTGTGTGTGTGTGCGCGCGCTAAAGAATAGTCTGATAAACCAGGTCCAGGAAAGCTGAAAGGAAATTTGTGCAAGAGGAAAGCTTAGGAAAACTTTGTACTTGAGAGGGTGATGAAAACATGCTGGAGAGCTGGTGGCTGCATTGTTCAGAGATGTTATTCTTCTCTGCTGATTGCCCAAATGAGACGATAGCAAGATGTGCCCCTTTTAAAATATCTGTTGCTTTATATCCAGATCAAAAAAAATATTTGGTCTGAATGGCAAATTTATCAATCCGCACAACTTGTATGGTAGTAATTTTTTCATAATGCATTAATTTTGAAGGTAATGAGATCATGAGTTTTACATATTTAAAGTCACAGTTGACTTCATCGCTGACTATAGCTGTCAGTGAAAAGGCTGAAGGCTCGCCCCAACCTCACCTGTCTGTTTCTTGCTGGGTTGGCAGACAGTAAGGTTGAATGGCGACTGCCTTGGAGGGGCTTCAAATTCAGAAACCAGTGTGTGACATCACTGAGACTCATCAATGTATCACACAGACTTAGGAATCAACACAGCATGCAAACTCCTCACAATGCTTTTAATCACATCAGCTCTAATATATGCAGAGTTAGTGTAAAAGTGTGTATCTGTGTGTATTTGCAGGGACCGTGTGACAGGGAATGATGCTGTTGGTACAACCTACCTGAACTTGGCCAAGATAGCCTCATCTGGAGGAGAGATTGAAGGTATTCATAATTTCAGAAACAAAACATGAAAGCAGTTAAATTTGGCAACAAACACAGTGACATGTAAGACTTGTTTTAGTGCATTTTGACCAGATTTATAAAATTATGCTTTAAAGTTTCAAATCCTGAATGAAGTCTTTTTACCTCACTTTGTGTGTGTGTGTGTTCATGTCTAAACTGATGTTTTGATGTTTAATTGTCCCTTTTCTCCCGTGATAGAGGAACATGCAGGAAATGAGGAAATGCCATCATTTGAAGGTTCAGCTGTGCTCTCTGTCACTAACTGTTGCATGACATGACAGCATTAAGCATGTTGTGCTTGTAATTTGCGAATTGTCCATGTGTTCATGCTAAAGAGCTGCCTCGTGCGCTGTATTTACTCCAACATTTAAGTGTTAACCTTTCTGTTGTTGTAGCACCTCCAGTTTGCTTACCCAGCATTCACCGCTTTCAAATTAATGCGTCCATCATCACCGCCTCAAATGCAGCATCACCAAGAAACTAACATTGAAGCTTTGCATGGCTCTGCTTTATCTAATGATGAAGATGTAAAGTCTATTCTATCCCTCTACAGCGAACACAGGGCAGTCTGAGGTGGGTTTCCTGCCTGTTTTTGGGCCCTGCTATGTCAACCTTTATGGCAGCCCCAGAGAGTTCACCGGCCTTCCCGACCCCTATGAAGACCTCAACTACGGCAAGGTTGTGTTAAAGGATATTATCAGTCAAAAACTATTTCAGTCCTAATTTCCTTTTCAGTGTCTTGAACAGATCATGTGTGGTCTCTGCAGGGAGAAGGTGTGGCGTACAGAGGCAGGATCCTGGTGGAGCTCTCCACTAAACTCGAGGGGAAAGCGGACAAAGCAGTGGAAAGCATCAACAACGATGACATCCTGGTGGTGCAGGTTTGTAACTGTCTTGAAATGATGTCTGCATTTTTATGATAACTGGAAGTACCTCCCTTCAGTCTACATTGAAGTTTTTTCTTCCTCTCTAACTCGGTTTCATTCTCTACATAGAAGTACCAGAGGAGGAGGAAGTACTGCCTGTGTGCTGTCTTCAACAGCGCCACCATGATACAAGAACCAGGGGAGCCAATCCAGTTTGAGGTCAGCATCGGTAACTATGGCAACAAACTGGACACCACCTGCAAACCCCTGGCCTCTACTACCCAGTTCAGCTGTGCTGTGTTTGATGGTGAGTGAAGGGTTTCATTCATGCACTGAAGATACAGTTAGGATCTATTTGGAGGATTTTTAAAAGGTGCATACATTTCCCAGGTAACCACTACTATTACCTGCCCTGGGCGGACACCAAGCCCGTGGTTGTGGTTACCTCATTCTGGGAAGACATCAGCCACCGCCTGGACTCTGTCAACATCATCCTTTACATCACCCACCGCCTGGTATTATCACATTATCCCCTTTTTGTCTTCAAAAACTCAGAGGAATTGCTTCAGTTCAAACCCCAGTTTATGAGGGATCTTCAGCAGCATTATTAAGTGTTAAAGTAAGTCACATGTCAAAAATGAGAGCATAATCCTCACCCTTGCTTTGTTTTTGTTGCAGCAATCCGGCCTGGAGGCGTTTAAAACTGGAATCCTGGCAAAAGTGCCTGAGAGTGAGCTGGCAGAGGTGTGGCTGAAGATGCTCACGCAGCTGATTGAAGACTTAGAAAGGTAAATAGAGGATCTGGTGTCACTAAAAATACAAGGACAATCCAGTTACTTGTGTGGAGAAAAAGTCTGATGAAAACAAAGAAGTTTCAGGCACAAAAAGGTTGTGTTGAAGAACAGGTTTCTTTTTTGGGTTGATTTCTAGAGCTTTTTGCCTTTGTTCAAGGTTCCTACATACTTTTCCATACCCTACTTTTTAGAATTATTTTTGGAAATACCTACTTTTCTATTTTAGAAAACATTATTTTTTTTACTATGGTAATAGTCTAGAAACCTAAATAATTTTCCATAATTTATTTTTGATTTACAATACTTTTTAAAACCTGAAAATTGATCATATTACTTCCATACTTTTCCATACTTACTTAGGAACCCTGTTTATGAGATAGGACAGCTATAGGACAGGAAATGAGGGGAGTAGAGAGCAGGAGACAGAGAGGAACATGCAGCTGAGGGTCAAGGCCAGAAATCACACAAGCGATAGCTGCAACCACAGTTGAGTTCTTGGAGGTAGAAGTATAAACTGCTACCATGAAGATATCTTATGTATGATTTCATGCTTATTATTTCTGTTCAGCTTCCCCATGCCTGACCTGGAAGGCCGCTCCAACCTGACCTCTCTGGATGTCCAAATCAAGAAGCTGCGAGACAGCGGGTTGAACAACATCAAGGAGGGAGCCCGACGCATGAGACAGGAGGCTAGAGAGATCCGAGATACTCTGGCTGATTTAGAGTCCTGGGCCGAGAAACTAAAAGTGCTGGCTGAGGAGGTAAGGAGTACATCCCACACATTTGGAGACATCTTTAACAGCGTTTTCAGGATTTCTCAACAAATTTTCCCCGTCTCTGTGTCCAGCCTCAGAACAGCATGCCTGATGTGATTGTATGGATGTTACGAGGGGAGAAGAGGGTCGCATACAGCCGCATCCCTGCTCACCAAATCCTCTACTCCACATACAGCGAGCAGGCCTGTGGTCAGCACTGTGGCAAGATGCAGACTATCTTTTTACAGGTACACAAATAGAGGAGAAGTCAGGATGTCTTTGTGTGACACCAGCTGTATCTGACTTTTCTGCTTTTAAGAAATACTTGTGACGGTCATGAACATTTTTTTTTTCTCTTTTAGTACCCCATGGACAAGAACAAAGGCCTAAAAGTGCCAGTTCAGATCAGAGCCAACATGTGGCTCGGTCTGTCAGCTAACGAGAAAAAGTTCAACTCGTATTCAGAGGGAACCTTCAGTGTTTTCGCTGAGATGGTAAATCACTCAAGAAAATAAACCACTCCTCTTTGTATTATTAGGATTATTTGGACCGTATACAAAAACATGTTCTCATCGTCATCACAGTATGAGAACCAGGCCCAGGTGTTTGGCAATTGGGGGACCACAGGACTGGTGGGGCGCTACAAATTCTCAGACGTCACTGGCAAATTGAAGCTGAAGCGGGAGTACTTCTTGCCCCCCAGAGGATGGGAGTGGGAAGAGGAATGGTTCATTGACCCCGAGAAAGCGTGAGTAAAAATAAGAATTATTATTCAGCATCTTTTTCTCATCTGAAATGCAAAAACATTCGACCAAGTGGCAGACTTGTGGTTAGCTCCTCTTGGTTTAGTCACATTAGATGAGTAGAAAATCCAGTGCAGCTGATTGCTTTAATTAAGCTTGTGTGTTTGTGATGTTTTCTCCCACTAAAAGTCCACATTGAGTTCAGGAAGTGGGCTGTCTACCCTCAGCCGATTACATTCCTCTCTTGTTGCAGACTATGATTATATGACAAAGTAGCGGACTGTGCCCATGTACTGGAAGGACATAACTTACTACTCTCTTGTCAGTTCTGACTCCTTATCATTGTGCATAAGTTTCTGTTTTTCCACCCATCATCAATAGTACAGTTCTGCAGCTGGTTGATAATACCTTGTCTTGTTGTATCTATCTGCTTTAGACAGATACACTGATGATTAAACTGACTAGAACAGGGAAACACTTGCAGTCTCTTCTGTATTTAGCAGTAAAGCACATCCTTGTATTTCTTTTGTCCTGTTGTGAGTCACCCATCTTCAAATCAAAAACAGAATAGTGTAGAAAAAGAGAAATGGGCGGCGCGATCTGAATAAAATTGTCACTGGGGTATAACCAACTGTCGGGTTCCTCCCAGCATGTAAACACAGTCGCTGTCAAAGCAAACCTCTCTCTCTCACGCGGCACAAACATCATCCAGCAAAACTTTTGGCAGGAATTTCTGTGTCAGGGTGTCATTTTGGAAACCGCCACTAAAGGGAGCCAAAGTTCACATGCAGGGTCAAAAAAAAGATTATTACAGTGTGTTTGATCTTCACCTACAGATTGTTTCTGTTCATGTTTCAGTCTGTTAACCGAGGCAGATGCTGGACACACCGAGTTCATGGACGAGGTGTTCCAAAATGAGACACGCTTCCCCGGCGGGGAGTGGAAATCTGCCTCTGAGCCGTTCACTGATGTGGTGAGAACAGCACAATGATTCATATCCTCTTTAGATATCACAACCATCAACACAATCAGCTTTTATGATCGACATCAAGTGTGGTAAAACATTCATGAATATCCCACTCTTTACTTTGTTACTCATGGACTTTCACTTGTTACACACTATGATCGGGTTTTACAGTTTCAAGGTGAAGTGTTGTCATAAATTGTATCCTGGTTCAAGGAAACTTGCATATCTATCCAAGAGTGTGGGCTAGAAACCAGGATACAGTTTGGATACTTTTTCAGGTTCTTTTAAAATTCATCATCAGTACAGTACAAAGTATTATGACAAAAAGACCCACACTGATGTTTAGAGAGTTCCTATGCAGCTATCCCTAAGAAGTCTCCTCTAAATCTCACTTTGATTTAACGGTAGGCTTCGTACAGAGAGGAAATGAGTGATCTTGTGCAGTTAACTAAAAGTCTTGTCCTGCACAGAATGGAGAGAAGAGCCGTAACCCTGGAGAGTTTGACTGCCCTCCTGGCTGGGTGTGGGAGGATGAGTGGACTGTAGACGACAACAGAGCCGTAGATGATCAAGGTGCAGACCAGCAAAATCCCTAAAAGTCATGTTTTCAGCCTTTTGTCAGCATTATTAGTTATTTCAAAAGAGTTATTTTGTTATTATTAGTTATTTTGTATGCATATGAATCATAAAATGTCGTTCAATTTGTGTTTTATTAATTAAGGACTGTGATTGTGATTTTTTGTCTGTGTGTGCACCGCACAGGCTGGGAGTATGGAGTTACCATTCCTCCAGATGACAAGCCCCGGTCCTGGGTCTCTGCGGAGAAAGTATATCACGTCCATCGAAGGAGACGCCTGGTTAGACCTCGCAGGAGAGCGGCCGTCCCTGCAGGAGGACCTCAAGCGGTCAGCAAAGGAGAACCGAATTATGCAGAAAATGACTCTGATGTTTAACTTTTACCGTTTTTGAGTGTAGTGGTGTTCTTTTTTCCCCACAGAGGAGGGACCAAGGTGACCCTGAGGGCTGGGAGTTCTCTTCTCTGATTGGCTGGAAATTTCACAGGAAGGAGCGATCATCAGACACGTTTCGTCGAAGGCGGTGGAGACGAAAGATGGCACCAGAGGACCGGCTGGGAGCCGCTGCTATCTTCCAGCTAGAAGGAGCGTTAGTGAGTGAAAAAGGAATTTGAGTTTCATAAATATGATTTGACTCAGCTTAAATAGTCTGAGAGTAAAGTTTCTGTTACTGTGCAAGAACTTAAGTTAGGGCTGGTACATGACCTGAACCGGATCTGAGCTCGCTGAGTCATGGAATGTTTTCAAATATTTGCTTATGTATTAAACACATCCTCAGTGGCATGATGTGTTTTTGTCCGTGTCAGAGTGAGTGACGTATGAATGAGTACAGCTCTGAGGTGTCTGCTTTGGTTTATTCTGCAGGGTGTTGATACTGAGGAGAGAGAGAAAGGCTCTAAAGGAGACGTCACCAAGATGTTTGGTGCCAACACTCCCACGGTGTCCTGCTCCTTTGACAGTATGTCAGGCAGAAAGTAACAATGACAAATAAACATGAATATATGATCCTAATAAATGCTTTAATGCTACTCTGCAGGGTCATTCGTGTACCATCTCCGTGTCTACGTCTACCAGGCACGCAATCTTGCATCGATGGACAAAGACAGTTTCTCTGGTAGGACAGCATGAGTGTAATGTGTAAATAAAATGAGTCATGAGTATGTGTAAATGTGATGCTTCAAATACCTTATCTCATTTATCTGCAGATCCATATGCTCACGTCTCTTTCCTGCATGTCAGTAAGACGACAGAAAAGCTGTCATCGACACTGAACCCGACCTGGGACCAAACTCTAATCTTTAACAATGTAGAGATCTACGGAGACCCCCGGGGCGTCGCTCTACGGCCTCCTGAAGTCGTTCTGGAGTTCTATGATCATGACCAAGTGGTACGTTGTTAACTTTGGGGGTGGAGATCTTTTAGTAACCGCACTAAAGAAACATGAACTTTCCATACTTTCGCAAAACAACTTTTTGTATTCTCCTCAGGGCAAAGACGAGCTGCTGGGCCGCTCAATTTGCTCACCAATGGTGAAGCTGAATGCAAAGATGGATCAGACCCCCAAACTGCTGTGGTACCCTGTGATCCAGAAAGGTCTGAAGGCAGGGGAGGCTCTGGTGGCTGCTGAACTCATCCTTAAAGACAAGGTTAGCCTCGTGATAAAATACAGGCTACTGTGTTTAAAATACAGCATTGTTTTCTGGGCTTTAAGTCTTTAAAATGTTTAAAGTTCAGTTTTTAAAAATCATGTAATGTAAACTTTTATAATACACAGACTTTGGACTGCTATTTTTTATTTTTTTAACCTCTAAATGCTCTATTTTTATTCAGAAGATTCCATAAATAACATATACAAATGAATTAACAGAATACTTTTGTAACCCTTCTTTCCCATGTTTCTGCTCCAGCCAAGTCTGCCTTTAACATTAATTTAATATTGCCAACTAAATTCATCTGTCAAACCACATAAAATTAAACCACTTAAAAAACAAATTAAGGGTGAAACACAAAACATGGAAAGGCATAGTGGGAGGAATAACGCACAATTCTATTTTCACATTTTAATTCTACTCTGTTCTTCACTTTATTAACAAGAAATCTTCAAACTACTTTAATCAGACTGTGATGCTTATCTTCACCTGATCCCCAACACAAAAACACACATATACATTCACACACACATACTTGCTTTTTGTTCTGCTCTGCACACAGCTGCTGAACCCACCTCTTCTTTACAGTATGTAAGTGCATGTGAAGGATTACTGATAATGACATACTGTACAAAAAGACCAAAATAAATAGTTTTTAAAGAACACTTGAACTCCTTATAAGCCTTTGAACAACAAGAGAAGACTGTATATCCATCAGCAACGGAGAGTGTAAAAGAATAAATTTGTTATTTTGACAGCCCAAAAAATAAGACAAAGAAAAACACTTGTATGCTTGAAATATTGAAACAAAAACAGTAGTGGCATTTGTTTTCAAATGTCACTTATGCTGCGTTAAAGTTACCTCAGAAGTCAGAAAGTCCAAGCTGAAAATGACGTCACACCCGAGTTCCCAGGGTTTCAGTTACCAAGTCTGAAAAAAGCTAAATCGGAGGCCTGAAACAAGATGGCTACATCTACAAAAATTATTTGCATGCTTGCCTTATATTCGGACAAGGCAAGTTTAATTAAACTTAAAAAGTTTAATGGAATTTGAGTCATATGATCTTCAATATCAAATGACTGGTGAGGTTTATATCATTGTGTAATGTGTCATAATTGTTATATGAATAACTGTGACTGTTTTTGAGTACTGCAGATATTGAGTGAAAATAATTAAGATGGTTGGTGGTAAAAGTGCAAATGAAACCACAGTTCAATTTTGTTATGTCTATTTTTTTTTTTTTAGTCCACCGAGTCAGATCTTCCCCTGGTTCCCCCAAAGAGAGCTGAGAATCTCTACATGGTCCCTCAAGGTATCCGGCCTGTGGTGCAGCTCACTGCTATAGAGGTAACACACCACCTTAAACTGTCCCTCTGAGCTGCTCCGCACACTGTTTCTTAACCCATCCTTTGTGTGTGTGCATCCCTCCTCATCCAGATTCTAGCTTGGGGCCTGAGGAACATGAAGGCATACCAGCTAGCCTCAGTGTCTTCACCCAGCCTGGTGGTGGAGTGTGGGGGTCAGAGGGTGGAGTCAGCTGTCATCAAGAACATGAAGAAGAGCCCCAACTTCCCCAGCTCTGTGCTCTTCATCAAAGTGGTAATGAGGGTTTAAAACTACCGGTGGGATGTTGTGACTGTGAAATATTTTCTTTGACGTTTTTTCTCAATCATTTGTCAAGCTCCTTCCAAAAGATGAGATGTACACGCCTCCCATCGTGCTGAAGGTGATTGACCACCGTCCGTTTGGCAGGAAGCCTGTGGTGGGTCAGTGCACCATCACAACTTTGGAGGATTTCAGATGTGACCCGTATGTCATCACTGCAGAGGGAGCCATGTCGTCTAAAAGTAAGGAGGCTTTCAAAAAAGTGTGACTGTCTCTGGATACTTTTACACAACAAACACAAAGAGACATACGCTTCTCTCTGATGATTCCCTCGCACTGTTTGCAGTGGCTCTGATGATGGCCTCACCTTCAAAACCTGTCTCTATTAACATGGAAGACTCACGACCTCTGCTCGAGGCAAAGGTAAGCTCCATCCTCCCACTTTAAAATAGCTGACTCTTCATGTTTTCACCTGTAACTGTTAATTCTTGCCCCTTAAACAAAGAAGTGCATAATTTGATCCAAACTTTGGGCCAAATTTGACAGACTTCTGATAAATGATTCTGGCTTACAGTTCATGTACAGCATGTCAGCTGCTGTCAACAAAATGGCTTCCCCTACCTCCTACTTTGTATGTATGATTCTGTATAATAGCTTTCTAATTCACAACGCTGGGCACCAATGACACCGGACGGCTGACATCACGTAATCCACCACGCTACAGCAAACTGGCCTCAGTGTTTTCACAATGCCATTAACCCATGTCACAAAAACTGTGATTGTTCCTAACTTTGGCACTGATTAAATGAGCACATGCCTTAAACACAGGGGTGTAACATGTAAATGGGACCATGCCTTTTTCATGTTTTTTGTACAGTGTAAAGCTAACAAACTGCTTGATGTAGCTTTGTTAAGCTAAGAGATGTGTAGTACCAGTCTCCACATCTCAACGTTGACCTCTGTTGTAATTCTAATTGATAGAGGATACAAAAATAAGTTAGAAGTCAAACAAGATATTAAGTCAATGATTCATCAAGGAGCAATTTATTTGAATATGAGGTCAAAAGAGAAAAGATTTAATTTGAAGATTATTTATTTTATGTTTCATTATTGACTAGAAGAGAAAGAGCATTATTTTACAGCCAAAGCTTTAAGTTGTTTAGAGGGACTTCATTACCCAGGATGCACCTTGATGTAAACAGGAAGTTTAGCAGGAAGTTTAGCGAAAAAAACGTTCTGTATTGTATAATATAAATAAGAAAGATTCTACAACCTCCAAACTAAAGGCAGAAAATGTAAAACTATTTTTAATACAACAAAAGTCTTAATTTTTGTTGAAATGGATTAAGTAATTAAAGACCTTGATGAGAAAACTGTGCCTGAAATATCAATGGTGCACTGTTAAAGACTGAAGAGTTCTTACTTAAGTCAATATGGGACGTATTTTTTTGTGTTTTGTTTTTTTGGAGGCTGTGTTACCTTAACGGAGACAGTTGTGCTAAGGGGCCAATTGAGGTCTGTGGTTGTAAAGGTGTATATTTAGCAAATTCCCATTTGTTACACCCTTGTTGACATAATTATTTGTTTTTCAGTCTTAATCATTATTTAATTTATCAATTTATTCCTAATTATTTTAAGCCTTCTGTATGACGTGTTGTTGCATCTCACTGCTGTGTGTGTGTTCTTTTGACAATTTTCCTGTGTTTTTGCCACGCTGCATCCTGTCCCAAAGATTGCTGAAAAGGTGAGAGTGTAAATCAGAATACAACCACTATTTTTCTTAAGGGTTAAACAATATTGTTGAAAAATTAAATCATCTATCTAATCTTCAGGAAAAAGAGACAGTTGATTGGTGGAGTAAATTCTACGCGTCCACTGGAGACCAGGAGAGATGTGGCCCTTACCTCAAAAAGGGATACGACACCCTGAAAGTGAGGGAGCACCAGAGTTTCTGTGTTTTCACCAAGTCTTAAAAAATATATCAGAGCTTCTCTCTGGAGCTTAAGATGACCTGAGTGTGATTGTTTTCTCAGGTGTATAAGTGTGAGCTGGAGGATGTACCCGAGTTTAAAGGGCTGACTGATTTCTGCAACACCTTCAGACTGCAGAGAGGGAAAAATGAAAACGGGGACGAAGACCCCACAGTGGTCGGGGAGTTCAAGGTAGTCTGATAACATTAAACACTTCATTAGATGCTTTCAAATATTGCATTGGAGGTGTTATTAGCAGCTGATATAGGCTGATGAAAGTGATAGCCTGGTTCTTTAAAACAGAAAAAGTTATATCTGATTGGTGTGTTTTTGTACCTGCAGGGTTCATTCAAGGTGTATCCTCTGCCAGACGACCCAGGTGTGACTCCCCCTCCTCGACAATTCAGGGAGCTTCCAGAAAGCAGACCACAGGAGTGTATGGTCAGGATCTATGTGATCCGTGCCATAGACCTGCAGCCCAAAGACAATAACGGCAGAGTAAACATAAATCTGTTTTCATATGATACAAGAAATAGCAGATTGAGCTCATGAATAAGAAGTCTGCACTTCTGTTTCCCCTTTAATGTTCTCTTTCTCCTGCTCAGTGTGATCCATACATCAAGATTTCTCTGGGGAGGAACACAATTGATGACAGAGACCATTACTTACCCAACACCACCAACCCTGTGTTTGGAAAGTAGGCTGCCTAAAGTTGACATATGGAATAATATATTGTCTAAGCATCATTCTTACTTCCCAGATAAACTTCCACTTTTCAACCTTTATTTCTTTCCAGGATGTTTGAGATGTCATGTTTCCTGCCTCAGGACAAAGATCTGAAAATCTCTGTCTACGATCATGATCTCCTGAGTCGTGATGAGAAAGTCGGCGAGACGGTGATCGACCTGGAGAACCGCTTCCTCTCCAGATACAACTCCTACTGTGGCCTTCCACAAACCTACTGCATGTAGGAAAATCAGAGCGGGGAAATGCATTCAAACACGAGTTTTTCATTCAAGAGGAAAAAAGTAAGACAAGTCTCTCTTTTAATTTGTCTGTCTTTATCATAGCTCTGGGATCAACCAGTGGCGGGATCAGCTGAAGCCGTCTGAGATCCTGGAGAACCTGGCTCGATTGAAGGGCCTGTCCAAACCCAGGACTGAAGACAACGGCACATCTTTGACTTTTAATGGCAAAGAGTACACACTGGCTCAGTTTGGTAATGTCAATGATCCAATATGTATCAGTGTGAATGAGCTTGATAACGATGAAAATGAATCACAGATCTTAGTGTTTGACTGTCCTTCAAAATGAACTAAAACTTGTCTTGTGTAATTTTTCTAATACAGAGACCAACAAGGAAATTCATCAACATTTGGGTCCAGCCCGAGAGCGAATCTGTCTGCACGTGCTCAGAAAACAAGGACTCGTCCCAGAACATGTAGAGACGAGGACTCTTTTTAGCACCTTCCAGCCCACTCTCTCTCAGGTAACATCACAGCTCACACATACAAGTCCACATCCACCCTGACACCAGCATCTTATAAAACCAAATCTGTGCTCACTTAGGGAAACCTTCAGATGTGGGTGGACGTTTTCCCCAAAAACATCGGCCCCCCCGGACCTCCCTTTGACGTCACACCTCGCAAACCTAAGAGGTAAGGGCAGAGCAGGTACACAGTATGTTCTTTATGACTGCTTGTATCAGATATCTCTGAGTGAACACTGACTGTGAATGTTCAGGTATTTCCTTCGGGCTGTCATCTGGAACACCACGGATGTGACTTTAGATGAGACCAGCATCACAGGAGAGCACATGAGTGACATCTATGTCAAAGGGTGAAGCTGAATGATCATTTGAATTTACCCTAATCAACATTGTTTTCTTGGTTTGGTAAAATTCTGGTTTACAGAATTCTTTGTTCTCTTGTGATAAAACTATATAGTATCAGGTCACTATAAGATCCATTGAGCTATGACTGTAGATGCTCACACTTGTTTCTTTATCAGTTGGATGCCCGGTATGGAGGAGGACAAACAGAAGACAGATGTCCACTACAGGTCTCTGGACGGGGATGGAAACTTCAACTGGAGGTTCATCTTTGACTTCGACTATCTACCTGCTGAACAACTCTGCCTTGTGTCGAAGAAGGTGAGGCCCATCACTACCAAAGAACTTTTATTTTAACTTTGTGTGGATTAAAAGAATTAAGACCCTCAAAGTTGTAATAGTTTAATTCAAACATGCTTTTGTATTATATTTTTCCAACAGGAGAGCTTTTGGAGTCTTGACAAAACAGAGTTCAGGACTCCCCCCAAGCTGATCGTCCAAATTTGGGATAACGACAAATTCTCATTGGATGATTACCTTGGTAAAACAATCGTAAATCTTATGTCCGATGTACCTTAAATCCATCATTACCTAAGCTGACTGTTATTGTATACTCACAGGTGCACTGGAGTTGGATTTGCGTAACCTGGTCCCTCCTGCAAAGACCCCTGAGAAGTGCTCGCTGGAGATGATGGATGACCCAGAAATAGGAGTCCCTCAGAAGAAAGAGAACGCCAAGTCTCTGTTTGCTCAGCAGTCAGTGAGAGGCTGGTGGCCCTGTTTTATAGAGCAGGACGGGAATAAGGTCCTTGGGGTGAGCATGAGGAGAAACTACACCTAAAGAATCAGATACTGACACTAAAGAAAAACTGGTCTGGTCAGTCCTACTGTGATGGTTTTGGGGCATCATTGATTTGTGTGCTGCAGAGACCAGATAAAATATTCTGCTTTCTTTTCACAGTAATATAATTTCCATTATATTCAACTGGCCATACGGTCTTGCTCATACTGTCAACTTGTCTTGTGTTTTCAGGGCAAAGTGGAGATGACCCTGGAGATTGTAGGTGAAACCGACGCAGATGAGAGACCTGCAGGAAAAGGAAGGGACGAACCTAACATGAACCCAAAACTGGACCCTCCCAAGTAAGAACCCACACAGAATCAGGACCCAGGAAAGGTGAAGTTTCCAGGTAACAAACTAAGCGATGTTCTCTTTCATTAGACGTCCAGAAACATCGTTCTTCTGGTTCACCAACCCATGTAAGACCATGAAGTTCATCGTGTGGCGAAGGTTCAGGTGCCTCTTCATCGGACTCATCATCCTCACCATAGTGATTCTCTTCCTCGCCATCCTGCTATACTCTTTACCGGTAAGAGAACAAAAGTAGTTGATGTTGAGATCATGTGACCCAGCTGACAGCCTGAACATGAAGAAGTTTCAAACAGATGTGGTACAGCTCAGATTAAGATTTTTAAGCTTTGTGTACTAATCCAGTCCAGGGACATATACAAAGGTGTGTCACACTAAATCTCTGCAGTGATTTCATTATTGTCTCTCTTCTTTTCCAGAACTACATCTCAATGAAGATAGTGAAACCACTAAAGTAACTCCACAAAGGAGGAGGAACAGAGAAACAGTAAAGGACTTTTGAAAACATCTACAGGATCACTATCACCAAAACATCTCATAGCATTTTTTTTTACTACCTTTAATATTTTATAAGATCACCTGAACAGGGTGGGAAGCTTGCACATTTTCACTTCACCAATGGGTTTTAAAAATGACACTTTGACACAGCTAAACATGACAGATGTGAGTGACACATCTGTGATAGTTTTTAAAATCACTGCTTTTATCTCACAGGCACACTACACAGAAGAAATTTATGCAACTCTGTATACATTCAAATGCAATCCAGCAGTCTTGTGATGAACTTTTTATTTGGTGAACTTATTATTGTTCTTTTTGCATGAATGACATGTGGGACTGTTTTTGACTAAATGTTTGTTTCGTTGAAATACATATTGTTGTAAGGTATTTTTAAAATAATGCGCCAAATGTAAATAAGGTATAAACAAATTCCAACCTAAAGTTGCACTTAGATTTCTGTTATTACTGGACTGTTGAATTGTCTTTCAGTGTATAAGGATTTCATTTTATTTTCACTTGGGTATCCTGCAAATTACAGTCTTGTGTTTGTTTTGTGTTCTTTTCACAGATTTTTAAATTAAATATATTGAAACTATGACTGGAAATCTGTGTGTATAAGACTAATTCAGTCCCTAAATATCCTGTTGTTTAGAAAAAAACAATGTGAGTGTGTTTTGGTGGGGTAAACAAAATACACGGTCACAAAATAAGCTTCAGCAGATGAGGTTTTAGATGTTTAAAAACAGTACAGGGTATCCCAAAATCAGATATGTACAGCATGTTTATAAGAGGTCTCAGTTATTTACAGTTTCACATAAATTATCCTATTTTTGTTTTTGTACATATTGTTACATACAAAATATGAACAAGTGACTATTGTGTTCCCCATCTTAAATAAGTGTGCTCAATCACAGCTGGTTTATTCCTTCTCTGAGATGTGATGTTTGCAGTGCTGCTGCAGGAAATCCTCCACTTCTCCTCTCTGTGCCAAGCTGTTAGCTTTGCCCTGGAAACGTCCGTTTTTTCCTGCCCCCTTCCCTTGGAGCATCTCCAGCACCCTGCACAGCACAAAGAATCCAACAATAACAACATGCAACAGAGCTTTTGAAGTTGAACCTGAATAAGTGCGTGTCGATGTTTCTTACCGTGGTCCCATGTCTGACACTGATCCGCTAGGTCCAGCCAGTAAAAACAGACCAGGTCCTTTCTCCTCACCAACAGTTAAGAAGACCAACGTCTCCTAAAAGCGAAACAAAGAAGATTTGGCACAAATAAGCAACTGCTCATACATTACATATAAATACTCAACAACCATTTTTAGGTTCAAATAAAGGCAATGACAGTGTTTTTTATTCTTACCTCAGTGTTTATCTCGTTAGCAATGATATTCATGAACTCATTGTCCCCCTCTTTTCTATAGACAGAAAAAGACAATAGTCAACAAAATATAGTCACAACATTATGACCATCTCTGCTAATCAGAAATCCTACTTTTACAAAGCTCCTACATCTCTGAATTTCAGTTGACATGTTCAGAATTGTACTACAGACTGGCTCTCAATCTTGAAACGGAGTCTCCTACTTGTGATAGCTGAAGAAGTTGCCTCTCTGGGGATTGTTCTTAAAGTTCTGAGCGATAAGAACAGCCATGTCTCGCAGCAGGCTCAGGTTTGTCTGCACACAACATTTTCATTGAAGGTTAGAGAGAATATCTGTTCAGTCTTCTGTTATGTCAAACACATACTATACTAATAATTTACCCGTCTTAGGAAGTGATTTAAAAAAGCAAATATGTAAAACTTGTCTTTCTCTTACTTTCTGTAGTAGCTTCACTGACTTCTGTAGCTTGTCAACTGCTTCAACATGCTCATCAGGTCCAGTTCTGTTGAGAAATTACAGATTTTCATTCATATCAAACTCTATGATGAGTTTAGCTCAGGGTGATGATCATTAAAGCTTACAACTTACTTCAGCAGTGACACCAGGGACCGCTCTGTGCTGTAGCTTTTCTCAGCATACTTCAACACTCTGTTACCAGCCAAGAAGATCAGGTTGGTTTTGTTTTTTTTCCCTTTTTCAGTTCCCAGAAGCTTTATCATCTAAAATTTAAATAAGGGAAATCCAAGCATATTTTGAGTATATTAGAACAATGAGATGTAACTCAAATGTGACATAAAAGATGTAAGTTATATGTAGATAAACCTGCAGGTGGCTGAGGTTAGACACATGAGTTCCACAGCACATGTTGGCATCAACTCCCTCAATATCAATGATCCGGATGGGCCCAGCATGATCGTCTGGTAACCCTCGACTCCGCACCTGGTTCACACACACGCACACACACCTCATGTAACTCGAAAGTGTTTGCAGAATCACCCCAAGTCAGATTCTTATGTGCTGCACATTTGCCTTAAACCTCAACTTTGAGTCATGGATCACTTTTACCTTTTCCACAGCAGGGTCATCTATAGAGAGAAGCTGAACAGTGACAGGGACATGGGCTTGGATCTTTTCATTGACAGCATCCTCCAGGGTTTGAAGCTGGGCGGGTTTCACACAAGGAGTGTCCAGTTCAATAGTGCTTCTCTGGCGCCCCAGATCCCTGCAATTCAGAGTAAAGTAAAACTGTAAACTCATGTAGAAAATATCAGCGAGCTATCATTATCTGGAAAATTAATCTGTGTGATTGCGTGTTGATGTACCAGGATGTAGTCTTGTATCCAAAAAGTGAATCTGCTAGCGCTGTGATCAAATGTTGACCTAAGATTCAAAGAAAAAGTATTTAAACTTTGATGTAGTAAGTGATGAAATACCAAAGCATTGATTCTGGTTAAACAGAATTGACATTTCCCCTTTGGTATTTACTCACCTGAGTGTTGCTGCATGTGGTCAAACCTCCTTTCCCAGTCCACCTTCACTGGCACTTCCTGACCCACCTCCAGAGGTGAGCTTACAAAGTGCACAGCTTCAGGTCCCTGCCTAGTCACCCTCAGAACAGGGACTTCCCCAATGAGACCATGATCATCTGGCTGAAAGACAGATGACAGTAAAATAAAAGGTACAGCTTTTTTTCTGGTACAGATGATTCTCACAAGACAAAAACAAGTGTGAATGGGCCTTTCTAAATAGCAGATGAGGTATAAAAACACAGCAATATTCATTTATGAATATGTCAAGTCCTGTTTCTTTCACCTATTTTATGTTTCTTACCTATTTTATGTTTTTATTTTGGTCCTCATGGTCTCATTTTATGTTGTAGGGTTCTTGTATTGTCTGGGTTTCTTATGACAAATGAAACTGGCCATCAATTCGGAGGCCTTGTTTTAAACCAAGCTTTTGTTTTTTTGTTTTTTCCATGTGCTGATGCTTTACGACTGTTTGTCAATGCACTTTGTAAACCTCTGTTTTTAAAAGTGCTATAAAAATAAAGTTATTATCATTATTATTATTATTTAAAAATGCTTACCTGGCCCCCTCCCTCAGGAAAAAGGATGGTGTCCTTAAGTTTGACATTGAAGCCCTTTACAGTTTCTTTCTTTCCGTTGACTTCTTGTTTGAGGTCAGCTGGGCAGCAGGATACCACAGAGGTAATAAACTAAAAGAAAACACGATTTTAAAACATTAATGAAGTTAAACCGTATAGGAAAGACAACATAAACTTAATTAAGTTCTCAGTTCGCTAAAACGAAGACTTGCAATAGCAACTATGTATGTCTTGAATACAAAGTTAAGTATAATTTATGGTACTGATCGTTTACACTGCGCATTTCAATATTTAATTCCTTCAGTTTCTTAAAGGGCTTTAGTTGAAAATATACAATGGGACTAGTAATAACAATTGCTCAACTCTATAGTTTATTTGTGTCACTATGGTGTTACCATTAATATTAAAATAAAGTATAAGTAACGGTTGGTAACAAGCTCGTGCTCCCATCGACAGCACAAGTTACTATCGATTCTGTTAGCAACCATGCTAACCACTTCTGCAGGCAACTATCACCAGCCTAACATTTACCGTTTTTTCGGTACATGCACATTATAATGTCCATAGCTGACAAACCGTCCGAAAACAGCTTCATACCTCTTTCATATAGCAGTCTCGTTGACACTGAAAAGCCATTGTGGAGTGTAAAATGAGGACAAACTACCTCTGTGCAGGTTTATGTAATGTATGTGGGAGAAGGCTGACAGCCTTGTACGGATAGCAACAAAGTCCAAATTTCATTCAACCGACGCCAAGTTAGGGAGCAGTTCAGACACGAGCATGGTACAACTCGTTTTTTCTTTCTTTCTTTCTTTCTTTCTTTCTTTCTTTCTTTCTTTCTTTCTTTCTTTCGTTTGTTTTCTCGTTTTGACCTGCGGTATGACTGACTTTTGCACGTGAAACAGGCACAAAGCTTATATAGATAAATAAAGATACAGTCATAGATATATGGCTAGATAGATAGATTTTGATTAATTGACACACTTGGAATCACCTTAGTACACAACATTTTATTACAATTGTCTATGACATTTCAGAGTATTGTGGATAAAAAGTTTCAATAACTAATCCCTAAGAAAATATGTGTAAACAGTATTTTGATCAATAACACCATACATTTTCAGCAAATAAGATGAGTTCCAGCAATCATTACACTTTGTTACAGAGCATTACAAAGCAATCAAGTTTTTACAGAGGCTTCAAACACAAGAAATAGGGTGCTGTGGGTGTCAGTCAGACTGTAAGGGAAGAGAGGAAAACAGGGTCAACAACATCATATAATCGTGAAATAAAATTTGAATGTTTGATGACGTGTGCTGAAAGTCCACTGTTTGTCAGGACATATTCAACTGGTCTCAAACAACCCCAACTCTTCACTTACATCACTAAGATCTCCCATATCTGGCGCAGCACCTTTGTTACTGGAGGACATTTCTTGGAGCATCTGCAAAAGGAAATCAAACATTTAAATACTGTCTTGAACTCACCTGCCTGATTCCAAACACTCAAAGATGAAACAGATGCTGTTATGTACAAATAACAGTGTCCTCTACTCTTGAACTTCATCAATATTGACCTGCTTATCAGGATTAACTTGCTCTCAGTGATAAATATATTGTTGCACTCACATCCGCATATCTGTCGAACTCTTCCTTTCCCTCGTCTTCTTCATGTTCCCAGTCCCTCCAGTTATCAAAGTCAACAGAAATCCAACTGGGCTGCAAAAAGTCAGAGACACAAAATGAACATTATACAGCTAAGAAAGTTATTCTGATGAACAGCAGCTTGCTTGATAGCTGCACAAAAACAGGCTTTTGATACTGTCTGAAATATCATCATTTCACTAACATCTGCTTCCTTGGTCATGGAATAAGAATACAAATATTTATTGCAGCTTAGCACATTTCCAAGGTAAAGAAACATTTTTAACCTCAGACAACAAAGAAAATTTAGATCACATATCATGTAAAAAAATCCATGTGGTGGAAACACATTAAATTGGGTTTACCCTGGCTTCATCCTTCTGCAGACGAGGCCATGCGTAATCCGGCTTCACTTTCCTCAATAACACATGAATGGTACGGTCATACACTCTCTCTCTGGAGTCCTTTAAGGAGTGTAAAGGATAAAACTTTTATTCATCATCCCACTGATTTTACATTTGATACATACATTTAATTCTAATGGGGTACTTACATGGATTTCAATAGTGTCATAGAAGTGTATCTCATTGTAGAAAACATCATCTGTTTCATTTTTGCAGCTGTTTTGAAGACAGGAGAGGGTTAGCAGAAGGACAGTCCAAAAACAATAACTTCCATGCGCATATCTTCCATTTTTTATATCATATGAGATAAGGAGCAAACTTTATGTAGAAGCAAACTTGGCTTTAAACTCACCATAAGATAATTTTGTCTGGCTGGATATCCACCTGGACATCTTTGGGTCTCTGAACTAAAAAATTAAGGGTGACGTATTTTTTTCTGTCAAACCAAAGTGCACGTGCTGGTTGGCTGTAAAAACACAGAAGTTACTCTTATTAACTTAGTGTGGAACCAGTTATGTTTTCTTTACAACAGTTATCACTACTTGAAGCAATTTTTCAGTATTAGTGTAGTTCAGTATTAGTATAAATATTCACATACTCTGGTTACTTACCTCTCCTCCGGCCTGAGAATTTTGGGCTTGTTGGGCATTCTTGCTCTATTACTGAACACCAACGAAAGCAACTTTTCAAATTCCTTTTACCAGCAGAGAGTAGAAACCATGTGTCCTGCTTGATTGTAGTGTGTCCTCTCACGTTGAGTCCAGGCCCTAAAGACTATATATAGGCCAGCTGGTATCAGCTGCTGAGAGCCTTGCCTGTCACAACCCCTTCCCCTGCTGTTTATAGTCTGTCAATGGAACTCTCCAGAAAACAGATGCATTTACTGGGGGTCTCCTACACTTCAGCCTCCCCCGACAGGGTGCTGCAAGAGTAAAGGTACATGTGTAGGGGGTGAGGAGGCACAAAAAAGATAGTAAATGAGAAAGAAGAAACATTTGTAAACATAGAGGACAGTAATTATGTCATAAAAATTCCAGTCTTAATATCTTGGTTACAGATGTTTTCCAGATTCAGGGAAACTCATTGCAAGAATTCATCTTTGTCAGCTTTATTGAGTGATGACAAATTTTAGGGCATGATATTAGATGTTCAGTAGTCAGAGTGGTAGTTAAGACAACACTAATGAAAATGTGTTAAGGTATCTTACAAGTTATTTGATGTGATGATGATAGGTCTTAAAATTGAATGATTGCTTCATTATTGGTGTTCCTTATTTAAGAAAAACCACTTAATTGCTTCTATTGTTCTTGTTCTTATATGTACGCTGCTTTGGATAAAAGCGTCTGCTAAATGACACTGTAACATCTTGATGCAACTATATCACATACTTTAACAGAATAAAAATCTGCATCATCAATGAATAAATCTGAGCTCGAGGTTTACTCAAAGATCAGACTTATTTTTTAATTTTCATTTATCCCTTGACAAATACGTCATTTTAAAACAACTGAAATGATCAATATAAAAAAAAAACAGACTAAAACCAAACACATTCAAGTTTCAAAAAACCTTTAACTGAACCAACAAAGTAACATTAAAAACTTAGTAAAACCAAACTGAAAGTCAAACAAATATTACAACCACAGTAACTACTGTATTTGAGAAATGAAAATTCAAAACTGTTTAAACTTTGTGGGGCCTTGCTCAGTGACTGAGACCACTGGATAAAGTTGAAAACTTGACACTACGCACCAAATCAAATGTAATTATTCTGTTTTAAATTTGTCCTAAAATGTGCAAGAAATCATTTAAACAAGAGTCAAAGGTCACGATCTGGTTGCTGTCATGCCATTAAATAAAGTTAATTCTGATACTATAATCCCACAGATTAAAATCAGGTTTTATTATTGACAATAATAATACATAACATCAAAGTATTCTAGACATAACTTCAACTCAAAATGATGGGTAAAAAACATGAGCTTCATAACAAGTCTACTGGGCCTACTGGGCATTGATAACATTGGGTCAAGCAAATGAATAGGTGATCACAGCCTTCTCCACAGGTTTACTAGTAGGTAGAGTGGGGCCCTACTAGACCATGTCTATGGGATTACAGTATCAGAATTAATTTTATTCAATGGCATGACAGCAACCAGATTGGGTGCAAAAGTACATTGTGCAGTCATATTGTAGATTAAAATACTCCCTTGCTTGCCCCCTCCTCTTGATAAAGCAACAGCCTTTGAAGATAAACTGACACACGATAAATATGGCTCTCAATTGTTAATATTCTATCATCAAAACAGTCAATCAGCAAAGGTTTTTCTAGTTTTGCACATCAATAACTTCTTCATCTTTGTCTTTGAATTGGTGCATTTCACCAGTTGGCCACATGCTGAATTAAAAAACATGTATCACTGCCAGGCTTTACGGCTCCAAAATAAAGCCTTCTAATCTGGGACTGGGTTTTTCTCAACTTTTTATTGTGTTTCAAGGGGAGACTGATTAAAATTATACACCCATAATCCAGATGTGACCTTATCAGACAAACATTACTTCCAAAGCAGATCCAACTGCTCCCCACACTGTCCCTTAAACACAAATATAACCTATACAGTCTAAAATGGAAACTATTAAATTAATGGAGTTTGGGGATGTTGCACGCCGCCGCCCCCTGCTGGTCTGGCGGCTAACCTGCTAATGCGATTTTTTTTTTCCACCGGAAATACAATACTGTGCTCTACCTGTGCGGGGAATGTGGCGCGAGAGACCCGGGCAACGCTGTGTACATAGAAACTTCTGCCTGAAAATAATCAATAATTTCTTTTTCTTTGCGTTTTCATTTAAGTCGGGGGTATTGTTATAATCCGCGACAATATATCTCTGGGAAGTACTGCTAATCAGGGAGAAAATGCCTCGGAGAAGACAGGTAAGAAGGAATGTAGGTCGCACAAGAGGGTAACGTTAGCCTAGTTAGCAACGATGTTCCTCAATCTGAATGTGAATATCGCTTCATGAACCCGGCAAGTCAACCTTCTAAAACAAAGCATCAGTGGTCCATACTTTCAGTAAAGCGACAATTTACACATTAAAGTTGTTTATTTACGCCAGTTAATATAATGCTTTTCGCCAGGGTTTTCAGTTAATATGGAAACACCGCGGCTGGCAAACTTGGAGGATGGTAACGAGCAGCGATGCTAATTCTTTAATTCCATTTAAATTGAAGTAGCTTTTGGAAGTTAATGCATGCCGAGTACATCACAAGACTACAATAACCGGCGTTATGTCACCAAGAAGCAAACCCGGTGTGGTTAAACAGAGAATATCATTCAATACTCCTTAAACTGTGAGATTTTGTATTGTAGTTTGGTAGTGTGACCTATTAGCCGTGTAAACGGGGTCAGCTTAGCTACCTTGAATGGCTAAGCTCACGAAAATGATGGTCTGCTAAAGTGGTCGCCTGCTTTGCCTTGTAGCCCGGACTACAACAAACAATATTACTGTATTTGTGAAACAAAACTGTAGTAAAACGAAATGCCTCTATCAACCAAGCTAGCAGAGGCCACCAGCTGTCTGTGGCCTCCTCTGAGGACATAATAACAGGGTTTTCTGATTTGATAACAAGAGGCAAACACATCATTAGCTCCTCACACACTATCCCGTTATTCCAGTTCGTTGGACCTGTTTGAGTTTAAGACAGACCCCCACTGTTATCAAGACGAGCTGATATGATTGACACTTGCCAAAGAGACAAAAGCTTGTTTTTTTCCATGCAAGTTTTAGTAGACAGCCTCTCATTTAAGTTCCCTTTTGCTCATTGACAGAGACACATGCCTGGAAGTGGTTCAGATGGAACTGAAGACTCAGACTCCTCAGCGGAAAGAGAACAAACCAACAGTTCAGAAAGTGATGGAAACATGCCCAAGAGACAGCGCCTCACCAGAGCCTCTACACGCCTTAGCCAAAGCTCTCAGGGTTAGCCAACATATCTTTATTTTGAATATAAAACTGCCTTTTGTTTAATGTCAGTTGTGAAATCACAGTGGTGGTTTTGCTCCTACTGCTGTAGATACTCCAGACTTGAAGCGAGCTGTGGACCACGATGAATCTCCACCATTGACGCCCACAGGAAATGCCCCTTCCTCTGAATCTGAGCTGGACATCTCCAGTCCGAATGCCTCCCATGATGAGAGCCAGGCCAAAGATCAAGTCAGCAGAGATTCTGATAAGGACCTTTCTCATCGCCCCAAACGGCGCCGCTGTCACGAGACCTACAACTTTAATATGAAATGCCCTACGCCAGGGTGCAATTCTCTTGGTAAAATCTCTGCTCTTCATAGTGTAAATTATTTACCATAGTTAATAGTTTTTGTGTTAATTACGATTAAATAAAATCTCCATCGGCAGTGACATCCTGTAGTTCACTGAGTCAGTGGAGACAAGTGACCTCTTGCTCTCACTTTTTCCAGGTCATCTGACAGGAAAGCATGAACGTCATTTTGCTGTTTCAGGCTGCCCCCTTTACCACAACCTTTCTGCTGATGAATGTAAAGTAAGTTAATGAAAACAGTGTTCTCGTTACTCTTGAAGAACTCAAAGACTGTTGATGTTCTTAAGAAGAGGCTCAAGACTCACCTTTTAACCATGCTTTTCAATGATTGCCTTTTTTATTTCACTTATTGCAAATGTTCATTTTAATCAAAGTACTTAATGTTTCCTTTATGTCATTTTATTAATAATCTCTGTTCTTAGTCTTTTTTTCTTAATTCCTGTCATAGAGGTTTTTACTTCTTACATCTTGGTAAAGATATATAGTGAAGAGCTTTTACTTATTGTTCATATAATAATATTTTCTTGTTTTTGTCCATCAACTTTTAGTCTTTCTTTTTACCATTTTTTATCCATATCTCCATTTTTTCCCAAAGGTCGCTCTTTCCTCCTGTAATGTCTTGGTGTCAGGCCATGTCTCTTCAACAATATATCTTAAATTCTCACTTTGTGTGCGCTTGAGTGTGTGTATGTGTGGATGAGTGAGGGTGGGTGTGTGTCTGTGTTTGTGGGTCCGTGGGTGGGAGGGTCCGGTTTTATTGTTGTTTAATTGTTGTTTTTATCCTCTTTGAGGCACTTTGTATATATATTTTATTGTCTGAAAAGCGCCATACAAATATAGTTGAATTTGAATTTTAAATTTCAATAACAAAATGCGAAGTAAAAAAATAGTAAAAATAAAGGGATCATGTATATGTATATAATCCTTATAAATTTATATTGAAGATTAAGTCTAAAGTTACATGTCATTTGTTGTTTTGAGTTTGTAGTGCCACTAAAGAGACAGAACTCTGTTTTGTTACTAAAGTTTTATGTTGTGTTTTTGATAAAGCTCTGACAAAAATCCTTCATCATCTCTCCATTTCAGGTTAAAGCCATCAGCCGTGAGAAACAGGAAGAGGAGGTGAAGACGCAAGAAGAGAGCAACTCACGCCATGCAACCAGAAACCAGGTAGTCTATAAGTGGGGTGTTTAGCATGATTGCTAACAGTAAGCTTGTAAATGTTGTACAAGAAAAAAATGAAAGGTGATTGATAATAGAAGTGTTTTTTTTTTTGTTTCAGACACCAACATCAAAACAAAGCAGATACAAAGAGCAGGTGGCTGAAATGAGGAAAGGAAGAAACTCCGGCCTTCAGAAGGAGCAGAAAGAAAAGCACATGGTACATTACTGCTCTGTTTGCTTGTGGTCAGGCTCTCTCTGCTTTGGTTCACCTGTAGATTCTTCATATATTCCCTTTTTCTGTTTTGTTCACAGGAGCATCGCCAGACACACGGCAACACCAGAGAGCCTCTGCTGGAGAACATCACCAGCGAATATGACCTAGAACTCTTCAGGAAAGCCCAGGCCAGAGCATCTGAAGATCTGGTAGAGAACTCTCATGTCTCCTTCTTGCATCACGACTTAGGTCGCTTTCACACCAGAGCTGTTTGGTCCGCTTTAAACGGACCAGAGTTTGTTTCCTTGGATAGTCCTCTTCGTTTGGGCAGGAGTGAAAGCTCATCTGAGCTCTGGTGCGGACCAAACAAGCAAACTCTGGTCCACCTGAAAACGTGGGTCTCGGTTCGCTTGCAAGTGAACCCTGGTTCGGTTCGTATGCAGTGTGAAAGCTCATACAACGCTATACGCAGTGCATCTTGGGTAGAGGAAGCAACTGCTAATGTCAGCGGTGCACGACAACACTTGTTGCAATAGCAACAAGTGACGTCTTGCACCGCTGACATTAGCAGTTGCTAGCTAGCTTAGCTCAATTGTCTGAACAACAATAACCCATAAATTCACAATTTGGCATATTTAAACAAAATCAAATCACAATTACCAACAGTCAGAGTCCTTAAACTCTGAGCTCATATGTTGTCACATGTTAGATCGTCAAAGTTAGAAAAATAATAGGATCAATTCCTGACAAGCTATGATAGCATCATAGGAACAGTTGCGCTCACTAATGTTGTAGCATTCCATAAAGTAATGTGACGTAGCACAATACGAGACAGCTGGTCCACCCCTGTTTATAATCCGTGAGGTTACATACCCCTCCTACTTTGTCCAATCGACGAGTGCCCCTTTCAACCACGTGATGCTGCTCGGAAAGTTTGATGCGCTTTAGAAATCACAGTGTGAAAGCAGAACCAAAACAAGTGATAAATGCAACAATGTTGCAACTTTCAGCTACCCAATCGAACTGAGTCCTCTTGGTCAGGTGTGAAAGCGACCTTAGTGTATTCAGAGAGTCTGTTATAGACACCAGTGAGTGTACATTCAGATAAGCTGAGCTGTGACACAAGTATTCCCTCCTGCAGGAGAAGCTGCGCATTCAGGGACAGATCACTGAGGGCAGCAACATGATCAAGACCATCCTTTTTGGCCGCTACGAGCTGGACACCTGGTACCACTCTCCATATCCAGAGGAGTATGCACGTTTGGGTCGCCTCTACGTCTGCGAGTTCTGTCTCAAGTACATGAAGAGCCAGACTATTCTCAGGAGACACATGGTGAGAAACGGAGTGAAAATAATAACATCTTTGATTATTTTTATTTTATTTTTGTGTCTAAGAAGTCTTAATTTTGACCATAGATTCATCAGAGCTGAAGCTGAAAATAAAGTGCAGCTGCATTGCTTGATTGGGTCCTCTATGATCATTTCAAGTGCTGGATTTAAAAAAGTACAAATGAATAATTTTTCCCTGATATTTAGTTGAATAAACTTGTTATTCCCGTTACACAGAATGCTTTTTAAAACAACAATGTCTGATTTAGGCTAAGTGTGTTTGGAAGCATCCTCCAGGTGACGAGGTGTACAGAAAAGGAGCCATATCTGTGTTTGAGGTGGATGGGAAAAAGAATAAGGTAAGGAGGCTCATTAGTTCCTTTACTCAAGGCTTTGTAAATATTGGCAGATTGCTTACATTCAGACAGCCAAAGCAAACATCTCAGTGGCGTCTGACTTCTGAGTAAACCGTGATGAAAAGAATGACTGCGGTTTTATTGCCAGATCTACTGCCAGAACCTGTGTTTACTCGCCAAGCTCTTCTTGGACCACAAAACGCTTTATTACGATGTGGAGCCTTTTCTCTTCTATGTCATGACTGAAGCGGACAACACCGGCTGCCATTTGGTGGGATACTTCTCCAAGGTAAATGAAGACAGCAGTTCAGATTAATGACATGCATATGCGGTTTATTGATTTTAATATTTCACACAAGATTAAAACATGAAAGTGACCACATCAATTAAAAAAATTAAAGGATCACATACATGCAATACTTTTTCAAAAGTGGTTAGTTAATACATAAGCAGAGAAACAGACCAAATATTAAAATAACGCTTGGAGGAACATCTTCAAACTCATTATGTAAATTTGCAACAGGTTAGTACATAAGCGGGTATAAAAAGGACACTGCAGAGAGGACGAGTCTCTTAGGAGTAAAAATGTGAAGTTACCACACTTTAAGAATGTTCCTCAGCAGAATCAGGTCAGGGTAATTCATCACCTACAGTTCCAAGTATCATTAAAGTATCTGGTAAATATGAAAAAATCTTTTTTTTTAATGAGACAAGACCAAAAACTGAAACCCCCTTCAGCAAATTAACATGACTCTGTTATGAAAATCACTGCATAGGCTCAAAATCACCCTCCCAAAAACAATTGTATGTGAACAGTTTCTCTCTTCATTAGCAAATGCAGGTTAAAACTACCAGGCGAAGGAAAACACATACAGTACATGAATAGGATAAAACTAGCAAAGAGATGGGAGTGACTATGTTTCCTCAGGAGCTGTTAGAGTTGACACAACCTCATTGAATTTTATAGACAAATGTGCAGATGTGATCAGTACTGATTTAACTGCAGCTCAGAAATTGTAGGAATAGTGACATTATAATTGTTTAAGCCATGTTTGTCTCTTTAATCGCTTACAGGAGAAAAACTCGTTCCTCAACTACAATGTGTCCTGTATCCTGACGATGCCACAATACATGAGACAGGGCTTTGGAAAGATGCTTATTGACTTCAGTACGTATCAGATTTTATCTTATTTAATCATTATTTAGATATTATTATTATGGTTTGTTTGCTTAGACAAGAGTGTGCTAATCTAAACTGCTCTCTCTCTCTCTGAATGCCCTTTGTGTGCTGTTCAGGCTACCTGCTGTCCAAAGTGGAGGAGAAAGTGGGCTCACCAGAGAGGCCTCTGTCTGACTTGGGCCTCATCAGCTACCGTAGTTACTGGAAGGAGGTGTTACTCAGATACATGTACAATTTCCAGGGAAAAGAGATCTCCATCAAAGGTAACAGAAGTCAAACACAAGGCATATTTGCTCATGAGAAAATTTTATTAACACAAAGATGTACTAACACACATGCAGAAACAAAACATATAACTGTTGTAATATGTGATGCACAGAGATCAGTCAGGAGACTGCTGTCAATCCGGTGGACATCGTGAGCACCCTGCAGTCTCTTCAGATGCTGAAGTATTGGAAGGGAAAGCACCTGGTGTTAAAGCGACAGGTCAGATTTCACCTGATATGTTACTATTGACTCTTTGAGCAGTTTTAGTGTAGCCAGTGTTTATGATTTAAATAACTTTTCAGAATATTCACACCTTCATGAGTATAAATGATTAAATATATGATGAATATGTTTTAACAGGTCAAACACATGTAATTGTTGGAGCTTCCTAGTGTCCACTGTATGAGCAATGTTTGCTCATTGAACCTTATCCCAATGCAATTTTCCTATTCCAAAACTGACTGTAATTTCCTCCCTCTAGGACCTGATTGATGAGTGGAAAGCAAAGGAGATCAAGAGAGGCAATAGCAATAAAACCATTGACCCAAGCTCACTGAAATGGACCCCTCCCAAAGGGACATGAGCACTAAGAACCTCAGGCTACTGAACTAATTCACCTCCAGCCTCACCAGCCACAAGTAGCCTCGATCCATAAAACTGTCAATGAAGACCAGTGCTCTTTCTTTCTTTTTTTTTTTTCTCCTCCTTTGCTTTTGTCTCAGAACTTTTTTTTACTTTTATATTTTACTTTGTATTTTAGACTCCATATGTTTCCAGTCTGATGATTTTGCGCTGAAACATCATCTCCACCAGAGAGACTTTTTTTCATATTTGTTTTTAAAACAGCTTCTACTAAGCTTTGAATGTGAAACAGTCCAGTGTGTTGGATAAACATGAATGTTTTGCTTTTCTCATGCAAAAAAAAAAAGAAAACAAAAACCCACATATCTGCACTTGGCAGCATTTACAGGCTGTTTTTTTTCTTTCCATTACAACAGTAACTGTTAGCATGAAATGAATCTGTAAGCTGAGTGTAATCTGAGAAATGATGTATGGTGACGTCTTTGGTTGGTGTTTAATTGTATAGATGAAACAATAATGTATTTTTTTTTCTCCAGCTCCATCAATACAGGATTTGGACCCATTCCTCTGACAAACCTGCCAAACAACAGTGCATTATTCAGATTGTTTTACTTTTCTGAGAATAAATGAGGATAAATGACAAGGTACCACTGTAAGAATGCACATAGAAATAAAACAACCTCAGGTCTTTGTACTGATACAATCTTACCTTGCTCGTGTGGTTCCTCCAAAACATCAGGCGCAGTGGTTGTTGCAGATGCAAACACTCGGGTTAAAAGTTCTGTGAAAACCAGAAAATCTGAACATCACATTTGACTGTATTTACATTTTACTCTTTAATCATAGATGTTTTAATGTGTATTAGCAATTTGATATTTTAATATCAATAAAGCTGCTTTGATATTTTGAAATGAGTTGATTTTCTGCTTACTGTCACTGGAAATGCTTCTCCCCATCAGACCCACAAACATCTCTCCTTTATTCCCTACAAATGTAAAGAAGCAGCTTTATGGTTGATAATAATGATGCTGCCATAAAAATAACATAAGTTAAGTGTTTTTAAGCAGCATCATTTTAAACAAGTACACAGCAGCATCAAGCCACTCACGTCTGTCAACTTTGAAAGGTTTCTTTACACCTGTGAGAAAAAAAGACAAAAATTAAGCAGTAACAGGCAAACTGTTATCTATACCAGTAACGTGCAAGTATTGAACAATAACCCTGACATAAGCATTTAAAAATCTCTTAAAAAGAGAAAAAAGTAAAATTAATTCAGAGACCTTCGGAGCGTTTCCCCATGAGTCCATAGAAGCGGAGAGCTTTCGCTCTTTTCATCAGACTGGCCATTGGGTGGGACAACCCCGAATCCATTGACTCATCCTGACGAAAACAAAAAAATAAAACTGTTTTAAAAAAAATATATTTTTATTATTTTATATTATTTTATTGCACTTAGGTTATGAAACCAGGAGTTCATCTATTTTCGGGTTTGAACATATTTCCTAGATTTCCTGTAACACCTTCATATTTAATTTTCTGTAAAAACCTACAATTATTCATCCTCTCACATTGCAATTGAGAACATTTTGTGTGCTCACCTGCCAGTGCTCAGCTAACCCTCCCTCCTCCTCCACAGGCAAAGCCATGTGAGTTTGTATCAAAGCAGAAAAAGCCACAACAGCAAGCTGGAGCTTCCAGTTATCCATCTCTTGACTTAAGAAAAACACGCTGATTATTTTTCCCTCTAGAAAAGGGTCTGATAAAGCTAGAAACACAAAATACAAATGCACACCAGCAGGTTTTAGAGTCTTCTGTCCACTCTGACGGCTCTATGGCTGCATTTATACGTCTACACCCTGTGCTGATAGACCCCTCCCCTTTCTACATAATGAAGCACTTGTCTTTTTTACATTAGAAATCTTCTTTAAATGCTAATTTAGAAATATGTGGTATTCAGATTCAGTATAAATAAGTCAAATTTTAGATTGGTATAAACGGACTTGTATTAAACCATTTGTGTAATCATAAACATGAACACACTCTAGGATTTACTCAGGCTACCAGGTTGAACTGTAAGAAAAGCCAGATAGTCAGCTTTCATCTACATTTTTATTGGACATCTGAACTGGTATCGGCCTAAAAATATCCCCCTGGTACTTGTTTGTGACCTTGTGACGTTCTTTGATATAAGCTGGGGCCCGGGCAGGAGTCTTTGAACAATGCTTTGTAAATATGACTGTCTGCTTTGAAGGAAGAGCTTTAACAGCCAGCCAATTGACTCTGTGGATTACTGACGCACTGGATTTATTAAACAGGACACTTCAGGGGTCAAAAGTCAAATGAGTCACAAAAGATTGTGGCCGGGAGAAATTGGGCAACTAGAATGTGGCCAAGGGGTTGCCATGGCCACCCTAAAATCCTGAACTATATCTGAATATGGCATGAAAAAGATTGAATTCAGCAGATTTGAATACTGTCTCTCTGTTTAGCTACCTGCTTAAGTTATTTAAAAAATTGTCCAAAAATGTACAGTGTAAAACTTTTCTGGATTTAGTAAACAAATATTGTAGACCTGTTTAGCAGAGATAACCTCTGAGTTTTGAGATGTGTCCCTCATGTTTACCACACCTAATTCCTTGGTTTGACCAATCTTGTCAAACACTGGTCAGAAGTCAAACGGCCATTTTTCTAAAGCACCTTAAAAAAAATTGGATTTTGTAGAAATATGAATGAAATATACCAAACATCAAAATATACAGACATGTTCAAAAAGTCAGAGGGTAAATTCATTTTGACAAGAATCAGTCAGATCTCTTTTTCATCTTCTAGGATAATTTCCCTGCTATTAAACCCTTTCATGATCTTTACTTACTTTGCTCTGTTTCCGTAAACACTGAGCTCCTATTTCAACACTGCAGCTATAGAAATTTCTAGAGAGGCAATTACTTGACAATCTGTGCGCTGTAAGGACACCCACTTGAAACAAAGCTGACACACATGTGGTGCTTTGATCCACGCACAGGTGCTTCTAAAAGCAAGAGAAGACCCGGGACAATTAAGCCTGAAAGGCTATTAGACCTGAACAGCCCTTATGTTATGTGCAGACTGACCCGCAGCTACTGTGGAGAGCTGAATCAAAAAGAATCAGAGGGAAACATTTGCATGTGAAATGATTTGCTCACAAAGAGCTGCTGTAATGACAGGACGCTGCATTTCCATCATGTGACGCAAGGGAAAGGTACTAAACGTTTTTTCAGTATTTTCACACTGCTGTTGCGTCTGATGTTCTCCATTGATCCAGTCACCTTTAAAAATGTGACTTTGTCAGACCTCAAATACAAATTTCAATCTGAAAAGATAAGTTGTGGTCGTGGGCAAGCAAAATATTGCAACAGTGAGACAGAGAAGCGGCAGCATGTCATGACATAAGCCAGTGGATCGGCAGCATATGCAAGAAGGTCAGTGATTTAATGTGACCAACAGTATGAAACCAGCAAGATGGCAGCACGTGCCAGTCCACTTTGTGTAATGCCACCATATACTGCTGTGTATGGTATTATTGGTGCAAAACGTGCAGTAGTGTAATCTGCTTTATTTTCCATTTCTCTATTAAACCTGTAATAATACAGTAAGCTGTAGTTGATTAGTAATGCCTGCTAAGAGGTGCAGTGTTATGTCAGTCAAAGGTGACATGTACCTTTTAGTATGCATCACTCATTAACTACCTTCATTCAGTCAGAGGCTTACATAACCAATCAAAAGTCAGACATTGACATTGTTTACTTTTAATGCTGATCTCCGATTGACTAATCTGAGATTTTACAAATCTCTCTTGAAAACACTGAGCTATCTTGTAAGTTTGTTTAATGTAGGTGTGGTGCTCTTTATTGTTATTTTCTTTGGTGGGTTCCCTCAAGTTTTAGTCAAGAACTTCAAGTAGAAAAACTTTTAAAAATATATAATTCAAAAATGGAGTGGGAAGTTTAAAAACATTTTGAAAGTGCAAACTATTACCACTGCTAAAATTCATATTATTTAGTAAATTGTTTACTTTCTAAATGCTTGAGACCATTTTGGGGGTATATTATTGCTGATTGAGATTAGGGGTTCAATACAGTCTAGGGTCAAAACTCCTTTGCTTAGAGGGTTTAAAGGAAAAGGAAAAAGGAAAAAAATATGGAGATAAATAATAAACAGCAATTGAACATACTGAAATAAAAACAAACAAACAAACAAACAAACAAATATATAGGCTATGAAAAAATTTGGGCGACAGCCAGAGGGCGGTATTTATTTCCGGAAAGGGTTAAGGCCGGTTGAAGCTACAGGCAAGAGGTGGGGAGGGGCTAGCACAAAAAAAAAAAAAGAGTCAAAAAAAAAAAAGAGTCAAAAAAAAAGAAAGAAAATTTAGATATTTTTCGTTTTACTTATCAATCAATTTTAAAAGAAATTGCTTTTTAAGCGATGTTCGTCTGGTTATCTACAAAAATTACAAAACAAAACTAGAAAAATTGCATTTCCTTGCAGAAAATGCGTGGAAATGCTGAGTGCTGAAAGCTAACAAAGCAATGCTAAACTGCTAATAAAACATGGAGAAAGGTATAAATGTTAAAGCTGTTGAAGGAGTGAGAAAGAAATATAAGTTGGATAACTGTTAAATTGGTTGAAGGACAAATAGTATGAATATGCTCTATAAAAGGAAATTTTATTCATGCTGAAAGAGGCTAGAAAAATGTCGACAATTGCACAAAGTTTGAATGAAGAAGGAAACTGCCTTAAAAGGCAGGAAGTTGAAAAGTGGCATAAGTTTAAGTTGTAGTACTAGAAGTAGTATAGGAGGTCAAGTCGTGATACTAGTAGTCATGTCAGCAGTAGAAGTAGTTTGAGAATAAAAGAAGTATAAGTCACAATAGTAGAGAAAGTAGAAATAGGAGCAATAGCAGTTGAAGTAGAGGGGATAGTACTAGTTTAATTGACATTAGCGGTAGTTGTCGTACTTGAGGTAGGATTTTGTTTGAAGGATGGAGTAATGCATAAATATTAAAACTTATTTCAAACAGGGAAAATTTAAATAATTAAAAATCCTCAAGAATCAGAAAGTTTTGAAGTATTAGAAAGGTTTGAATCAGTTTGAATGAGTTTCAATTAGTTTGAAAAAATAAATGATAAATCATCACTGAGTGACTTTAAAATGTGAAAAATTTAAATGAATATAAATCCTAAATACACCCCATAATGTCCTCAATGAGCTTAAATTTTAAAGCCCTGAATGGTCATGTGGGAGATAGGGGCTGAAGTTTTTTCAAGCGCTCTAGGAAAGGGTTTTAAGTGTCATCCCCAGTGCTATGTGTACTGAGCCTGGCTTCATGTGTCTCATATGGCCATTAGAAGCAGCTTTCCAGTCAGCTGTGTGTCTCCAGGTGCACAAGTTGGTTGCCATGGGGACCTTGGATGCATAACTATAGCAGGAGAAAGAAGGCTTAAAGCTAAGGAAACAGGACTCCAAGTAGGCCCTGACGCTCATCCTCTGTATATATTCATAAGGAGCTTGTGAGAACACAAGACTCTGCTGAACACATTAATACAATTTATTATCACAATCTTCAAAACACCCCATAATATCTTGAATGAGCTGAATTTTTGAAGCCCAGAATGGTTTCTGTGGCTCAAAGTTTGTGGGTGGAGATAGGTGGCGAAGCAGACACATATTAACTGTGTGTACAAGCAGCTGAACTGCAAGGTAGACCTCACAAAGCAACAAGTACAAGAATGTGTGTGTGTGTGTGTGTGTGTGTGTCTCGTTAATGACTGCATCCTAAACAGCTGTGAGATCAAAGGCAAATCACTGACCTACTGTTTGACTGAGAGGTGCTGAACTGCAGTGAATTTCAGCCTGTGAACTTCTTCACATAGCGTGATTTCCTTAAGTCCCAGAATGAAAATAAGAACATCGTACGAATCCTCCGTCCTTCATGAACACAATGATGTGTTTTTCATGTCTGTACTTCGAAAAATGAGGCCACAACAGCGAGTTAAAAAAGTCTGAGCTTGAGCGATGATCCGGATTTTTTAAATTGTAGTACTAGAAGTAGTATGATAAGAAGTCAAGTCGTGATACTAGTAGTCATGTCAGCAGTAGAAGTAGATTGAGAATAAAAGAAGTATAATTCAAAGTAGTAAAGAAAGTAGAAATAGGAGCAATAGCAGTTGAAGTAGAGGGGAAAGTTCTAGTTTAATTGACATTAGCAGTAGTTGTCGTACTTGAGGTAGGATTTTGTTTGAATGATGGAGTAATGCATAAATATTAAAACTAATTTAAAACAGGGAAATTTTAAATTATCAAAAGTCCTCAAGTATCAGAAAGTTTTGAAGTATTAGAAAGGTTTGAATCAGTTTGAATGAGTTTAAATTAGTTTGAAAAATTAAATGATAAATCATCACTGACTGACTTTTAAAATGTGAAAAATTTAAATGAATAACAATCCTAAATACACCCAATAATGTCCTCAATGAGCTTAAATTTCAAAGCCCTGAATGGTTTCTGTAGGTCAAAGGTCATGTGAGGAGATAGGGGCTGAAGTTTTTTCCAACGCTCTAGGAAAGGGTTTTAAGTGTCATCCCAATTGCTATGTGTACTGAGCCTGGCTTCATGTGTCTCATATGGCCACTAGAAGCAGCTTTCCAGTCAGCTGTGTGTCTCCAGGTGCACAAATTGGTTGCCATGGGGACCTTGGATGCATAACTATAGCAGGAGAAAGAAGGCTTGAAGCTAAGGAAACAGGACTCCAAGTAGGCCCTGACGCTCACCCTCTGTATATATTCATAAGGAGCTTGTGAGAACACAAGATTTTGCTGAACACATTAATACAATTTATTATCACAATCCTCAAAACACCCCATAATATCTTCAATGAGCTGAATTTTTCAAGCCCAGAATGGTTTCTGTAGCTCAAAGTTTGTGGGTGGAGATAGGTGGTGAAGCAGACACATATTAACTGTGTGTACAAGCAGCTGAACTGCAAGGTGGACCTCAAAAAGCAACAAGTACAAGAATGTGTGTGCGTGTGTGTGTGTGTGTCTCGTTAATGACTGCATCCTAAACAGCTGTGAGATCAAAGGCAAATCACTGACCTACTGTTTGACTGAGAGGTGCTGAACTGCAGTGAATTTCAGCCTGTGAACTTCTTCACATAGCGTGATTTCCTTAAGTCCCAGAATGAAAATAAGAACATCGTACGAATCCTCCGTCCTTCATGAACACAATGATGTGTTTTTCATGTCTGTACTTCGAAAAATGAGGCCACAACAGCGAGTTAAAAAAGTCTGAGCTTGAGCGATGATCCGGATTTTCTTGGAGAAAAATAACATTACAGTCAATGGGAGAGATTTCCGCCTTTTTTTGGACAGTTGGTCACCTCCTGCCCAAGGGGTACGATTTAATGATTTGAAACCTCTTTTGTGAGAAGCAGGACACATATACCTCCATTTTGATGTATTATTTGTGTCAGTGGAGTGAGATTTGTGGGCGTGGGAGCGATATATTCGAGCGAGGTTCTGTCGATCAGAGACGAGGTCTGCACTCTAGCTGATGACATCATCACTCTAAACTCTCCAATACACACCCATTATAAAGCTTGAAATTTGCTGAAAACCACAAGTTGCATAAAGCTAAATTGTGGAAAAACTGTAGGAGATAGCACAAAAAAGTCACTACAGCATATTTGGAGGAGAAGATTGTGAACATTTTGAAGCAAAAATGAGGTCTCTAGGTGAAAGTATGCTGAAGTTATAAGGCTGAGAAGGTGGAGGAGTAAAAGGCAGAATTTGAAGATTTCCCCATTCATTTCAATGGGAAAATTTTTTGCACAAAAAGTCAAAAATATCAAAAAGTATAAGGGGTTGAAAAGTGAAAAATACATCCGCACTATTCCTGAAGGAGAGGAATAGTTTAAAAGTTGAACGGTTGAAATCGGACAAAGTATGGAGGAGTTGAAAAGTTGCAAAAAAGGTACGGAAGAATAATAATAATAACTAGAAAAATTGCATTTCCTTGCAGAAAATGCGTGGAAATGCTGAGTGCTGAAAGCTAACAAAGCAATGCTAAACTGCTAATAAAACATGGAGAAAGGTATAAATGTTAAAGCTGTTGAAGGGGTGAACAGAAATATAAGTTGGATAATTGATTAATTGGTTGAAGGACAAATAGTATGAATATGCTCTATAAAAGGAAATTTTATTCATGCTGAAAGAGGCTAGAAAAATGTCTCAAATTGCACAAAGTTTGAATGAAGAAGGAAATTGCCTTAAAAGGCAGGAAGGTGAGAAGTGGCATAAGTTTAAATTGTAGTACTAGAAGTAGTATGATAAGAAGTCAAGTCGTGATACTAGTAGTCATGTCAGCAGTAGAAGTAGATTGAGAATAAAAGAAGTATAATTCAAAGTAGTAAAGAAAGTAGAAATAGGAGCAATAGCAGTTGAAGTAGAGGGGAAAGTTCTAGTTTAATTGACATTAGCAGTAGTTGTCGTACTTGAGGTAGGATTTTGTTTGAATGATGGAGTAATGCATAAATATTAAAACTAATTTAAAACAGGGAAATTTTAAATTATCAAAAGTCCTCAAGTATCAGAAAGTTTTGAAGTATTAGAAAGGTTTGAATCAGTTTGAATGAGTTTAAATTAGTTTGAAAAATTAAATGATAAATCATCACTGACTGACTTTTAAAATGTGAAAAATTTAAATGAATAACAATCCTAAATACACCCAATAATGTCCTCAATGAGCTTAAATTTCAAAGCCCTGAATGGTTTCTGTAGGTCAAAGGTCATGTGAGGAGATAGGGGCTGAAGTTTTTTCCAACGCTCTAGGAAAGGGTTTTAAGTGTCATCCCAATTGCTATGTGTACTGAGCCTGGCTTCATGTGTCTCATATGGCCACTAGAAGCAGCTTTCCAGTCAGCTGTGTGTCTCCAGGTGCACAAATTGGTTGCCATGGGGACCTTGGATGCATAACTATAGCAGGAGAAAGAAGGCTTGAAGCTAAGGAAACAGGACTCCAAGTAGGCCCTGACGCTCACCCTCTGTATATATTCATAAGGAGCTTGTGAGAACACAAGATTTTGCTGAACACATTAATACAATTTATTATCACAATCCTCAAAACACCCCATAATATCTTCAATGAGCTGAATTTTTCAAGCCCAGAATGGTTTCTGTAGCTCAAAGTTTGTGGGTGGAGATAGGTGGTGAAGCAGACACATATTAACTGTGTGTACAAGCAGCTGAACTGCAAGGTGGACCTCAAAAAGCAACAAGTACAAGAATGTGTGTGTGTGTGTGTCTCGTTAATGACTGAATCCTAAACAGCTGTGAGATCAAGGGCAAATCACTGACCTACTGTTTGACTGAGAGGTGCTGAACTGCAGTGAATTTCAGCCTGTGAACTTCTTCACATAGCGTGATTTCCTTAAGTCCCAGAATGAAAATAAGAACATCGTACGAATCCTCCGTCCTTCATGAACACAATGATGTGTTTTTCATGTCTGTACTTCGAAAAATGAGGCCACAACAGCGAGTTAAAAAAGTCTGAGCTTGAGCGATGATCCGGATTTTCTTGGAGAAAAATAACATTACAGTCAATGGGAGAGATTTCCGCCTTTTTTGGACAGTTGGTCACCTCCTGCCCAAGGGGTACGATTTAATGATTTGAAACCTCTTTTGTGAGAAGCAGGACACATATACCTCCATTTTGATGTATTATTTGTGTCAGTGGAGTGAGATTTGTGGGCGTGGGAGCGATATATTCGAGCGAGGTTCTGTCGATCAGAGACGAGGTCTGCACTCTAGCTGATGACATCATCACTCTAAACTCTCCAATACACACCCATTATAAAGCTTGAAATTTGCTGAAAACCACAAGTTGCATAAAGCTAAATTGTGGAAAAACTGTAGGAGATAGCACAAAAAAGTCAATACAGCATATTTGGAGGAGAAGATTGTGAACATTTTGAAGCAAAAATGAGGTCTCTAGGTGAAAGTATGCTGAAGTTATAAGGCTGAGAAGGTGGAGGAGTAAAAGGCAGAATTTGAAGATTTCCCCATTCATTTCAATGGGAAAATTTTTTGCACAAAAAGTCAAAAATATCAAAAAGTATAAGGGGTTGAAAAGTGAAAAATACATCCGCACTATTCCTGAAGGAGAGGAATAGTTTAAAAGTTGAACGGTTGAAATCGGACAAAGTATGAAGGAGTTGAAAAGTTGCAAAAAAGGTACGGAAGAATAATAATAATAATAATAATAATAATAAAGAAATAGGAGAATAACAATAAGTGGAAATGCTTAATCAGCATTTCCACTTAACTAGAAAAATTGCATTTCCTTGCAGAAAATGCGTGGAAATGCTGAGTGCTGAAAGCTGAAAAAGCAATGCTAAACTGCTAGTAAAACATGGAGAAAGGTATAAATGTTAAAGCTGTTGAAGGAATGAAAAAGAAATATGAGTTGGATAACTGTTTAATTGGTTGAGGGACAAATAGTATGAATATGCTCTATAAAAGGAAATTTTATTCATGCTGAAAGAGGCTAGAAAAATGTCTAAAATTGCACAAAGTTTGAATGAAGAAGGAAACTGCCTTAAAAGGCAGGAAGGTGAGAAGTGGCATAAGTTTCAGTTGTAGTACTAGAAGTAGTATGATAAGAGGTCAAGTCGTGATACTAGTAGTCATGTCAGCAGTAGAAGTAGATTGAGGATAAAAGAAGTATAAGTTAAAGTAGTAGACAAAGTAGAAATAGTAGCAATAGCAGCAGTAGAGAAAGTAGAAATAGGAGCAATAGCAGTTGAAGTAGAGGGGATAGTACTAGTTTAATTGACATTAGCGGTAGTTGTCGTACTTGAGGTAGGATTTTGTTTGAAGGATGGAGTAATGCATAAATATTAAAACTTATTTCAAACAGGGAAAATTGAAATAATTAAAAATCCTCAAGAATCAGAAAGTTTTTAAGTATTACAAAGGTTTGAATCAGTTTGAATGAGTTTCAATTAGTTTGAAAAAATAAATGATAAATCATCACTGAGTGACTTTAAAATGTGAAAAATCTAAATGTATATAAATCCTAAATACACCCCATAATGTCCTCAATGAGCTCAAATTTTAAAGCCCTGAATGGTTTCTGTAGGTCAAAGGTCATGTGAGGAGATAGGGGCTGAAGTTTTTTCAAGCGCTCTAGTAAAGGGTTTTAAGTGTCATCCCCAGTGCTATGTGTGCTGAGCCTGGCTTCATGTGTCTCATATGGCCACTAGAAGCAGCTTTCCAGTCAGCTGTGTGTCTCCAGGTGCACAAATTGGTTGCCATGGGGACCTTGGATGCATAACTATAGCAGGAGAAAGAAGGCTTGAAGCTAAGGAAACAGGACTCCAAGTAGGCCCTGACGCTCATCCTTTGTATATATTCCTGAAAAGGAGCTTGTGAGAACACAAGACTCTGCTAAACACATTAACACAATTTATTATCACAATCCTCAAAACACCCCATAATATCTTCAATGAGCTGAATTTTAGAAGCCCAGAATGGTTTCTGTAGCTCAAAGTTTGTGGGTGGAGATAGGTGGCGAAGCAGACACATATTAACTGTGTGTACAAGCAGCTGAACTGCAAGGTAGACCTCATAAAGCAACAAGTACAAGAATGTGTGTGTGTGTGTGTGTGTCTCTCGTTAATGACTGCATCCTAAACAGCTGTGAGATCAAAGGCAAATCACTGACCTACTGTTTGAATGAGAAGCAGCTGAACTGCAGAGGATTTAGAGGCTCTAAACTTCTTCACATAGCGTGATTTCCTTAAGTCACAGAATGAAAATAAGAACATCGTACGAATCCTCCGCCCTTCATGAACACAATGATGTCTTTTTCATGTCTGTACTTCGAAAAATGAGGCCACAACAGCGAGTTAAAAAAGTCTGAGCCTGAGCGATGATCCGGATTTTCTTGGAGAAAAATAACATTACGGTCAATGGGAGAGATTTCCGCCTTTTTTGGACAGTTGGTCACCTGCTGGCCAAGGGGTACGATTTAATTATTTGAAACCTCTTTTGTGAGAAGCAGGACACATATACCTCCATTTTGATGTATTTTTTATGGCTGTGGAGTGAGATTTGTGGGCGTGGGAGCGATATATTCGAGCGAGGTTCTGTCGATCAGAGAGGAGCTGTCCACTCTAGTGATGACATCATCACTGTAAACTCTCCAATACACACCCATTATAAGCCTGAAAATTTGCTGAAAACCACAAGGTGCATAAAGCTAAATTGTGGAAAAACTGAAGGAGATAGCACAAAAAAGTCAATACAGCATATTTAGAGGAGAGGATTGTGAACATTTTAAAGCAAAAATGAGGTCTGTAGGTGAAAGTATGCTGAAGTTATAAGGCTGAGAAGGTGGAGGAGTAAAAGGTAGAATTTGAAGATTTCCCCATTCATTTCAATGGGAAAAATTTTGCACAAAAAGTCAAAAATATCAAAAAGTATAAGGGGTAGAGAAGTAAAAAATAGACCCCATAATGTCCTGAAGGAGTGGAATAGTTTAAAGTTTGAACGGTTGAAATCGGACAAAGTTTGAAGGAGGAGAAGCGTTGCAAAAAAGGGACGGAAGAATAATAATAATAACTAGAAAAATTGCATTTCCTTGCAGAAAATGCGTGGAAATGCTGAGTGCTGAAAGCTGAAAAAGCAATGCTAAACTGCTAATAAAACATGGAGAAAGGTATAAATGTTAAAGCTGTTGAAGGGGTGAAAAAGAAATAGAAGTTGAATAATTGTGAAAATGGTTGGACAAATACTATGTATGTACTACATAAATTGAAATTGCATTCATGCTGAAAGAGGCTGACAAATGTCTACAATTGCACAAATTTTGTATGAAGAGGAAAATTTCTTTAAACACAGAAAAGTGACATGTGGCTTAAGGTTAAGTTGTAGTTCTAGTATGTGTATGATTATAAGTAGTGGTAGTAGTGATATTAGTAGTCATATTAATAGTAGTAGTAGTTTTAGAACAGACAAAGTAAGTGTCAAAGTAGTAGAGCTAGTGGTAGATGTAATAGCAGTAAAGAAAGTATTAACAGTAGCAATAGTAGTTGAGGTAGAAGTGAAGGTACTAGTTAAAGTGATATTAGTAGTAGTTGTAGTAGTAGTAGAAGTGGGATTTTGTTTGCTACCGCCCCTGCACATAATGTTTTTTAAAATAGAGGACTCGCCAAAAGTGGTCCCTTGGGACCTCGTATTTAAAGAGATGTAGCCATTTTTAATCATGTACTGAAAAACCAATTTCAGTTCATACTGTACAATACCCTCTCAGAGATCATGCATGATATCAACTGCAAAATTGTCAGTGCTATGGAAATATTCGAATGAATTGAGCACACAAGTTTTTTTTAACACCATTAATGGCAGGTAGAGTAGGATCCTCTCTTAGTGCATTACAATAATCAATGTGCAGCTCTCTGGAGAGCAGAATTAACCCAGGGTCATCTTTGTTAAATAAAGACTGAATTTCATTCTTATTTGTCTATCAAAACCTACACCAAAGTGTTGAGCTGAATGATTCAACAATCATTGAAGCAAGCTATTTGAAGCCAGATTATCTCCTGTTACTTGTATTACAGAGCCAAATTATGGTTCTTCAATAGGAAGTTGGACTCCTTTCGCTGAACCTAAAGGGTTGGCAGTTTCATAGTTGCCGTAATAAAGCAAAATTTGTAGAGTGTGTTTCTGTCATGAGAACAGGGAATGATTTTGGAAATATAACCCATCATTAATATCTCTGTATGTCCCCTTTCCATTCAGTTTCTCTTTAAGCTCAGTTTTTGAAAATGGATATTAGTGTACCCAATTAGTGTACATTAAGGTACATGTACGTACTTGTCTGTTACAGGAACTTGACTACAGACACCTATAATTATATCTCTCTGTGTATCCGGTTTCACACCAAGGACAAATTCTTTAACTAGTTCAACTATCTCCCATTTTTCGTCATAATATTTTTGACTCCTTTTCTCTGTATTAAATGCTGAAAGAGGATGATCTCATTGACTTGAGTTGTGCTAAATTTCTTTTATACATTTCATACTCCTTTTCTTCAGAAGAAAATATTTGGAGAACTGCTTCTTGTGCTGGATTTTGAAGATCACAAACAAGTTCCTCCATCGAACAAACTATTGTGTGGACAGTGCTTTGAGACGTACCAGAAGCTTGTAAGTGTGAAACAATAGATCCACACATTCTATCAAGTGAGTTTGTCGTGACAGCGGGAGGAACGTGCAACATGGACGTGCTGACGTTGTGGGCTGATCACTTAAAAGTTGCACCTCAGAATATACTTTTGTGGTGACTCCCTGGTTAGTAAGGGCCTGCTTATCATGGTGTTGCCTATGGCCAGTACTGAGGTGCTGTTGGCCAGTATTGAGAAGCTGTTGTAAGTACAAAAAGATGAAAGAGATCCTTGCTCTCTGCATTTAAAACTCAAGTTTTTTGCTTGATCTAATCCATAAATAAGTTTTAAATGCTGGCAAAGACCTGAACAGCTTTTGTAGTGCTTTTTACAAACAAAGAACATCGTACTTAAACTTTTTCAAGACCTTTGCAATCAGGAGGCATTTTAACTATTCTTTAAACCAACTTTTTTGTGTCGCAATTTTACAAAGCAAAATTGAAGATTCTCAGACAGTTTTTTCAGCTTTGTAACCTGACGCCATTGTAACAGCCATTTGAACAATTTCCACGATGCGCTTTTTGTGCAGAATTTGTAAACACGCTTGTAATGTTTATCTAACTGTGCTCTTACTTTCATAATCTGGTGGCATTTTCATGATCTCGTAGTTGGGCTCTTTGGCTCTCTTTTGCATTTCCAACATCAATGTGGTAAACCGTGGTTTGAATGAAAGTGTAGAAACTGGGAAAAGCTTCATCATACGAGAGGCTGAAGACATAGTGAGTTTTGAACAGCACATCAAGTCTGAGCATGACATGGGATCGCTTTTTTGTCCACAAGAATGAAAAACCTTTGGATCTTCTTCTCACCTCTGATGCCAAGAAGAAAGGGTTGTCTTGCTTTGTCCAGGAATGTTGTGAGGCTGGCTCCTTGCTGTTTGAACAAAACAGATTCAGAAAAACATAATGAATGTAACACACTTAAGTTTAAAATCAATCGTTGCAAGCCCACATCAACCTGTAAGAAAAACTTCTCACAACTCTAGAACAAATGATTTGGTGGTATGAAAAGCCAATGGTACATACCTTGACAAATCTCACAAGATGCCTGTGCTGAGCTTATCTTGCCTTTTTTGTAACCTCTTGATGTAGGGGGTAGGAGATGTAACAGCTGCAGGAGAGCAGACATATCAGTATCCCAGCCACAATGTCCATTTACAGGTTGCTTATGAGTAGTGATGTGTCCTTCAGTGCTGAGGTATTTCCCCGAAGCGCGTATCGAGGCTTGCTTCATGTAGGGGAGGGGTCTAAAATGATGAAGTCTGAAGCCTCGCTACCCGGCTGTAGCACGTGACTGATTCAAGAAACAGTTAGCAGGTTTGGCGGATGATTTGACAGGCAGCGTAACGCAATGGAGTCCTCCCCCACTCACAAGCCATAGACTCGAGACTTGTTGAAAAGTTGTTTTTAAATAAAAACTAATGAAATGTTTATGTTTTATATGTTTTCCCCATTACAAAAGTACAAACAACAAACTAAGTATCACAAGCACATTCACATCACAACCCTCTCCATAATTTATGTCCTCTTTTCCCTATTTGACACTGCAACTGTGTCTTAAAGACAGACACCATGTTAATAACTTTATCATTTTTGTATTGTATTACAAACACATGGCCTCACAGCCATTTATTCATTCAATTCAAAGCTTCGTGCACCAAAGTCTCGGGGTGTCTTTGGTTTATCACTCTGCCTGTTTTACATTTACTGTCCACTTGATGGCGCAAAAGAGCAAATGAAGCGCAATCATGAAGCTTCGGTCCAGGAGGCAAGTAATTGGATGGAAAGCTTCAATGCTTCAAGAGGCTTCATTTTACCATTAAAATACTTTGTTCAGAGCAGTTTTCCTGAAAATAAACTGGAATGAGAAAGTGTTTCTTCTATATAAACAGAAATATAATTGCACATATATCAAACCAAAGCTGAGTCAGTCCTTGTAAGTATTTGTTTGATAGCCTTTACCTGTAGCGTCACACTGGCGGTATCCAACCTCAAAGTTTCGAGTCCCCGACTTTATGAGCTCATCAAACACGTCTGCGTCAATCTCAGTACCAGATTCATCATTCAGTCTGAGCTCACCTTCAATCAGAAGTTGAGCTGGAAGACAAAATTTGTTGATTACTGGAAGAAATATAAAAACAACTTACCAGTAACTGAAGAGTAATTCAACCACATTTTCAAGTGTAAGCAGACATTTTTGAGCCTGAATTGTTTTAGTTTGTAAAGACAACGTGCTTTACTGTCAAGATTTACACAAGGAGCAAACTACTGAGCAATCACAGCAGTTGGCCTGACATTAAACTCGGATCACTAACCTTAATCAACAGTTTGCAGGGAATAAGGTAACTCCAACATTTATGATGACAATCAATTTTGCTATCAAATACAAATTAAGCGTGCTGAAATTAAAGATAAGCCACTTTTATCGGGTTAGGGTGGCTAGTTTCACAATAGCAGCTAACGTTAGCTTCCTGTGTTATAGTGACTAATCATTGAATGGAAACAGACCATACACTGGTAGAGCAAAGTTAACATCTGTATCAAAAAACAACCTTTAGAGAAAGTATTTTATGTTCTTACCTGGCAACATAAAGCGAAATCCAGAGGTTAGTGCACAGCCTGTAGCTATCGCGATGGAGAATCTGGCTTCTATCAGTGAATGTGGGGGCGGGGCTGCGGGAACAACACAGACGGTGTGACATTCAGGTTCAGAGTTCAGTGTAAAAAATTTAAGAGATGCCGCAGTAACACACAGATTTAATTTACTGACACACGATTTTACACTGAATTCTGACTCCAACTCTTTTCAAACAGAGAGTATATTTTCATGGATTTGACTACATTCAGAGTAAGATCGTACTAAATCATACTACAAAGTAGTTTAGGCAATAAATCATTCAAAGCAACAAGCTTCCAAAAACATCACTGTTGACAGACAGCCAATCCCGTGGCAGATGATGACAGCCAATCCCGTAGCAGATAGTGACGTCGATGATCTCAACGGAGAGCGCGAGAACAGCCATTTCTTTTTGAGACGAGGAGGCGACCGGAGACTCTAACAGCGACAGCGAGACAAGTGAAAAAAACAGACTATGACAACAAAAGTAAGTAAAACCATTGTTATTTTTTTGTAAACCAATTGTTTAATAATCAATAATAATTATGATACTGTTTAAAATTACTCTACAGGTAATATTTGGTCATATACCCTCAGGGAGAGCAAGTTTCTATCATTCTATGGCCTAGTTTAAAACATTAACGGGAACATAGACTTCACACAGTAGGCTACCAGTCAAAAGTTTGGACAATGTCTCATTCGAACATTTTGTATTACTCTTACATGTTTTAAATTGTAGATGAATAGTGAACATCTTGAAACTACTGAATAAAACAAAATATATATGAGAGAGGAAGGGAGGTGGAGGGAGACGGGAGAAGCCGAGCGGGAGGTGGGGGAGGGGAAGGCAGCAGAAGAGGTGGCTTTTTTGTCAGTCACAAAGATGGAGGCCGAAATGTTAACTTAGTGAAACAAATGCTTGAAGCTGGCCGTTCGTTTGTGCCGTTAAAATTTCGTTTGTGTTGCTTTAGTTTTAAGTTATTACACATTTTCATTTCGGGGATGACGTCTCCCAGCCCCCATTTGCTTCAATTGGACCCGAAATGGTGCCGATCGTTTGTGCCGCTGTTGCCGAGAAGTATGCACCTCGCAGAAACTCGCACCGCTCAGGCATGTCCAAACTATTACACGAAGGGCTGTGTGGCTGCGTGTTTTTCCTCCAACCAAGCAGCAGCACACCAGACTTGATTCATTTCATCAGCTGATCTACGTCTTCAGACGGCTGATTGGTCAGACTGCTGCTCTTGATTGGTTGGAAGAAAAACCTGCAGCCACACGGCCCTTTGTGGAATAGTTTGGACATGCCAACACTGCAGTTTTTCCCGGGACTCTCCCTTATTTCAGACCTATCGCCCGCCCGCCTCCCGTACTGTCATTTCTCCCAGGAATCCCCCGTAGTTTGGGGGCCCACGTTCATTCATGAATCGGATCACTGTGTTTGTCATGTTTCTTGACAACTGAAGATTGTCCTGTGTTTCTGCTGAGCCTCACAGACACTGGAAAGATACTTTTTCTTTACAATTTGGGATGTCGGTTTAAACTGTAAACTTTATTCAACCAACTTTTGTTGCAAAATGAACACATCAATGAAGGAAACAAACCTGAGATATAATATTTACGTTTATAGTATTTCACCGTCTCGGAGTGATGCGTTCAGGGCAGCCTCAGACAAAATAGTGCTGCATTGCACGCACAGATTTTCAGAGAGCCTCATACAGGAGAGCATGTAAAACGTGAGGACTTTAACACCAATATTTGGGGACTGAATAAGTTCAAGGCATATCGTAGCTATTATTTTTTATTACAATTTGTTATTGTTAAAACTAAACAAAAAGGTGTGCAGCTTCACTTATACTTATTTGGATGAGCAATCTAATAACACATACTTGCAGACATTACAGGCATCAGTATTGCCGAGAAATGCATCCAACCTTAAAGTTTGATTCTTTGGGTCTTTCCCAAACAATGGGTGGGCTTTCCTGGTGTAATATTTCCAAAAATATGTCTTATTTTTGTCTCAATAGCTAATTAATGGGTGGATGCATACTGGCAAACAGAAAAACAGCTGATATAAGATTAGTATTAAGGGTCTGCCGACTACACAATAACTTCGCAAAGAAACTCTTTGATTCTAGTTGCTTGTTAACCTATTGGTGATAATATACGCTGAATACAGTGGGCTCGATCAAACGAGCACCTGAAAAACACATTTCAATTTATCATCATAATAATTATAATTCATCAAATAAGAAAAAATCTTAACATTTTCATACACATGTATTTGAACTAAATGATGAATTTTCTCCTGTTCAGCTTTCAGCAGTCAGGAAGGTGGAGGCTGGGAAGGGAGCCGGGAAGGAGGCTGTGCCTCCTAAAAAAGATCATCCTGCAGTAGGTGTTTCTCACACTTGAAAGTATAGTAGTGTGTCAATAGACCATACAAAGATGCTGAATTACAGTGCCTAATCAGCTTGATTTCTCATACATTATTGTTTATTTTAGCACCATGCATGTGCTCAGCCCCTCTGATTTACATGAGACAAGAGCCAGTAGTATTTTTAGTGTCACATGCATAGTGAATTCAGACAGTAAGGTGTTCCCTTATGTTTTACAGGAAAAGAGCACGATCACCGTGTCCCTGTGGAGGGAGGCAGCGGTGGAGCCCCTTGCAATTGGGGAAATGGTACGAGTGACCCACGTCAGGGCCAGCAACACGGAGTATGGGGTACAGGTGAACTCCACAAACTTCACCAAAATTGAGGTAATTTGCTGTTGTCACTGTTTTCAGTTTGACATAATTTTTTTTTAAATATATAACTCTCATTTGTCCTCTTCACAATTGGTAGTTTACAGAATCACCATAAAGGTTTAATAATTGAATTAATGTAAAGACCTAGACACATGGACAGAATTGTTAACACCCTTATGTTAAAGAAAGAAAACCCCACATCCAGTTGCAAGCTGACTTAAATTTAACAATGAACACCCAGACCTGATTACTGCCAGACCTTAGGAATCAAGAAGTCAGAACAATAATACCCTAAATATTAGTCAGTATTGGGCCGTTATTACAGAGAAAACAACATATGATGTGACCAAATGATCTGATTCCTTACTTGTGTTTACTTATTTTGTCAACAGAAGCAGCAGAGTCATCAGGAGCTGGAGGTGGCTGGTGTCCTCAAGGACGGTGAAGGGGCAGCGTCTTCTGGTTTTTTCCAGGTCCTGCTGGCATGTGGAGAGACCTTGATGATAGACGAAGGCTTATGGGACCCATCTTTTGATGCAGCTATCCAAGAAGGGATACTCAAACTTAGGGCAGAATTGGAAGGGAAAAAGATAATTAAAGCAGCTATGTAAATAGTTATCTTAATGTTATGTAAATAGTTCCACTAGTTTGTTCTCACACACACACACACACACACACACACACACTCAACACACACAAACAGAAACACAGTATGTTATAAAAAATTGTTGAATGTTTTTGTTACAAAAATAAATTTGGTTGCTGCAAAAAAAGTATTAATTGAGCATTTTTCATATCTATATACATATCTATATACAAGTACTTGTTGATAAGAGATGGTAGGTTAAGTCCATAGACTGTATATAGAACGGACAGCGTCTGCCTCCTTGCTGAGTGAAGCCACTCCGAGAACAGCACCCTCTGTTGATGGGCTGTAGTATAGGTCATAAATCCCACCTCCGCCAGCAAAGCTTCTGGAGCTGTGGAAAAACTTCAGAAATTTATAACACAGAACATACATTTTTCTCCTCCCTGCTTGCGATGTTGACATGTAGTTACAGTAAGACTGGTTTGTGCTCAAGTCCTCTTTTTTTCTGTACAGCTCCGTTTTTAAAAGTTATTAGGGTGTTCATGGTTTCTATGATTGAAACTTGATACAGCGTAATGGCGTTCAGGGGTTGCGTAACTCACCCAGGGGATACGCTGTTTGAGCCGAGCGTCATCACAGCGAATCTCCGGCCGAATGCGCAGAATGCTACTGCCCAGCGCCGGTTTCAGGAATGAAAAAAAATCCCAGAAATACTGTGAGCTTTTTGGCTTCACAGGCAGGAGGCGAAACCAAGTTGTCCATAATATATACAGTCTATGATTAAGCCTTACGATGCTGCTTGGAGGCTACAATTAGTTTATTAGCAATGCTGGAAAAACTTCTTAACTATATCATAACTCACAGAACCTGGACCGATTTAATTCTTCCATACCTTAACCGTACACTAACTCATGGTAAAACAGGTAAATCATGTGATAATGACTAATCAGACGTACCTTTAGCTCATGCATCCTTAAGGGTCTTCTAGTGTGGGTTATTATTAACAAGTCGGTGAATAAATAAACAATGGAGGAGACGCCACCGGTGAGGCGTATTGCAAAATTCGTGAAGTAGTCTACAAGATGACCGAGGACAGCAAGGCCATGCAGTGGCGACCGGAGGCGGCCCCTCAGCAAGTGTCGCGGTAAGTGCTGTGGGGGGCATCCACACTCTCTTGAATCAGCACAGAGGGATTTGGTGTGTGTGAGGTTGAGCCCACAGGTAAGACGAACATTCTTTTCCACAAAAAAGACAACACAAAAAGCAAAAGTAGGTCAGTGGGTCAGACATTGGTACGGTAAGGGACAAAGGACTGACACCGAAAAATACATCCAAAATCCTTAAAGATGAAATCAAAACTTTGTCTTAGGGAGTACCTCACCAAACCCAAGATTCCAAAGGGGAGGACACGAATGGCAGTGTTTGAGCCCTTTCTTAGGGGCGTTTATTCTTAAAAACAATAATAATGACATTTCATCTTGTTTTGGTTGCATCTTGACCGAGTAAATTAGTACGTGTTGTGTGGCATCGTGTGTGGCGTCCTTCATCACTGAATGTCATTGACCTTGAGTTTTTCGTTTCCCACCTCATTGGTTTAGTCTGCTTTACGTTTTGACCTTGATCTGACCCAGGTTTGAGCAAATTATTGATAAAGTCCATGGTGCTGACCATGGTGCTAAAATGGCCTCTCGGCAGTTGTGGTGCTAGATTATACAGCTGTTTAGATTAACCAACTGTGTAGCGGTTATGTTAGGGACTCAGCAGTTGCTGGCTGCTCCGGGGTAGAGCCAGACCTGGTGCCTGACCAGCAGCCCCTCTCCTTACCCGCGCTGGACATTGGAAATAAAAGCACCAGGTCTCCTTATGCTGCAGGTGACACCCAGACCGTGGATGATGAAAACCCTCCTCTGGATTGTTCTCCGACTCATCTGGTCCATTTTGCTTAAAACGTCCAGGACGCCGACATTAAAAGATACATCCTTAAGATGGGCCCATGCAGACCCAAATATCCGTTTGGGAGTGATAACGACAATCGGGTTTTTTCCCGGAAAGTTATTACACCTCTACCACTAAAGTTGGGATGAAACTTCCCTGCAGCTGGATGTGCTATACCCCCAAATTAGACTGCTGTTACTGTGAGCCTTGCTGGCTTTTTGCCAACCGAAATGCCCCATATGACAACAATGTAGGGTAAAGCTGAATCAGGGACTGTAAACATTTTTTCTGCCATAGTTGAGAAGCAACTACATCTTGCTGCATGCATAGTCTACGAGCAGTGGAAACTCAACGACACAATAGAATCCGAAATGGAGAGGAATGTGCGTAATGCAGCCTTGTTGTGGAGACATGTTGTGGAGTGCATCTTACTCTGGCATCATGCAACCTGGCATTTCAGGGGGCGCAGGGAAGTTCTAGGTCAGGGAAATGCTGGCAACCTTTTGTCAATAATCGGGTCATTAGCTCACTGCAACCCTGTTTTGAAAGAGCTAATCAACCGACCAGAAGGGTTAGTGAAATTCCGAAGACACCAGATTCACATTTGAAAAACCTTTAATACAAACACACACACACAAATCACAAAAATAATTCATAATTATTACAATTTGTCAACAGTATAACAACATAAACACAGAAAGTATAGAGTGGAACATGAGGAATAGTATGCAAAAATAACTCCGCAGTTTACTGTACAGTGTAGTGCAGTAGTATTATACAGAAATAGCCTTAAAATAATGTGAAGGGTAAGGTAAAGAATGCTAATGCAAAAATACAAAGTCATCCACACTTGTGTAAATATACAGGCAAGGTAAGATGAAAGGTTTATAAATGAAATATGGCATTATTACCTCCACTGAGCAGGTTATGTTTTTGGTAGAGTTGGTTTGTTTGTTTGTTTGTTTGTTTGTTTGTTAGCAACTTTACGGAGAAAGTTACAGACGGATTGACCTGAAATTTTCACCAGAGGTGCGTCTCAGCCCCAGGCGGATCCCATTAAATTTTGGTGGTGATCCGGATCGCCTTCTGGATCCAGGAATTTTTTGAAGGATTCTTTATCATTGTGAGATAGGGCAAATTTTGGAATTTTTGCATTGAACTCTATAAAAATGGCCAGAGTCTTTAGTAAAAAATTACACAAAAAGATCTCAATGAGTTTTATGAGGTGTCAAAGGTTGATCCAGACAAAATTCTGGATACTGTGATCCAGAACACACGAAAATTAGGGTGTCGTCGGAATTTTTTAATGCTGAAAGATAACCAATGAAGATACAAGGAAGCGTACGCTTACAAATATTGCATAATAAATCATGCATTTATGAATGTAATATGAGCTTTGTTGTTTTAAGAACATTATGAACAGTGAACATACCAGTTTAAAGACAAATAAAAGTACATAAAGACAATCAGTCGGTTCCTCGCTAAGTACTTTGTTCTGTTTTGGCACTTTTGTTCAAAACCAAAAGCAGAGCCCAGTACAGTTTAGAGTGAAGGTTTAAAGTGAGGTAAGTAATCAATACAAAAATCCTGTGCTAACAGTAATACTGTGCTTTTCTATGTTGGTCAAAGATGGTTATTGTTATGGGGCAAGGAAATACACCGTTACCTCAGGGAAAGTTCAAAGCTGCAGTGAGGATGAACTGATGATCTGAATGCGATGACATTTGCTGCAGCTTGCTTCACAGGACTGCAGGACTTGTAGGATCATCATTAGTAGGACTCTGCTGAGCTGCACCGGCTACACTGTGGAAATAGTTCTGTCCAGAGCCACTTCACCAGGTCTGCATGCAGCAAAGTTTCCTCACACAGAGAGGCTTTGGATGGCTGCATGATGTCCACCTTTAAAGCGTTCAGCGGCCTGAGTGTCTGAGCTGTTCTTCCGCTCTTAACGTTCAATTGGTTTGAAGAAGTATGCGTATACTAAGGCACCAATAACTGTTTCAGATGTTAGGTAGATGTATTTATGACCTTTGAGAAAGATTTTGTCTTGCCAGAATCAACATAGCAGTTTCAACAAGCAAAAACAGCAGCACCATATAAACGTTTTTTTGTGTTACTCACGTATATGTACATTTCTGGCTGGTCTTTTGTCTCTTCCTGTAGAGAAAGCCACTTTGTAATACTAGTTCTGTAAGTTTTCCAACGTGTCCTTGTAAAGTCGAGAACGTCTTCACTCTGGACAGATGGTAGATGCATATAGCATTGTTTTGTTCCTTTTTGATGCACTTTTGAGGGCTGTTTTCTTTTTTTCCTGTTCTTTTCTTCCTCTTCGCTTGTCTCGCAGCTAGATGCGCTCGTCGCCATGTTTGTGTATTTCTGATACTATGGCAACGAGACTCGGCTCCTATTGGTCCACGTGACAAAAATCGCTTCACCCCTCTGCATATTCGATTGCGCGTGTGCAAGTATCACTACGCCACAGAAAGGAAATAGTTCGACACCGAAACACTGATTACTAAAAATCGACAGGATGGCATGAGTAGATTTTTTTTTTTTTAGCACTTACTATAATATACCTATTTTATGAATCACAGTTTATGTTGCCCCACTGAAGTGGAACGAACCAACACGGTCTCGCTCAGCCAACACAGCCTATAAATCAATCATAGCAACAAGCTTCCAGAAACGTCACTGTTGACAGACAGCCAATCCCGTGGCAGATGGTGACAGCCAATCCCGTAGCAGATAGTGACGTTGGTGAGTTCAAACGAGAGCGCGAGAACAGCCCTTTTTTTGAGACGAGAAGGAGACCGGAGACCTGAAGGGATAGAAGAAACGGACAAGACAGGAAAACGACAACAAAAGTAAGTAAAACTATTGTTATTTTTGGTAAAACAATTGTTTAATAATCAATAATAATTATAATACTGTTTAAAATTACTCTACATGTATTATTTGTTCATATACCTCCAGGGAGAGCAAGTTTCTATCATTCTATGAGTGGCCTAGCTGAAAACATTAACGGGAACATAGACTTCACACAGTAGGCTACCAGTCAAAAGTTTGGACAATGTCTCATTCGAACATTTTGTATTACTCTTACATGTTTTAAATTGTAGATGAATAGTGAACATCTTGAAACTATTAAATAAAACAATATATATATGAGAGAGGAAGGGAGGTGGAGGGAGACGGCAGAAGCGGTGGAGAGCGGGAGATGGGGGAGGAGAAGGCAGCAGAAGAGGTGGCTTTTTTGTCAGTCACAAAGATGGAGGCCGAAATGTTAACTTAGTGAAACAAATGTGGAGAAATACTTGAAGCTCTCTTATTTAGTATCATAATTTTTTTTTTTTTCAATAGTTTTAAATTAGTTTACAGGTTGTTATCTTACGAAGAGCAAGTTCGTATCTTTCAGTCATCAGTACTTAGTACCTGCGTGAAGCTGGTCCCCCACCCCACGCAAAATGTCGGGAAAATAGTCTACTTGTTTATGCTGGTTTGTGCCGTTAAAATTTCCGTTTGTGCCGCTATGGATTTTAAGTTATTAAATACTGTTTTTTAGGTCACCCAGCCCCCCCCCCCCCCCCATTCGTTCCGAATGGACCCGAAATGGTGCCGTTCGTTAGTGCTTCGTTTGTGCCGTTAAAATTTTCGTTTTCAGACCTATCTCCCACCCACCTCCCGTACTGTCATTTCTCCCAGGAATCCCCCGTAGTTTGGGGGCCCACGTTCATTCATAAATCGGATCACTATATTTGTCATGTTTCTTGACAACTGAAGATTGTCCTGTGTTTCTGCTGAGCCTCACAGACACTGGAAAGATACTTTTTCTTTACAATTTGGGATGTCGGTTTAAACTGTAAACTTTATTCAACCAGTTTTTGTTGCAAAATTAACACGTCAATGAGGGAAACAAACCTGAGATATAATATTTACGTTTATAGTCTTTCACCGTCTCGGAGTGATGCGTTCAGGGCAGCCTCAGACAAAATAGTGCTGCATTGCACGCACAGATTTTCAGAGAGCCTCATACAGGAGAGCATGTAAAACGTGAGGACTTTAACACCAATATTTGGGGACTGAATAAGTTCAAGGCATATCGTAGCTATTATTTTTTATTACAATTTGTTATTGTTAAAACTAAACAAAAAGGTGTGCAGCTTCACTTACACTTATTTGGATGAGCAATCTAATAACACATACTTACAGACATTACAGGCATCAGTATTGCCGAGAAATGCATCCAACCTTAAAGTTTGATTCTTTGTCAACAGCAGCACAAATGAAGCACTAACGAACGGCACCATTTTGGGTCCATTCGGAACAAATGGGGGGCTGGGTGACCTCTAGGTGACCTATAAAACTATATTTAACAACTTAAAAACCATAGCAGCACAAACGAAAATTTTAACGGCACAAACGAAGCACAAACAAAGCAGACTATCCCGGAATTTTGCGTGGGGTGGGGGGCCAGCTTCACGCAGGTGTACTTAGTGTGTAACACGAATGGGGAACATAGAGTTTATACCAGTCAAAAGATCGGACAACTTCTCAATCAAGGGTGTTTTTAACATTGCAGATTAATACTGAACATTTTCAAACTTTTTTGTTCTAGAATGGCACTGAGAAGGCTGCTGGAGTCTCGGCCAGATCCTCAGGGCAAGCTGCCGCCCCTGCACATCCTCTTCTTAAAGATAGAAGACTCACCGAAAGTGGTCTCCTGGGACTTCAAGGATGCCCATGCTACCCCGACCTGCATAAAAAATAACAAGGTAGCTGTTATCAGCGATGGGGAAACAGTCACCAAAGTTCTTTTATTTGAGGCCATGGCAGGGAGAGTGGCAGTTGAAGAGTCCTATTATATGAGGGGACACACTCTTTTCGGTAAGTGCCCCCCCTATAAAATTAACGTCGGTGCCGGGACTCAGTTTTTTCGTGGCGGCAAACTGAAGTGCCCTGAGGATCTGGCAGCAAGAGCAGAGGCCCTGCTGCACCCGGCCTCACCAGTGACAACGATCCGTCAGTGCCAGGAGCAGCAGGGCCTGATGACGATTAAGGGAGTGATTGTAGAGGTCAGTATTAACCTTTATGGTGCAGCCATGTATCTGGGCAATTTTTAACCCTTGATTCCTGTTCATTTTTAAGCTCCATCTAGCCTACTGTGTCCCCAAAATGGACATGCGGATAAGTGTTCATAAAACAACCCTTTTTTTTTTCTTTTTCTTTTTTTTTTTTTACATTTTAAAACTTTTCTCAACTCATATTTCTTAAACAACTTCAGCCCTCACCATTAAAACAATAATAAATAAAACAAAATCAATGTTACACCCTTTTTATGCCACTTATTGTGCACCATGTCACTGCTATTTTTAATGGTAAAACCATAGACTGTATATAAGATGGACAGAGTCTGCCTCCTCGCTGGGTGAAGCCACTCCGAGAACAGCACCCTCTGATGGTGGGCTGCAGTACAGGTCATAAATCCGGCCTCCGCCAGCAAAGCTTATGGGACTGTGGACAAACTTTAGAAATTTATTACACAGAACATACATTTTTCTCCCCCCTGCTTGTGATGTTGACGTGTAGTTATTGTAAGACTGGTTTGTGCCTAAGTCCTTTTTTTTCTTTACAGCTCCGTTTTTAAAAGTTATTAGGGGCTTCATGTTTTCTATGATTGACACCTGGTACAGCCTATGGGCGTTCAGGGATTGCGTAGCTCTTCCGGGGGGATACGCTGTTTGAGCCGAGCGTCATCACAGGGACTCTCGGCGACTGTGCGGCCGAATGCGCGCATCGCTACTGCGCAGCTCTGGTTTCAAGGAAGTGGAGAAAAACCCGGAATTACCGAGAGCTTTTTGGCTTCAAATCCGTAAACAGGCGGAAGGCGGAACCAGGGTGTCCATCTTATATACAGTCTATGGGTAAAACACACAAAATTGCCATATTTACTATATGAAATGACCTAGATGGATTTTTTTTTTTAAATAATTAGAGTCTGGGCCATGTCAATGATCGGTAGTAAAATCGATTTAGGTGCATTAAATTTTTTTTGTAGTGACAGAGTAGTAGAGGAGCCAATTTTATATATATATATATATATATATAACTAAATGATGAATTTTCTCCTGTTCAGCTTTCAGCAGTCAGGAAGGTGGAGGCTGGGAAGGGAGCCGGGAAGGAGGCTGTGCCTCTAAAAAAGATCATCCTGCAGGAGGTGTTTCTCACACTTGAAAGTATAGTAGTGTGTCAATAGACCATACAAAGATGCTGAATTACAGTGCCTGATCAGCCTGATTTCTCATACATTATTGTTTATTTTAGCACCATGCATGTGCTCAGCCCCTCTGATTTACATGAGACAAGAGCCAGTAGTATTTTTAGTTTCACATGCATAGTGAATTCAGACAGTAAGGTGTTCCCTTATGTTTTACAGGAAAAGAGCACGATCACCGTGTCCCTGTGGAGGGAGGCAGCGGTGAAGCCCCTTGCAATTGGGGAAATGGTACGAGTGACCCACGTCAGGGCCAGCAACACGGAGTATGGGGTACAGGTGAACTCCACAAACTTCACCAAAATTGAGGTAATTTGCTGTTGTCACTGTTTTCAGTTTGACATAATTTTTTTTTAAATATATAACTCTCATTTGTCCTCTTCACAATTGGTAGTTTACAGAATCACCATAAAGGTTTAACAATTGAATTAATGTAAAGACCTAGACACATGGACAGAATTGTTAACACCCTTATGTTAAAGAAAGAAAACCCCACATACAGTTGCAAGCTGACTTAAATTTAACAATGAACACCCAGACCTGATTACTGCCAGACCTTAGGAATCAAGAAGTCAGAACAATAATACCCTAAATATTAGTCAGTATTGGGCCGTTATTACAGAGAAAACAACATATGATGTGACCAAATGATCTGATTCCTTACTTGTGTTTACTTATTTTGTCAACAGAAGCAGCAGAGTCATCAGGAGCTGGAGGTGGCTGGTGTCCTCAAGGACGGTGAAGGGGCAGCGTCTTCTGGTTTTTTCCAGGTCCTGCTGGCATGTGGAGAGACCTTGATGATAGACGAAGGCTTATGGGACCCATCTTTTGATGCAGCTATCCAAGAAGGGATACTCAAACTTAGGGCAGAATTGGAAGGGAAAAAGATAATTAAAGCAGCTATGTAAATAGTTATCTTAATGTTATGTAAATAGTTCCACTAGTTTGTTCTCACACACACACACACACACACACACACACACTCAACACACACAAACAGAAACACAGTATGTTATAAAAAATTGTTGAATGTTTTTGTTACAAAAATAAATTTGGTTGCTGCAAAAAAAGTATTAATTGAGCATTTTTCATATCTATATACATATCTATATACAAGTACTTGTTGATAAGAGATGGTAGGTTAAGTCCATAGACTGTATATAGAACGGACAGCGTCTGCCTCCTTGCTGAGTGAAGCCACTCCGAGAACAGCACCCTCTGTTGATGGGCTGTAGTATAGGTCATAAATCCCACCTCCGCCAGCAAAGCTTCTGGAGCTGTGGAAAAACTTCAGAAATTTATAACACAGAACATACATTTTTCTCCTCCCTGCTTGCGATGTTGACATGTAGTTACAGTAAGACTGGTTTGTGCTCAAGTCCTCTTTTTTTCTGTACAGCTCCGTTTTTAAAAGTTATTAGGGTGTTCATGGTTTCTATGATTGAAACTTGATACAGCGTAATGGCGTTCAGGGGTTGCGTAACTCACCCAGGGGATACGCTGTTTGAGCCGAGCGTCATCACAGCGAATCTCCGGCCGAATGCGCAGAATGCTACTGCCCAGCGCCGGTTTCAGGAATGAAAAAAAATCCCAGAAATACTGTGAGCTTTTTGGCTTCACAGGCAGGAGGCGAAACCAAGTTGTCCATAATATATACAGTCTATGATTAAGCCTTACGATGCTGCTTGGAGGCTACAATTAGTTTATTAGCAATGCTGGAAAAACTTCTTAACTATATCATAACTCACAGAACCTGGACCGATTTAATTCTTCCATACCTTAACCGTACACTAACTCATGGTAAAACAGGTAAATCATGTGATAATGACTAATCAGACGTACCTTTAGCTCATGCATCCTTAAGGGTCTTCTAGTGTGGGTTATTATTAACAAGTCGGTGAATAAATAAACAATGGAGGAGACGCCACCGGTGAGGCGTATTGCAAAATTCGTGAAGTAGTCTACAAGATGACCGAGGACAGCAAGGCCATGCAGTGGCGACCGGAGGCGGCCCCTCAGCAAGTGTCGCGGTAAGTGCTGTGGGGGGCATCCACACTCTCTTGAATCAGCACAGAGGGATTTGGTGTGTGTGAGGTTGAGCCCACAGGTAAGACGAACATTCTTTTCCACAAAAAAGACAACACAAAAAGCAAAAGTAGGTCAGTGGGTCAGACATTGGTACGGTAAGGGACAAAGGACTGACACCGAAAAATACATCCAAAATCCTTAAAGATGAAATCAAAACTTTGTCTTAGGGAGTACCTCACCAAACCCAAGATTCCAAAGGGGAGGACACGAATGGCAGTGTTTGAGCCCTTTCTTAGGGGCGTTTATTCTTAAAAACAATAATAATGACATTTCATCTTGTTTTGGTTGCATCTTGACCGAGTAAATTAGTACGTGTTGTGTGGCATCGTGTGTGGCGTCCTTCATCACTGAATGTCATTGACCTTGAGTTTTTCGTTTCCCACCTCATTGGTTTAGTCTGCTTTACGTTTTGACCTTGATCTGACCCAGGTTTGAGCAAATTATTGATAAAGTCCATGGTGCTGACCATGGTGCTAAAATGGCCTCTCGGCAGTTGTGGTGCTAGATTATACAGCTGTTTAGATTAACCAACTGTGTAGCGGTTATGTTAGGGACTCAGCAGTTGCTGGCTGCTCCGGGGTAGAGCCAGACCTGGTGCCTGACCAGCAGCCCCTCTCCTTACCCGCGCTGGACATTGGAAATAAAAGCACCAGGTCTCCTTATGCTGCAGGTGACACCCAGACCGTGGATGATGAAAACCCTCCTCTGGATTGTTCTCCGACTCATCTGGTCCATTTTGCTTAAAACGTCCAGGACGCCGACATTAAAAGATACATCCTTAAGATGGGCCCATGCAGACCCAAATATCCGTTTGGGAGTGATAACGACAATCGGGTTTTTTCCCGGAAAGTTATTACACCTCTACCACTAAAGTTGGGATGAAACTTCCCTGCAGCTGGATGTGCTATACCCCCAATTAGACTGCTGTTACTGTGAGCCTTGCTGGCTTTTTGCCAACCGAAATGCCCCATATGACAACAATGTAGGGTAAAGCTGAATCAGGGACTGTAAACATTTTTTCTGCCATAGTTGAGAAGCAACTACATCTTGCTGCATGCATAGTCTACGAGCAGTGGAAACTCAACGACACAATAGAATCCGAAATGGAGAGGAATGTGCGTAATGCAGCCTTGTTGTGGAGACATGTTGTGGAGTGCATCTTACTCTGGCATCATGCAACCTGGCATTTCAGGGGGCGCAGGGAAGTTCTAGGTCAGGGAAATGCTGGCAACCTTTTGTCAATAATCGGGTCATTAGCTCACTGCAACCCTGTTTTGAAAGAGCTAATCAACCGACCAGAAGGGTTAGTGAAATACCGAAGACACCAGATTCACATTTGAAAAACCTTTAATACAAACACACACACACAAATCACAAAAATAATTCATAATTATTACAATTTGTCAACAGTATAACAACATAAACACAGAAAGTATAGAGTGGAACATGAGGAATAGTATGCAAAAATAACTCCGCAGTTTACTGTACAGTGTAGTGCAGTAGTATTATACAGAAATAGCCTTAAAATAATGTGAAGGGTAAGGTAAAGAATGCTAATGCAAAAATACAAAGTCATCCACACTTGTGTAAATATACAGGCAAGGTAAGATGAAAGGTTTATAAATGAAATATGGCATTATTACCTCCACCGAGCAGGTTATGTTTTTGGTAGAGTTGGTTTGTTTGTTTGTTTGTTTGTTTGTTTGTCTGTTAGCAACTTTACGGAGAAAGTTACAGACGGATTGACCTGAAATTTTCACCAGAGGTGCGTCTCAGCCCCAGGCGGATCCCATTAAATTTTGGTGGTGATCCGGATCGCCTTCTGGATCCAGGAATTTTTTGAAGGATTCTTTATCATTGTGAGATAGGGCAAATTTTGGAATTTTTGCATTGAACTCTATAAAAATGGCCAGAGTCTTTAGTAAAAAATTACACAAAAAGATCTCAATGAGTTTTATGAGGTGTCAAAGGTTGATCCTGATCCAGACAAAATTCCGGATACTGTGATCCAGAACACACGAAAATTAGGGTGTCGTCGGAATTTTTTAATGCTGAAAGATAACCAATGAAGATACAAGGAAGCGTACGCTTACAAATATTGCATAATAAATCATGCATTTATGAATGTAATATGAGCTTTGTTGTTTTAGGAACATTATGAACAGTGAACATACCAGTTTAAACACAAATCAAAGTTAATAAAAGACACGTAACAGTAAGAGTTTTGGTGTGAATCACAATATAAGGGGGGACATGAGCTGCTTGGAGGAGGTCTGCGCTCTCCAAGTGCTTTTCTAGTTGTATTTGTAAAGCCAATTGCAGTGAAGCGTTGGCCCTTTGGTGTATGAAATAAATAAATAAATATATAAATAAATAAAAAAGAAATGAAATGAAAGTTTATAAAAAATCTAAAATGATTTCATTGATGAATAGATTTGAGAACTTATAATAAATTCATGTAATGTATATGTCCACCTTACCACCAAAAGGCTTTTCACAGTAGTTAAACCAGGGCTAACACCTTCATCAGCTCATTGTAGTGGACTGACAGTCTGGTCAGCATTTTAGTTCCCAGTGTTTTCTTATCCAAACATTCAGACTACTCGGTCTTACTGAAATGCTGGGTTGTCTTCATGTTGATAGTTTCTGCTTAAAAAATTATCGACTTTGGAGAATTACATTTTAAGGATAAGCATAAAAACTTTGTTCTTCTACGAAATCATTTCACACAGCTCATTTAACCAAGCCCTGTGTTTTAGCATTGTGAAGACAAACCTTCAGCAAGCATTGTTTGACACTGTAATGCTTAGATCTCTGATGTCCAAAACATTAGCCCAAGACTAAACACATGTGAAAAACCTTCAGTGTACCTACCAGCTGAAACCCAAAGTACACAATTTTTTTTCTAAAAGCATGTCCTCTCTTGTAGGTAAATTGGAGGCATATGGTGAGCATATTAAAGCGAGAAATTCAGCTGCCTGCAACAACTGAAGTAACTGGTATTTCTTCCCTTCATCAGTGTCTGTCATCTTTTGATACAAGGACGGATACATGGTAAAAGGGAAAGGAAACACTAAAATAAAATTTAAAAAATTAAGTCAAAGAAACAAAAAGGAAACTTAAACTATCAACAGATACAACAAATCACACAATGTAGTAACCACGATTATAAGAGTAATAGTTGTCCTGTCCTGAAGACAATCAGTCAGTTCCTCGCTAAGTACTGTGTTCTGTCTGGGCACTTTTTTTCAAAATCAAAAGCAGAGCCCAGTACAGTTCAGAGTGAAGGTTTAAAGTGAGGTAATGTTTTGACCTTTGACCTGTGGTTGTAGAATCGCTGTGTGCAGTTATCAGTGTTCGAATTGACAGCATCACTGGAGTCAGAGGTAGGAGGAAGAGACGTCTGAAAAAAAAAAAAAAAAAAATCCCCTTCACTTTGACTCTGTAATCAATACAAAAATCCTGTGCTAACAGTAATTCTGTGCTTTTCTATGTTGGTCAAAGATGGTTATTGTTATGGGGCAAGGAAATACACCGTTACCTCAGGGAAAGTTCAAAGCTGCAGTGAGGATGAACTGATGATCTGAATGCGATGACATTTGCTGCAGCTTGCTTCACAGGACTGCAGGACTTGTAGGATCATCATTAGTAGGACTCTGCTGAGCTGCACCGGCTACACTGTGGAAATAGTTCTGTCCAGAGCCACTTCACCAGGTCTGCATGCAGCAAAGTTTCCTCACACAGAGAGGCTTTGGATGGCTGCATGATGTCCACCTTTAAAGCGTTCAGCAGCCTGAGTGTCTGAGCTGTTCTTCCGCTC